TGGGCGGATTTATTCAGGTTCAATTTTTGGCGGCTTCCAAAGGGGTAACATCGCATATTTTGGCGATTTTCCCGAAATGCCATTTTCTTTCGATTCTGGAGGCTACAGATCACGGATTTAGGCCGAGGCTATTCTCCACCGATAATGAAGTCTATTGATCCTATTCTACGAAGATGATAAGTCCATTAAGCACCGATTTGGCCCAATTTATTTTTGGACTACAGATTACAAATTCGGCTTGAGGCTATTCTTCTATGATGATCGAGTCCATTAAGCACGGATTTGGACGAATTTATTCGGGGTCAATTTTTGGCGAATTTTAAAGGGGTACCATCACAGATTTTGGGTTATTTTCCCGAAATGTCATTTTCTTTCGATTCTTTAGGCTACAGATCACTGTTTCAGGCCGAGGCAATTATCCACCGATAATGAAGTCTATTGATCTTATTCTCTGTAGATGGTAAGTCCACTAACACCGATTTGGCCCAATTTATTTTAGGTTGACATTTTCGTAATTTTTTGGGCGATGAAAGGGCATTTCCTTTGGATTTTGAAGGCTGCAGATCACAGATTCGGGCCGAGGATATTCTTCAACATTGATTGAGTCCTTTACGCGCGGATTTGGGCGAATTTATTCCGGGTCAATTTTTGGCGGTTCCAAAGTGGTACAAATCATGGATTTTGGGCAATTTTCCTGAAATGCCATTTTCTTTCAATTCTGGAGGCTACAGATCAAGGATTAAGACCGAGATTATTCTCCAACGATAATGAATCCTATTGATCCTATTCTCCGCAGATGATAACTCCATTAAGCACCGATTTGGCCTAATTTATTTTCGGATGACATTTTCGTAATTTTTTGTGCGACGAAAGGCCATTTTCTTTGGATTTTGAAGGCTACAGATCACGGATGCGGCCTGAGGCTATTCTTCAACGATGATCAAGTCCACTAAACACAGATTTGGGTGAATTAATTCCGGGTCAATATTTGGCGGAATCCAAAGGTGTACCATCACAGATTTTGGGCGATTTTCCCGAAATGCCATTTTCTTTCTATTATGGAGGCTACAGATCACAGATTTCGGCCAAGGCTATTCTCCACTGATAACGAAGTCTATTGATCCTATTCTACGCAGATGATAAGTCCATTAAGCACCGATTTGGCCCATTTTATTTTCGGATTACATTTTCGTAATATTTTGGACTACGAAAGGCCATTTTCTTTGGATTTTGAAGGCTAGAGATCACGAACTCGGCCAGAGGCTATTCTTCAAAGAATATGAGTTCATTAAGCATGGATTTGGTTGAATTTATTCCGGGTCAATTTTTGGCGGATTCCAAAGGGGTACCATCACTGATTTTGGGCAATTTTCCCAAAATGCAATTTTCTTTTGATTCTGGAGGCTACAGATCACGGATTCAGGCCGAGGCTATTTTCCACCGATAATGAAGTCTATTGATCCTATTCTCCGCAGATGATAAGTCCATTAAGCACCGATTTGGACCAATTTTGTTTTCGGATGACATTATCGTAATTTTTTGGGCGACGAAAGGCCATTTTCTTTGGATTTTGAAGGCTAGAAAGCACGGATTCGGCCTGAGGCTATTCTTCAACAAAGATTGAGTCCATGAAACACGGATTTGGGCGAATTTATTCCCGGTCAATTTTTGGCGGATTCCAAAGGGGTACCATCACAGATTTTGGGCGATTTTCCCGAAATGCTATTTTGTTTCGATTCTGTAGGCTAGTGATCACGGATTCAGGCAGAGCCTATACTCCACCGTTAATGAAGTCTATTGATCCTATTCTCCGCAGATGACAAGTCCATTAAGCACCGATTTGGACCAATTTATTTTCGGATGACATTTTCGTAATTTTTTGGGCGACGAAAGGCCATTTTCTTTCGATTTCGAAGGCTACAAAGCACGGATTTGGCCTGAGGCTATTCTTCAACAAAGATTGAGTCCATTAAACACGAATTTGGGCGAATTTATTCCGGGTCAATTTTTGGCGGATTCCAAAGGGGTACCATCACAGATTTTGGGCGATTTTCTCGAAATGCCATTTTGTTTCGATTATGGAACCTAGTGATCACGGATTAGGCAGAGGCTATACTCCACCGATAATGAAGCCTATTGATCCTATTCTCCGCAGATGACAAGTCCATTAAGCACCGATTTGGCCCAATTAGTTTTTGGATGACATTTTCGTAATTTTTTGGGCGACGAAAGGTCATTTTCTTTGGATTTTGAAGGCTACAGATCACGGATTCTGCCTGAGGATATTCTTCAATGATGATTACGTTCGTTAAGCACAGATTTGGGTGGATTTATTCCGGGTCAAATTTTGGCGGAGTCCAAAGGGGTACCATCACAGATTTTTGGCGATTTTCTTGAAATGCCATTTTCTTTTGATTCTCGAGGCTACAAATCACGGATTAAGGCCGAGGCTACTATCCACTAATAATGAAGTCTATTGATCCTATTATCCGTAGATGATAAGTCCATTAAGCACAGATTTGGCCCAATTTATTTTCGGATGACATTTTCCTGAAATGCCATTTTGTTTCGATTCTGTAGGCTAGTGATCACGGATTCAGGCAGAGGCTATACTCCACCGTTAATGAAGTCTATTGATCCTATTCTCCGCAGATGACAAGTCCATTAAGCACCGATTTGGGCCAATTTATTTTTGGATGGCATTTTCGTAATTTTTTGGGCGACGAAAGGCCATTTCCTTGGGATTTTGAAGGCTACAGATCACGGATTCGGCCTGAGGCTATTCTTCGACGTTGATTAAGTCCATTAAGCACCGATTTGGGCGAATTTATTCCGTGTCTATTTTTGGCGGATTTCAGAGGGGGTACATATCACGAATTGAGGCCGAGGCTATTCTCCACCGACAATGAAGTCTATTGATCCTATTCTCCCAGGATGATAAGTCCATTAAGCACCTATTTGGCCCAATTTATTTTCGGATGGCATTTTCTTAATTTTTGGGCACCGAAAGGTCATTTTCTTGGCTACAGATCACGGATTCGACTAGAGGCTATTCTTCAACGATGATTGAGTCCAATAAGCACTGATTTGGGTGAATTTATTCCGGATCAATATTTGGCGGATTCCAAAGGGGTACCATCACAGATTTTGGGTGATTTTCCCGAAATGCCATTTTGTTTCGAAGTGATCACGGATTCAGGCAGAGGCTATACTCCACCGATAATGAAGTCTATTGATCCTATTCTCCGCAGATGACAAGTCCATTAAGCACCGAATTGGCCCAATTAATTTTGGGATGACATTTTCGTAATTTTTTGGGCGACGAAAGGCCATTTTCTCTGGATTTTGAAGGCTACAGATCACGAATTCTGCCTGAGGATATTCTTCAATGATGATTACGTCCGTTAGGCATAGATTTTGGTGGATTTATTCCCGGTCAATTTTTGGCTGAGTCCAAAGGGGTACCATCACATATTTTGGGCGATTTTTTCGAAATGCCATTTTCTTTTGATTCTGGAGGCTACAGATCACAGATTCAGGCCGAGGCTATTATCCACCGATAATGAAGTCTATTGATCCTATTATCCGCAGATGATAAGTCCATTAAGCACCGATTTGGACCAATTTATTTTCGGATGACATTTTCGTAATTTTTTGGGCGACAAAAGGCCATTTTCTTTTGATTTTGAAGGCTACAAAGCACGGATTCGGACTGAGGCTATTCTTCAACAAAGATTGAGTCCATTAAGCACAGATTTGAGCAAATTTATTCCGGGTCAATTTTTGGCGGATTCCAAAGGGGTACCATCACAGTTTCGGGCGATTTTCCCGAAATGCCATTTTGTTTCGATTCTGTAGGCTAGTGATCACGGATTCAGGCAGAGGCTATACTCCACCGTTAATGAAGTCTATTGATCCAATTCTCCGCAGATGACAAGTCCATTAAGCTCCGATTTGGCCGAATTAATTTTCGGATGACATTTTCTTAATTTTTTGGGTGACGAAAGGCCATTTTCTTTGGATTTTGAAGGCTACAGATCACGGATTCTGCCTGAGGATATTCTTCATTGATGATTACGTCCGTTAAGCACGGATTTAGGTAGAGTTATTCCTGGTCAATTTTTGGTAGAGTTCGAAGGGGTACCATCAAAGATTTTGGGCGATTTTCTCGAAATGGCATTTTCTTTTGATTCTGGAGGCTACAGATCACGGATTCAGGCCGAGGCTATTATCCACCAATAATGAAGTCTATTGATCCTATTATCCGCAGATGATAAGTCCATTAAGCATCGATTTGGCCCAATTTATTTTCGGATGACATTTTCGTAATTTTTGGGCGACGAAAGGCCATTTTCTTTGGATTTTGAAGGCTACAGATCACTGATTCGACATGAGGCTATTCTTCAACGATGTTCAAGTCCACTAAGCACCGATTTGGGTGAATTTATTCCGGGTCAATTTTTGGCGGATTCCAAAGGTGTAGCATCACATATTTTCGGCGATTTTCCCGAAATGCCATTTTCTTTCGATTCTGGAGGCTACAGATCATGGATTTAGGCCAAGGCTATTCTCCACCGATAACGAAGCCTATTAATCCTATTCTACGCAAATGATAAGTCCATTAAGCACCGATTTGGCAAATTTTATTTTCACATTACATTTTCGTAATTTTTTGTGCGACGAAAGGCCATTTTCTTTGGATTTTGAAGGCTACACATCACGGATTTGGCCTGATTCTATTCTTCAACGATGATCAAGTCCACTAAGCACGGATTTGGGTGAATTTATTCCGAGTCAATTTTTGGCGGATTCCAAAGGGGCACCATCACTTTTTTTGGGCGATTTTCCCGAAATGCCATTTTCTTTCGATTCTGGAGGCTACAGATCACGGATTTAGGCCAAGGCTATTCTCCACTGATAACGAAGTCTATTGATCCTATTCTACGCAGATGATAAGTCCATTAAGCACCGATTTGGCCCATTTTATTTTCGGATTACATTTTCGTAATTTTTGGGCTACGAAAGGCCACTTTCTTTGGATTTTCTTGGCTACAGATCACGGATTCGGCCTGAAGCTATTCTTCAACGATGATTAAGTCCATTAAGCATCGATTTGGGCGAATTAATTTCTGGTCAATTTTTGGCGGATTCCAATGGGTACTATCAAAGATTTTGGGCGATTTTCCCTAAATGCCATTTTCTTTGAATCTGGAGGCTACAGATCACGTATTCAGGACAAGACTATTATCCATTGATAATGAAGTCTATTGATCCTATTCTACACAGATGATAAGTCCATTAAGCACCTATTTGTCCCAATATATTTTCCGATGGCATTTTCGTAATTTTTTGGGTGACTAGAGGCCATTTTCTTTGGATTTTGAAGGTTACAGATCACAGATTTGCCCTGAGGCTATTCTTCAACGATGATTGAGTCCATTAAGCATGGACTTGGGCGAATTTATTCCGGGTCAATTTTTGGCGAATCCAAAGGGGTACCATCACAGATTTTGGGCGATTTTCCCGAAATGCCATTTTTTTCGGTTATGGAACCTAGTGATCACGGATTCAGGCAGAGGCTATACTCCACCAATAATGAAGTCTATTGATCTTATTCTCCACAGATGACAAGTCCATTAAGCACCGATTTGGCCCAATTATTTTTGGATGACATTTTCGTAATTTTTTGGGCGACGATAGGCCATTTGCTTTGGATTTTGACGGCTACAGATCACGGATTCTGCCTGAGGATATTCTTCAATGATGATTACGTCCGTTAAGCACGGATTTAGGTGGAGTTATTCCCGGTCAATTTTTGGCAGAGTCCGACGGGGTACCATCACAGATTTTGGGCGATTTTCTCGAAATTGCATTTTCTTTTGATTCTGGAGGCTACAGATCACGGATTCAGGCCGAGGCTATTATCCACCAATAATGATGTCTATTGATCCTATTATGCGCTGATGATAAGTCCATTAAGCACCGATTTGGCCCAATTTATTTTCGGATGACATTTTCGTAATTGTTTGGGCGACGAAAGGTCATTTTCTTTGGATTTTGAAGGCTACAGATCACGGATTCGGCCTGAGGCTATTCTTCAACGATGATCAAGTCCACTAAGCACGGATTTGGGTGAATTTATTCCGGGTCTATTTTTGGCGGATTCCAAAGGTGTACCATCAAAGATTTTGGGCGATTTTTCCGAAATGCCATTTTCTTTCGATTCTGAAGGCTACAGATCACGGATTTAGGCCAAGGCTATTCTCCACCGATAATGAAGTCTATTAATCCTATTCTACGCAGATGATAAGTCCATTAAGCACCAATTTGGCCCATTTTATTTTTGGATAACATTTTCGTAATTTTTTGGGCTACGAAAGGCCATTTTCTTTGGATTTTGAAGGCTACAGATCACGGATTCGACCTGGAGCTATTCTTCAACGATGATTAAGTCCATTAAGCATCGATTTGGGCGAATTTATTACGGGTCAATTTTTGTCGGATTCCTAAGGGGTACCATCACAGATTTTTGGCGATTTTTACTAAATGCCATTTTCTTTGAATCTGGAGGCTATAGATCACGTATTCAGGACAAGGCTATTATCCATTGATAATGAAGTCTATTGATCCTATTCTCCACAGATGATAAGTCCATTAAGCACCTATTTGTCCCAATTTATTTTCCGATGGGATTTTCGTAATTTTTTGGGCGGCTAGAGGCCATTTTCTTTTGATTTTGAAGGTTACAGATCACAGGTTTGTCCTCGGGCTATTCTTCAATGATGATTGAGTCCATTAAGCATGGATTTGGGAGAATTTATTCTGGTTCAATTTTTGGCGGATTCCAAAGGGGTACCATCACAGATTTTGGGCGATTTTCCCGAAATACCATTTTGTTTCGATTATGGTACCTAGTGATCACGGATTCAGGCAGCGGCTATACTTCACCGATAATGAAGTCTATTGATCCTATTCTCCGCAGATGACAAGTCCATTAAGCACCGATTTGGCCCATTTTATTTTTGGATTACATTTTCGTAATTTTTTGGGCGACGAAAGGTCATTTTCTTTGGATTTTGAAGGCTACAGATCACGGATTCGGCCTGAGGCTATTCTTCAACGATGATCAAGTCCACTAAGCTCGGATTTGGGTGAATTTATTCCGGGTCAATTTTTGGCGAATTCCAAAGGTGTACCATCACAGATTTTGGGCGATTTTTCCGAAATGCCATTTTCTTTCGATTCTGAAGGCTACAGATCACGGATTTAGGCCAAGGCTATTCTCCACCGATAACGAAGTCTATTAATCCTATTCTACGCAGATGATAAGTCCATTAAGCACCGACTTGGCCCATTTTATTTTCGGATTACATTTTCGTAATTTTTTGGGCTACGAAAGGCCATTTTCTTTGGATTTTGAAGGCTATAGATCACAGATTCGGCCTGAAGCTATTCTTCAAGATGATTAAGTCCATTAAGCATCGATTTGGGCGAATTTAGTTCGGGTCAATTTTTGGCGGATTCCAAAGGTGTACCATCACAGATTTTGGGCGATTTTCTCGAAATGCCATTTTTTTCGATTCTAGAGGCTACATATCACAGATTCAGTCCGAGGCTATTATCCACCAATAATGATGTCTATTGATCCTATTATACGCAGATGATAAGTCCATTAAGCACCGATTTGGCCCATTTTATTTTAGGATTAAATTTTCTTAATTTTTTGTGCGACGAAAAGCCATTTTCTTTGGATTTTGAAGGCTACAGATCACGGATTTGGCTTGAGGCTATTCTTCAACGATGATCAAGTCCACTAAGCACGGATTTGGGTGAATTTATTCCGGGTCAATTTTTGGCGGATTCCAAAGGGGTACCATCACAGATTTTGGGCGATTTTCCCGTAATGCAATTTTCTTTTGATTCTGGAGGCTACAGATCACGGATTCAGACCGAGGCCATTATCCACCGATAATGAAGTCTATTGATCCTATTCTCCGCAAATGATAAGTCTATTAAGCATTGATTTGGCCCAATTTATTTTACGATGACATTTTCTTAATTTTTTGGGAGACGAAATGCTATTTTCTTTGGATTTTGAAGGCTACAGATCATGGATTCGGCCTGAGGCTATTCTTCAACGATGATCGAGTCCATTAAGCACGAATTTGGGCGAATTTATTCCGGGTCAATTTTTGGCGGGTTCCCAATTGTACCCATCACAGATTTCGGGTGATTTTCCTTAAATGCCATTTTCTTTCGATTCTGGAGGCTACAGATCACGGATGTAGGCTGAGGCTATTCCCCACCGATAATGAAGTCTATTGATCCTATTCTACGCAGATGATAAGTCCATTAACCACCGATTTGGCCCAATTTATTTTCGAATGACATTTTCTAATTTTTTGGGCTACGAAAGTACATTTTCTTTGGATTTTGAAGGCTACAGATCACAGATTCTGCCTGAGGATATTCTTCATTGATGATTACGTCCGTTAAGCACGGATTTAGGTAGAGTTATTCCCGGTCAATTTTTGGTAGAGTTCGAAGGGGTACCATCAGAGATTTTGGGCGATTTTCTCGAAATGGCATTTTCTTTTGATTCTGGAGGCTACAGATCACGGATTCAGGCTGAGGCTATTATCCACCAATAATGAAGTCTATTGATCCTATTATCCGCAGATGATAAGTCCGTTAAGCATCGATTTTGCCCAATTTATTTTCGGATGACATTTTCGTAATTTTTGGGCGAAGAAAGGCCATTTTCTTTGGATTTTGAAGGCTACAGATCACTGATTCGACCTGAGGCTATTCTTCAACGATGATCAAGTCCACTAAGCACCGATTTTTATTCCGGGTCAATTTTTGGCGGATTCCAAAGGTGTAGCATCACATATTTTCGGCGATTTTCCCGAAATGCCATTTTCTTTCGATTCTGGAGGCTACAGATCATGGATTTAGGCCAAGGCTATTCTCCACCGATAACGAAGCCTATTAATCCTATTTTACGCAAATGATAAGTCCATTAAGCAACGATTTGGCAAATTTTATTTTCACATTACATTTTCGTAATTTTTTGTGCGACGAAAGGCCATTTTCTTTGGATTTTGAAGGCTACACATCACGGATTTGGCCTGATTCTATTCTTCAACGATGATCAAGTCCACTAAGCACGGATTTGGGTGAATTTATTCCGAGTCAATTTTTGGCGGATTCCAAAGGGACACCATCACTTTGTTTGGGCGATTTTCCCGAAATGCCATTTTCTTTCGATTCTGGAGGCTACAGATCACGCATTTAGGCCAAGGCTATTCTCCACCGATAACGAAGTCTATTGATCATATTCTACGCAGATGATAAGTCCATTAAGCACCGATTTGGCCCATTTTATTTTCGGATTACATTTTCGTAATTTTTGGGCTACGAAAGGCCATTTTCTTTGGATTTTCTGGGCTACAGATCACGGATTCGGCCTGAAGCTATTCTTCAACGATGATTAAGTCCATTAAGCATCGATTTGGGCGAATTTATTTCTGGTCAATTTTTGGCGGATTCCAAATGGGTACCATCAAAGATTTTGGGCGATTTTCCAAATGGGAACCTAGTGATCACGGATTCAGGCAGAGGCTATACTCCACCAATAATGAAGTCTATTGATCTTATTCTCCACAGATGACAAGTCCATTAAGCACCGATTTGGCCTAATTTATTTTCGGATGACATTTTCATAATTTTTTGTGCGACGAAAGGCCATTTTCTTTGGATTTTGAAGGCTACAGATCACGGATTTGGCCTGAGGCTATTCTTCAACGATGATCAAATCCACTAAGCACGGATTTGAGTAAATTTATTCCGGGTCAATTTTTGGCGAATTACAAAGGGGTACCATCACAGATTTTGGGCGATTTTCCCGAAATGCCATTTTCTTTCGATTCTGGAGGCTACAGATCACAGATTTAGGCCAAGGCTATTCTCCACCGATAACGAAGTCTATTGATCCTATTCTTCGCAGATGATAAGTCCATTAAGCACCGATTTTTCCCATTTTATTTTCGGATTACATTTTCGTAATTTTTTTGGCTACGAAAGTCCATTTTCTTTGGATTTTGAAGGCTAGAGATCACGAACTCAGCCTGAGGCTATTCTTCAAAGAAGATGAGTTCATTAAGCATGGATTTGGGAGAATTTATTCCGGATCTATTTTTGGCGGATTCCAAAGGGGTACCATCACAGATTTTGGGCAATTTTCCCGAAATGCAATTTTTTTATTCTGGAGGCTACAGATCACGGATTTAGACCGAGGCTATTATCCACCGATAATGAAGTCTATTGATCCTATTCTCCGCAAATGATAAATCTATTAAGCATTGATTTGGCCCAATTTATTCTAGGATGACATTTTCGTAATTTTTTGGGCACGAAATGCTATTTTCTTTGGATTTTGAAGGCTAGAGATCACGGATTCGGCCTGAGGATATTCTTCAACGATGATCGAGTCCATTAAGCACGAATTTGAGCGAATTTATTCCACGTCAATTTTTGGCGGATTCCCAATTGGTACCATCATAGATTTTGGGTTATTTTCTGAAATGTCATTTTCTTTCGATTCTGGAGGCTACAGATCAAGGATTCAGGCCGAGGCTATTATCCACCGATAATGAAGTCTATTGATCTTATTCTCTTTAGATGATAAGCCCATTAAGCACCGATTTGGCCCAATTTATTTTAGGATGACATTTTCGTAATTTTTTGTTCTACGAAAGGTTATTTTCTTTGGATTTTAAAGGCTACAGATCATGGATTCGGACTGAGACTATTCTTCAACGATGATCAAGTCCACTACGCACGAATTTGGGCGAATTTATTCCGGGTCAATTTTTGGCGGGTTCCAAAGGGCTACTATCACAGATTTCGGATGATTTTCCTGAAATGCCATTTTCTTTCGATTCTGGAGCCTACAGATCACCGATTTAGTCCAAGGCTATTCTCCACCGATAACGAATTCTATTGATCCTATTCTACGCATATGATAAGTCCATTAAGCACCGATTTGGCCCATTTTATTTTCGGATTACATTTTCGTAATTTTTTGTGCGACGAAAGACCATTTTCTTAGGATTTTGAAGGCTACAAAGCACGGATTCGGCCTGAGGCTATTCTTCAGCAAAGATTGAGTCCATTAAACACGAATTTGGGCGAATAATTCCGGGTCAATTTTTGGCGTATTCTAAAGGGGTACCATCACAGATTTTGGGAGATTTTCCCGAAATGCCATTTTGTTTCGATTATGGAACCTAGTGATCACGGATTCAGGCAGAGGCTATACTCCACCGATAATGAAGTCTATTGATCCTATTCTCCGCAGATGACAAGTCCATTAAGGACCGATTTGGCCCAATTAATTTTTGGATGGCATTTTCGTAATTTTTTGGTCGACGAAAGGCTATTTTCTTTGAATTTTGACGGCAACAGATCACGGATTCTGCCTGAGGATATTCTTCAATGATGATTACGTCCGTTAAGCACGGATTTGGGTGGAGTTATTCCCGGTCAATTTTTGGCAGAGTCCAAAGGGGTACCATCACAGATTTTTTGCGATTTTTCTCGAAATGGCATTTTCTTTTTATTCTGGAGGCTATAGATCACGGATACAGGCCGAGGCTATTATCCACCAATAATGAAGTCTATTGATCCTATTATCCGGAGATGATAAGTCCATTAAGCACCGATTTGGCCCAATTTATTTTCAGATGACATTTTCGTAATTTTTTGGGCGACGAAAGGCCATTTTCTTTTGATTTTGAAGGCTACAGATCACGGATTCGGCCTGAGGCTATTCTTCAACGATGATCAAGTCCACTATGCACGGATTTGGGTGAATTTATTCCGGGTCAATTTTTGGCGGATTCCAAAGGTGTGCCATCACAGATTTTGGGCGATTTTCCCGAAATGCCATTTTCTTTCGATTCTGGAGGCTACAGTTCACGGATTTAGGACAAGGCTATTCTCCACCGATAACGAAGTCTATTAATCCTATTCTACGCAGATGATAAGTCCATTAAGCACCGATTTGGCCCATTTTATTTTTGGATTACATTTTCGTAATTTTTGTGCGACGAAAGGTCAATTTCTTTGGATTTTGAAGGCTACAGATCACGGATTTGGCCTGAAACTATTCTTCACCGATGATTAAGTCCATTAAGCATCGATTTGGGCGAATTTATTTTGGGTTAATTTTTGACAGATTCCAAAGGGGTACCATCACAGATTTTGGGCGATTTTCCCTAAATGCCATTTTCTTTGAATCTGGAGGCTACATATCACGTATTCAGGACAAGGCTATTGTCCATTGATAATGAAGTCTATTGATCATATTCTCCACAGATGATAAATCCATTAAGCAACTATTTGTCCCAATTTATTTTCCGATTGCATTCTCATAATTTTTTGGGCGACTAGAGGCCATTTTCTATGGATTTTGATGGTTACAAATCACAGATTTTTCCTGAGGCTATTCCTCAACGATGATTGAGTCCATTAAGCATGGATTTGTGCGAATTTATTCCGGGTCAAATTTTGGCGGATTCCAAAGGGGTACCATCACAGATTTTGGACGATTTTCCCGAAATGCTATTTTGTTTCGATTATGTAGGCTAGTGATCACAGATTCAGGCACAGGCTATACTCCATCGTTAATGAAGTCTATTGATCCTATTCTCCGCAGATGACAAGTCCATTAAGCCCCGATTTGGGCCAATTTATTTTTGGATGGCATTTTCGTAATTTTTTGGGCGACGAAAGGCCATTTCCTTGGGATTTTTAAGGCTACAAATCATGGATTCAGCCTAAGGCTATTCTTCAACGATGATTAAGTCCATTACGCACGAATTTGGGCGAATTTATTCCAGGTCAATTTTTGGCGGGTTCCAAAGGGGTACCATCACAGATTTTGGGCGATTTTCCCGAAATGCCATTTTCTTTTGATTCTGGAGGCTACATATCACGGATTCAGGCTGAGGCTATTGTCCACCGATAAGAAGTCTATTGATCCTATTCTCTGCAGATGTTAAGTCCATTAAGCACTGATTTGGCCCAATTTATTTTCAGATTACATTTTTCGTAATTTTTAGGGCGATGAAAGTCCATTTTCTGTGGATTTTGAAGGCTACAGCTCACGGATTCGGCCTGAGGCTATTCTTCAACGATGATCGAGTCCATTAAGCACGAATTTGGGCGAATTTATTCCGGGTCAATTTTTGGCGGATTCCCAATTGGTACCATCACAGATTTCGGGTGATTTTTCTTAAATGCCATTTTCTTTCGATTCTGGAGGCTACAGATCACGGATCTAGGCTGAGGCTATTCTCCACCGATAATGAAGTCTATTGATCCTATTCTACGCAGATGATAAGTCCATTAACCACCGATTTTGCCCAATTTATTTTCGGATGACATTTTCTAATTTTTTGGGCTACGAAAGTCCATTTTCTTTGGATTTTGAAGGCTACAGATCACGAATTTGGCCTCAGGCTATTCTTCAAAAATGATCGAGTCCATTAAGCACGGATTTGGGCGAATATATTCCGGATCAATTTTTGGCGGATTCCAAAGGGGTACCATCACAGATTTTGGGTTATTTTCCCGAAATGCCATTTTCTTTGGATTCTGGAGGCTACAGATCACAGATTCAGGCCGAGGCTATTATCCACCGATAATGAAGTCTATTGATCTTATTCTCTGTAGATGATAAGTCCATTAAGCACCATTTGACCCAATTTATTTTCGGATGACATTTTTGTAATTTTTTGGGCTACGAAAGTCCATTTTCTTTGGATTTTGAAGGCTACAGATCACGAATTCGGCCCGAGGCTATTCTTCAACGATGATCGAGTCCATTAAGCACGGATTTGGGAGAATTTATTACGAGTCAATTTTTGGCGGGTTCCAAAGGGGTACTATCACAGATTTTGGGTTATTTTCCCGAAATGCCATTTTCTTTCGATTCTGGAGGCTACAGATAACGTATTTAGGCCGAGGTTATTATCCACCGATAATGAACTCTATTGATCTTATTCTCTGTAGATGATAAGTCCATTAACACCGATTTGACCCAATTTATTTTAGGATGACATTTTCGTAATTTTTTGTGCGACAAAAGGCCATTTTCTTTTCATTTTGAAGACTACAGATCACAGATTCGGCCCGAGGATATTCTTCAACGATGATTGAGTTCTTTACGCACGAATTTGGGCAAATTATTCCGGGTCAAGTTTTGGCGGGTTCCAAAGGGGTACCATCATAGATTTTGGGTTATTTTCTGAAATGTCATTTTCTTTCGATTCTGGAGGCTACAGATCAAGGATTCAGGCCGAGGCTATTATCCACCGATAATGAAGTCTATTGATCTTATTCTCTTTAGATGATAAGTCCATTAATCACCGATTTGGCCCAATTTATTTTAGGATGACATTTTCGTAATTTTTTGTGATACGAAAGGTTATTTTCTTTGGATTTTGAAGGCTATAGATCATGGATTCGGACTGAGACTATTCTTCAACGATGATCAAGTCCACTAAGCACGGATTTGGGTGAATTTATTCCGGGTCAATTTTTGGCGGATTCCAATGGGTTACCATCACCGATATTGGGCGATTTTCCCGAAATGTCATTTTCTTTCGATTCTGGAAGCTACAGATCACGGATTTAGGCCAAGGCTATTCTCCACCGATAACGAAGTCTATTGATCCTATTCTATGCAGATGATAAGTCCATTAAGCACCGATTTGGCCCATTTTATTTTCAGATTACATTTTCGTAATTTTTTGTGCTACGAAAGGCCATTTTCTTTGGATTTTGAAGGCTAGAGATCACGAACTCGTCCTGAGGCTATTCTTCAAAGAAGATGAGTTCATTAAGCATGGATTTGGGAGAATTTATTCCGGGTCAATTTTTGGCGGATTCCAAAGGGGTACCATCACAGATTTTGGAAAATTTTCCCGAAATGCAATTCTCTTTTGATTCTGGAGGCTACAGATTACGGATTCAGACCGAGGCTATTATCCACCGATAATGAAGTCTATTGATCCTATTCTCCGCAAATGATAAGTCTATTAAGCATTGATTTGGCCCAATTTATTTTCAAATGACATTTTCGTAATTTTTAGGGCGATGAAAGTCCATTTTCTTTGGATTTTTAAGGCTACAGATCACGGATTCGGCCCGAGGCTATTCTTCAACGATGATCGAGTCCATTAAGAACGGATTTGGGCGAATTTATTCCGGATCAATTTTTGGCGGATACCAAAGAGGTACCATCACAGATTTCGGGCGATTTTCCCGAAATGCCATTTTCTTTCGATTCTGGAGGCTATTCTCCACCGATAATGAAGTCTATTGATCCTATTCTACGCAGAAGATAAGTCTAATTAGCACCGATTTTGCCCAATTTATTTTCGGATGACATTTTCGTAATTTTTTGGGCTACGAAAGTCCATTTTCATTGGATTTTGAAGGCTACAGATCACAAATTGGGACCGAGGATAATCTTCAACGATGATTAAGTTCTTTACGCACAAATTTGGGCGAATTTAGTCTGGGTCAATATTTGGCGGGTTCCAAAGGAGTACCATCACAGATTTCGGGCGATTTTCCCGAAATGCCATTTTCTTTCGATTCTGGAGGCTACAGATCACGGATTAAGGCCGAGGTTATTCTCCACCGATAATGAAGCCTATTGATCCTATTCTCCGCAGATGATAACTCCATTAAGCACCGATTTGGCCTAATTTATTTTCGGATGACATTTCCGTTATTTTTTGTGCAACGAAAGGCCATTTTCTTTGGATTTTGAAGGCTACAGATCACGAATTCGGCCTGAGGCTATTCTTCAACGATGATCAAGTCCACTAAGCACGGATTTGGGGGAATTTATTCCGGTTCAATTTTTGGCGGATTCCAAAGGGGTACCATCACAGATTTTGGGCGATTTTCCCGAAATGCCATTTTCTTTCAATTCGGGAGGCTACAGATCACGGATTTAGGCCAAAGCTATTCTCCATCGATAACGAAGTCTATTGATCCTATTCTACGCAGATGATAAGTTCATTAAGCACCGATTTGGCCCATTTTATTTTTGGATTACATTTTTCGTAATTTTTTGGGCGACTAAAGGCCATTTTCTTTGGATTTTGAAGGCTATAGATGACAGATTGGGCCAGCGTCTATTCTTCGACGATGATTGAGTCCATTAAGCACGGATTTGGGCGAATTTATTCCGGGTCAATTTTAGGCGGATTCCAAAGGGGTACCATCACATATTTTGGGTGATTTTCCCGTAATGGCATTTTCTTTCGATTCTGAGGCTACATATCAAGGATTCAGGCCGAGGGTATTCTCCACCGACAATGAAGTCTATTGATCCTATTATCCATGGACGATAAGTCCATTAAGCACCGGTTTGGCTCAATTTATTTTCGGATGGCATTTTCGTAATTTTTGGTCGATGAAATATCATTTTCTTTTGATTTAGAAGGCTAGAGATCACGGATTCGTCCTGAGGCTATTCTTCACGATGATTAATTCCATTACACACTTATTTGGACGGATTTATTTCAGGTCAATTTTTGGCAGATTCCAAAGGGGTACCATCATAGAGTTTGAGCCATTTTCCCGAAATGCCTTATTCTTTCGATTATGGAGGCTACAGATCACTGATTCAGGCCGAGGCTATTCTCCCTCGATAATAAAGTCTATTGATCTTATTTTCCATGGATGATTACGTCCATTACGCCCCGATTTGGGCCAATTTATTTTTGGATGACATTTTCGTAATTTTTGGTTGACAATAGGCCATTTTCTTTGGATTCTGATGGTTAAAGATCACGGATTCGACCTGAGGCTATTCTTCTACGATGATTATGTTCATTATGCACGAAATTGGGCGAATTTTTTCCGGGTCAATTTTTGGCAGAGTCCAAATGGGTACCATCACAGATTTTGGGCGATTTTACCGATATGCCTTTTTCTTTCGATTCTGGAGGGTACAGATCACGGATTCAGGATGAGGCTATTCTCCACCAATAATGAAGTCTATGGATCCTATTCTCCGCAGATGATAAGTCCATTAAGCACCGATTTGGCCCAAATTATTTTCGGATGACATTTTCGTAATTTTTTGGGCGACGAAAGTCCATTTTCTTTGGATTTTGAAGGCTACAGATCACGGATTCGGCTAGAGGCTATTCTTCACAATGATTGAGTCCATTAAGTACTGATTTGGGCGAATTTATTCCGGGTCAATTTTGGGCGATTTTCCCGTAATGCCATTTTCTTTCGATTCTGGAGGCTACAGATCACGGATTCAGGCCGAGGCTATTATCCACCGAAAATGAAGTCTATTGATGCTATTCTCCATGGATGATAAGTCCATTAAGCACCGATTTGGGCCAATTTGTTTTCGTATGCCATTTTCGTATTTTTGGACGACGAAAGGTCATTTTCCTTGGATTTTGAGGGCTACAGATCACGTATTCAGCCTGAGACTATTCCTCAACGATGATTATGTCCGTTCAGCACAGAATTGGGCGGATTTATTCCGAGTCCATTTTTGGCAGATTCCAAAGGGGTACCATCACATATTTTATGCGATTTTCCTGAAATGCCATTTCCTTTTGATTCTGGAGGCTACAGGTCACGGATTCAGGCCGAGGGTATTATCCACCGATAATGAAGTCTATTGATCTTATTCTCTGTAGATAATAAGTCCATTAAGCACCGATTTGGCCCAATTTATTTTAGAATGACATTTTCGTAATTTTTTGGGCGACTAAAGGCCATTTTCTTTGGATTTTGAAGGCTACAGATCACAGATTGGGCCTGAGGCTATTCTTCAACGATGATATAGTCCATTAAGCACGGATTTGGGCGAAATTATTCCGGGTCAATTTTAGGCGGATTCCAAAGGGGTACCATCACAGATTTTGCGCGATTTTTCCGAATTGCCATTTTCTTTTGATTCTGGAGGTTACAGATCACAGATTCGGGCCAAGGCTATTATCCGCCGATAATGAAGTCTATTGATCATATTATTCACGGATGATAAGTCCATTAAGCACCGATTTGGCCCAATTTATTTTCAAATGACATTTTCGTTATTTTAGGCCAACGTAAGGTCATTTTCTTTGGATATTGAAGGCTACAGATCACGGATTCGCCCTGAGGCTATTCTTTAACGATGATTAATTCCAATACACACTGATTTGGGCAGATTTATTTCTGGTCAATTTTTGGCAGATTCTAAAGGGGTACCATCATAGATTTTGAGCGATTTTCCCGAAATGCCATTTTCTTTCGATTATGGAGGCTACAGATCACTGATTCAAGCCGAGGATATTCTCCACCGATAATGAAATCTATTGATTCTATTCTCCATGGATGAATACGTCCATTAAGCCCCGATTTGGGCCGATTTATTTTTGGATGACATTTTCGTAATTTTTGGTTGACAATAGGCCATTTTCTTTGGATTCTGATGGTTAAAGATCACGGATTCGACCTGAGGCTATTCTTCTACGATGATTACGTTCATTAAGCACGGAATTGTGCGAATTTATTCCGGATCAATTTTTAGCAGGTTCCAAAGGGGTACCACAGATTTTGGGAGATTTTCCCAAAATGCAATTTTATTTCAATTCTGGAGGCTACAGATCACGGATTCAGGCCGAGGCTATTCTCCACCGATAATGAAGTCTATTGATCCTATTCTCCGCAGATGATAAGTCCATTAATTACCGATTTGAACCAATTTATTTTCGGATGACATTTTCGTAATTTTTGGGGCGACGAAAGGCCATTTTCTTTGGATTTTGAAGGCTACAAAGCACGGCTTCGGCCTGAGGCTATTCTTCAACAAAGATTGAGTCCATTAAGCACGGATTTAGGCGAATTTATTCCGGGACAATTTTTGGCGGAATCCAAAGGGGGGTACCATCACATATTTTGTGTGATTTTCCCGAAATGTCATTTTGTTTCGATTCTGGAGGCTAGTGATCACGGTTTCAGGCAGAGGCTATTCTCCACCGATAACGAATTCTATTGATCCTATTCTACGCAGATGATAAGTCCATTAAGCACCGATTTGGCCCATTTTATTTTCGGATTACATTTTCGTAATTTTTTGTGCTACGAAAGGCCATTTTCTTTGGATTTTGAAGGCTAGAGATCACGAACTCGTCCAGAGGCTATTCTCCACCGATAACGAATTCTATTGATCCTATTCTACGCAGATGATAAGTCCATTAAACACCGATTTGGCCCATTTTATATTCGGATTACATTTTCGGAATTTTTTGTGCGACGAAAGGCCATTTTCTTTGGATTTTGAAAGCTACAAAGCACGGATTCAGCCTGAGGCTATTCTTAAACAAAGATTGAGTCCACTAAGCACGGATTTGGCCGAATTTATTCCGGGTCAATTTTTGGCGGATTCCAAAGGGGTATCATCACAGATTTTGGGTGGTTTTCCCGAAATGCCATTTTGTTTCGATTCAGGAGGCTAGTGATCACGGATTCAGGCAGAGGCTATACTCCACCGATAATTAAGTCTATTGATCTTATTCTCTGCAGGTGACAAGTCCAATTAGCACTGATTTGGCCCAATTAATTTTCGGATGACATTTTTGTAATTTTTTGGGCGATGAAAGGCCATTTTCTTTGGATTTTGAAGGCTACAGATCACGGATTCTGCCTAAGGATATTCTTCAATGATGATTACTTCTGTTAAGCACATATTTGGGCGAATTTATTCCCGGTCAATTTTTGGCAGATTCCAAAAGGGTACCATCACAGATTTTTGGCGATTTTCTTGAAATGCCATTTTCTTTTGATTCTGGAGGCTACAGATCACGGATTCAGGCTGAGGCTATTCTCCACCGATAACGAATTCTATTGATCCTATTCTACGCAGATGATAAGTCCATTAAGCACCGATTTGGCCCATTTTTTTTTCGGATTACATTTTCGTAATATTTTGTGCTACGAAATGTCCATTAAGCACCGATTCAGATCACATTTATTGTAATTTTTAGGGCGATGAAAGTCCATTTTCTGTGGATTTTGAAGGCTACAGATCATGGATTCGGCCTGAGGCTATTCTTCAACGATGATCAAGTCCATTAAGCACGAATTTGTGCGAATTTATTCCGGGTCAATTTTTGGCGGATTCCCAATTGGTACCATCACAGATTTCGGGTGATTTTTCTTAAATGCCATTTTCTTTCGATTCTGGAGCCTACAGATCACCGATTAAGGCCAAGGCTATTCTCCACCGATAACGAATTCTATTGATCCTATTCTACGCAGATGATAAGTCCATTAAGCACCGATTTGGCCCATTTTATTTTCGGATTACATTTTCGTAATTTTTTGTGCTACGAAATGTCATTTTCTTTGGATTTTGAAGGCTAGAGATCACGAACTCGGCCTGAGGCTATTCTTCAAAGAAGATGAGTTCATTAAGCTTGGATTTGGGTGAATTTATTCCGGGTCAATTTTTGGCGGATTCCAAAGGGGTACCATCACAGATTTTGGACAATTTTCCCGAAATGCAATTTCTTTTGATTATGGAGGCTACAGATCTCGGATTCAGGATGAGGCTACTATCCACCAATAATGAAGTCTATTAATCATAGTTTTCGCAGATGATAAGTCCATTAAGCACTAATTTGGCCCAATTTAATTTCGGATGACATTTTCGTAATTTTTTGGGCGACAGGCCATTTTCTATGGATTTTGAAGGCTACATATCACGGATTTGGCCTGAGGCTATTCTTCAACGATGATTGAGTCCATTAAGTAGTGATTCGAGCAAATTTATTCCGGTTCAATTTTTGGCGGATTCCAAACTGGTACCATCACATATTTTTAGCGATTTTCCTGAAATGTCATTTCCTTTCGATTCTGGAGGCTATAATTCACTGATTCAGGCCGAGGCTATTCTCCACCGATAATGAATTCTATTGATCCTATTCTCAACGGATGATTACGTCCATTTAGCAGCGATTTTATTCAATTTATGTTTGGCTGGCATTTTCGCAATTTTTGGTTGACAAAAGGATATGTTCTTTGCATTATGAAGGTTAAAGATTACGGATTCGACCCAAGGCTATTCTTCTACGATGATTACGTCCATTAAGCACCGATTTAGGCGGATTTATTCCGGGACAATTTTTGGCGGATTCCGAAGGTGTACCATCACAGATTTTGGGCGATTTTCTCGAAATGTCATTTTCTCTCGATTATGGAGGCTACAGATCACGGATTCATGCCGAGGCTATTCTCCACCGAAAATGAAATCTATTGATCCCATTCCCCATGGATGACAAGTCCATTAAGCACCGATGTGGGCCAATTTATTTTCGTATGCCATTTTCATAATTTTTGAGCGACAAAAGGTCATATTCTTTGGATTTTGAAGGCTACAGATCACAGATTCAGCCTGAGTCTATTCTTCAATGATGATTACGTTCGATAAGCACAATATTTGGGCAGATTTATTCCGAGTCCATTTTTTGCCGATTCTAGAGGGGTACCATCACAGATTTTGGGCAATTTTCCCGAAATGCCATTTTCTTTTGATTCTTGAGGCTACAGATCAAGGATTCAGGCCCGAGGTTATTCACCACCGACAATGCAGTCTATTGTTCCTATTCTCCTGGATGATTACGTCCATTAAGCACCGATTTTGGCCAATTTATTTTTGATGGCATTTTCGTAATTTTTGGGTGACAAAAGGCCATTTTCTTTGGATTCTGAAGGTTAAAGATCACGGATTCGGCCTTGAGGCTATTCCTCTACGATGATTACGTCACTGATTTTGGAGGATTTATTCCGGGTCAATTTTTGGCAGATTATAAAAGGGTACCATCATAGATTTTAAGCGATTTTCCCGAAATGTCATCTTCTTTCGATTCTGGAGGATACAGATCACTGATTCAGGTTGAGGCTATTCTCCACCGATAATGAAGTCTATTGATCCTATTCTCCATGGATGATTACGTCCATTATGCACTGATTCGGGCCAATTTATTTTTGACATTTTTGTAATTTTTGGGTGACAAAAGGTCATTTTCTTTGGATTCAGAAGGTTAAAGATCACGGTATCGCCCTAAGGCTATTCCTCTACGATGATTACGTCCATTAAACAACTTTAGGCATATTTATTTCGGGTCAATTTTTGGCAGATTCCATAGGGGTACCATCACAGATTTTGTGTGATCTTCCCAAAATGTCATTTTCTTTCAATTCTTGAGGCTATAGATCACGGATTCAGGCCAAGGCTACTCTCCACCGACAATGAAGTCTATTGATAATATTCTCCACCGTTGATAAGTCCATTAAGCACCGATTTGGGCCAATTTATTTTCGTATGCCATTTTCGTAATTTTTGGGTGACGAAAGGTCATTTTCTTTGGATTTTGAGGGCTACACATCACGGATTCGGCCTAAGGCTATTATTCAACGATGATTACGTCCGTTAAGCACAAATTTCGGCGGATTTATTCTAGGTCAATTTTTGGCACATTCCAAAGGACTACTATCATAGATTTTGGGCCATTTCCCGAAATGTCATTTTCTTTTTATTTTTGAGTCTATTGATCTTATTTTCCATGGATGATAAGTCCATTAACGATGAGGAGGAGTGACCGATAAGGATTCAGTTAAGAAACAGTAATCGTACGTCAGCCAAACGTATCAGTGGGAAAAGAAGGTTAAAGCCTTAAAGGTAGATTTTGGCCCCAAAGTATAAAGGGGAGGGAATAATTTGCCGTTTGGTAAGTAGACCAACCATGGCGGATAATTACAGTCTTAACCCCACCCCTACAGGTTCCCAAGAGCCGCCAAATGGGAAGCCTAACCATACTAAGAAGACAAAGCAAGTCAGGAAGTTAGATTAAGAGGTGATCAGATTTGATTAGTATCCTTTCTTAGGATCAAAGCTAACCGTACGGCCATGGTATCGAACAAGAGAAGTAGATAGACAGTTTCTTATAGTTTATTCGACAATAATTACCTTTTAGTATTAGATTGGCTGCTGCAACAACCAACATGTCATAACATACTGATAGAAGGAACAAAGTCACATATTCCAGTTTTGTGGGGAAGTCGTGTCTCATCTGGTATATATACAATTACAAAGACCAAAAGGGCATCCTCACTTCACAAATGGGGAAGGTTTGGATTTCAGATGTCTAATCAATAGCAAAGAATACTACCAGTGTCTATATAGTAGTTTGCATCCTACATTATTCTGTTTTGGCTAAACTCGGATGGCCGCCATTTCAAATGCAAAAACCTTCAGCCACGAGAAAGCTATCAAAATGTGGCTGTCTTGACGGCTGATATCAGATCGATCAAGTGCTGCATAAGCTCGAAGGGACCTGAAAAGAATGGGATAGATTGGGTCTGAGGAAACTTTTAAATGTAAGATGAGCTTCTGCACTTTCTTCAGTTACGGAATCAATTTTTGATACCTTGACATGATGGGGCATGATTTTGACGTCGAAAGGTACATGAAGCCATGCCTCGGGCGGATAGAGGAGGAAATTCTCGGGCTTGCTGGTGTACACATCTGCATACTGATGAATGTGATAGGCGAAAGCTGATTCCTGACCCGTGTCTGTTAGGAACGTGGCGCCAAACGACTGGTTGAACATCTTCCTCATCGTCTTCCTCGCCTCTTGCCTCTTTTGGTTCAGCTCCTCAACGAGACATCTGTATGCATCACTCCTGTTGCTGTTTGGTATAATTGCGTGCAATCTCCCCAGCATTTCTTGTATGATATTGAATTTTGCCTGCTCAAACCGATATCTATCCCCATTCTGTATACGTATTTCGTTCTGAAAGAAAAGAACAGAAATCAGACAAATTGTGTCAATTGTAATGTATTGAGGCACCTTTCTGTAAACTTACTTCTAGTTCACGTATTATAGCAGCAGTTCGCCAACCAGCCTTCGAAGGGCCCCTAAGATCACTAAATAAGTGATCACCAAAATAAATCACCTGCAGAGAGTTAGAAAAAGGACAGAATCCAGTCAGTAAAATCTACCATGGCAGCGATTTCTAAAATGGAAACCAGATGATTTTCTATGATTGGATTTGAGAGCTAGATAGAAATATTGCTTCCAACATGGATAGCAACAGACAAAGCAAGGTTTATGATGTACCTCTGGACCACGCCACTTGGTAATTTCAAGGAAGGATTTGAGGCATCCATGGTAATAGATTTTATCTGGGACAAAAGACTCCACCTTTGTGAAAGTCAGAGTGTCCCTTTCTGTGTCATAGATTCTGCATCAACATTAGAAAAAGGATGATTTAGTACATTGATGCGATGAGACGTGAAGATCATCAGAGAATAGCTTCTTATCAATGACAATAGAAGTCATCCAGTAAACCCTGGAGCAACCAGCATGATATCAAACAGCAAATGCCTGAGAAGTAGACATAAATGGTGGAAATTGAGGCATCAACCGAAATGGGTGCTCAGAAGTGTAGAAGTCTGGCTTATTGGCTTTGGCAATAACGACATCAAAAAGATCCCTCCAGCAATCTCTGCAACCAATAGAATCCTAGCAAAGACACCGACACAAGCAAAGGAGAATCTCCAGTCAATGTTAGAACACTGCTTGAAACAGAATAACAACCTCAATTCGAGCAGACAAAGCGCATGGATAACTTCCAGAAGCTAGTCACCATTTCCGCAATCTGTTGACGAAGCATCTCCAGGTATATGTACAGCCTGAATATATGGCCTAGATTGTATTTATTTTGCTAGATAAAACTACTAAAGCCCAGCATTCTACTTAGAGGGAGCTACACAAATGCAGTAAAAAAGAAGGCTGAAAGTAAACTATGAAAAAAGAACATCGCAACCAGAAAATATTTCCATGCTTTAAGAAAGAGGTCGCTACCTGCAACATATAACGCATTCCCCCATCCACAAAGTAATAAGGAGAGTTGGTCAGCAGGAAAAGTTTCTTCCCTTTCTCCTTCAGCATCTCAAGGAAGCGAAGGACTTCATGCTGAAAAATTGTCCACGGAAAACCAGTGAACATATGCAAAACGCATCAACAGAATATCCCATAAGTATGGACAGGATCATAGGCGTAACTCACATTTTTCAGAAGATATTTCTGCGGGTTGGCAAGAATCCCCCTGTGAGCTGATCCACTACGATGAACATGCTGAATGGCACGATTCACATCTTGATAGATATAAGATGCATCAAATTCTAGCTTAGCATCGACAAAGTGTTGCACTATATCAGCAATGAGACATGCCTACAAAATAACATCCAATGTCAGATCCAAAGCTGTCAGAGCTGCATTATCATTGCACCTTGACCATTCATTCAGAGTATTGCACTTAAGTCTAGTCAAATTTGGGCACACTAACCTCACTAAAGCAGAAGAAATCCATGAGACCAACAAGTCCACGAGCTTGATCACGACCAATATGTCTTGTGCCATATATCTCTTCGATTTCCTTCCTGCTAAGCTATATACAGAAGCCAAAAAAATTGAATCATATTTCACTTGGAAATCAAGCAAAAGTTTCTAACTTGAACATTAGTTGTCACCCTGAAATTCTTTAGACTGACATACCTTGCGTCGACCAAAGTAGCATCCATCTGGCTCAATTGACCCAAAGAAATCGAGCTTCAAGAGACACCCATTTTTCTTGTCATAGTATAAACCTCTAATCGGGAAAGTAGGATCATATGTGAACGTCATGCATATTTCAGGGTACCTAAACTGCAAATGAAGCAGACATTGAATCGATAAGCATCAAAACCATAGGGGAACCACTGATTATCAGCAATCACCATGATACCAACCTCATTGACCATATGCTCCTTGGCAAGATCATAGATCAAGCTCTGCAAGTTGGAAGTGTAATGTGCTAATGTGTAATCATAGTCGAATCCATACACTTGAATGTTATCCAACCTCAGGTTCTTATTCACATAGATCCCTATAAGAAAGAAACACAAAAACTAGGATCAGAAAAACATCAACAAATTCACATAAAGGAATGGCCATATTTCAACGATTAACTGAACCTTTGGGATTCATTTTCGGCATTCCAGCTAACGACTCTGGGACACTAAGAAAATTGTTCTTCGCTGCCTCAAATTGATTTCTGATCTTCGAAACTTCATCATCAAAATCCAAAGTCTCAGCTTCAGCCGAAGCACTAAAAACCCCGTACCTCCTAGTACACCCTCCAAATCCTAAACCCAAGAAGAAATTTTCACAAAACAAACCCCAATAAGCACTAATGAAAAAATGGTAATCAAGAAATGCCAGAGAAGCAATTGGAACTTACCTTGTGGTATACCCAAGATAGAAAAGCTCGTTCTCTGCAACAAAGATACGATCTTTATCACAAATGCGCACACAAATGGTAATCAGGAGAAGGAATTTGGCAGAAAATGAAAGAGCAGCACCTGTGAATAGGAGCGCAAAGTGACGAGCTTTCGAATGGCGGCCATGGCTGCGAACGTCGTCTCTCAGCTTCGCATTGAAGGATTCGAAGAGCAGCCTTTTCTAAGCGATTGAAAGTTGAAACTTCTCCACGAAAAAGGGCTTCCCCACTTGGCCTTTCACCCAAACAGAAAGATTTTCCAACTTGGGAAGATTAGGTGGTTAGGGTTTTATCTCGAGCGAGGGAAAACAGAAATTGAAGAAAATCAGGTGGCTAATAGAGACCAGATATTTATATGTTCATAATTAGCCGCGCTCTGGTTGGGGACCCCAACAGTCAGTCACGCGGACATCCAGATTCCAAAATCTCCTACCGAGAAGGCGATTTAAGAGACTAGAGCCCCTACGAGGAAGTCGGTATCCGAGTAAACGAGTTGTGGTTATATCAAAATACGAGTCTTTTGTGTCACACAACCATTAGTTTTCTTACCGGTAAGAGATTCGTAGTTGTGATTGTTTTGATGAAATTGTTATTATACATGTATTGTTTAGAATATATTGTTTTTTTTAGCATATTGTTTATGTGATGTGACTGAAATTATCACTCAAAATAAGTGATTGTTATATCTCAGTTTTTAATTGTGATTGTTGATATTGTTGAGTTGAGATTGTTTTATCTCAGCTTTTAGCTGATGTGACATACACAATCACATATATCACACATTGTATTTTACAATCCACCAAATTCGTAAATACATGTATAATATTATACATGAACTCACAACAATACATCTATTTAACAATTGCAACTTTCAAACGACCCTTTATACACTTGTTCAACAATATATGTGAAATTATTCGACAATATATGTCACACAAATAAATAATTGAAGAAAAAAGGGTTATAGCTATAATATGCCCCTCTACTATGACGTTTTATCAAACATCCCCCTTTACTATTTTTTACATCAAACATGCCCCTGTACTTTGTAAAAATGATCAAACATGCCCTTTTGTTAAAAATTTAATCTAAAAATCGTTAACCAACGCCGAACTTTAGTTTGGGCGACACAAATGACTAAAATATCCCTAATAAATTCACTTTAGAATCTTTTTGGTTCTTTTGTATAATTAAATCATTCAAATAATTTCACTTTGAAAAGACCAAAGGAAATAAAACAGGGGACAAAACTGACATTTTCCCTCCCATTTGTCGATGTCGGGTCGTCTAAATCTCAATTCAAACATGATTGACAATTTTTTCAATGGAATTTTTAACAGAAGGGCATGTTTGATAATTTTTTCAAAGTACAGGGGTATATTTGATGTAAAAAATAATAGAGGGGCATATTTGATAAAACGTCATAGTAGAGGAGCATATTATACCTATAACCCAAGGAAAAAAAAACTTATAACGCGAAATCATAAGATCTCATAAGTGAAATGAGAAAGGATATTTGTATGTTTAGCCAACTCACTTCAATTCTTATGATTCAACATTCAGTTTAAGAATAAAGAGGATATACAACATGATAACGAAGTAACAATAATCATATATACTACTCATGATTTCTTTTACATCGATCATACAAATATCCACGGCCTCATGGACAACATTCCAAAAGCTAAAGAAGATGGGCAATGAAGTAAGAGAATAGCTTCACCAGCCCACATTATTCACGGAGCAACATGGTAAGAAGAAACATGGAGGGAATCAAGGTAAGGGGAAATCAACTGATATGCTACAAATGCTAGTTTACAGCTGATGTAAGTTGGAAAATGTGCTCATTATTCATCCAGCAATAGACATCAGAGCTCCCCCAACGCCAGTCGGCATTTTATGTGTATGTTCATCTTTGTATCCAAATCAACTGCCCTTTTCGCCATCATCTTGATCTCATAGCTGCACTGATGCAGCTTCTTGTGAGAGCTGCTGCTGTTGCTTCTCCTCTATCATGGCAGCATGGTGTTCCAAATACTCTTTGCTGTTCATCTCAGTCAACCTGCATTTGCTCATCGGTGGAGTTCAGAACCCAAAATATGAAATAGATTAGTGGGATTTGTGTGCAATAGGAAGAGCAGTACTTGCCTACTTATGGTTCGATCTTTGGCAAACCCAAGTTCATTATCTACACAGAGATCAGCCTCATCGCTCCTCCTTGATCGGGTAGAAGTTCTAGGGGCCATTTGCTGGGCATCAGAAATTGTCACTATCTTCTGGAAGAGCTCCAATGGAGTTCCCTCTGCTGTGCATAACAGTCTTGCCCGGTTTTCATACATAACCTGGAAATGACAGAATGAGTTTTGTGTTCGTAAATAGTATCTGCAAGCATAATATTGGGAGGAAGGTTGAGAGGGCATACATCGACTAATGTCACGAATCGATATGCTGCGGTCCTGTTGTGGAGTCCTAAGATTGGGATACCTTCTAGTGCAAGTGTATGGAAATTCTCTGAAAGAAAGAAGGAACAAGAAATGTTGGCTGTAAGAATTGATCCAAGGAGGGTCTAACGTGGACAGAGTAAATATTTTATCAATTACTCCAAACTTCAGTGGGACAAATTGGTCAAGAATCAAAATTTAGTGATTGTTTTAAGATCCATGCAGATTAATCAGGTGTAATTGTGTACATCAAACAGTTTCTGAGTCCCCGTTTCAAAACAAAGTGTTTAGATTGTTTGTATCAACATGAACATAAAATAATCCAGTTAAGAGCAACTCACTGAACAATCCAAAGTAGTCTGCAGCTCCAAGAGGTCTATCACAAAGTTCCTCGAACTGAAAGTATGCACATCCATCAGCAGCGAGTGGGACCTAACCACGATGGAGAAAAAACATAAGAAGCTGATCACAAAGAAGGTTTCCTATTTACATGATCAGACTGGAAAACAAAATCCCTACAAACCTGCAATGTTCTTCCCATCACTACTTCCACCTCCTCGGGTCCAACTTTGTGTTCACCAACCAATTCCTGAAACTTCTGCTTTAGGAGGCTGGATATATCTTTCCCGACGAAGTAGAATCCTCGCTCAGCCTGTTGACCATTTAGAGTTCTTCATGAACATGCACAGAAGGGAAAGCCTTATAACATCCAAATAACTGAAAGCTCACCGAGCCCAATTTTCGATAGTCTACTGATGAGCCAATTTCACGAGCCACACATCTTTCCTTCAGAGTTTGGATGAAGGGCAAAAAGAGATCCCTTTGTAGTCCACCTTCATAGAGCTTATCAGGGTTGCGATTTGAAGTGGCAACAAGAATCTGTACTTGCCTCCATCATGCATAAACAGACAAGTTCTAAGTTGAAGCTCAAACCATTTTTCCAGCAAAGCAATTTCAAGTCTTTCAATAGAGTGACTTACAACGCCATTGCTGAATAGATGTCCAAAGAGGCGATTCAGTATCAATGCATCAGCTACATCAGTCACCTATAGATGAAAATGTCATGCTTACATTTGTCACTAATCAAGTATGCTTTTAGATAGCTCAGCATCACAAGTACAAGTGATCATGCGAAGCCAAACATACCATAAACTCATCTAAACATAACAAAATCGCCTCATCAGAGATCTCCCCTGCGACTACTTCAAGTGGATCTGACACACCTTTGTGTCTCTGGTCGAATGCAAAATGGGAATCATTAATTGCAAACCACAACTTCATAATCCCTCTGAGCCTCTTGCTCTACCACCGAATTACATCAGAAACTCAGATTCTTACTTGCAAGCGACTATGGACATTGAGCATAAAGTCATGGAAATGGATCCTCTTTTTCCTCCAGCTGCAAGGCCTGATGGAGCAAAGGAAGACTTAAATCGAGTAACCAGACAAGGGCTGGGTATGCAAAAAGGGACAACTCCATGGGAAGCTTACAATTGATCATAGAACAAGTCCATCAGCATGGTCTTCCCAGTGCCTACACCTCCATAAAGATAGAGCCCTTTCACAGGCGAATATGTCGACTGTGGGATGAAACGTGACCATAACCACCGACTCCTGATTAACCGAAACAAGGCAACCAACCTCAAACAATGCTCATCATCATATGCAGGTATCGAAAAGTAGGTTAGAACATTCAGCACACCTTCCTGATTTATCAGAAGTAGAATATCGATCTAACTTGCAGGCATCAGCCGACTCAACAATCTCGTCAAAGAGCCTTTGTAGTTCTCTCAATGTTCCTACCTACAGAAAAAAAAATATGATTAGGCCTAGATTAGTACAAAAACTACTTCATTCTTTGCAAACTAGAAACACTGAACAGGAGATATAACCTGACAGCTATCACCATCCATAAGTTCTCCAGCAGCAATCCTTCTTTCATACTCCACAAGCGGCCCTGCCTTGTGGACATCTGCAACTGAAACAAGTCCAACCCAATTCCACAAGCAAATGAGAAAACCGAATTCCCAACGCTTCTTCCACCAATGAATCAAGTACATGCAGATTTTGATTAATTACAGTAAACCCACCTAGAAAAGCTAGAAATTTTACCTGAATCGGGAACCCGTGCCACAGCATCAGTTGATAAAGCTCTAAAGTTGGCGAATTTATCCCTGTCAGTGTTAGTGAGTAACGTATGGAGAGAGGCAGAGTTGGCCTGTATCAAAATCCTCTGCCTTCTTCCACCAACCCATCTAGCCGATGAACTACTGTATTCTTGAAAAGCATAGACTAAGTGGCGAACCGATCTAACACTTCTTCTCATCCTTCCCCTCTCTTCGTTCACACCACAAATTTAGGCCAAGAATAAAGTACGATTTAAAAAGGCCCTCCTGAAAGAAGTAAGATATAGGTAAAAACCCTACCAACTTGTTCAGCAAAATGATTCCCATGACAGACCAATCCAAGGCCAGACAATTGGGTTGAATTATTGCTTGGTGAAGACCAGTAACTCAGAATCAGAATTCCACAAAAACTCGAGCACGAGCACACAATGATACAAAAAGGCGATTCCCTCGCTCTAAAGGGAAAAAAGGAAGCTTCAAAAGTTATGGTTTCATTTCATCGATCGGCTAGCTCAAATTCAAATATTCAATACGAAATTCCATAGAATCAAAACCATACCCAAATTCCCAAGAGCTTCGAAAAAGGCACGAAATTGACAACATTAAACAACAACCAAAAAGAAAGGCTTTCTTTCTCCCCCCGTTTCAAAGAAAGCTTGCAACTTTGCGTCGACCCTATAAACCGAAACGAAAGGACTGATAAACAAAACCGCACCTGAGAGATGAGGATGAGAGAAATCAGAAACTGGGCACAGGCGGCAAAAAGGGAAGAAACCAAATGAAACCTGATCTCTTCCCAATTGGGTAGTGGTGGTGGTGACGATTCAGAAAAAAAAAGGGATAGAGAGAGATTCCCTGAGAATTTGTGCAAGATAGTGATATCAATTATCAGGTATGGGGCTTTTGTGGCGTGCTTGGAGGAAGAGAAAATGTTGAGAGAGAGAAAGGAAGGAAGGAAGAGAAACGTCGCGGTAACGAGGGAGAGAGACAGAGAGGGAGAAGGCCAGAAGGGTTTGAATATTAGGGAATCGATGAAGCTTCTCTCCAAGCTTATTTGAGATTTGAGGGGTTTGTTGAGGTTTTCAGGTTTGGCTGCAGGCTGCCTGTGCTGGAATTCCTGTTTTGTCTATTAACTTCGTTTAAGAATCGATTAAGGGATGGTGTGATGATGAAGGATTTTACCAAATCGATTAATGCCTGCGCAGGATGAGGTGAGGTGGCAGCGGTTGGGTCGTCTTCTTCGACGCCGTTTATTATGGCGGTAAATGGTAATTTTCTTGATTAGCTGACTAATTACATGATTAGCGAATGGATGAATGTATGTCGCCGCCGGTCTGTTATGGGGAAAAGCAAAGTGCTGGGGCCCAAATTGTGGTTGAGGAGGGATTGTGGGCCCACATCCAAAGTCCGCATTGACTGGTCGCCACAAATGAAAATTGAGTTCTAAGTGGGCCAATGCCACTGCTTAATAGGATAACGAAACACAAATTTAATCACGGTGTTAGTATTAATATTATGGATGAATAGCAGTTTTAGTCCTTATACTGTGTTTTTTAAACAAATATGTCACCGATTCACCGTATTATTATGATTTATGAACTTCATAAAAGTTCGTATTTTTGAATTATGGCAATCATCCGATAGTACTATCTTGGTTTGAAACTCAAGCAAAATTATGTTACGAAGCGAGAGTATTGGATGCTTAATGAGTATGAATTATCATTCATCACAAATCATATCATATGTGATATGAATTTATCTCCTCGCCCCTTCCCATGGGACATTATAGCTTTATTAGCACTAAAAATCTATGATGGACGAGTCATTGAAAATGAGAGGAGGGATTCGCGAGTCAAATTCAAAAGGGGACAAACCAAGTATTCTGATAATAAACTTCTTTTTTTAAAAAGGATAATAAACTTCTAGCAAGGAGCCATAGAAATTTATTTGGGGGAGGTTTCTCCGTAATGTGGTACATATCTACTATGTACTGTTAACCTATAAAATGGGAAGGATTCGTGAGTCTAATTCACGAGGCAAACTAAGTACTAAGTAGTCGGATAATAAAGTTTTTGGCGGTTGGCTATACCAGTGACACGAGCTTAGTTTGATACCTACACCAAAGATTATCAAAGCCAGCCAATGAGTTGGTTTTGAGGTGATTTCTTCGTGACAACTTCGTCTACATTCGTATGTTTAACCTATAAAGAATTCTTGATTCCGTATCGGGTTTTCACCACATTATGATTGAATCGTCAATAACATGCTTGATGCTTATCAATTACTAAGCATGTGACAAACTAGTACTACTCTAGTAAGTAGTAAGCCATTTAGACGGACTAACTTGCCAAATAGACTAGGTTGAAGAATGAAGAGATGATAAAAAAAAAAGTGGGGGATTAGATCAGATTAGATTATTAGTTGGGGTAGCAGTCTGTCAGTAAATGCGACCATGACTGAAGAGTGGGTGCTTGCATGGGAGACATTTGGCTGTGGGTTGTTGGGAATGAAAGTTGTTTGTGCAATTAAGTCCCCTCCGATTTCCAGCCACAATCTCTGGAAAAAAAACAGAGCATTGGGATTCTGCTGCATATGCATATGATAGGGAAGGGAAGTTATTGTAGACTTATGGTTTGATCGACAACTGTGGGCAAAGTACATGATGAACTCGTTTGTGCGGCCAATGACTACAATGAATTGCCACCGGGGTTAGGTCTATACTAAAAGCTTACACACACCATATATGGTTGTGAGCTATCTTTGTAAAACCGTAATCGTACTGTATCGATGGTTCAATAAAAAAAAAAGGTTGTCAGATTTAAAATCGGTAGGTGGTTTTATCAGTATTGTTATGGGACATGCAAATATCACATCGTACATACAAGAAAAATTATGACCATTGAATATAAGTGTCCACCAAACTCCACTAATATGAGGCATTTTGATGAGGCACCCAAATCAGTGCAGAACTTGCCCCAACAGACTTTGATACCAATTGTTGGACCAGGTATCCATTAGTATGATATTGTCTGATTTGGGTAAAAAATAACTTCCTTTATTTATACAATGTGGTACTTGGATTTCTCATAATAATCCTCCCCTCAAGACAAGGACCACAAAGTTTTTGTCTTACCTTGGAGATTATCTTGATCCGTCAGATAACTTGTATCACAACTTAACACACAAGGCTTTGCCAGATACATATCTTTGTTGATATGTTAGATGCGAATCTTTGATTAACCGAATTTGGGTCTTTGATCCACCATATGATCGTCTCAAATCTCAAGGTCTCGAAATGAGGGTCCACCCATAAGTCCATTGTCCTTAATCCGAACCAAAGCTCTTATACCGGTTGTTGGGACTAGGAGCTCCATTAGTACAACATTTGTCCACTTTGAGTCAAGTATGTACACATTTACCTTTTTGGGTTCCTTCACATAAGGTTTCGTGCTAATAAGTTTGGTGGACAATAATATACAAGAGTAATTTCCCTTGTATTTAGATGTGATACTTGCATTGTCTCATAACATGTATAAAACAAGTGAACCACGATTAAAACCATAATTTAAACACAAAATATGTTGAGGAAATTAATTACTTAGTCAAAATGTAATTAATTCCTTGTCCAACAAGTCCCTTGTTTCCTTGTCCGGGTAAAAGAGGGAACTTGGTTGTCTTTAGGGTTTTAACCCTAAGTCGTTCTCTATAAAAGCTTAGCTATGGTTCTGTCATAAGCAAGCCGTCACAATGTAGTCTCATATTAAAATCGTCAGCCGTGAGCTCGTTCCGAGCTCACTGTGGATTAGTCTCGATCAATCAAGATCGAGGATACCACGTAAAATCTTGTGTTCTCGTGTTGTTTCGTATTTCCGCATCATCAAATTCTACATGGTATCAGAGCGAAACTCGTTTCCTGTTAGGGTTTTAAGCTTCCGCATTCAACCTCTCCATAGGCAAAGTCAAGACCGCCGTCCATCAATCTCTCACGCTACTTTCACAGTAGCCACTGCCGGTGTCAGCCGGCATCTCCAACATCATCCCGGCGTCCCACGATTAGTCACGATCGTCGTCGAAAGAAGAGCTGATGTCCACTCTGGCCCCCGACTTCAGATCTGTATCGTTGCCGCCTCTGCTCCATTCGTAGTTCGACGGCGAAGTCCTTCCCGCCGTCGAGAACGAGACCTCTAGATCTGTCGTCAGATCGAAGCCAAGGTGCCATAAGTCGTCAAGTTGGTGCTTGTTCGTTTCACGCTCTTAGTCTGCCGCTGGGTTCGCCGTGTATCGTCTTTCTTCGAGGCCCTAGGGGCGGCATCGACTTTTGAAGGTCATCAAGTCTCTACCGATTTCAGTCACTGGTCACCGAAGCTGGTTTTTCTGTCTTGCGGATCGTCATCAAGTCAGATGAAGAAGCAAAGGTGTCTCCGCCGCTGTCGAGAGTTTAACCTAAATTTTGTCCGCTTGTCACCATTCAATTCTGCCCAGGTCGTCCGCTAGATGCTCTAGTTGGTCGGTTGCTCATCCCAATTCCGTATCTATTGTTAAACGGAGTCAACCGTTGCGGGCTTGGAGACAGGAATTATGTGATGTAGGTTGGAGTAATTAAAGGTTTGGCGACAGTTTGGTGTGAGTTCCGCCGAGTCAAAGAGGTTACCTTGCTTGTGTCATTCAGCAGGATTTTCTTGTGTAGCGTACGTGCCTTTCATCCCTGAGGATTGTCCAGTCCTTCTCGGTCATCTTCATCAAGGTCCCGCTGAAAGGAGAATCTTCACCAACATCAAAGTCATGGCGTTGAAGACAATCGTGACTTGCAGTCATGGTCCCTTTCAATAGCTAGTGTTGGAAAGATAGAAAAGCTTTCGTCAACAAAGTTTGTCAAGTCATCAAGCGAGGAATTCATGTTCAAAGAACCGATCGTCCCCTCTGCGTTCAACATCGGTCAATATTGAGTCTTCACCATTCTAACTTTCAAGCTGGGCATTCACGTCGTTCATGCTCCAGCTTGAGGGGGAGAATAGGGAATCATCACATGTAGGTCGACTAGTTAAGTCATCAAGTCGACCGCGTCTATCTATCAGTCAGGTTGCTCGGAGAAGCACAGTCAGCAGTGCAGTTAGAAGTCTCCAAAGTAAGCAACACAGTCATCAAGTCTTGGAGTGAGGGCAGTCATGATCAAGAAGCGATCGTCCCCTTCGCGTTCAGAATCAATCATTTTTCAGTCTTCACCATTCTAACTTTCAAGCTGGGCATTCACCTCGTTCATGCTCCAGCTTGAGGGGGAGAATAGGGAATCGTCACATGTAGGTCGACTAGTTAAGTCATCAAGTCGACCGCGTCTATCTATTAGTCAGGTTGCTCGGAGAAGCACAGTCAGCAGTGCAGTTAGAAGTCTCCAAAGTAAGCAACACAGTCATCCGTCTCCAGTCTCATCCAAGACGTCAAGGTAATTCTGCCATGTGGAGTCCGCTATTGTTGAACTAGGTCAAGCATGGAGTGGTTTCATCATTTGTCTACCTCTTCCGCAAGCGAACAAAGTCACAGCCTGTTTGGTCGTCATTGCCGGCCAGAGGTTGTTTGAGTGTTGTTCAGTTTCAAGCTCGACATTTTTTTGTCATCATGTCTTCGCTTGAGGGGGAGTGTTGAGGAAATTAATTACTTAGTCAAAATGTAATTAATTCCTTATCCAACAAGTCCCTTGTTTCCTTGTCCGGGTAAAAGAGGGAACTTGGTTGTCTTTAGGGTTTTAACCCTAAGTCGTTCTCTATAAAAGCTTAGCTATGGTTCTGTCATAAGCAAGCCGTCACAATGTAGTCTCATAATAAAATCGTCAGCCGTGAGCTCGTTCCGAGCTCACCGTGGATTAGTCTCGATCAATCAAGATCGAGGATACCACGTAAAATCTTGTGTTCTCGTGTTGTTTCGTATTTCCGCATCATCAAATTCTACAAAATACTCTATCACTAACTTTTCTTATACAACCTCTAGTATTGTTCATAACGATCCAAGTTGCCCTATAATTAATTACATATCCAAAAGTTTATCTTTCTTGAAAATGATAACCGGATCATCATACATTATAATAGATGAGAGGGAGGATAATAGGAAATGTTGGTGAGATGTCTTTAATCCTTCTTTGATAAGGATTTCGTGCAAACTTCCTTTTCTTTTGTCAAAGGGGGACACATGTTAGGTTGTGGCCTTTGCAGGACATGTACATGGAATCCGTATCACCAATGGACCACCCACATTTATTTAATCGCACTAGTGGCTCTAAGCTCACTAAACCCTACTTTCTGAATTCCAATGGGAAGTTTCTTTTATTAGTTTACATGGCCATGATCAAAAGGGAACTCATTCAATCACCAAACCTAAAAAAAACGTACATATCACTGCACAAATGCGATAATGACCTTCCATAAAAAAAAAAAATAGTTTTGTTGTTTGTTTCTCTTGAAAGTGAACTCATTTTGATCTTATTGATGAGTTGTCTCTACCTTTCTCTTGGTAGTCTTTTTTTTTATTTATTATTCCACTTTGAAAGTTACCTTAATGCACTTCTTGGTTCTACTTCTTTGAGTTTCCTGATCATAATTCACAACTCAATGAAGGAATGTGTTTGCTAAAAATATATTAGTGTGGGAAATACACATGTGCTTGGAAGAGTGTATTGTATGAAGGTATACGTCTAAAGAGTTATATGTTGGGTGAATGAACTATACATGTATTCTAAATAGCGTGTTGACTAAGAGATGTACGCGTCTAAACTTGAAAGAATGAATTGGCTGAACGTATATGTTTGACAGGGAGATATGTCGAGTGAAAAAACTATTCACCACTTCAAAAAGTTTGATAACAAAGAGAAACATGAATATAATTCATTTGATAAGTATCTCACATAATAATGATGCAAGATGTCTCTTGACGTTGATCTTATGAGATGTACGGAAAAAAAAGATAATAGATTCACTACAGTAATAGAGCTTATCAATATATCTTTCCATATCAATTGGAAAGATGATGTGGGTAATTTTAGTGGGATGATGAGATGAGAGTGTGATGTTGATAATTTGATATCACTTGTCACAACCATAAAAAAAAAAAACCCCTAACCAATCAAACAATGAAAGAAGACATTGATTAATTGATCTGATTTTTTTAAAGATAAACGCTCAATGGTCTCATCACGCAACCTCTCCTTTGTTTGTATTCATTTAGCCTAGGCGTGGATATAATATTTTGGAATTATTGGAGGGGTTAGTCCACGTAATCATGGAATCACACACATAAATCCACTAAACTAATGTTTGGATTCTTTCGAGTTTGCTTATGTATCAAACCAAATTGTCTCATTGTTTGTTTGTCCAATTCTTATATGTTTTTTGTGAAATCAATGACATGCATGGTTTCCTCCCACCAATCACTAGATAAAATGACTAGGACAATTGTATGTATTGTGCTACCTTGGGAGAGAATCTTTCAATGGGATTACCATAGATTCCTCACTAAGACCTTGAGAATGAAGATGGGTGATGAAATGTGTGGAGATGGGTTCGAGTACATTGGGCCTGAATTAGGCCATACCACCCCGTTTTCAGGCCCAAAATGTCGTTACCGGTCGGCCCACGAGTCAACGCCGGCGCTCACTCACTCTCTCTCTCTCGTCTTCTCCGCCTAGCAAAATTTTCAGCTCAGACAACAAGATCTCGAGTAAAAAAAGCTCTGAACTTTCGACAGCTTCAGCTCGAAATTTCATTCCCCAGCTGCCATCCAGACTCCACTCACGTTTTTGTGACGGCTTATGCACAGGTCGCCACCAACCAAGCTCGAAGAAGCAAAACCCAGTCGCGCAGAACTTGAAATCAGGGAATTCAGAGGAGAAAGGGAGGAAATTTTAGGGTTTTGGTGAGTAGAAGAAGAAGAAGGAAATGGCGAATCAGGGAGCTAAGAAGCGCAAGGAAGAGAACTCCCGCCACATGGCTAATCTACTCCGTATCATCATCGCCTGCAATGTAAGGAACACACGAAAAAGAACCTATCTTTCGAAATGGGATTTGCTTCATTTACTGTATTGAAGTAGCTGAATTGGGGAATTTCTGGTGGTTGTGTGTTATTAGGCCATATATGTTGTGGTGAGGCTGCTTATTTTCCATTCGAGCTTCTCATGGAAGCACTGGATTGGCCTGACCCTGACATCTCTTGCGTATTACTTACCTTACCAACAACTTGCTTCAATGGCGAAGCCTAGTTATGGTGATGATGGGGAGCTTTTCGATGGTGGGTTTGATATGAGCACTGGTGGAATATGTGGGTATGTCTGATTTCCAGTTGAATTGTCAGTTATGCATTCTCAGTTTTCTTGTTTCCGTCTGTTGCAAATGTTAGATTAGTTGTTTCAACAAGCTTAAAGAGTACTCATTTCTTTGATTGGTCTTGCAGCTATCTTCACGATGTTATCTACATCACCAGCTTTGTGCAGATTGCGTCCATACTGTCGGATAAGTTTTGGTACACTTATCTTGTGGTAAGAGGCTCTTTAACTTGAACTTGGCCGAGAATCAAGATATTACAAGTCCTGCCAGCATGGCGGTGTTGTAGTAATGAACTTGTTAGTTATTATTGTAATGCTAGAGTTGATTATGGGTCTCGATGAGTGAAATGAGACTGCAGGTTTTGAGCATAGAATAATAGTGAATGAATATCTATGTTAAATTCCACATCGACAAGGATTATCATATTGGGAAAAGAGTTGATATTGTGTTGATATTAGAAAAGGTAGCAAGGGGTTCATAGTACTTATCTATCCAGTAATCCTTATGACTGTTCAGATACCGGCATTTGGAGTGTACAAATCTTCCGGATTGATCAAAGGATTATTATCACAATTCATGCCACATGGCTCCGGGGTAATCTCTGTTCCAGCTTTGGTGAACTGCAAATCCCATTATTAACAGCACAAATGGATTTGAGTAAGAAATTTTGTCTGTGTTTTGGTTGGTCAGGGAGCTGAGGAGGATGAGAAGACTCGTAAGAAGAGAGAAAAGATGGAGAGGAAAGCTTCACGAGGCAAGTTTGTCAAGACAAGAACCAGGTGAGATTAGATTAGGTACTTAGATGAAGCTGAGTCCTCTTGAAGGTTACTTACAGTTTGTAGACAAGAAGAGTAGATGCTGAAGAGGGGGAATAGTTGTTAGAAGTGAAAGCTACTTTCTTTCCGTTTACATGTGTGATGCGACTTTTGGCTTGGGATGTATGGCAGACTAAGGGGTCGTTTGGAAGTTGGAACCCGTTATATCTGATTCTTAAGAATGTGCGTTGTCTGAGAATGTGTGCATTCAAAGCAGGGGGGAATCTGTATAATGTGCTTGTTTTGAAAATGTGTGTACTTTTAGTTAGGAGAATTTGTAAATTAGTTGATTGGAAGAATACATCATTCCGGCAGGAATTGGGTTGTAACTCGTAACTGTGAGGAGACAAATAATAAAAGGTAAGTTGGATTTGAAATGTTATGCTACGATGGACTTGTAGGTCGATAGTACCATGGCAAGAGTGCAATCCTAGCATGACGTGTATTTTAGTTCTGGTGATTTTTTCGTGCTTATGTTGTCGATCTGGGAACGCCTCACACCTCAAACAAGCATTGTGTCACATCACTGCAAGTGTAGAAAAGAAGATGTTACATGTATGCAGGAAAAGGTTCATACCTAACACACAGATCATATCGCATAAAATGTTCACTAATGCTCACAAAAATATGGTTGATCACATTGAAGATTGGTTACACTATCTAACCTCTATGCACTTTACTTTCTTCTATACACTATCTAACTTAGGCGCCCTGCTCTTTCTCTGACCTATTTTCAATCGGATGTTTATCAAGTCAGTATATATGATCGAGTGCGGGCTTCGGACGTCTACTAGTTCCCTTAAGCTCACTCGTCCAAAACATTACTGCATTCAGTTCTCCAGGTTCAACTAAAAGTGAACTTGCAAGGCAGATTTCAGAAACCTTGCTGTACAGTCATCATATGTCGTGTATCGGTTGCCAAACTGGTATGATTTCATTATCAGTGACAAGGATGAGTTCTGGCTGTAGAGATCTCGAGTTAAATTGCTTAGGAACAGAGGAGACAGGTACCGTTTCACAAACATGTATACATACAACCACTATAATATGTGTGAATCTTTACTATTTCGCCCGTCTTTGCACCATGATGTCCCTTTCTGTTCTACAATCTAGTTTCTATATATCCCTACAATGCTGGAAACAAATTCTACAGCCAAAACAGGGAAGACTTCATCAGGATCCCTGAAACAGTTTGGTTTCTGTTCCATGGTTATATACAAAGACCAGAAGAATCATCCCCAGAATTTGGCCAAGCTTTTCTTCCTCTTCTTTTCAAAGGAAGTTTTGAAGAACTATGCACAACAGGTTAGTAATTGACAACAACAGCTTACTGAGAGCGTATGCATCCTCATCACACCATTTGAAAATGTTGTTCATTGCCTGATCTGGCAGCTAAAAGATTAAATTCGCGCTCCAAACTCCATTTCGGATCGCTTGGGCCATTGAAATCTACAATATACTCTTGAAAGTACCCGTTATAGTTTATCACTGCAAGGGTGGCCCTGAAAAGATAACATACAGGAGGAAGTTAAGGTGACTTCAGCCGATCGTAAACATAGCTAGTTTATCAGAGGTGAGAAAGAGGGGTCTTTACTACCTTAACCCTATAGCAACATCAGTTGCTGGTGCTTCAGCAGCTTTCTCAACCTTGCGCACAACTACATAGCTGCAGTGAATGGCGAGATCATAAGGACATGGAAGAAATAAGTGATAATCAAAGAACTGGACTAGTTCTACAGCAGCGAAAAGAAACCGTTAAATGGACTATCTTTTTTACCTTCTCACTCCAGCCGGAACCGCTCGGTGAAGAACGTGGTGATAAGCCGGATCCAACGCATCGTTCACTGAATCAGGCAATATGGATCCCAGAAAGCTCGTCGATCTCTTGCCCCTGCTACCCAAAAGAGATTCAACATGAGAAAATCGAAAATGGCAATGATCAGCAGAACTAATAACATTGTTTCCCTCACCTCTGATTTACAGCCATGCTCAGGGGAAAGGCATGAACGGAACCTGAAGAGCTAGTTGCTACAAGGATGTCTGGAAGCTGCGAAGATGGTCCAAATGACAAGGAATATATTGTTGATGGGTATGTTCCCCTACGGAAGCTATATGACTGCATGAGTGAAAGAGACAACAGAGAGAGTCTAGTTATGCCCAATGCAACTATAATTAATGATCAAAAGGAAGCTGGTGATTGGAATTCCACCTTTGTCGCGTCAAGAACATGATGAACTCTGATTATGGTTCCTTGTTCGGAAGCTGTTGCAACGTATGTCCCACTGGAAGAAAGAGACATTGCAGCCAAGGGTGCACGGTGGGCATCTATCTGCAATTGAATTCCATGATATAAGCACAAATTCGCAAGCAGAACTAGAACATTGAGAGAGGATGTGGAATTCGCATGTTGAATCATTTCAAAATAGGTAGAGATACCATTATCAACCACAACCTCGCAGTGTAAATGGACTTCCATGACATTGTACAGCAAAACCGATCCTTTACTCGTACTTGCAGGGAGTGCCAGAAAGCAACCATCCAAACTAGGGGAGAATGCGCAAAGCCCTGTAAGTTCATAAGCATGAAAAAAGTTAACTAAAGACATGGTTAGCATAGTTTACCAACTTCAGTTACAATGAACAAACACCCCAAGTTCAATACATATCGAAAATGCTACCCCCACAAGTCGTCCCTGGACATGGTCATGCAAGTATGTTCTTCAATACAGAATAACCAGTACCTTTTGGATTTGGAATCGTATCAATGGTGTCCAAAATAGCGAGGCTATTCGAGTCGTAGATAAAGGTCTTCTCTTGCAAAACCACCACAAGCCTGCAACGAGTTCAACATACCAAAAGAAGAAGAACAGTGAACAAGCTAGCTAAGTGTTCTTGTAGAACCAAGTTTAGAATCCATTTTTCAGTCACCTTTTCTTGTTCAAGCGAACTGCGAGAATGGAAGTGAGGAAATTCAGCTCACGGAGAGAAGTTCCGGTGGTGGAATTGAACAAACATAGTCGCCTTGGTGATAAAGATGGCTGCTTTTTCACACCCAATTCGCAAAAGCGTAAGAAGATCAAAACTTGCATACAGATAAAACCGGGGAAAAGCTGATACATCCCAATATTTCCAAAGCTCCACGAACCTGCTCACCAGCTCCAACAATGGCGAGAAGGCTAGAGCTATACAGCATCTCAACAATCACGAACGCTCCAACAGCTAAAAATCGGAATTCCCCCCGCATCAACAACACAAATTCAGAAACCACCCCCAACAAATTGATGAACTGAGGGAAAGCTAATTTCTTGATGTGAAAGGGAGAACTTGCCTCGTTCGTAGCAGAGGCGGCCGGTGCTGGAATCGTAGATTTTGAAGCTGTCTTTGGTGGCGATCGCGAACCCACTGCCAGAAATTGTGAATTCATGGCGGAATATAATAAGAGCTCTGAGAGAAGAGAAGAAAGAAAACCCTTCTTGAAGCTTGAGATGATTCATTCGGCTCACCTGCTGTCCTGATTGAAAGAAGCGCATAGAATCGAGTAGGAGGGAGAGGAGGAGGACTGATGAGCCGCCATTGTTGCAGCTTTGACGGGTTTTCGGCGATTGGAATTCCGGGAAGAAAATAGAATGGGTGGAAATGGTAACTGAAATTCTTCCGTTACCAGATGCTTACAAGTGAAGTCAATAGTTCCTTTAGGATAAAACCATATTTACAGGGAAGATGGCTAATTGCATGGGTAGCCATCGAAATTTATGTAAACTTGTGAAGTGAAGCACTAAAAGTGATTCATTATGCTCTTTTTAAAAAAAAAAAAAAAACTCTACTATGTGGTAGTCTTTTATCTACACAAATTATAACATTAATGTAAGACTGCAAATAAGTCGAGTTGAGTTGAATTTTTGAATTGACTCAATCTCAAATTCTCAACTAGTAAAAGATGACTGACAAACTCACTCGAATTTTGGAATGTCCAATTTAAGTTCGATGTGTTTACTAAAGTCTCGACTCGAGGTCAATTCACTAATGAGCTCATGATCTTATTTGAGCTTAGTTCACTAATCACCCTAACAAAATAGAGTCAGGAAAAGTTCACCAACAAGCAAACTAGCAACTGCAACACGAGTCAAATTCCATTCGTGATCATAATGCGAGTAAGCTTGCAAGTTGAGCTCATCGAGTCACCAAGTCGATCTGATGCGTGAGCCTCGCATGCTGAAGAAGGTCTAACTCTAACTCGGTCTGCTAGTAAACGAGTCAATTCGCGAGCTAGTTTATTAAGTAATAATTTGAGTATCAAACGACTTTTTCTCGAGCCGAACGCATGGACGTAGTCATAAGTTTCTTAAAAAGAGGTATGAAGTTATAACAATATATTTTTCTAGTACATGACAATTATTCTAGGTTAATTTTAACTCTTTTCAAACACATAGTTTACAATCAATTAAATAAAAGTTCAATTGTGTGTGAACTGGATTAAGTTATAATATCCTTCTAGCCAAGATTGAAAAAGTATCATTTAACAACATACTTTTCTTTTTCAAATTTTCAAGTTGATCTACTCAAAATGCTATACTTCGAGAAAGTTTATCTAAAATCAACGAGATTCAATCTTCAATCCAAAATGTGAAGTTATGTTACTTCTAATCCATACATAGTTTCAATAAGTCATTTTCAAGTGGGCTTCATCTATAAAGTGATTCCGCTAGTGATCGAACAATAAATTATTCGACTCAACTCATTTATAGTCTATATTAAAGTGAGCATTTTATCCTTTGAAAAAAAAAAGTGAGCATTTTATCCAGACTACCGGTTGGGTTTGGATTTGCATCTACACTTATTTTATTTATTCTATGAATGAGAGGAAAGAATCATCGACTAGAGAAAGACAACAGGATATTTGGTAAGATTCTCTTTATGGGATGATCATATCAGTAATTTATTCGAAGCTGAGAAGGGATTTTGGACCAATACAATTACAAAGTTAGGAAATTGGCGAGAGTCATTTGCGCCACGGAGACTAATCATCGTTGAGATAGAGAAAGAGAGGGAGAGATTCCGAAAACTCTTCGGCAACCCTCCGGTGACTCCGCCGTCGTCATCCTCGGCCAAACCGGAGAGCCCCTGCCGTGCTCTGCCGTTCAATCGTAAGGGTCTTCCCCCTTTTCTCGCTTCAACAACTGTTTTCTACTCCGCTGTTGGCTTCGGTCATTTCTTGGCCTGGTTGTGATTTGATTGAACTGTGATGAAGAGTAGTGCCCGCCGATTGCTCTGTCGCCGATAAAGTTTAAAGCTTTTTCGGCTTATCACCGAGGATTGTGTGAACTACATTCTGTTAATGAATTCTTGGCCTCTGTGCTGTGATCTTTTCTTGTTGGACCTCAACCTGTGATCTTTGGCAGTAGATTATAAGGACCGAGGAGAAATTGAAACATTCTTTATGTTGCTTCCTTTATGCTGAATGTGACTTTGGGAAACTGCCATAACCCTAACCCATACAGTCACTCTTAACGAGTTTCTGTGTATTGTCTTGTGAAAACCTGCTTATTGATGTTCATTGTATCAGATGGAAATTACATGGTTATGATGAATATAGAGTTCTTGTAGTATTGATGTTCCTGCTGCTGTGAAATTTTGTCAGATGGAAGGCCAGAGTCCAAGACATAGACAGATCATCGAAATAGATGCCCACCTTGCTTCAGATAGCAATAACAATGTTGGGGGATACAAGATATGTGCAGAGGCACCCTGTGGCTTCTCTGATGCACTAAGCAGTAATTCCGAAGAGGCCAAAGAACGAACAGCTTCGATGCGGAAGCTCCTGATGGCAGTGGCATTCTGTGTGCTTTTCATGGCTGTTGAAGTTGTTGGAGGGATCAAAGCTAATAGTTTAGCAATATTGACGGATGCTGCACATCTGCTTTCTGATGTCGCGGCATTTGCCATCTCGTTGTTCTCGCTGTGGGCTGCTAGTTGGGAAGCCACTCCACGTCAGTCATATGGTTTTTTCAGAATCGAGATTCTTGGCGCGCTGGTGTCGATGCAGATCATATGGTTGCTCACTGGGATAATTGTGTATGAAGCAATTGTTAGGCTCGTTTATAACACAGGTGAGGTGGATGGCTTCCTGATGTTTTTGGTTGCAGCATTTGGTCTGGTGGTGAATATTATCATGGCGTTTTTGCTGGGTCATGATCACGGGCACAGCCATGGTCATGATCAGAGCCACAGTCACGGCCATGGTCATCATGACCATGTTCATGAACATGATCACAGTCATGAAGATCATCATGATCATTTAGAAGAAGGGCACCAACATGTTGATGAAGAGAGTGCAAAGCCACTGCTGGACAAGAAGGAAAAGGGAGAGAAGAAACAGAAGAAAAAGAACATAAATGTCGAGGGAGCTTATCTTCACGTCCTTGGGGATTCCATCCAGAGCATAGGAGTAATGATTGGAGGAGCAGTCATATGGTACAAGCCTGAATGGAAGATAGTTGATCTAATATGCACCCTAGCCTTCTCAGTTATAGTTATGGGCACGACGATCAAGATGTTGAGAAGTGTTCTGGACGTCTTGATGGAGAGCACACCGAGAGAGGTTGATGCAACAAAGGTTGAGAAGGGGATTCTGGAGATGGAAGAAGTGGTGGCCATCCATGAACTGCATATATGGGCCATCACGGTTGGGAAGATCCTCTTGGCTTGTCATGTCAAAATCAGGCCTGAAGCGAACGCTGACGTGGTGCTGGACAATGTTATAAACTACATCAAGAGGGAATACAATATTAGCCATGTCACAATCCAGATAGAGCGTTAATGGTGGAAGGGAATCAATTCAGCTCACCTGTTGTCTTGTTTGGAAGATTTGAGCTTTGAAGACCCATGTTTTGAGTAAAATGCAGGCCTTGCAATGCTTCAGAAATGAAGGAAGCTCAATGGGATCTCGAGTTTGCAGCCAAAAGGTCAATCTTTACAGTTTACAAACACAGGGCTTTGAGGCAAAACCGCGAAAGGGGAAGATGTATCAAAATTAAACTACCTTTGTACCTTGCTGGTGGTTTGATTTGTGAATGGCAAAGGAACAATCCTGGTCAAAAAGCGATTAAATCTCAAATCATGAGTGGCTTTTGTATGAATGACTATGTCAAATTTTCCTTGTTCGCTCTAGTCATGTTTCTTCAGCTTACATTAGATTGGTGAGTCGTTTATTTTATATCGAGAGCTGCATGGAATTCATGTGTCGAGCATCCTTACTTGGCCATAGCTTCTGAGTCTATCGTAGTCCTTTAATACTAATCTAGTATCATCACAATATAGAGGTCGATTGAGTTGCTTGATCAACATGATTCAGAGTTATGGTTAGTCAGAAGCAACAGGGAAAACGACCTGTAACAGCTTAGCCTTGCAAGTCATCAAACCCCCTTTTGATTAGGGGAATCTCTGATATCTTAGAAGAGGTCTCCTCCAGTAGAGTAGTATTTTTGCTGATGAAAGAAAGATAGAACACAATGGAAAAGTGTACTTCCTACAAATATTGAAACCTCTTCTCAAATAACCACTAGCCAATAATGTTCTTGCATTTCCCCACACACCAAAATATGCCATATTTACATTGCAACCCAGAAAATATAAAACCAACCAACCCACACTACATATCATATACAATTTCATCTAGTTAAGCAAGAAAGATTTGATCTTTGTAGTATAAGAATTGATCATCCCAAAGACTTAAGAGCTGGAAGAAGAAAATGGAACACACTATGTAGTAGTCATCATGTTCTTGTAAATCTGATCTATCTACCTGGGACCAGAGAGCTCCATGGCATAGGAATCCAAGGAATGTTCATCATCATCCTCATCTTCATAGTCATCATCAGCCATGGTCATGCCACCAAGCATGCAACTGCTGGAACGATCATTGCTCGATCCATTTTCGTCGTGCTTCTTCGATGATAATGTTCTCGTGGGCCTCTTGTGGTGGTTGAAGTTCATGGTGGGATGATGATGATCAGTGGTTAGAAGAATGCTGTGCGAAGCTGCCCATTTCTCGGCTAGGCCATCGCCTTCAAGCATGCGGACCACTTCGGACATTTTGGGACGATGGGCTGGGAGGTACTGAGTGCATAGAAGGGCTACTTGTAGCATCTCACCAACTTCAGTCCTGTCGTAGCTGATTCCTAGCTCTCTGTCCACCAACTCTTCCACTCTATTTTCTCGCTGAATGATCTTCACCTAGTTTTAAGCAAAAGGAAATGAATGTCAGTTCTAACAGTTTTACTATACAGAATGTGGGTTTGTTTATGTAGCTAAGGGGTTACCCATTCAAGCATAGCTCCTTTCTGATTGACACTCTTCCCAAACTCAAGGGCTCTCATCCCTGTGATGAGCTCTATCAGAAGGATACCAAACCCAAACACATCTGTCTTGTCCGACGACTGGCCAGTGGAGAGGTACTCGGGTGCAATGTGGCCCACCGTGCCACGTACAGCAGTCGTGACATGTGAGTCAGCATGATCGAGAAGCTTTGCAAGGCCGAAATCACCAACTACAGCCTCGTAGTAGTCGTCAAGGAGTACATTGGCTGCCTTCACATCTCTGTGAATGATCTTAGGGTCACATTGCTCATGGAGGTAGAGAAGTCCCCTTGCTGCCCCTATTGTTATTCTCTTCCTTGTATTCCAGTCCAACGCTGGCTTGGCTACACATAGTCATTGATCATCAAATTCCTCTGAAATCGATCCGTTTAAAACGATATAGTACACAAACACCCAAATAGTATGCAATGAACCAGAGTATTTTAAGCACCAAGTAACATACCTCTAAGCCTCGAGGCCACACTGCCATTAACCATATGAGGATAGACCAACAGCCTCTCATTACTTGTAGCACAATACCCTTCCAACCTGAGCAAATTCCGGTGAACTGCAAGGCTGATCATCTCCAACTCCGTCCTGAACTGTGATACGCCGGCACTACCAGTCACATCCTTGAGCCGCTTCACTGCCACCAATGTCCCATTCCCCAACTTACCCTTGTAGACATTGCCAAACCCTCCACAGCCAAGTATGTTCTTCGAACTGAAGTTATCTGTAGCTAGTTGGAGCTCCCTGAATGTGAAGCTTCTCAAGTTGCCTAGGCTTATTAGCCCCTCTTCTTGTTTATCTGTAAACATATCAAACCCCACAAGAAAACCAATCATTTCAGGTTTTGGTCAGACAGTACAAAATCTATAGTGCGCCTAGAGGTGCCAAACCGGCCAGGTTGGATAGTGGACTGTATCGATTGGGTTACAACGGGTTGCAGGTCATACACATTGGCTGGTAAAGACACTAAAATGCGATGAACCACTCGGGTTTGGGAAGGATCAATTTCACTATCTCACCACTAATGTTGAGCACAGTATGGCTTCTATGTCTCCTTCTATACCAAAGTACTCCAACCGCCAGAATCAAGAAAGTGACAAAGCTGAAACTGACTCCAACAGCAATGGCAATGTTCTTGGATTTGTGCTTCCCTGGAAATGAAGCACGCATCATCATTCGTACGCGAAATGAATATTAGTCTATTACGTTAGTTAGATCGTTTACGCGAAACAGTAAATAGAAAGGAGTGAAAATTTACCAGGAGATGAACCAAGAGAGAAAGGAAGAGGACCATAACTGGTTGAACCAAAACATCCTTCCTTACCAGTAGAGCTGCTGCTGCTGCTGATTCCACATATCAATGGGTTACCAACCACACTGCATTTTAATATTTACCAACAAGAACAAAAGACCAAAAACATGTTAAGCCAAAGTGATTTTTTTTACCAATCAGATACAACCAAACTGGAAATCCCAGGAAACAATGTTTTGCTACACTTAACTTGAATGTTCTTGTGGGGAACTTGGGAACTGGTCCAGTGAGATTATTATAAGACAAGTCCCTGAAACATGCCCACAGAAGCAATAATGATCAGAGATTCTGAGATAGAAAAAAAAAGTGGTACTGAGTATCAGGGAAGACTTTTTTTTCCTCCTCATTTATCTGTTCATCAGATGGTTCTGTTTCGGTTCTCTAGGCACTGAAACGCCATGGAATACCAACAAAAATACTACAGTGGGGACAAATGGCTTAATGACAAAAGAAATTTAAAGCTAGTTAAATTGCACCAAACACCAAATCCGCTAAGTCTAACAACCATAAAATCGTACAAAGTTCGTAGCAAAATTATTTCATAGTTATTTTGAAAGCCGACAACTTTGGAGATTTATGGAAATATTGTGAAAGAATCACATCAAAATAATTTCATCTATCAAGCGGTTTTAAGGTTTAATGATAGACCTTTGAAATGATTGTTAACGAGATTTACCTATTTAGTTCGAGTAATCGAAAAGTCGTTAGATGTAACGTATGAATCAAAAATTGGTCCTTTCTAAATCGAACAACTGACATGCCTAACGATTTAAAGTTTAACGATAAAACCGTGAAAGAGTCTGTCTCAAAACTGTTCCATATTAATCTGTGCAACAGTGGCATTCAAAGAAACTCTCTACTGATATACTCACAAGAAAGCAAGGCGTGGGATTTTGGCCAAGGACAGTGGGAAAGAGCCAGACAAGCTATTGTTGTTCAGCCTCCTAGCCTCATTTCCATGATGACACAACCCAACAAAAACAGAACACAACAGTAAAAGTTAGAATCCCCAAAAAAAATACTATAAACAACAAATGAAAATTGAAAACCCCGGGAAATAGGGCAGGAATTCATATGGATGGTTTTTGGTTTTTTCTCTCAAATACACACACTCACAGGTATTCGAGGGCGACTAATTGACCGAAAGAGTCAGGAACCGACCCAGAAAACCGGTTACTGGAAAGGTCCAGCGTTTGCAGCCTCGGCAGAGTCCCCATTTCTGGCGGGATTTTGCCTGAGATATTGTTGTTCTGCAACAACCTTCAAACCACACACACAGAAAGGGCAGAATTTGGAATTCTTAGCAAACGGGATTCTTATCAGGATGATGAAATGGGAAATTAACATTTTTGGAAATTGAATTCCTCACACTTGGCGGAGATTGGTGAGATTGCCTATCGCAGGAGACAGAGTTCCGGACAGAGATTGACTGGGAGCTCCCCTGCCGTTAGAATGCCACAGAAAAGAAAAAGTTAGCGAGAAAGAATGGAGCTTTACTTCCTGAGCTGTTTTCATTTTCTCTGGAACCAAACAAGCCGATATAGAGAAAAAAAAAACACTTACAAGCCAATGACGAGATTCTCAGGGGAGCAAGTGACCAGAGCCCAGCTGCATGGGTCGACAGAGTCTTCATCCCAATTCTTGAAAACTCCATGGGGATCGTTCAGCCCTTGCCTTATGCTTATCAGAGCATCCACTGTAACGAAAAACCCAGTAAACCCCAGATAAGAAATCGAGTTTGGAACAGGGGAACGGTGAAAAGATTCTAACTTTTTAGCCTTTTTCTTTTACCTTCATGGTTGCGAGGCTCGTAGGAGGAACAGAGTGGGAGAAAAACAGGGGAAATGAAGAAGAAGAAAAAGAAGAAAAACAGAGGAAGGGAGAACTCTTTGGAAGAAGAAGAAGAGGCCATAATTTGGGGTTCGGGAGAAAGGTTTAAAAGGATTAATCAATGATGGAGGTGGTGATTATGTTCAACAGCCATGGAAGAGATGTAAAACTGAAGGGGGTAGTAGTGAGATAAATCGAAAAGGGAAGGGAAAGAGTGAGAGAGGAGAACCAGTAAAAGCAGGGGGAGAAGCAGAGCAAAAGTGAAAAGGGAGAAAAGCCGTTGTGTGTGTATGTATTATTTTTATACAGTTTTAAATTTTTTTACTTTTGCTTGCTCTCTTTCTCTTTTCAGGGAGCTAGCTTTTGTGCCATGCCAGCCCTCTGATCTCTTTTCTTTCTGTGTAGTGATCTTTTCTTTTTCTTTTGTAGATTGCAAGAGGAACAAATGGAAATGGAGAGAGAGAGAGAGAGAGAGAGAGAGAGAGGAGAGGAGAGAGAGAGAGAGAGAGAGAGAGAGAGAGAGAGAGAGATAGAGGGTGTCAGGTGGGATTGGAGAATTGGGCACAGTGACTGGAGACTTGAGAGAGAGATCAGATCAGAGAGATAGATGGACAAGGAAGGAAAGAAAACATGATGAAAGACCTGCAGACAAATATATTTACCAGTGAGTACCTAAATACTCTGGATTTGATTCTAATCAGTAATCAGTGATACAGTTTTGTGACTTAAATATTGGATTTGACTGGTAAAACATCTTATGGTGATGCATTGGAGCCTGGACTGGAGTGATGGCTTAGTTCAGTACTGTGTATTAAACTAATAATTGAGGGAGTAAAAGATACTTTTCAAAGTGTCACTTGGTTGCAAGAACACAAGTACAAAGCAATCAAGGAAAGGTGGAAAAATATATAGGGTTAAAGACACATTTGATCACTGAGATTACTAAATCGGGACATGTTTAGTCACAAGAAAAACTTAATATCAATTTTAGTCACTCGAATTACTGAAACAAGTCACATTTAGTCACTCTCCGTTAGTCTCCGTCCAACTCCGTTAATGGAGTCCGTTAAGTGCTGATGTGGCAAACAGAATTGCCTAATCAGCGCCGTTTTGGGCCGGAAATGGTCAAACCCGACCCGCCACGTCACTAAACCCACCATGTCATACACCCAACCCATTAACCCTACCCACTAACCCAATCGTAGCCCAACCGTAGCCCACTTTAACAAAACAAAATTGGAAAACCCTAGCTCCAACTCGTTCTCCTCTTCTTCACCGCCGCTTCCCCAATGAAACAAAAGTTTTTCATCATCAACCTATCCTCTCTAGTTAATCAAGCTGAGCATACCAAACCCCCTGAATCCTCACATCCTTGAGGCACCCAAATCGGTGTCCGACGGCTGAATGTTCTAAAAAATACCCAATCACCTCCCCGGTCTCCGACTTGCTCTTGGTCACGCTCAATGTAATCTTCCCCTTCGACGCCGCCGCGTTCTTGACATTCTCCTTCGCCAGCTCTTCCTCATCCCCTCTCCCGCCGGGGACAACGCCACCGCGTTGTCATAACCCTGGGACCCGCCTCTGCCCTTTTGGGTCCAAGAACGACGACCCTCTGTACCTGGGAACCAAAAACTCGCAGCTGAAGCTCTCTGGTTTTCCAAAAGCAAAGAGTTGCTTCACCGTGAAGAGGAAAGGGACCCTCCCGCCTCCGGGGAGCTAGACGGTGAGGACGGTGTAGTCGATGCCATCTTTCTCCTTGAATTTCACGATGTCGTCGGGGGAGACCTCGAAGGGGCCTTCTAATCGTGATGATCTTGCAATTGCTGCTGATGTTGTTTCATTGGGGAAGACGGCGGTGAAGTGGAGGAGAATGAGTTGGAGCTTTTTCAATTTTGTTTTGTTAAGTGGGCTAGAGTTGGGTTGGTGGGTAGGGTTAGTGGGTTGGGTGTATGACATGGCTGGTTTAGTGACGTGGCGGGTCGGTTTGACCATTTCCGGCCCAAAACGGCGCTGATTAGGCAATTCTGTTTGCCACATCAGCACTTAACGGACTCCATTAACGGAGTTGGACGGAGACTAACGGAGAGTGACTAAATGTGACCTGTTTCAGTAATTTGAGTGACTAAAATTGATATTAAGTTTTTCTAGTGACTAAACATGTCCCGATTTAGTAATCTTAGTGACCAAATGTGTCTTTAACCCAAAATATATATGAAGATCTGAGGGAAGTTGCAGAAATTGATGGAAGAAGATATCAGAGAAGACTGACATCCATGGATGGCTAGTTGGGGCTAGTAGTAGCATAGCCTCATAGCTCTACCACCTGCTGCAAAATTGGCAGAAGTGAAAAATCAGAAGATTGGTTCCAGCAAAGTGCTGTGTGGATTTTACTTGTTAATGCCAGAACATGGTGGAGGGTTCCAGAAAGAGCAGAGAGGGGAATCAAACTCTATTTATGGATGGTTTGATTTGAGTTGAGAGAGGCTGCTTTGAATTGCACCCTTTTGGTCCTGTCACAGCCTAGCTAGAGCCTCCTTCCTTTATATCATTCATCAACTGGAGGAAAGAAAAAAAAATATAGGAAAAGAGTTACTTAAATAAAAGTTGAAAGAGAATTTAATTTGATTGGTGTAATAAATAATTTTTCTATGAGGAACTGTTTTTTATGAATTTTCAATCAAAGGATATGAGTTGAGGTATGCATGTTGTTCCTTTTGATGCCCTGCCCACTGCCTCTCTGATATTACCACCAGTCTCATCTCATCATCAAGGCTTCTTTTCTTTAGTATTATCTATACATTTCCCCAAAAAAGTATGTGAATCCCTTTTCTTGATTTAAAATGGGAAATAATATGATGATGACAAATGATATTTACCTACAATGTTGAAAATCTGATTCTAGTTTGGATGTCTCGAGCTCATAGTCGCAACAATTCAATCAACTCGAATGTTATGTTGTGAGAGGTTGAAGGAGAGTGTCATAAGATTAGAGCAAGCAAGGATAGCTGTTGAGATGTGAATAACGACTACGAAAAATGCATCATCTCTTATATCGTCCTAATTAACTTGAGTGTTAGAGCGTAGGATCATTTTGACACCCCCGCCTCTCGACACATTTTCATTCACACCCGAGGAGATCGAACAAAATGAAATTTGATACAGAGCCCAATCATTATGGTTCATAATCTTGATCGAAACAACACCCTTCATTGATCAAATGCATAGGCAAGATACATTCCCGACGGCTAGGTGGAGGGCGACCAACAAAACTCTTCTTTCCTTTTTGCAAACTAATAGACTATTATAGAGGCGAATCTCCAACGCTCGAAATTTTCTGGACAGACCGCCAATACAATTCCTCCAACTATACTAATAACACAACTTCCAAAACGAGGTCTCCTATTTTAAGTTTGAACTTCGAAGTCAACTTGACCTATTGAAAAGTTGAAAACTAATCATGGAGAAGAATCAAGACCCTAACTTTGAAGATCATCCTGGATCTAGTTAATAATTAACATCTCGACCAATCTTCGTTGTTTTAATTTACCATTTTGTGTTGTTATGATTTCTATATGGTCAAATGCATGCTTCATTGGTGATTCAACTCCATAAACACTGTCGTTGCAGTCTGCAAAACGACATTATAAATAAAATCCTACTTAACACTAAACAATCACGTGCATGTCTTCCTTCTCAACCAACACCAGAATCCACCCAAATTCTCCCCTCTCAATGAAGACTCGCCTAGCTAGCTAGCATTCATTGTGTATTACGAAATGGGTATTACTTCTTGGCTGGTGTTTGGGTAAACCGACGTGTGTGAATCTGCATGAAATGTAGCTATCGACGGTACTGAAAAAAAAAAAAAACACATGAAAAAAGCTACATCAAAACAGCAATGGCAGAACACACACATGTGTGTATATATAGCAATTACCTCTTCTATATGGACCGACTATGATAACTCGATCATGATGTTTGTATGGTCAATATATGCCTACTAAGACCAACTCACGTGTTTGAAGTTTGCACTATGAAACCCAAATGAACACTATGTAAGATTGTACCATGTGAAAGCAAGCATTGTCAAACCATACTGGAAGTTGTACAAAAAAAAGATAACGATATTATATTTTGTGATGAAATCACGGTTTAACTGTAATTTACCTGTTTCATACCGCTGAAATAACATACATGTTTAGACTCCATTAGGAGGCCGGAGAAGTGGAATGAAAGAATATACAATATCATGGAGGGACATTTATTTCTTATGTATCAATTAAGCAAATGTATTACATAAGTCTTCCGTAATGATTAAGACAATACGTAAAACGTATCAGTGATAGTTATTTCTTATGTACCTATTAAGCAAACGCATTACGTAGGTCTTCCATAATGATTAAGACACTGTGGATCGATGGATAGTTATTTCTTATGTATCAACGAAACAAACTTATTACGCCGGCCTTTCGTAATATAAGTTTGAATAAAAATTCCTTTATCATTAAGGTATTAACTAACATTTTGACAATCTCATTAATTTGCATTACACAAAGGTTTATGTTAGGTAAATTATTTTTACATCGAATGTAGTATTTTCCGTAGCGTAAGTCCGTTATTGTCAAGTGAAACTTCAAGCCTGTGAGTTGATGGCACATTGCAGCTAGCTTTTCTTTGATTCGTCGAGCCCGCGACTCTTGAGTAGTGAGTTGTGACGCGAACTCATTCTCGCTCTAATACCAGACGATAGAAACACGTTTTTAGGTTGTTTCGTATGAGGGAATTTGGGAAAGATCGAAGAAGAAATAATGGAAAGGAAATTAGGGTTGGGAGATTCGTTCAACTATTCTGTTTATTAAACCGAGTAGCAATAGTACAATAGGAAAAGATCGGTGGGCCTGCTGCTTCTGCTTCTTCTTCTCTGGCTCGGAGGAGGAACGACGACGACGACCCTGCAGTATCTTGAGGCGAAGGCGATCATTGTATTGGTTGCGCGATGTGTGGTCCTTGAGCACTTGGTAGGACGATTGCAGCTTCTGGAACTTTTGTTTTGCGTTCTCGTCGTCGGGCCTCTTGTCCGGGTGCAGCTCGAATGCCTTGCGCTTGTACGCTCGACGAATCTCCTCTGACGACAGCTGAAACCCTTCTTCTCCTGAAGGCAGCCCCAGCACCGTATAGTGCTCATCCTCGTCGCCTGCCATGGCTGCGATCTGGAATAGGTTTCGATAGATAGATGGTGCCTGATTTTATAGTACCAACTAACTAACTGCGCGAGGATGAGCACTTTTTTGCGGGCCGCGGAAACCTTTTTCTTTATAAAACTAGTTTGTTGGCCGGGTAATTTCTGTACCAAATGGGTACTTCACCAACCAGTGTTCGACTCGAGAAAAGCTCATTCGAAACTCGACTCGTTAATAAATGAGCCGAACATGAGCTAAGCTTTGTTCAGCTCGTGAAGCTAGCTCGACTCGGTGACTTGTTGAGCTTAACTCGTGAGCTGGCTCGTTTAGAGCTACTCATGATATGTCTCAACATATGGCTAGAGAGCCAACTCAAGTACCAAGTTATGGACGAATCAATCTATATCTTATGATTTTTAATTCATAGCAAATATATATTATTTTCTACTTTAAAAAGAAATTATGTATCATAGATAGCTTCGATACTATAAAATAACACGATTTGGAGTAGTTAAAATTTATTAACTAAATGATATATGATACCAACAAAGTATCATATGAGATTAGCTAACAAAATAAATCATACGTGTCATGATATACAAAATGAAGTACCAAATAAAAGTCAAGATTTTATTAAACAAGTTAGCTCGAGCTCGACTCAACTCGTTAATAAACGAGCCGAGCTCAAACTGGGGTAAAACTCGACTCGGCTCATTTGCAACCCTACTCCTAACCATACAAACTAGAATCTCTAGTTAACACCAAATACAGCAGCTGAGCTAGGTAGGAATCCCACTCAACCGATCAGGAGAAGAAGAGTTTACTCTTTACTGCTACGAGGCTGAACTTCTCTTTACTGCCACGAGGCTGAACTTTCAGAAGGCAAGAGCTTACTTCTCTTATCGACATTATAACAAAAGTACATTTTACGAATCAGAGAGGTGACCCGCTGCTGCATACTTCTCTTCTCACTTAATCCGAGTCAGAATCAGCATCCAAAGACGATCTCACTGTCCTGCGACGGCTTTCGTCATACTCTTCCTCGTCATCCTCGTTGCCTTTCTTCTTCTCGCTAATGATACCTGCACAAGAAAGAACAGTTGAGCTTCATAGACTTGAATGCCACGAGATTGGATTCTCGTGAATGCATACATCTAGTAGATAAAGTTCCTACCTTTCTTTATGAAGTAGTTCTCGATCCTTGTAGTTGGGAAGTCATCTTTACCACCGAGATCTTCGAATCCCACCAGTCTATCCGATGCAATCCCTTTCCTAAAACACGATTCTTTTTTGCTACTTTCAGTACAGGAAGGACCGAGTATACATTTTCAGATAAAAGAAGGAACTATTCTGTATTGACCTGAACAGTATGACGCAAGGCAGAGTTTTTATTCCAAGTTTAGCAACAAAGAAGGGAGCATTCTGCAATTAACACATTACAAAATCAATCAGGATGCTAACTTGCATCAACGAGCAAAAAAAAGGGTATCAGCAGACAGACCTCAGCATCCAGCTTCACGAACTTGGTATCCACATGCTTCGGAGCCAGAGCCTTCAAATGCTTATCCACTATCCTACAAAAATGAACAAAAACAGCCAATAATACACGTTATGAATTCCCTTCAGCCAAACAAATGTCAAGGGAGTGAAGTAAACAAAAACATACTTGCAGCGGTAAAACTCCTTGTGATAGAAGTGGCAAATGACTTTATCACCCTTCGTGACTTCACCCAAGAAATCCCCTTCAGTTATCTCCCTGTATTCTCCGTGTCCTTGCCTCTTAAGGGACTCTCGCTTCTCAGCTTCTCTCTATTTCAAGCACAACCCTATGGTGATTACTTTATAAACTTCAGAGAGCTCAGGATAATATCAAGAAAACAATAAATGATCTTTTAAGAGGTTTCCAGGAGCTATTAGCTCACCTTCAGTGCAGCGATTCTGTCAGCGTGTAGTTTTTCTAGCTCTGGATCCTATAAATGGGAAGTAATCGAAATTAGCTCGAGACAGTGGGAAAGGTACCACAGAAGTTATATAGACAGATGCAGCAACAAACTTACGTCCATCAACTCATCAAGGTCAATCTCTTGGTTTGCAGAAGGCTGAGCCTTCTCTTGAGCAAGTATTTCCTGTAAAATCAACAACGAGGGATCCATCAAGGACTATAGTAGGCAATGGGCACCGGCTTATCAGGAATCATGGACTCAAAGTAGTCAACTCCATTGTTCATCAATCCTTTTGAAAGAGAAAAAGCCGCCTTAGCACAAAAGACGAGCATAAAGTTCAAAACTTTTGAAGGTACCAAGTCTGAACACACCAAAGATCAATCCGGCGAAGGAAAAACAAACAAGCCACTCCAAAGGGATGCAATAAACAAATGATTCACTGATAATGTAGGAACATAGACTTTGCAGATAGAAAAAAATTCCCCAACAATTAGAACGGAACGGTAAGTTCCACTCATCCTAGCTTCCATTGCATCTGGACACAAAACAAGCATAAAGTTCTAAACTTTTGAACTAACTGCAAGGAAAGGCGCACCGAAGATCAACCAGGGGGAGAAGGCAAACAATAAACTACTTTGAAAGGGATGCAGTCAGTAAATCATTCACGACAAACTTGGAAAAATCGGCATTGCAGATTCATAATCAAAGAGAAATGGTGAAAATTCTGAAAGGCCAAACCTTCTGGTAGTCGCGAGCCGCTGCCGCCATTACATTCCCGAAAGCTAAATTGGACAAAGTCGATTTCACTGAATCTGGATCCATCTCTCCACTCAGCACCTAGCTGAACATACCATCAAAAATACAAATTGGGAAAACCATCTCTTGGCCCAAGAAAATAGATCGATTGATTTGTTATCCAACATCGCAATAGCATCTACGAATGGAATTCAACATCGAGATTCTAAATTCGAAGTCATGACATCGGGACTAATAAATGGAACAAGCTTGGTCAGGAAAGAGATCGAAACAGCAAACCTTAAATGACGGCTGGTATTCCACGACTGAGAATTGCAGGAAACAACGGCGCCGGAGTAGGGTCTATGGAGAAGGACGGCGGCGAGTTGAGGGAAGAGTCGATCGGAGATTTGGTAGAAAGGGTTTTCGAACTGGAAAATGAATTCGAAAAGAATGGGACCCGGAAAAGATAAGAGATGACCCGATTAATTCCCGCTTCGAACAATGAATGACCTATTATGAATTATTTTTTTTTTTAAAGTTGTTGGGCCGAAAGTCCAAAATAATTTATGGTTCCATTTGGTCGAGGGATCCGCATTGGAGCCCAATTGAACCACGATGGCAACTCATCGTAACTTAGCGATGGTTTGGAAGTTACGATTGATTTTTTTTTAGGAACGATTGTTTTGGTGAGATAGTTATTATGCATGTATTATTTAGAATGAATCATTCTTTTGATTTTTTAACAGAAACAATAACATGGATTGTTTTTGTTATGTGACAGAAACTATCACTCAAATTGAGTGATTGTTATATCTCAACTTTTAGCAGTAATTGTTGAGTTGGAATTATTTTGTCTCACCTTTTAGCTGATGTGACATACAATCACAGATACCGGACGTTGTATATTACAATGCATCAAATTCTACTATACATGTAGAATATTGTACATGCATTCACAACAATGGATCTGTTTAACAATCACTAACTTCCAAGCGACCCCTTAGAAACAAAAGCACAAGGATTTATTATCATGGTAGTTGATCGCCTCGTGTTTTAATTATGAGATTAGTAATTTGAACTTCATTCACGACAATTTTTGTGTGATCATCTGTGAGGAGCTTTCCAATATGCTTGGACGTTGAAGTGTCGAGGTACGTAGTCACGTAGAAGACCTCTATGAAGTTCGAGTGTGATAATAATGAATGATCATGAAGTATTTTAACAAGAAGAGGGCCTTCCGCCACAATTGTTAGTGAGAAGAATATAGTTCTTTTATGCTGTTATAGAAAGTGAAATGACTTCACAAAATTTTCCAAACTTTGGAGCTTTCTTGCTTTGTTTTCATCACTAATTAATGTAATTATCCACGAAATTTTGTGGGTTGCAGCTGGATGAAAATGACATTGGACAGAAAAAAAAACCCTCAGTTTAAGATCTTGCAAATATCTTTATTCCTTCGTCCTTTCTTCCATATCCGTCGATTAGTTTTTAATAATAATGCAATTTGTGATGGTGATTACTGATTAGTAGCTTAATAGTGTAATCATTATTATCTCCACATCGTTTTCATGCAACGTCCCATGAAGTTTAAAGAACCTTTTGTAGACTAAGCATTTGTGTAGATGGTACATGGGAGGAAGTCATGTCAAACTATTTAATTTGAATATGCCTGCCACTTTTTATTATTTTGTAAACACATGAATATACACGTTATAATTTCAGATCAAATATTAAGAAACGAGAGAAAATATAGCCCCTCTGAACTACACATACAACTCTACACTTTATTTGAAGTTTTGAAGTTCTTTCTTAATTATCGTCTTCCCCCATCTCACCCGTTGAGCTCAAATAGTAGGAGTTGATACCAAACTATTTAATTTTACTTGTATTATAGAAGTTCCTTGTTAATTACTTTCTTCCCCACCCCACTTATTGAGCTCCATTGCTAGGAGTACTTCATGCCAAACAATTTAATATGAACGGTCCATCCAATAAATCAAACTATCAATCCAAAATGCAGTGAACCATGCATCTAGTTTCATTAGAATTTGAGGAAGATTTCTGGACTAGACTTGTACCTAGCATCTCCACGACTCGTTTAACTACTAATATGAATTACAGAATTAGGACGATTTGGTGTGGATCTTTCCAAAAAAAAAAAAGATTTTGTTGAGAAAACGCAAGCTATCCAAGTCAAGCTATAAAGAGTACCATCCGATCAACAATTTGTGATGCAACTCCTCCATCCTCCCTTTTGCCCCAAACCAAGTCACAAGGAAAATCCCGATATAGGGCTCATTTTAAAAACCGAGCCATAAGGGCTAGCGACACATTAAGATCACACTCTTAAGACATCTTGATTTGACTCTCGAAAGATCTTTACTTGAGAGTTTGCTATGTCAACTTTCTGAGTAGTTCTGGTCACCCCGACGATTAAAAACTTACTAATGAAGTCAGTTTTTGATTAAAACATCTCTTTGTCTCGCAACACTTCGATTTCAATGTCACCTTAACTAGCACGAGACATGTTGAGTTTATATGTGAGCTTAAGTCCACCCTTTTTCCAAAACCACCGTCCAAACAAAAACCTCTCTATTACATCACAAAAGCAATAGCTAACCATATCAAATCAGTAATCATTCAACTGAATTGTCTAATGATTAACAGGAAGAAGAAAACATGATGAGAATCAAACCGGTCCCATCACCCATGATGGGTTTATAATGTGGCAAGAACGTTATGCCTTAAATTCAGCCAAACATTTCTCAGTGATGGAAGCATTATAATCACTTTGGGTTGAAGTACTTTTCGGAATCATGAAAGCTGAATTATTGGTAAAAACCAAAGTACATGGAATATGTACCAAATGATAGCAGAGCAGGCCACAGTTTGTACAACTCTTGTGAATGGATGCTCAAATCATTGAAACTCTTGTGACTCATGCCCACATCAAAAGGAAGAAAAGCAGGGATGAAAGAACAGAGAAAAGTAGCAACCTATGTATGCCTGGTGATAATGTGGGAGATAGCATTCACTAGATTCTGATTTCGAAACTTGATATCAACAATTATCGGAGAGGAAAAGTTGGCTGCACATGTATACCATACATGGACCGTTTTGCGACCATGATCAAATCCTAATTCATTCTCGGAGTTTATCTCGAACTGATGATGATGTTACTTGCGCTCAAAGGAAGTCGTCGAAGTTTCACGAATTCATGAGAAATTTATGGATATTATGATGCAGAAATTTGACTCAAATGATAGCCACTAATTCTTCTCTACTACTTGCAACAATATAATTAACTAATTCAGATCAATGCTTACCTTTCATGAACTAATTGGTAATGGTTTTAAGAAATTGAAATAGGGAACGGTCCATTTGGGTAGTGTGATTCAACACGATGGGCACAGTGCAAACAACCCAGTTGGACAAGTTACCCTCAGTCTAATTCCTAACCATAAACATCACAAAGAAGATGGTCAGATTTAGAGATGAATTGAACAAGCAAAGTTTCCAGAAACACATTACTTCATACACATCCCAACTGGAGCTTCACAGGACTAATCGAAAAGAGGCGCAAAACCAAGATAAGAGATAATACAAGGAGGATTGAACGAAATGGATATAGAAAAGTCGACCCTCCTTAAAAAAATGGCTTTCCTGAATATGTGCGCAAACGTCGAATCTCTTCATCATGAGTGATGAGGATCTAGAAAAGAACTCAACATTTGATGTAAATGTACATTTTCATACCCAATAATAATATGATATGACGTGTGGAAGTGAAAATCGAATTCATTGTCTCCTCAATGTTAGTCCATCCAACAAGAGTCCATACAGATTAGATGTACCCATATTCATGAGACTAATCTCACAACTCAAGCAACATGATTATTGGATAATATTGCTTAATTAGTTGATGTTGCTTTATAATAATCTTGAGATTGATTTAACTAGTGGGTGCTGACTATGTTCCCAAGAGGATGGATAGTGCATCCAAAACTTTGGCACCAGACAAAATCATGGCTGGCAATTATTTATTTATTTATTTATTTATTCCCATGCATTTTGACTCTAGGTCCAGGGCCAAGGTTCATGGAGCCCTGGTTTAAGCAAGTGATTACGATTATTAAGATCGTGATTAGATTATGCTCTCGCTAGTATTAAAAAATGTTCTCTTTTTCACGTGAATCCTAATTCAATGTTTGGACTTTGGATATATATAAAAAAATGTAGGCGTACCATATCTACACATAAAATATTACAACAATCTAGAAAGAATATTCGCTTATTTTTTAGATAAGGGTGGGTTGAGCTAATTTTGTTATTTGACCTTGATGATTAGTGTTCGTCGTTGCACCGAGAAGTCGCGAGCTTGACAATATCGTATTAATGAAGCATTTGATTTCAAAATAGAAGCGTTAATTAAATCTAATTCGAGTGTGTCATTGTCGTTTTTCCCCATTCTTCCTACCTAATCTCCATCGGACCATTCAACGCCCAATTCCACAATTCAGAAACGAGGTCGAGTAGTTACATCTAGCTCACATGTACGTTAGTTCAAACTGACAAGTCACGAATATGGATTATTTATTAGCATTTCCGGCGGATTATTCTTTGCGTAATGGACTGCACCACCGCCGTACGTCCGCCGGAAAATATTGCCGATCTCCGGAGGGAGTAGTTGAAACATTTCATTCATCAATAAACTATGTTTTAATTGGGATTTCCTCTGCCTGGATACATGAATTGTGTGGCTTAGCTTCATCGACCAAAACCGATTCTCGATCTGGCTTCCAAGAAACCCCTTAATTTAATTAACCCAATAATTGTGCTCATAATACGTACAAATAATTAATTAATCAATTATGAATATTAAACAACAGTTGTTGATATGGTTCGTCGTATCATTTGCTTGCCCGTGAGGCTGTGTGACTTCTTATAAATTATAATTAGATATATAATTATAAGCTAATCCACTTTCGTAAAGGTTTCCTTTTGGTACTTAGTCTTCCACTACTATGGACAGAAAAGATAAACAACAGCGGTCCTTTTGGGCGTCTAAATGCGAATAATTCATGTGCAAAAGCAAAACCCAATTTGAATTCCAATAATTTCCTAATCTATGTTAGTGATTGTGGAGAAGAGACTCATAAAAAGTGGATATGACATTACTAATAGTTTCTCGCGATTGAACCTAAATTTTGGAGAAAGGCATGCAACCAATCTCCATCTAATCACTTCCTAATGTTTTTTTTTTCCCTCAATATATAAATACACATATTATAACGTTAGATAAAATAATCGAGGAGCTCCTACTGGACTACACGTAGCTCCACTACTGAACTATTTTAAAAAAGTTTAGGTTAAATTGTGTATCGCGTGACCGAACATATGCAGTTATATTCTGGTGTTATAGTAGTTTTATATGGTGTATACCTTATATTGTTGGTCTCATGAGTTTGACCTCCAAGACGATGTAAGACAATAAATGAAAAAGACAGAACTTTGCGTCTACAGACACTTATTTAATTTAAACCTTAGAAAACTAAAAAGAGTCGATATAAAATAATTTGATTGACATATCTATAATATTTTATGATTTTGATATATGGTAAATTGGTGATATAGTCGGTTTTTATTTGATAATCTCGTTGATTTGATATCGAGCTGTATTACACTTATCAATAGTGACATTTGATACTAGCCACTTGCTTGTTGGACTTAACTATAAGATGTTTTTATTTATTTAGAGCATTGATAGATTCAACAAACAAATCAAAAGGTTTCATTAAAAAAGTAAAGTAGAATCAAAGAAGTCTTTTGTTATTAGAAGTTCTTTAAAGACTTTTGTTGTATTGTTGAAGTAAAATCGATTGGATCAACCCGACCATACTGGAGTACAGTATCATTGCAATTTGTTGATATTGTTAGATTCTCGTTCTTGTCTAGTTATCTATCTCAACATATTATAGATTATATGGTAGATTGTGATAGCTTTCTTATTCTTTAACAACGAAATTTTGTGATTCACCACTGTTATCTGAAGCACAATTTACAGACAATCATCTCATCTTCGACAATAATAGTCTTTTGGATTCGGATCGTTATCAAGCTAGACAATACACATGCCCCCATCATGTCCTAAACAACAACAAGGTAAATTTATTAATCATTAGTGCATGCACATGCATCCATTTTCATTATTTGCCACACGGTTCTATTATGGGCTGCTGATCGACATATTCCTCGAGAGATAGGTCCAAAGCAAAGCAATTATCCGAATACTTTTCCCACTAAGCAAAAGAACGTTGTTCATGTAAAGGGGGAAAACATTGCCCACCCACAATGGTGAATTTGGTGATCAATTTGCAGATAAAAATGGCGGAAGGAGCTTAACCATTATATTCGATCTCTCAATTGCATAATATTTCCATGCACTTTTTCTTCCAATCAACCTTGTTTCTTTCAAAAGATATGGCAATGGGATTTTGTTCATGCTAATCTCGATCTCAATTTACAAGTAAATCATACTACTTGTTAATTACACCATAAATTAACCGAAATTTGGAACATAATTTTACTACCAGAACCACCACACACCCCAAGCGGGCGCCGAACATTGAACAGGAGAGGCACAAAACGACAACTTCCACAGCTGCCAAACGGCAGCCACCGCTCCATTGTTCATTTTTTCCCCGTAACAGAGCTGGAGAAACTCCTGGCCAAGACCGTTCCTCTCTTTTATCTCCATAATCCAACGGCCACGATGAGCCCGTTGAATGACCTGGATTTTGGGCCATGCAAAAAGGCCCAACGTGCCTTCCCCACGAGAATACCAATCCGCCACGTGGCCCAATAACCTCCCAGATTACGCAGCCAACAAGAAAGAAAACCTAAATTTCCTATTTTCCCTCTCTATAAATAGGTCTCTTCCCCATCTTCCCTCTCCCACCGCAAAACCCTCCTTCGCCTCTCTATCTCTCTGTTCCATTGTTGCCTCTCGATTCCGAATAGTTATCTCGTTCATCCCGTTCCGCCGCTTGTGTTTTCCTCCCTGCAATCCGATCGAAGAAATCTTCTCCGGCCTCTCGATCCAATCTCCCGTTGATTATGTAAGTATATTCGATTCAATTCCGTCTGTTTTCTTTTCATTCTTTTATCATTTCGATTTCCGCTCGCCGGCGTTTCCTTTGGATGAGATTTTGATCGGAGATTTGTGGTTTTTTTCCCCCCGCCGGAACAGAGAAAGCGTGAATGTTGTAATGGAGACGAAAGGAGGGAAAAAGAAGTCCAGCAGTAGTAGTAGTAATTCCTCCATCCAGTACGAAGCTCCCCTCGGCTACATCATTGAAGACGTTCGCCCAAACGGTGGCATCGAGAAGTTCCGATCTGCTGCTTACTCCAACGTACGTTTTTCTATCTCTTCCGATTTCGGAAAATTCCAATTCTGTTCTGGTTCTGATTTCTGTTTGGATGATTTTGTTCTTTGTGTTGTATCTCTGCAGTGCGTGAGGAAGCCATCCTGATATTCTCCAATCGTTAATGTCGTTCGCCGTAGAGTAGGATTTCCAATTTCAGTTTCAATCTGTCTGTCTTTCAATTACTTCTCCTCCCTCAATCCCTCAAGAACAAGCTCCCGAAGAACAAGAAAGGAAAGCGAACTCTGCATCTCCCTCTCCCTCTCTTCTAGATCTCGGAATTTCAAAATCAAGCAATGGCGGTCAACACCTCGCCAATCGGATTCGAAGGATTCGAGAAGCGTCTCGAGATCTCCTTCTCGGAGGCGCCGATTTTCAAGGACCCCAACGGACTCGGCCTTCGCGCCCTGACTCGCCCACAGATCGACTCGTTCCTCGACGCGGCCAAGTGCACCATCGTCTCGAGCCTCTCCAACGACGAGTTCGACTCGTACGTCCTCTCCGAGTCGAGCCTCTTCATCTACCCGCTCAGACTCGTCATCAAGACCTGCGGGACCACGAAGCTCCTCGCCGCCGTCGAGCCGATTCTAGATCTGGCCGGCTCGCTCTCCCTCGCCGTCGCGGACGTGCTCTACTCCCGCGGCAGCTTCATCTTCCCCAGCGTCCAGCCGGCGCCGCACCGCAGCTTCTCCGAGGAAGTCGCCGCGCTGAACCAATTCTTCGGCGATCTGGACCACAACGCGTACGTGCTCGGAGATCCGGAGCACAGCTGGCACGTTTACTCTGCCACCGTCGCCGGTAAGAAGAACAATCCCTCTCCGTCGCTAGAAAACGACGTGATTACTCTGGAGATGTGTATGACTGGTTTGGACAAGAAGAAGGCGGCGGTGTTCTTCAAAGGCTCCCCGGCTGCGACCGCCCCGGAGATGACGAAACAGTCGGGGATCTGTGACATCATCCCCGGCCACACGATCTGCGACTTCGATTTCGACCCCTGCGGCTACTCGATGAACGGGATCGAGGGGGCGGCTCACTCCACCGTCCACGTCACCCCGGAGGACGGGTTCAGCTACGCGAGCTACGAGGCGATGGGGTTCGACGCCGGCGCGATTCCGCTCGACGCGCTGGTGGGGCGCGTGCTGAGGTGCTTCGAGCCGCGTAACTTCTCCGTGGCGGTCACGTGCCGGAGCGCGAGGGCGCAGCTCTGGGCGATGGAGCTCGTCGACGTGGGAGGGTACTCCCGCGGCAAGGTCGCGGTCGAGGAGCTCGCCGGCGGCGGGATCGTCGTTTACAAGACCTACACAGCCGACGCCACGAAGAAGGCCATCGTCGTTGCTCCGGCGGTCGTCGAGATCAAGAAGGCCGTGACGAAGAAGGAAGTGAAGGTTGTGGTGGTGAAGAAGGCTGATCAGCATGCCGTCGATTGTGGTGCTGGCTGCGGCGGTGATGACATGCTGGAAAAATGGGGTGAGCAGTTCTTTGGGTTGGTGGACGGCGGCGGCGGGTTGATTTGGTGATCCGGGAGCTTGTTCTTGTTCTGTGTCGTCGTGTTTTGCTTCTATTGAGACGTCGTATTATTATTACTACTGTTATTGTTACTGTACTGTGAGTGTTCGTTTGGGCGGCCATGGGTGTCTATTGTTTAAGCTTGGCGGAGTCGGCCTTAGTTGTGGGCTATATGGAATAAATTGTCAAGTGGCCATGGCTGCCTAGTGGTTTCTTTTTCTATTGTCGATATACTGCAAGTGGGGTTTGATATCCAGTATGGAACTCCGATTTATTAATGAAGATTGGTGTGCAATGTTATTTGCTTGTTTATGATTACTGGTTTGAGATTATTGGACTAATTACATGAACTGGACGTGATGATTTGGTGGCTGGGCCTTTAGGATGATGACCAAGAGAGGGTTGGGAGTAGGATCATGTCTCATTGGGCCTACCCTCAAGCAACCATGGGCCTTGTAAATGCCCATGAACTTGAAATTGTGTCCCATATTTCCCTGGGGTGTACAACGTTTAGGTCCATACTTGTCAAATTGGATCAAACCGAATCAAATAAACAACCGAATCATATATAATGCCCTGCTTAGGTTATTGCCTATTGGTTTCATTGATGTTTTTTTTTTTTAAATCAAAGAAATAATGGACAAAATGAATATTTGGAATGATCAAACTGGCTCTAAGTGTACTGATGGTTTGATCCTCCATTTTGAGTTTCTTTTATAATTGGACTGCGATTATCATGGTTTGGATTACATTGGGACGAACTAATTCGTATCAAGTTGATGAGACTAACACAGTTGAGGTTATATGGCATGGACAGAGTTGCGAACGTGCAACATGATTCGAGGTGGAATCGTAATATTCTTTTGCCTGTGTTAAGAAGAAAATGTAAATTTTGAATGCAAATTTTGAGAATCGTATTTGTTTAGATTGTAATCGGATAATCTCTTCTATATGAAATTTGACCCATCAAAACAACCACTCCAAATCCGTCTTAGTTCGTACGAGGACAATTAGACATTCTAATTAATATCTACCAATCTCTCACGTGGATTAGTCATGATAATCTATGTTCATTAATTTTTACCCGTCTTTTATTGAATTGATTAAGTTGATAGGAAGTTTTTTTTTTTAATCACCAGAAAAAAGCTGATGTCCCATCACAAACCCGATATATGTCTGAAATTTGAGTCCCGGCCAAAAAAACAGACGGTATGTTTCAAATCTATCCAATGTGCAAAGGCAGAGAAAGCATATGTAATGTATAAACATTGTAGGACCTTGGACAGTGAGTGCCCTTAGCCATGATGCTGCTGCCCCTCAAACTATGGGGAGGGTGGTCCTTCAATTCCAGCAGTCAGTCCTCTCCTCTCATTCAAGGGCCCTATAAGGCCATAACAAACCAGCCTGACCCATGAAATTATACTTAATTTCGCTGATAGAATATTTTGTACTGAAATCGTGGATTGACCATAGTTCAACCGTTGAAATTTCTAACTGTTTGAAATCCAATACCCGATAATTCTGGTTTGACCGGGTAGTAGAATTTTTTTTTTTTTTTTGGTGTTAGCAATGGACTGTTATACATGGTCTGGTGGGTTTGAATGAGGTTTGATGTCACTTCATTGCCCAAGATGTAACAGATAGAAATGTGATAGTAGTAGTAGTAGTAAAAGCTAGTAAATGAGACTGAACCAAGACAGTGACCAATCTTCCCTCTGCATTGAATTGCTACCTGTTAGGTAGTGGTGGTGTCGATTTATAATTTTTTAATTATTTTTCTATATCTAAGCAGTTATAATACCATAAATCTCTAATTCCTAAATCTCATTTTCTCGCTCAATTTCGACACGCTTTTGTTTATTCTCCAAATCCAACACCATAGCAAAGTAACATAAAGAAAGCTAGGAAAGAGAGAGATATCTATGGGGAATCGACAGTTTAAAACTTGTAAAGCACTATTAATCAGAAGGTAAAAAAGAGGGAACTTTCTTCCTTTTTACTATGTGATAACAATAATAAAGTGAACATCGAACAACGGTAAATAAATAAAATTTGACAAAGAGATTGAGCCGTCCAGCCAATATCACCCCCACCACCCACCCACCCTTCAAATTCTCACCTCCTCCTTCCCTCGAAATCCATGATTACCAAAGGCTCAAGCATCCACAACAAAGAGAAGGAGGAGAAAGTTCTTCTCAACTCGAAATCCTCCATAGCCAGGTTCTTGGACAACCTCCCCTTCATCATCACCATCATCGTATCTCCCATTTAACCGAGAGGAATCGCCACGATTGAGAGGAAGCTACAAAAATGCAGAGAGATAGTAAGAAAGGCTCGAAACCAAACTTAATTATCGAAAGCTTCTTCTGATAGTTGTAGATAATAGACACATTTGAGATCCATAAGAAGAGGAAAAAGGATGGAGACGCATATGCAGATAGTCACGAAGACTCAAACCTAACTTATCGTCAAGAGTCTTTGGTGATGCAAAGAGATACATGTGAGATCAAGAGAGGGAGGGGTAGTGGTGAATGATTGTGGCTGTGGGTGAGTATGTACATGATTTTCTCACCCTACTTTTTGATTTTTGTGATAGGTTTCCTTCTCACTTGTCACATAGCCAAAATGGAATGTGTGGGGGTTAAATTGAGAGTAGGGGGTGAAGCAACCAAATGAGGGAAAGAGAGAATTGGTGAAGCAAAGCAATAAATAAGGAAAGGAAAGAGTGGTGATAGGAAACAAAAGCAAATAGCTAGAGTGAAGAAGAAGGTACATTTTAATTTGATTTATTGATTATGTAAATGGGATTGTGAGTTGTGACACATAAGTTTACTATTTTTACCTTATAAACAAATTTACTGTTGATTTTTTAAACTTTAGTAAAACTCTTTTCTTTCACTTGCTGTAGCAGAAGGCCCTGATTAGCTAGATTTGCACAAGCAACATCTCTGTCAAATGGCCACATCTCCATTTTCCTGCTTCTCTCTCCTACCCTTTTTTCACCCTCCAAAGCTCCCCCACTATGCCCTCTTTACTTGAACCCTAATTCTAGCAAGAAACAAGTGGTCCTTCTGAAACCTCACCACATCATCAGTCATGTTCATTCAACCATGCATATCTAAAAAAAATCGGTATAGCTCGATCGCCACTCCACGGTAAAATTCGTATTAGATTTAACCGTGTATGAAAGATCAAACGGGTAGGTATCGTTTGTTCAAACCAGTTGTGTTTCCACTTTCCAGCCAAGAGCAACTGTCCTTGTAAATGACCATTTTCATGTATTAATTTGACTGACCCTCTCTTGTCCCTAGGAAAGAAGGGCTTGTACTTAGAGTCGAAGCCTAAAGTTTCCTCGAGACAGCCACCAAAAGGAACATGCACACAGCTAAAACATAGCCTATCAATGTACTATACCTCTATATCTTTTGCCTTAACAGATTTTCTAGCTTAGGACTATTGCCAAATGGTTCATTGCCCACCCTAGTGGGAAATTAGGGTACCCCTTAAAAGGGTATTCCTTCCCAATTGCAAGTTGCAATGGGAGTGGGAGTGAAAGAAAAAGTACCCCGTATTTTTCGTGTCCATGTTAAGGGTAGAAAGCTTGGCAGAACCTTATGGTGAATGTGAATGCCCCCTCTTTTCCAGGGCTGCTCCTTTGCTAGTTAGTTGCTACTTACTATGCATACTTCTGCAAAACTGTTCCTTTCCATTCTTACACTTCTTTTGGGCCAAACAAACTTCACAACTTCCAAACCCTAATAAGGGCTAGGACCTAAGTTAACAAAAGTGCAAGAAACCACCCACACCACCCCAAAAGCCTCTAAGAATTCAACCATAGACCCCATTTTGGGGCAATACAAGGCCTGGTCTGAGATGGGCTTTCATCAAAGTTGAAAACTTTGCAGGTCATTTCATCAAAAGGCTAAATTTGAGGGGAGCAATTTTGAAACCCAATAACCTTCATGAGGGTAATTTCTGATTACACTATTACAGCATAAGACTATACAAGGAAACAAAATGAACTTATTCACTTAAAAAGACTAAAAAAGTTTTGACTTAAAACACACAAACCAAACACCTCCATCCCCAATGTGTTCAAAGACAAAGATTGCATATTTGCATGCATATAAGCACAACATAGGAATCTGGGATGGTCGGGTTTAGGAGTGGGATAGAATGGGGGTATAATTTGGTGGATCAACGATCAGTGTTTGGCCACGTGTACGGTCATTAGAGAAGGGTGCAACATCCAAGCATATATGTTCTATGGTGTAGTTCAGTAGTGTAATGTGTAATCCTTGATATAAGAGGAAAAGAAAAAGGGAAAGCAAGGGAGCTTAGATAGAAGAAACAGCAAGAGACAGAATGTCTGAGGAAAAGTCTGGTTTCTTCCAGGGAAAAAGAGAAATTGGAGGACAACACTTTTGAAATTGAAAGTAAAAAGTTAAAAAGGAAAGGTTAAATAGAGTGAGTGAGTGGTACCTGAAGAGCAAAGTAGGGCAGGGCAGGCAGCTCCTAAACCCAAGGCAAACAGAAAGGAAGGTGATTTTGACTGATGAATTGATGATGATGATCTTCTTTTTTCACCAATCCATCCCACTTCGATCAAACGGTCCACATTGCTTTGACTAAACCCAAATTTGAAAACTGGGGTTTAGTCAAAATGGCTCCTCCTAAAAAACCCCGCAACTTAGCGGCAATGAACAATGAGAAACACAAATAATAAGTAGGAAGAACATGAAAGGAATTCTAATGAGCTTTGAATGACAAGGAAGATAGCAGGTTTGGGCGGAAAAAAGGCTTTGAGCTTTGAATGCCAAAAATCCATGTTTGAGGAAAACCCAGATCTTTAAATGCTTCAGAAATGAAGGAGTTCAATGGGTTATTGAGTTTGCAGCCAAAAGCTGCAATCTTTACAGTTTACAAACAAAAGGGTTTCGAGGCAAAAGGAGAAGAGGTGCCCAAAGGAAAACAAAGGTTGTACCTTGCTGGTGGTTGATGTGTGAATGGTGCAGAGGCACAAAATGCTCTCTGTTTGAGCTTGCTGGTGCTTGGAAAAAAGCTACAAACTTTGAGCTACTTGGAGAAGCAATGAAGATATGGAAGTGGAAAAAGTGAGAAAGAGATGAAGAGAGAGAAAGGAAGGAAGGGGATATGTGTAAGGGTGGTTTTATTTATGGACTCTGCTTGCTTGCTTGCTTACTTACATACAGGCTACAGCAGCACTATATAATGATAAAAAATAACAATGATGCTATAGTAATTTGGTCCATTTTCAAAAACCAGAATTCTTATTCTAAACATGAAATAATGAAAGGATTAAGAGCTTTTAATCCCTTTAGGCCAAGTTGATACCTTAGCACATTTGGGCTATGTACTAATTGCTCACTAATCAGTAATTAGAGCTACTAAACGAGCCACTAATCAGTAACAGTCGCAATCTAACTTCTACTAAAGGAACTTTGAAGAGAGAAGAAGATAAAGGAAAACCAGATGAGGAGAAGAGAAAAGAAAGAAGCTCTTTTGGTTTTTATTTGCCTCCTGCTTCTCTGTCTCTCTGCAGAAACCCCATATGAAAAGGTTAGAAAAGTGACTGTGGAGATGAGATTGGGGTTTGATCTGGTTTCAGAAGATTGAGTGAGAGATATGTAAACCATTATATAATTCAGTAAAACAAAAGAGAAGAAACCCATAAAAAGATGGCCACCAGAAGGGCTTTTTAAATTGGAGAAAGGGTTGATTTGATTACTGCATGAATGGTCACTATAGTTTGGGGTCATTGACAAATTAGTGACTGAACTTCAATTATTACAATACTTGTCATTGATGTTTGAGACAACATAATAGTCATTCTGTTCAGATTCTCCCACAAATTGTCCAAAATCAGCATTTCTAAACTTGAATAAGTAGTTAAGATAAGGTCAATGCCATGACCATATAAACTTTAACTAATTGACACGAATAACACATTTTAGCTCATACCAAATTCTACCCTACTAAATACGCAATCCAATTTCAACGTATATCATACACAACCATTACAATCCCTTTTCCACCATCTACTTGATTGCTAATTAGACCGTCCTCACAAGTACTTCATTAATGATTCGAGTAAGCAGACACATTGATATGAAAAAATCTGAACGAAAAACTCGATCGTGATGGACAAAGTAAATGTTTTGTTAGTTAAATTTTTCAGAAATCAAGATTCAATGCCCAATTCCTAGACACCTCGAACTTCAGTGATTGTTTATGTAATAGACCCATGGTAGGTGTGGCTACTGCTGCAATTTACATTCAATACCAAGCCTGCCCCATGTGAACTGAGCTTTTACACAGAGATACACATTACTATAATCATGGGACAATTAACAACTTTCCCATTCACTTAATAAGCCCATCTCTGCAAAAAAACTGGGCTCAAATGTTGGAAATTGGAATAAGAAAGCTTTGCTTGGGGATAGCAGTTGGGTGTGTCCCCTTACAAAAGGAAACCAGTCTATTCTTCATGCCATAAGAAATGGATGGCTGTATTGTACTTTTCCCCCTTTTCAACTAAGTTTGAAATGTTTGGTCACTTCTTTAAGAAATTTGGTCTCTTAATCTGCTCAATATGATAACACCATTAAGGGGAAAGCAGGTTGCTTTGCTCCCCTCTTTTATGGAAGGTATTGGACCATAAAGAGGAAAAAAAGTTAGCCTCTTCCTAGCTAGTTGCTTTCTGGTGTTAGGGAGAGAAGTAATTACATATTGACAAATTAGATCGGAGGATGTGTTGAAGTTTGTGAACTCCCTCAAGTGCAATGACAAATTGACATTTTTTTTCCGTTGAATAATTGACAATTATCCACCTTTTTTATTTGATGAATTTGTGCGCATAACAACAATTCCGTCAATTTTTGTTGTTTGAATCGTTTAGATCAGCGTGTCATAATTAAAACGATCAAATACGCTATCAAATTAGGTACTAGGTAAGCGAAGGAAGGGATTAAGGACGGTTTCAGGTGATTTGTGTTGGAATTGGGACAATGAAAAAGTTTGACAACAAAATAAGTGCTTAATATGTTGGTTATTCTAATTTTCAGTGACCATGTTGTTAAAATTCAATGTTTTTGGTGGCTATTTTATGTGATTAACCCCTCAAATTGCTCTTTATCTTGCATTTAGGTCCTCTTTTTCACTTCCTTAACCCTCAATTCCAAATGTTAACAACAACACTCTTGATCATTGCACCACCTCACATTGGATCAAAATGAAGCGAATGCTTCCTTTCTTGCATGAAGCTTGGAAATTATGCTGGCAAAAGAGCTAACAGGCTGGGCTATTGGCCCACTTTAGGCTCTAGCAACACTTCCGAGATAGTCACTGCCATTAATTAAAAACAAAAAACGTCTCAAAAAAGATAATTTATCCGTAATAATTGCCATTTTTTTTCGTTTCAAAAAAGATATCCCATAACTAAGTCATATTATATTAAAAATATTATATTCTTGTTAGTGTTAATTATTCTGATGAGAACAATAAGTAAGAAAGTAAAGAACACAAGAATTTACATGGTTCACTAATACAACGTTTATTAGCTAATGGCTAGTCCACAAGCGGAAGAAAGTGAGCTTCACTATATTTAAAGAGATTACATATTACAAAAAAATATGACAATACTTCTCCAATAGCCTAACCCGATTTCAATATAATAAAAAATAAGGTTATAAACTAGGTCCTACCCATAAGTCCAAACGTATACAAGTCAATACCCCGTGGGGATCGTGGGCAATCGCTCCTCCCAAACCCCCAAACCGAGCGCTTCACTCCTGGATCTCGAGTTCTCGACTAGCTGATCGAGTCCTATGATTGGACTCACTCTATATATCTTGATTTTTCACTGGCCAGCAATCACTTAAGTTAAGAGAGTGAGATTTTTTTTTATGGTAAAGAGTTTTTTTTTTTTTTTTTATAGTTATGAGTGTGAGATATTGAGGCAATTAATTTGATTATTTTGGTGAATTCTTATGTCTATCCATAGTCCTATTGAGATATATAATTACATAACTACTAAGATTGTGATTTTCTTAATTACTTTATTATTCTAAGTATGATTTATAAGATTTCTTTACACCATCAAAAGATATACCTACAGGATTTGCCTAATATACTCAAAGCTGATAATAATAATAATAATAATTTAATTTACGAAATGAGATATGCATTTGTTCTCATGATATTCCTTTGTAGAGTAACTATAAAAAAAAAAACCATTATTCCTTTATAGCATCTAGAGATGGCAATCAAACCCATGGGTATCCGACCGCCCCCGACCCAGTCAAAGCGGGGAATCTCTGTATTGACCGGATATGAGTAAAACCCGCAAAAAGTTTGATGGGTATGGGGCGGGTATGGTTTTAGCCTCCCCGTCCCATACCCATACCCGCCCCACCAAAAATATTTCTTCACATATGAAAAATATGTGAATCGATTTGTAACCTATCAATAATAGTGAGTATAACTCAATAAAAATATATAGTAGAAATGCAATTAAGTGATCACCCAAATTAAAATCTAATTTATTTGTCTCAATTTTCCCTTCACTCTTTCACTTTTTCCCCTTGTTAACAAGATTATGTTAGTTAATTATTACTTAATAGATGTATCACAGTAGAGAATAATGATTGGAATGACATTGTACTCTACTCTGATATGGATTAATGGATGCTTTAGGATAAGATGCTTTGAATCGTATTAAAAATGATTGTCTCTTTGTAAACTTCACGATATAGTAGGTGCGTTTAATGTTATAATTGAAAGTCTACATGTAAAATATTCCGTATTATAATGTTGGATGTACGGGGCGGGTATTACCCATGGGTACCCGAAACCCATGGGTATGAGGATGGGTTTGCAAAACCTTCCTCCGCATGGGTTGAGGCGGATATGGGTATAGATATTTGAAAGCGGGGATGGGGATGGTTTAGGCAAACCCGCCCCATTGCCATCCCTAATAGCATCTAGCATTCTAGCTAGTGTTTTCTTTTTATTAATCGTAGATATCAAGAAGGTTTACAATCAACAAAGTCAGAAATATTGCAAATAGTCGATAAATAATAAAACCAATAATAATAAAACACTTTCTAACTAAATGACAAAGGATTGTGAAACAATAGTGGAGTTATACCGAAAAATTCAGTGGTACGGTATTTAGTACTGAAAGCATGGTTTAACAGTGGTTCACTCGTTTTTTGTCGTTAAAACTGCCTACCATTTTGCTCTCGATGTCTGATATTTTCGGTCCGACCAGCTGGTACGATATGGTTTCTTAGTATTTGCTAAGTGGACATCCCTATTAAACCGACGCAACATCTAAGTACAAAAAAAAAAATGCTAGAGAAAGAATAATAGAGTCGAGAACATCCTCCATTATGGCTTGCCAAAGATTGAAAAACAATACCGACGGTTCGACGAGAAAAATCTCCCACCTGATGCTAAATCGGTAAGAAGCAGTATTCAACGATATGAAACGATTAAACCCGGTTAAACCACGATTTAGACATAAAGTACATTAACGCTGACTTTTTCCGTACAAGCTTTGATACGTTCTTACAATCCTTACTCCTCCCGTAGAGCATAGGTCACCTCTCCCGTCCATACGCGTGGAATCACCCGTTGCAAGTAGCATCTAAGCTAAGCTAGTTTCAAGGAAAAGGAAAGATGGAATCCCAATATTAATTGATTTTCCAATATCTATCCTTTCTATATAATCCTCTCTCTAAAATCTAAATACCCATAACCCATCCCCACCAAACTCTCCATTCCACACTCCCCACAGAAAGCAGAGAAAACAGAGTACTCTGTTTCTTGCGATTCCATGGTTGAGGTGAAAGGATCATCGCCGGCGATACAAGGGGAGAAGAGGTACGCTCTGCTGATGGCCGCCAGGGACCCCGACTACGTGAAGAAGGCGCACGGTGGCTACTTCAACGTGTTCCTCGCCGCCTTCGGCGACGAGCAAGGGGAGAGATGGGATTCGTTCATGGTGGTCGACGGTGAGTTCCCTGACAAGAACGATCTCCATTGCTACGATGGGTTCGTGGTGAGCGGAAGCCCTTGCGATGCCTATGGAAACGATGAGTGGATCCTCGAGCTCTGTCTCCTCCTCCAGACTCTCCACTCCTTGAAGAAGAAGGTCCTCGGAATATGCTTCGGCCACCAGGTATGTATATGTACTTGCTTTTTTTGTTGTTGTTCACATTGTATCAGATGTTTTAATCGAATGTGTTGTTATGACTTAAAATTTTATTATCTATCGGTCGACCTCGAATTCATGGAGTCTCGTTATTGGTGGAGTCAGGAATCTGAATAAGGGATGGCTTTTGAACTGTGATGATTAAGAGAGAGGGCGGATAAAACCTAGCGATTAATCTATTTCGTGAATTTGATACGAATCTATATATAATTTTACTTATATTTTAATTTTGAGAGGGGAGTTGTAGTCTTCCTAGTTTCAACCTAGCTCATCTACTTGGTCTGGATGTCTCGTCAGCAAGTCGGTGTACGAGCTTATACAATTTGTTTGACTGTTTTTGGGTTTGGTCCGGTTTGTACCTTTTTATTTTTTTCATTTTTAGGTTGGATTAGGGTTAGCCTCTCCAGAGAAGGGGCTATATATGTCTTCACAATCTTTGTAGTTTGTGTCTGCTCAAATATAGCGAAACCGGTATCTCTCCTGCCTGTGGATTAGACAATACACATCATGTTAGAGTCAAGATTAGGGTGTCATCATCAAATATAGTGAAACCTAATATCTCCCGTCTGTCTGTAGTTTAGCTAATACACATTGTGTTTGTGAAATTACGTAAATATACACGTGTTGTCTACTTTCTTGCATTTTCGATTTCCCGTTTCGTTACAACGAAATGCTCGTCCGGCGAATTCTTCAGGTTTTGTGCAGGGCATTGGGAGGAAGAGTAGGGAAAGCGACGACAGGATGGGACATTGGTCTAAGAAGAGTGAGGATCATGGAAGATCTACTGCCAGCAGGGAGCAGCTTCCTGGAAGATTTGAGCCGAATGTCGCCGCCATCTCTATCCATCATCGAGTGCCATCAGGATGAAGTTTGGGAAGTCCCGTCTGAGGCCAAGGTGATTGCATTCTCGGACAAAACTGGGGTGGAGATGTTCGCCATTGGAGATCACATCCTCGGCATTCAAGGCCATCCTGAGTACACCAAGGACATCGTCTGCAGCATCATCGATCGCCTCCTCGACGACTGTTGCATCGAGGTAATGAAATTTCACTGATTGATTTAGTGATGTAAGTAAGTGTTCTGATGAGAATTTGTTGAAGAAAGGGTTTTTGTTTTTTGTTTTTTTGTGTGGTGTTCTTGGTGGCAGAGGGAGTTTGCTGAGAAGGCCAAGTGTGGGTTGGAAGGAGCTGATGAACCGGACAGAAGTCGTTGGGAGAAGATCTGCAGGAATTTTCTCAAGGAAAGCTAGAGAGAGGCCATTGGAATGGAGTGTTCAGTGATCAAGTTGGTTTGTATGATAGATATCTCATTATGAAAGAAAAAGAAGCAATTAGGGTTTGTTTACACTAGCTTTTTCTATGTAATAACTGAGTGCGAACAACGAGTCGAGTTAACCAGTCGAAATCGTACGAAAAGAAAGAAAACTAAGATGCAAAGTTGCAAATCCAGAAAATAATATGCATGCGAGATGGTTATTGCTGAATCAAAAATATTGTAGCTCGAGATGTGACTTTTATAGTGGCCAAAAAAGACGTCCTGCCCTTAAGATCTTAATACCGAGGCAAGGAAAGAATGTATAAAAGAGTGAAGAAAGAAAGCTAAGATGGAAACCCAAAAACGATATAGATGAGATGCTCCCGCGGGTTGCGGGTGAACTGAAACTGTTAATTAATCTGTTATAGTTCGAGATCTGATCGTAAATTTTCGCAGTCCCTTGAGATCTTACCATAGGACACTAACCATGTTACAAGTTGATAACCAACACACCGAAATTCTACATACGGACATACCTAACTTTTTTTTTTGTTCCAAAAAATGGGCAGATTGTAAACTAAGCCAAATGACCCTTAATAAGGTAAGCCACCTTCTTTCTAGTGATAATGCTATAAAATTTACTAGTCAATGAACATTCGATCGTATATGTAGGACATGTTTGGACTGTACTAGGAAACATTCATCAATGGCATTAATATAAAAATGTCGATCGGGGAACAAGATTGAAAGAAGAGCAACGTGGTAGTGATGTGTTTGCATTGGATTCAAAGGAGGATTAGGCATTGTCTCACACGTTCCCAACATGCTCCAATATATCATATATACTGGAAAAGGGAGCTCTGTCTGAAAATCTGCATGATATCGTGGGAACTGGGAAGACATTCTAATGACATCATTATCACTGGTCTAGCACGTAGCATACGCAATACGGAATAGGAATGAGGACGGGACAGGTCTGTCAGGGCGGATATCTCGATATCCATACACGTTTTATTGTAGGGCGGATTTGGATAGTTTATCTTGAAAAGTGGGTTGAGGCAGGTCGTTCCAATATTAGTATGTATTTTGAAATATAAAGAGAAAGCACGTGAGATACTAAATGTTTTATTACAAAACAACGGAGAAACAAACTATGACATGATAAATGAGGTTAAATTATTTGAGCAATGTAGGTTCTCACCTAATTACAATTGAATTATAGACAAAGTAGTCAAAATCCCGATTTAAATCCTAAAATCCTACGATTTTACGATTGTATTTACCTGTTCCGATCGAGATTTCACTATGAAATCTATGGATATTAAAATCCTACACTATTCACGATTTAAATCATTAAAAAGTTTAAAATCTTACGATTTTACAATTCAAATCTTTGGGTCAATCTTACTGATTTTCCCTAGAATTTGCAAAATTACGCCTCTTTTCCTTCTCCTCCACCAACACCATCTAGTTCTCTCACACTAACCACCGTCAATTCACATAAACGTTGAATTTGTACCGTAACATTACTCGTACAAGTTTAGTTTTTACACCATAAAGAATTTTTTTTCAAAAACATATATTTATAAATTGAATTTATACATGTTCAGTTTGTATGATAAAATAATTTGTTAAAAAATATAGGTTCAACCTTAATTTGGACCATAACATTAGATGTATTACAAGATCGGTTTATACTATAAATATTTATTTGGAATGAAAGAACCAATGCTACTAAATATTGTAAAATTCCTTAAATAAATGTTCATAGGTAGTGTGTAATTTATCAGATAACAAAAATTAAGACACGAAGAAAATGAGTTGAAGTAAAATATCCAAATATGAGATAAAAGAAAGAAAAAAAGACTCTCACCAAAAAAAAAAAAGCAAAAAAAAAAAATTGTTGCTCCACCGTTTCCTCCCGCTCACCCGCCGTTGCAGCCACACCGCGTTATCCTTCAACACGTAGTCCTTGTACCCTCGGCCGCCGTCCACCTCGCGGCCGTCGCCAATGCTGGTGACGACCAAGGCGAAGACGGGGAATCCAGCGGCGATCAGGATTAAGAAGAGCATGGCGGTGATGTGGAGCAGGAGGAGCCACCGGATCCCGCAGCAGGCGCCAAGGAAGCCCTCGGCGGCGAGGAACCGGTCGCATTGGGTCGTCAGGGAGCGGTGGTGGGGGAGGGAGGAGATGATGATGGCAAGGGAAAGGAGGAGGGAGATGAAGTTTAGGCCGCCGAGGAGGTACTGCTTATGCTGGCCATGGTTCTGTTTGGATGGTGGGAAAATGTGGGAGAGTTGATGGGAGGAGTTTTAAGGGTTTTTTTGATTAGAAAATGGGAATTTTTTATTGATGAAAACGGTTTGTTCAATTTTGTATTTATGAGGTTTGATTGATGCAATTATGTGATGTAATCAACATATTTGTCTCCTTAATTGTATGTGATGGGAGTGATTATCATCACATTGATGATTTAGTCATTAACATGCATGCTTGATTTCAATTTTTCAGATTTGGATTGAATTTGGAGGTCGATGCAAACGTGGATCAGCTTGGATTTACCGATGAGTATGATTTTAGTAGTTGGATTTTAGTAGTTGGATTTTAAGTTTTATGTAGTTTCGACGAAGAGACAAAGATATGTTTGATGGATCAACTGGAACTTCGAATTTCGTATGTTGATCGTACTTTGAATATGGTGCGTCTTCATCTTCTGATAAAAAGGGAGTGTTTATTATTTTACACGGAGCTTGAGATCTTATTATGAAAGCTGCCACATCACATTGGATCACTCTCAATTTTCAGACGACATTGTTATTATTGATTCAGCTAATGCAACTACGAGTGACTTGATTCGAGGTCACACGAGGTGTTGTCTGGCAGTGTTCGCTTTGAACGAACTAAACTTAAGGTTAGGTATCAAAATTTTATATCATTTCGATGAAAATTCAAACTATGTTTGATGGATCAACTAAATCTTCAAATTCGCATGTTAGTCATACTTTTCTTGGTATGTCAAGCATCACGAGGTGTTAAGAGAGACCAATATTAACTATCATAAATCGAATCAACCGTCTCAAAATTGTCATTATGTTTCAAGTATCACTAGGTCAGAGATTCGTTTATTTAAAGTTGAATGATAATTTGCGTAACTAACGCGCCAAAATTATTCTTACCTACATCATTTCTAAATATAGAACTCTTCATTTCCCTCACAAGTCTACTCTTCTTTTTGGTGAACAACCCCCTTCTAAGTCTACTTTGTGTCTCCATGGCCACACTTGTTTCATGGTCACTATTGTTATCCCAAGCCTAATGACCTATTGCTTACCTGGTTTTCAACTAACCTTTCGAACATTCAAGAGGGACAAATGATTAAGCATATGGTCCATAAGCTGGTAGAAGAAGTTAAAAGCAATTGAAGGGATACATAGACCTACCAAGCTGATGATGATGATGATAAATGGGAAGAGATGGGAGTGAATATCTATTCATAGCAGAAGAAATATCCACCAGGCAGGGGAGGTAGAGAACATATACAGCCCAACATATGCTCTAACGCAGCCATGGAAGTCAAGCATATCAAAATGCTGTACAACAAATAACAGGAAGTAGAAGCAACAAGCCAAAATATGATCCGCCTAAACTACAAACTACAATCTCCATACATCAGCAGCAGCATCAGAAAATGTGATCTTAAGCCTTCCACCCTGTGGTGTAAGAGTTGTCCCTCCTGTTGTTCCTGAAAGCACAGCAACCCACAGAGTAGATGATAATGAGGAAGACGAGGAAGACGATGTTGACAATCGCCACCCGTTTCCAGTCGCGCTTGAGGTTGTCGAGAAGCCCGGCCTTGCAGGAGTTGCAGTTGAAACAGAGCACATCGGGCTGGTTGTCCCAAGCTGCACAGTCGGGGTTGGTCGAGTTCGTGGTGGTCTTGGTCCATGTCGTTGGGTTCACATAGGTGTAGCCGCATTCATCTGATGGCTTGCAGCATCCAGACTGAATAAACAAAGAAAGAAAGGAAAAGATCAGAACTTTGATCAGTACCCAGTTCATCAAATGCAGAGTTAAGACTAGACGGACAAGAACAGCTACTATATGAACTCTCAAGAACAAGCTGAGGCATGCGAATGGACAGAAAGAGTGGAACTTTGAACAGTGTCAAGTTCATCTAGCAACTAAGATAGAACAAAATGCACAGATGGGATTACTAAGAACAGCTAATGTATGAGCTTTCATGGAGCAAGTTGAGCTACAATTGAATTGAAATTGACCAAAATTCAGCCCTTGGATGTTTAGCTATGGTAGTTTTAAGAGTCCACAAAATATCAGTAACTATTGGATCTAGTCAAAATAGATACCATACCATATCTAGATGCACTTGAAATTGACCAAAATCCAGCCCTTAGATGTTGAACATTTGCTGTGTATCACAGTCTAAAGGTTCTTAATTGGATTCACTCTAAAGAGATACAGGATTTCAATAGCTTAATGAACATCCCATGGAGCACTTTTGAGCTAGAATCCCCTAAAAATTTACCAAGATCCAGCAATTAGATGGTTAGCCATTCTGTTGTTCAGAGTCTAGCAAGTTTTTCAATCTCTATTCGATCCCAATTGCTGCTCAATATCATCAAGTATACCTAAATTCAGCACAAGAACAATTTCACAAGTTTCTGAGGGGAAAAAGTTCATCCATAGTTAATCCATCGCTTTCCCCCAACTAAAAGCAACCAAATCCCTAAAAAGTTCAGTAAAGGGAAGAAGAAAAAGCAAAACCACCAAACGAATTTTGAAAACCCAGAAAGCTAATCGCCTTTTTCCCCCATTTCTTTACCTGAAGAGCGTTCAATCGCTCGGTGTAGAACTGCTCGACGGAATCGGAAAGGTAAGTCTCGTTGAACTTGGAGCAGACTTTCCCTTCAATCAAGCAGCTCCTGATCTTGTTCCAGTTCTTCCCCCCGGTCACCCTCTTCTGCAGCCAATTGGAGTAATCCCCCAATTTATACTCCTTGTACCCGCGGTCAGATAACACCTGGCCGGCGCCCTTGTTGGTGACGACGAAGGCGAAGATGGTGAAGCAGAAGAGCAGCACAATGAGGAGGAACATGACGACGAGGTAGATCCAGAGAAGTAAGGAGTTCTTGCAGCAGGCACCGACGAGTCCCGCGATGGAGACGAGCATGAGGAAGACGCCGATGACGATGACGGGTGTGTCGAGGAACCGCTCGCACTCGGAGCTGCCGTGGTTGCGGAGCCAGGCGCCGGCCCAGATGATGGGGATCGAGAGGAGGAAGGTCACGAAGTTGAGGATTCCGATCAGGTTGTTGCTCAGGCGAAACATGGTGGCGATTCTTTTGGGTCTGTGTGACTTTTTTGGAGAGTGGTTTGGTTGCTGAGAAAAATGTGTGTGGGAAAAATCTGCAGAGGTGAAGTTGGGTTATATATTGGGAAGACTAGAGAAGAAGGAAGTTACGGCGAAAGAATGAACGGTGAGAGAGACGGTTATGGGCTCACGCGCTAGCGGGACGCGTATTGATTGGACGGATTGCCGGTAGATGTTTTATTTCCATTATCATCCTTTTAGTTTGCTTAATTACCATTTGAGTCCTTTTTTTCTTTGCCCACAACGGTTTCAATTGTTGGGAATTGGGATTAGCCGATTAGCTTAAACGGCTAGTGAAAAAGAGTGAGAAGAAAGGAAGGGATTTTTCCAGAAATAGCACTGTTTTAAAAAAAAATTCCAAAAATAGCACCTAAGTCCGAAAAAATCCAAAAATAGCACCATTTTCCAAAAACCGCTCCCTACCAGTGCGGTTTAGGCGAAAACCGCCACCCAGGGCGCGTTTTTCGATGAAAACCGCACCCCAGGGTGCGATTTGGTTGCAGATCGCACCCCCAGGGTGCGATTTGGTTGCAGTTCGCACCCCCAGGGTGCAATCTGCTTTTATTTTTCTTTTTTTTTTTTTAAAAATCCTAACCTAGGTGGAAACTTCAAACGGACGTATCTTTGTGTTCGGGTATCCGATCGTCGCGAAATTTTTTTTGATTCCGCATAACTTTTTGAGATCTTGCAAGCCGAAGGTGGTTTGATCCTGCCTTCGTACTAAAAAATGTCGTTTGCTACCCCGAACGAGCTTTTTTCCGATTTCGTCAAACTTTGGACAACCATAACTTTGTGCTCCAAAATCCAAACAACATGAATTTTTTTTTATTTCGCATAACTTTTTAAGGACTACAATTTTTACTAGAATGAATTTTCAAAACAGGAATTATTTTTGGATATACAGGATTTTGGGAATAGCTTACCTTCCCTTCTCAGCAATCCACGTACATTTTGAAATTGTGTCTATGATAAAAGTTGTAGTCCTTAAAAAGTTATGCGAAATAAAAAAAAATTCATGTTGTGTGGATTTTGGAGCACAAAGTTATGGTTGTCCAAAGTTTGACGAAATCGGAAAAAAGCTCGTTCGGGGTAGCAAACGACATTTTTTGGGATGAAGGCGGGACCAAACCACCTTTGGCTTGCAAGATCTCAAAAAGTTATGCGGAATAAAAAAAAAATTTGCGACGATTGGATACCCGAACACAAAGATACGTCCGTTTGAAGTTTCTACCTAGGTTAGGATTTTTCAAAAAAAAAAAAAAAAAGCAGATCGCACCCTGGGGTTGCGATCTGCAACCAAATCGCATGGTGGGGGTGCGGTCTGCAAAACCGCCCCCTGGGGGTGCGGTTTTCATCGAAAAACGCTCCCCTGGGTGGCGGTTTTCGCTTAAACCGCACTGGTAGGGAGCGGTTTTTCAGAAAGGGTGCTATTTTTGGAATTTTTCGGAGTTGGGTGCTATTTTTGGAATTTTTTTTTTAAAAGTGCTATTTCTGGAAAAATCCCAGAAAGGAGGGAGTAACGTGTTTCGTGGTCATAATCTTTCCTAAATGTGTGTGCATATTTTCTCCTAAGCAATCTATATTGCACCAATACTACGATTTCCCCGGAACATGTTTCGTTAAAGAGTGTCATTATCGAAATATATTTACCATCTTATAATAAGTATTTTTTTCGTCATTCATCGTGTTTTGTTTCGGTTGGGAGTAATGGATGACGCAACAGTCTGATTTCACTCAATCACTTGAAGATTGTCTTATAATAGAAAATAATATCTAGAAAATCGGACAAATACGAGTTTTGGGTACTAAGTTACTGGAATTGACTCAAATGCACGAGTTGATTAAACGGGAAATCTAGACCCTACCAAATGATGTCCCTTAACTTGCCACGACAGAAAGAAAAGGAATCTAGTCGTAAAATACATCAAATTTGAGTATACATTTTCGACGTCAGTTATCGTGCACGAACAAGTAAACGAAAACTTCTTTCCTCCAAGTTGGATATCTCTATGCAAGCGAAATCGGTGCATTCGAATCTGTAGCAAGACAACAGTCAACCGGCATTGGCCTGATCCTAGATACAATAACAATGGCACAAGAAAGAGCGAGTGGATGATTCCTACGAAGGAAACAAAACAACCAAATAATATTATTGATCTCATTTGTGTTATTAAATAAAAAAAGATCTCATTTGACCTCATGGGTAAATGACTGAACTTTCTCTGTCGTCTTCAATGGAAGAGATCGTTGTCATCCTGATAACGATAATAAAAAAATCAGAGCATTTGAACTTGTCAGACTCCCAACGGAGCAGAGCTTTTTAGTTTTTACAAATGAAGAAAGTTTTCGCTTTAGCCAAAAAGAAAGAACAACAGTATCAAAAGGAGCAGAACTTTCTCTGTCGTCTCTGCTCGAAGGAATCCAATCCATGGAGTTCAAGCCACGCGGTGCTGTTGGGTTTGTGGTTTCGGTTTGGTTGCTGCCTTTTGACCGTTTCACTGGGTTACAGATATCAATAGGCATACTTTCTGCATAGATTAATCTGGCACGAAGTAGCAAATGAACAACAGTATGAGCAAAAAAGATAAACATTACAACAATCTACAGTCAGTAAAACCACTCCTGCTTGATAACATTGTCGAGAGATCAACTTGCATTCTTTCTGCATACATTAATCAGCCAGGAGGAGATTCTAAATTCACCTAATTAATCTATTATCTACACAACACAGGGAGCATAAAGGGTAGTGTGAGACACCCAATTAAATAAACAACATTCCTTCTTTCCTCCAGGAAGTGCAGTTCTCCACCTTCTACTTGCAAATTGCTCTCTCTCCGTTATTGATCATGGTGGCCAGCGCCACTACTTCCACCTACGTCATTGCGACTCCTGTACGACTTCATCATCTGGTCACCAGCTGCCCCGATACCCGGATGAACGAGAGGCCTTCTATATGAATCGACATACGTACCATTACCTAGTCCATAGTTAGCAGCGGATGGAGCTCCTGCAATGGCCAAAAGATAAGGAGAAGAGCTAAAGAGGGAATAACAAGCAGCTAGATGGAGTAGGCTATAGCAAGTTATGACTCACCACCACGGGCTCTCTTCTCGGCGTTCAAGATTTCGGCATATATCTTTTCCACATCGCTTGCCATCTCAATCAGGTTCTTCTCTGCCGATTTCAGCTCCTCCACTTTGGCCAAGTTGAACCCTTTCTCGTACGTAAATGTGTCCCTTCAATTTAAGCAGACAAAAAGAGCACTCAGTTGCGGCATAAAGTTCAAAGTCTAATCACTTAATCATGGTTATATCATTATGTTAGGGTATTCAAGATCATGCTGATTACTCGAGGGCTTCAGACTCCAAATTGATACGTTGTAAGACCGATAAGTATACAGAAACAATCGGGAGAGGCATTTTTCTTCCAAGTGTTATGAGTAACTTTTCAAAACAATTGGAGTAATCATAGCCGTTACAATTAGCTCTGGATTTGTCTACATTGCTGATATTGTCAGTTTTAACACTTAATCTATGTACACAATTAGGAGTAGCAAACAAACATTATGAGCAAAAAAGAAAACTTCATTCAATGAGAAAGGGGGAACTTCTCACCTTAGTCTCTTGTACTCCTGCTTCAAATCATCGAGCTCGGCTTCTGGATCCGGAAAGCTCTTGAACTCTCCACGAATAGTTTTCAATTCATGGGAGGCCTGCTGAATTTTGCTAATTAGCTCCTTTCTATCCCTGACCAAGTTCCGTGCCTCGTGATGCGCCTGCTTAAGATCTTCCTTCACATTTTCAGCAGCCCTAATGTCTGCCTCCCTTTTCCCAATCTTGTCCAACAAAACCCTAATCTGAATATCGCTCTCTGTCTGGATGCTCCTGATGTGTGCCTTGAGTTGCTGTGCCTCGTTTTGGACAGCGACCAGATCCTGTTTCAACGCTAGATTCCCTGCTGCCAATCTTTGATTATCACTAGTGAGTTGCGCGATATCAGCAGCCTGAGCCGCAACTTTGTTCTCCAAGCGACCTGGATGAGACAAAGGATCCAACACACGTACACCATTCGGTAATGACCCGTGTCTCAACATCCCGGGAGCTTGAAGAGAAGAACGTCCATCTAACTTAGGCGGATGATGCCCTCCTCCAGCCATTAATATGAAAAACACCTTAGCTTCCGACCCGCATTATGGCTTGAATTTGCACATACAACCCAAACCCTGTTTAGTCACAGTGTTGAAAGGAAACAATAAGCAAAAGTACACGATTCTGCTTGAATCGTAAGGATTTCCCGGGTAATAATACTCGCCCAGAAAACCATTTTCGGGCGCTTGGGGTAATGACGCAGCTAGTGACGTGATAACTGAGGAACGCCAATCGCTGGTTGAAAACCATTTTCGGAACTAGCAATGAAATAGTTAACTGTTCCAACAGGAGCTTGGGGGTTTAAAGACCCCTGAATGACCATCAAAACAAGGTATGTGATATATCTTCTAATACAAAAAACCGTGAAGGAACAACACTGCAATGGGGAACTCTGGTATTTAGAAAAAGTTCGAATCTTTACCAAATTTGGGACCATTCAGACAAAACCCACCAAGGAAAATTAAGAATTTTAAACCACTCCGGCAAGCCAGCAAAAACTCCGAATTCCAATTCAGACACGGGATAATTTCAGAGGGTAACATCACCAGCGAGTAGAACTGAAATCCCAAAACTTCAATTCTCAATAAAACTAAGCAAACGTAAGACTAGAGCACTAATTCAACACGAGAAGGGCAAAACGTTGAAGCTCTTCAGCGGAAAGCGAATATGCATGAGAGAGTTGGAGAGAGGGTACCAGCTATTAAGGAAGTGCCGGCGGGTTTGAGAGAGAGGGAGGTGGCTTCAGAGGGCGGCGACGACGGTTTCCGAGGGACTAATTTGGCGGAGGAAGAATCCCGGAGAGAGGAGATCAGCAGCAGAATCCCTCGTCGGAGCTATTCCTTCCCACAGAAAGGCATCGACGATTTGACCGAGACGCTCTGTTGTTATATTCGGCCCAAGCCAAGCTCAAACAACATGGGCCTGTTGGCCCAGCCCGTCACTATGGAAGTAATTGGGAGACGGTACTGCTAAGTTATAAATCGGTCCATTGCCGCCTTTACCATAAATTTTTTTTTTTTTGCCGGCGGTGTGCCAGTCAAATTTTTTTTCACCCTTGTTACGTATAATGTTTAGATCATCTTATTGAATGCTAGTTCTTTGTTGTGTGTTCATGTGTGGAGATGGAAAAACATATCAATCTTAGCTACTAAAAGGGTGAAATGCAGTAGTAGCGATTAGAGTAGTTAATAGAGTTGTAATACCAGATTGATGGGATAAGGAAAGAATACGAATTGAGTTTTTTGGCAGTTTAATTAATTAATTTTTATATTAATTAATTAACGTTTGAATATTATGAAAAGAAGTGTTCTTCCTTCCAGAAAGGTAACTCCCTTTTCTCTGTGAAAGGATGTGACATTTCGGGGAAAGTAACTACATTTTCTATGAAAGGATGTGTCTCTTCGGAAGATAACTTCCAGTTTCACAAGTATAAATAGATGACTGTCATAACTCATTTTAACATGATAAGAGAGATTACTTCTTCTTCCCATTTTCCTTCTCTATTTCATAAACACAAAAGTCTGCAAGATTGCTGTTTCCAGACTTAAAATTGAAGGGACTCCTGGGGGTACTGGTTTGCTCTAGCCTACCAGCAATTTTTAGTGGGGACAAATAACACTCTAAGAAGAGTGATCTAATCACGTCTTCAATTCAATTCTTTCCTACCTCCTGACAGTAGCTGTTGCGAGTCTGGATTGGTCACCATAGTTGCTTGAAGCTTGAGCATGATAACATGTCATTCCACTCATATAAGTAAACGAGTAGGCAAGAATGGAGCAGAAGATTTGGGACACGTGTTCAAGATTTCCATGGCCTCAATTGATTGCTTGAGCTTTGATATTCCAGCCATTAGTCACCCACGGCCACTAGCTATGAAGTACTGCAAATTCTGAGCAAGAGAACATTCCCTATGGCCACTTATGCTTCAAAATCGATCTGAGCAATTTTAGGGCATTATATTCCCACTAGTACTCCACTGCCAACTGTTTTATCGGCAAAAAGGGAAAACGATGTATGTTCATACTATGTCGACGTGCTCATAAAGTCAATGTTTACCAACCCAATCAACTAAAAGGACAAAGGAAGATTAGGAGATGATGATATTTACTAGATCATGTCAATTGCTAGTAGTGATCATGGTATGAGTAGGCTTTCATGTCAATATTGTACATGACTCATTGATTAGGTCACGCATTAATGGTGGACTTATATTACTCTGACATTCTCAAGTCGATGATTATGGTGCTGTAACTTATAACATGTTCAAAATTCAGGGTTGTGCATTAAACATCAAACTCAATTCGTATATAGTTATCAAGGGTTCCTGATTATTCTTCCAACATGATTCTAGATAGAATAAAAAAAAAATGAGTTCTAGGATTCTGACCAGGTTTCATCCCCCAACAATTTATCGAGTAGAGTGAGATCTGTAAGAAGCAAACACGGATTACTCGCTAGTATTTGTGCTCCGACGTTAAGTCAGGTGTGAAAATGATACAAACATGCAGAGTAAAAAATATTGATAAACTTGTATGAGTAGGAAGAGGAAGAATTCAAAAATGGCATGAATTGTATCCATTTGATTGTAGTTTCTTTCATATTGCAATACCATTTAATTTCATGCATGTTGTAGCACATTTATGCAATTCATGGTAGTAAACCAATGGAGGTTTAGCCGTTTAGGTGTACAATATACAACTAGCTACCTAGTTAGCAACGTGCATGTTTAAGAAAAGACTAAACATTTCCCCTCCTTTTTAGTACCCTTCCCACTCAATGCAAGATTATTGGCATTACCATGAAAACCAGGAGATTTGCCTATCAGACTCCCACTTTCCATGGCCAGCAATGGAGATTCATGGGCCGGTGCCGATCTCCCACAATATGCTGTCCACCATTCCTGTGGCTCAAAACAAATGAATGCCCAAGTCGCCATGAATTAATATAGGAAAAAAATTCGATGCAAAGCCTACAAAATTTTGTGTTTTTATCGCTCCTTGTAAGATTCGTATTCTAATCAGGATGGGCAATGTATTAATTGGATTTGTAGGTTTTGCATATTTGGATTTTGCATCGAAGCATATGTCACGCTATACCATTCTTTAGGTTACAAATTAGATGTATGGGTCTTTCTCTTATAACTATTGTTATCCTCAAGACCTTAACACCTGATTGTCCAAGTATATGACTTCATAAGAAGCTAGTATTGAGTTATATCCACAAATATATATGGATGATTGTCCGATATTTTTCTCCTAAGTTAAATGAAAGGACCACATTTATTATGTTATATGACAGAAAAAAACCCTTTGATATTAGAACTTTTCATTCTACTTTCTAAAACATAATTTCTTCATTTGAATGTGATGATTCAATCTATATCGAGTTATTGGAATAAATCCATTTTTTAGCAAATCACATAACAATGCAAATCCACGCCTACCATTACATGGTGTTGCAAAAGCAAACACGTAGTAGTGACCTCTCCACGCTTGCTGCCTCTTTACTATTCCCACTAATCATTATAATATGGACCAGTTTTTCCCACTTCTAGAGCCTATATATATGTGTGCTCTTCCACTCCATGTCTCTCACAAAATAGAAGCCTATCAAACATTGAACCTTGTTGTTTCTTCTCGAGGGTTTGATCTAAAGATGGCTAGGTTGAAGTGTTTAGCTCTTTTGGGTTTGCTAGTTGCTAGCTTATTGGTTGGGACCACCGAGAGCCGGGTAGCAAGGAAGGACTTGGGCCTGGACCTAGGAGGGTTAGGGCTCGGAGTTGGAGTCGGGTTGGGGATTGGGCTTGGCGGCAGTGGGTCAGGCTCTGGAGCAGGAGCAGGGTCATCGGGCTCGTCCAGTTCGAGCTCTAGTAGCTCATCTTCATCATCGAGTTCTGGGTCGGGTGGTGGTGGATCTGGTGCCGGGTCTGAAGCCGGTTCGTATGCTGGATCTAGGGCTGGGTCTGGATCGGGGTCGAGGGGGAACGATGGTGGAGGGTCTGGTGGTGGAGGTGGCGGTGGGCGTGGGGGCGGAGGTGGTGGAGGTTCGGGCGAAGGAGGTGGATCCGGGCATGGGTCGGGCTATGGCGAAGGATCCGGGTCGGGCAATGGACATGGGCGGTGATCACATAGAGAGGGTGGTGCCAATACAAGTGAAACTATGAATATGAATAAAGGCTAAAAATTGTGAGGTTGTGTTTTGATTTCTAGCTCTTTGTTGTACCAAATAAGTGTGTGATTTAAGTGTGTCAAATCATCATATATATAGCACCTTTTGACTTTGAGTTTATATATGTTAATTTGCTATTTTGCTTGAACTTGTGGGCTTAATTATGTGCCTAATTAGCTTTTGTATCCGTCTTAATGTATCCCTAAGCCTTAAGTGACAAATTAATGGATCCTTTGTAAGTCTTATTACTATTCTGTGAAAGGCATCACTTTTCATGGGCCACACCAAAATCGGCCCACATCCTCCATTGAGTTCCTCAATAGCCATAGCCCTGGGTAACATGTAATCTCATTGAGGTGACCAAGCTGCAGGATGATAACTTTGTTATGATCAGTTTAAACTCTGAATATATTATAATTTTCTTTTTTTCTTATCTCGTTTAAGTCTTTCACAATAGGACCAGAACAGTGACAACCAGCCGACATGAAGCAGTTATATACATGCCCAAGTTCCATAGCTTATGGGGAGTATGGTGATGTTGAGATGCTGACTCATGATCTAGCTCGTCGTTCCCCGGCCCGTTGTTTGTCTTTCGACGAGCGAGTTAGGTCTTGGATGAGGGGTTGATTGTCTAATAACTTGTCACATGTTTAGTGTTGGTTTACTATATGATCTATATTTTATAATCTAAAATAAAATATCGAGGATGCTACATGCAACTACGCAACTAACCCTTAGTTACTTTAGCTAGCTAGCTAGCTATCTCCACCATCGATTGATTTGTTATCCCGGCTCGATGTTTCTACTTAGAACTCAATTTGGATATGCATAGATGCACTATAACTTTTTGTTGAAATCAACGGGTAAATGAAACTACGATGACTTGCAAGTCTCAAAACTTTTAATAAGAAATCTTTTAACCAATGTACCGCCAATCCAATTTATTTCAATAACCCGGGAATCATTTGAAAACCGTCAATCCAATTTATTTCAATAAATCGAGAATCATTTGAAAATCTTACATGAATATTCCAATGACCCGAGAATCATTCCATAAGTAATTTTTAAATGGAATATGATTGATGAAACATGACAACTATTACTTCTGGAATTCATCACAACCGTTTCCTTTTGTTAATCATCCATTAGCACGATCCATGCACATGTTAGACAGATCCACAACAGCGTGTTTCCAGCAACTATTACTCTTCTTTCTTTCAGTGAATCCAGACCACAAATAGGGCTCAAAATAAAAAAAGAAGTTTAGTTAATCATATTCTTATTAATTAATGGCTTCCAGTAATTAAAGAAGCAAATTTTGTAACCATGGAGATTGTCAAGACCTCCACAATCCATTATATTCTCAACTTCATTGACAAAATAAAACATACAAGTCAAATTAATAAAAATATTTATTAGATTCCTTTTAATAGGGTACGTGCACAAGAACCCTTAACTTATGATATCAATCGATGACATAGAAGAAGCCTACAGACGTGCGTAATCGACCTGTTCAATGCATGAACCAGACCGATACACGAAAATCTGCTGGTTGAATTCTTCTGTTAGACCCATTTTCTGCACTTTCAAAATTTTGAATTGTGTTTGGAAATATGAGCTATAAAACGTGTAGATTCTTAAGATGCTTCCCTTTGTATATATAAACTCACATATATGTAAAAGTCGGTCATGGAATTACCGAGACTACACTTATCCATGATACATTATTTTTTCATTTATGTTTGGTTTAGGGATTAAACATTGAAGTCCTATAACTAAATAACAAAAAAACAAAAGTGATTTTATTTGATGATAGATGCATGTCTTAATTTAATTAAGTGGAAAAGAGGAATGAAAGTTCGAGACACATTGCCGTATGCTCACTTATCCTAATTTTGTCATCAATATTACAAATGGCACAAAGTTAGTTTATATAAACAAGTAAACAAGCACTTTATAGTTTATAGACGATTATATTGACTGAAAACAAATAAGTGCCAATTGGTAGTAAAATGAATGGTAGTGTGCTATGGACATGGGTCTTGAAATGATCAACATCTCTAGATTCGAAGTCTTTACGTCATAACCATTCAATTATTAAATCCATGTTGGCATACTTTAGATTGAAGTGTAGAGAATAAATAAATTATAGGAGGATGGATGCATCTGGGGAAGATTGGTGGTTCTAATCAAGTGACCCGCGATATTCAAGACGAAAATATGGACATTGAAAACATGATCTATCAAAGTCCGGATTTATTCAACAGAACCTCCTATATAAACCCATCAAGAGCCGAAAACAATTGTCATGATCACGTATGTGTGTTGGCGAGCTGAAGTCGTGTTTGGTGCCACTCCGATGAATGAGGCTGCAGCAAGAGTGGTTCAATTGCTCTGTTTTCTGCTCATGTATAGGGAAAATCCCATTGTCGGGGCCCTACAATATAGGTTGTGGTCCTATCTAGCGTTGGCATGTTCTATCCGACCTGGTTTGATCTCCCGGAGGTTATTTCTCCTCTCTCGATTCCAGATTTTAGTTTGTAATTCCCTCTTGAAACTCGATTTTTTCAAAGTGTAAGACAAACAAGCTCTTTATAATAATAATAATAATAAAAAAAGCCTAAAACAAGGGATCAAGCAAGCCCTTGCCCTCCAATAATAGGATCTAACTCCATATATTATTCCATGTATATAGCTAAAATAGGTTCCACAAAAGTCCGGCTAGATCCTCACATTGACCGCAAAACCATGTAGCAATTAATATTCTGTATGATAAACGAGAGATCCAATGTCCCATGATCCATCTGCCAGCCAGTTTTCCCATAAATACCTCGTCGTCTTCCTTACGGGAAAATCATTGAATCAAATATATATTTAAAAAAAAAAGTAGCTCCAAGAAAGACAAAAACAGAGATCAAATTAAAATTAAAGAAAAAAATCTGAGTGGAGATCAAATTCTTAGAATCATGATGATGGTCGCACAAATATGCCTACCAATTATGGGGAGGTTACTCTTACGAGCGGATTGAGATAATTGATAATAAAAAAAGTAAAGAATAAATTAAAAAGATTTACGTGGTTTATTATACAATATGCGTTAGCTAGTTTTACGAGCATGAGAGAGATAGTTTTACTATACTTGAGAAAATTACTTATTACATAACGATACGAGAAAAATATATAGTACTTCTCGAAATTGCCTGACCCTAATCCAATATGGTAAAAGATAAAGGTTAGAGAGACCAGTGACACCCCATGAGTTCCAGAGTCAACGACGGAGTATACGATTCAAATCATATGAACAATTCCCTAAATTACCATTACATAGTGAACACGATGAGGATATATAGAAGATGAGAGGGAAAGGAGCTCATTTTGACACTTACTTCGACTGGTTGTTCATGCGAAGAGAGACCGTTTTGTGAGATATTAATTGGCTGTTTGGACATATGAATCGATTTGACTTACTTGGAAATGGAATCTTAAGTCGACCTTCGTGGATAGAAATTAGTACTCTCTCAATGGAACTCTTTCTCTTGTTCCCTTTCTCTCTTGCTTCTTGGCCGGATATAGAAATCCATTTAGTTGAATTGGCCGGATATGGATCCGATTTCAGAAAACCACCGGCGATACCAGCTGTCGGCGGGTGGAGATATCTCTGCCCTTATCTGCCTTGGACTTTTGTGCGACATAAATGGACTAGTAAGTTTTCCCTCTTTCACACTTTGCTACTATACTATCTTTAGTATGAATAGCAACTCCTATCCATCCATTTATGAACATCAAGGTTTGATAGATTTATTGACCCGGTGTTGCATTTCACGACGAGATATTTGGGTCATCCTGCTTCTATTCATTATTGCTTTACAAGAAATTTCATTCATATGGCAACCGCAGACTAATCAATTTCTTTATTCTGTTATTCAGATTCTCAAAGTATTAGAATTGACCATACTTTTAAAACGATTTATATTTTAGTGTTAAGTCAAATTCAACAATGGGTTTAATTTTTTTTTTTTTTCTAATACACATTGAAATGAACACATACATTTTGTCAAGGGACTAGCTCTCTTCAATATTCTAGTGGAACCTTCTTCTTCACAATAAATACATCAAACAACATTTCTAATGGAACCCATTTTCCATTCCGGTTCCCACTATATGCTAACATGGCACCCATGTTCTCCCGTAATATTTTTTTTGTTTAGTTTATTCTTTGGCCTAATAATTTGGTCTTAATTACGTTGTTTAATAACAAAACAACACTCCACCCCACTCCTTAAATCATCATCATGCCCTAAAAAAAAATACAATACAAATCAAAATCCCTTGGATTCCACTTCTCCAAATTACATCACGAAAGTTCCACACACAATCAACCAACTTGGCTCACTCACTCACTCACTATAATGATAAAAGTTTGGCCTAGCTAGCTTCCATCTTTCTCTAACTTATTTAGTTGTAAGAATCCAAAAAAAAAAAGAACCAAATTTTTCTTTCTTATTTTGACTATATATTGGAACAAACTTTCCATATTTGTTATTGAGGTGTGCATGTTCTAGTTAGTAGTTACTCATTTTTGTTCATATTTGCTTTAAGTAGTACACAACCCATTTTAGCATATTTACTTGTGTACACACACAAACCCAATTAAGCCAACATTACAATCTCATTTTAGGATGGGTGTGAACTCATCATACAAAAAGTTTCATTATTAATCATGACACAAAAATGCATGATATATCACATCACCGTTTGCACATATAGTAAAAACAATAAACAATTTCTACAAAATCTATTCGTTCGAGTAGTACCCGAAAACCTTTTATACCACACACCGCTATTTGGTCCGGGTTTTTTGGTTTTATCCAAAACCAGACCGTATAACCCGGACCGAAACCGGATAGTAAACATTCCAATCCAATTTTTGGGCTTAGATTTGAGGTAAAAAACAGTTCGGGACCGGATCGAAAACTGGATAAAGACCGGATAAGAGAGCTCAACACCCAAAACTTAAGGGTAATTTGCATAAACGGTCACAAACCTTTGCACTTAGTACGAAACTTAACCAACTCCTCGCCCTTTCAGGCCTTAGGCCACTCAAATCCCCACTAGCTCAATATAAAATCAACACTGAATTGGGACCAGACCGGGTCAAGACCGGACTGTATCCAATCCAATTATTGGTCCTTATATTTTCAAAAAACTGGACCAAATCAATTTGGACCAATTTAACCGGGCCGGATCGTATAGCCACCCCTATCCCAACATATTTATCAAGAGTTCAAGAGTTTGTAATAACAAACAAACAAATGTTAACATATGACCTAATAGAGTTCCTCTATGGAATTTAGTGAAAATGAATCAAATCCTCACAACCAAAACCAAGTATTTTATTCTTCTAAGTACCCTTCAAAAAAACCAAAACAACAAATTTGGAGCACAAATAGGGAAAATTTATATTCCATTTTGTCCTCTGGGCCGACGGCCCGTCCTTTGTTTTTTAACGCGTTCACGCGTTTTACAGTTTTACTTGTCGTCGTCTTCCTTTTCTCCTTTCAAGCTATATATATCCCTCCACTTCTCTTTCCCTTTCTTTAACAGGTGCAGGAAAAAGAAAAAAAAATCCACCTCTCAAATTGGAAAACAAAAAATCCCCAATTTTTCCGCCATTGTTAACTCTGCATCTGCTTAATTCCCTTCCCTTTCCCACCCATCAAGATTTCTTCCCGCAATCCAGCAGATCGACGAGCCAGGCACCAACCCGACGGCGACTTCGGCGGTGGCGGCGGAGGAGGAGGAGGAAAGGAAGGATAAGAGGAGTCAAGTCTTTCTTTAGGTATGCCGTCGCTTGAGGAGCAGCTGTTTCCATCGACGCCGGGGAAGTTCAAGATCGACCGGAGCAGCCATCATCACGCGATGAACCGGCAGTTCCACCGCTGCTTCTCCTCCACCAGCACGATGTTCCTGTGGGCGCTCTTCTTGATCGCCCTGACGGCGTCGTACCTCAGCTTCCAGAGCTTCGTCGATTCCGGGAGCAAGTACTTCACCGCCTCGTGGGGCGGGATCCAGTGGGAGAAGCAGGTAAGGAATTCGGCCCAGATCCACCGCGGCGGCGGGATGTCGGTGCTGGTCACCGGCGCGGCCGGGTTCGTCGGCAGCCACGTCTCCCTGGCGCTCAAGAAGCGCGGCGACGGCGTCGTCGGGATCGACAACTTCAACCACTACTACGACCCGTCCCTGAAGAAGGCGCGGAGATCGATGCTGGCGGAGCACGGGATCTTCGTCGTCGCCGGCGACATCAACGACGGGAAGCTCCTCGCGAAGCTGTTCGACGTCGTGGGCTTCACCCACGTGATGCATCTCGCGGCGCAGGCGGGTGTACGGTACGCGATGGAGAATCCCAATTCGTACATCCACTCCAACATCGCCGGATTGGTCACCCTCCTCGAGATCTGCAAATCGGCAGAAACCCAGCCGGCGGTGGTCTGGGCGTCGTCGAGCTCCGTCTACGGGCTGAACGAGAAATCCCCCTTCTCCGAATCGGACCGGACCGACCAGCCGGCGAGCCTCTACGCCGCGACGAAGAAGGCCGGAGAGGAAATCACCCACACCTACAATCACATCTACGGCCTCTCCATCACCGGATTGAGATTCTTCACGGTGTACGGTCCCTGGGGCCGACCCGACATGGCGTACTTCTCCTTCACCAAGAACATTTTGCAGGGGAAGCCGATTACCGTCTACCGGGGCAAGAATCGGGTCGATTTGGCCCGGGATTTCACCTACATCGACGACGTCGTGAAGGGGTGTTTGGGCTCGCTGGACACCGCCGGGAGGAGTACCGGGTCGGGCGGGAAGAAGACGGGTCCGGCGCCGTACCGGATCTTCAACCTCGGGAACACGTCGCCGGTGACGGTGCCGACGCTGGTGAGCATACTGGAGAGGCATCTGAAGGTGAAGGCGAAGAAGAAGGTGGTGGAGATGCCCGGGAACGGTGACGTGCCGTTCACCCACGCGAACATCAGCTCGGCCCGGCGAGAGTTCGGGTACCGGCCGACGACGGATCTGCAGACCGGGTTGAAGAAGTTTGTTAAATGGTATCTCGCGTATTACGGCCATAATCACGGGAAAGCTGTAAATTGACCAAAGAAGACGAATTTCTTCGGGAATTATATTTTTTTTCTCCTTTTCTTTTTGTACTGTTAGGAGACTGAGAGAGAGAGTGAGAAAGGAAAGGTGAGGGGAAGAAATGTCAAAATGTGAAGAACAAACAAACCAAGAAACTTTGAGATTTTTTTTTGTTTTTCATTCAAGAAGTTGGCAAAAATGGCACATTGTGAATTCTTTCCTTAATGAAAAATCATCCTTTGATTCAATGAGTTTACAGGAAAAGTTTGATTATAGAGAATCGTGTTATTTACGGTATTCTAAGATCGATTCAATTAGGCATTTTTTTAGGTGTACGTATTGAGGTATAGGACAATAAGGAAGATTTTTTACGGAAATATGAGACTGTGTTGTTGAAGGCAAAGCACATACAACATAATTGATTGGTCACATGACACAACTTTGAGTTCCAGAGTTGGAATTCGATATTGTTGTATGTGCACTGACCATCGAGGAACACGCTACTGATCAGCAAAATCATGGTCCTATTGAATCGAATTGGGTCATTTCATCTAACTCAATTTTGATGAACGAAATCAACTCTTTTATCGGATGAAGTTTCTGTTTTCCGAGACTATTCCAATCTCAAAGGGCGAAGGGCAAAAACTTCTTCATTCCCATGACCGTGTGTTTTTGGCGACAATGAAACTATGTTTATCACTAAAGCATCTCAAAACTCAATCGAATTAAGAAATTTGGATCTATCCTCCGTTCTCAATTGAACCAACCGATACAACGTGATGATGGGGAAATACAAAGTTGTGGATTGTTGGTTGGAAATCATCATGGTACGGCGAATTTAACCTGTACTGTGCTGATGACTGTGACTGACGAGATGCCCAAAATGCCAAAGGAAAGGAGAAGGAGACAGCTAAGGAAGAAAAGGACACAAGCGTGATATACAGTTCGAGACAGAGAGATAGACAGATAAGGCATTCATTAACTAATAAGGCCGTGGATCAGAGGGCAGAGGATTCAATTCATTCATTCATGCCATCGATTATTAGTTGTAAAAGCTTCGCCGGGGAATAAATGAACAGTAAATAGCAGTAAGCTGCCTGTGATGTGGATTGTCTGTCGAGCGAATCAACGCAAGCGGGACGATTGGTGATTAGAAATGACAAAAGGTCGGGTTGAGTCGGATTTCTCTAAACTCAAACCCAGTTCAGAGTGCGCAGCCATTAAAAAATTCACAGTAAAGTACTCATACGAGGAACAAAACGGTAACATTGTTTGTATTGAAGAATTTCAGGAATACAAGAGTAACAGAAAACTATTGAATGGTCATGAAGTAAGAGTAGAGGGTCTATTCGTTTGGTCACAAGGTCAGCAAAGGTTATGCAAATTTCAAATGTGCTGCTTTCTCCAGCTACTTACTTTTTCTTCTGGATGCTATCTCCAAGGCCCAAGCTTTGCCTACATCTGTCTGAAACTTGCCTGCAGATTACACAGACAAAAGAACCGACATTCGATTACATTAGTGCTTGCGTTGTAAGTCCAGAGCTAGCTGAGACATAGGCAACATTAACACAACAGGGGCGAATCACAGAAGGGGAAGTTTAGATACCAGCAGTTGACTGGAAGAATTCCTCCAAATCCTTTCCTTGTTCTGCAGATGTAGAAAGGCAGGGCTTTAGATCAACTTCTGCAAGTGACGTTTCGAAATAATAGCTTTGGTAGGCACAGAGAGCTCACCATTTTCGTATTCTAAAGCCTGAAGTATCATCTCCACCTGGACGAGGAACAAAGGAACGTGCTTTTACTTTATTAAGTGAAAGCTATAATCAGCCATGAAAAGGGAAGATTCTCATCATAATCAGCACAACCATTCAATAGAAAAAGAATGCTCAAAGAACAGAATTCGACTACGATTATCATGAACATATCTCAGACACACTAGGCCACCCCAATTGAAAATACCTTGTCACAGTCCTTCACCATCTTGGCTTCAGGGGTAGAATTATCCTCAATACTCTTTCCATAACTGTGCTATCTCCTCAGCTACAAAAAATTTGACACATGAGGCACACTGAAACGAACCGATCACAAATTCACCAAGATGGAGTAATGTCCGGCTCTTCACTTCCTTCGGAACACCATCCGATGGAGTAATGCCCCCCACAATAGCTGATCAAAGAAAGATAGCACATTGGACACCAATTCATTAGCTTTCTTCCCATTTCCAACATTCAACAGTTCATTTCTTCATAGCCTAATCTTCCAAGGAACAGGAAAACAAAGTCTCTCATATGATACCTTCAGCTATATCATGAACAATCGACATTTTCACACACCTGAGAGCAACAGTGTATCATTCACTACACATCAACCAAATGCTCAACATTGAAACTGAGACCAGCAAGATTAAAAACAAGAAAAAAGCAACCGACTTGTCACGGTTGATGCCAGGAATGTCTGGAAGAATCAAACCCACTAATCCCATTCAGTACATATGATCAGCTATGGATTCCGGATCCCTAACATCCCTCTTCACCCATCCAGCCCTGTTCGTCGTCTGAAATCGGCGTCCCCAATTCTAAAAACCTCGCAATCAATTCGCAGCTGAAGAAGCAAAAGAAGTAAACTTTACAGAAGCAGAGCGCAAACCAAGCGGACCCACGTTTGCTCTACCTTCAAGCGGTGGCAGGTGGAGAGGAAATCAATGGCGGAAAAGGAGGGCGGCGGCGGCGGCCATGCGATGGCGATTGGAGCGAGACGGGGAAGTGGAACCGAACGTGCTGAACCGGAAGCGAGTGATACTGGGCCACTTGTGAGTGCAGTCCAGCCCATCAATGTATCATAGTTTATTTTTCTAAGATTAACATCAATATATCAAACTTTGAGTGATACATCAAACCATTATTATTATAGTTCCTATTTTGTTTTCATATGTAACATAAACATCTTAAATTAACAAAATTTTGAGTTGTATTTACTTTGTATATCATACAATATTAAAATTAAGTCAACATATACAGGAGTTGAATCTGCAACCTTAGCATCTTTTATTTTTTGATTTTGTGCTAACTTTTCATTATCAAACCTTGATAAAAATAAATTCACTTATACAGGTCTCTGGTTTGCACGTGACCGTGATATTTAGGATTAACTAAAAATTGAATTGTAAAAGCTTTTTATATATGGATATTAATCAATGAAAAGAACGGGTTCATGTACCGAAGTCAAAACTAAAGTTTGAATTTTATTAAATTTTGTTTACTAGACGATATGAAACAAAATAAAAATAAAATAAAAGGGATCAGTTGGTTCGAAATTAACGACCTTGACATCTAAGATGAACCAAATTTTGAGTTGAATAAGGGCTCATGTTGATCAGGAGTTTACGACCTTGACATCTCATATGAACTTAATTACCTAAAGTGTGAGTTGTAACAAATTTCTTATATAAGAAAGTAAATAATAAAAATTATCTCATGTAGATCTCAAACCTACGACCTTGTCATTATTAACATCATGCTCTAACCAACTGAGCTAATCAACCATTTGCATTTTAGATTTTCCTCTTATATTTCTAATCATATTATTCACTACTCATGGAAAGACTTAATTTTGGGTAAGGATAATCTTGCCATGAAAAAAAAAAAAGAAAACAATGACATAACAACAATGCATCATTCCCCCAAAAACCAGCTCTCATTCTTAGCTAGTTTGCCTTAAGTTAGTTACAATGGCTACAAGCTTGAATTTTAGGGTTGATTTGAACTGGTAACAAATGGTTCTTCCAAATCACCTATGGAGTCCTTCTCCTTCTTCTTCTCACTCTGTCCCAAATCCTTGGCTTTTCCCCATAGCACCATGTACAGACCCATTATCACTGCTACAGCTCCCATCAGCCTGTTCAAAGTATTGCAATACAACAACAACAACAAAATTAGTCTTCTGGTTTAACACTACTCGAGTATAAATGCAATCCTGATCGAATAAGGATTCATTACTCTCCAGTGTAGACTTTCTCGTGGAGGAAAGTGGCAGCAAAGATGGCTGTGGTGACTGTGCAAAGAGGGTTGGAAATGGCTGTGAAGATTGGGCCTCTCTGTGAGACACACCAGGCTTGACCCACGAATGACATTATCAAGACGGCTCCCTATGGTGAAAGAAAGAAAAAATTGTCAATGCTCAATAATTAAACAATAAATAATAATTTTCAAATACGAAAGTAATTATGTGGGAATGAATGAGCGTATTCACAAGCTGATGTCGCTTGATTGTTCACTAGAGTGTTTTCAGTGGTTAAAAGCTAATGTATAAAGTTCTACTTATAGAAGTTTAACAATCATTTCATCTTTATAAAAAAAATTTATAAAGTTTTAATTATAGAAATACAGACTTTGATACTAATTTAATGTGCTTACACTGTAAAGACAACAACCCAATTCAAATATGGAATGTAGTTTCCACGCTGACACATCGTTCTCCAGAAACAAAGCTACTATTGCTGATTGCAAAGTAGCAAGGAAACACAACCAGGTTGATGAATACACAAGGTCGGGACAGGTTGCTCCTATTGGAATCTGTCACATGGAAACAAATCGTTTATGAAAATGATGATACGAAATTTCAATATAATATTCGAGTCATAATACCTGAAAAATTATCCACAAAGACCAGCAAAAGCTAGCTGCAAACAGAAGAAGGCATCCCATAAACCAGTCCTTATTGTCAGATGAAGCCATGAAAGATTCATTCAAGAGCTTAGGTCCCTTGAGGAAAGCCATGGCCATGGCTCCACCAACACAGACGAAAGTCCCCAAAAATTTGGCACCACTCCTCAAGCTTCTTATGCTAACCATCTCCATCCTTAATCCATAGTTAACATTCAAAATAATAAAAAAGAAAAATCTTCACAACAGTAGTCCAAAATGAAATTTAATCAATTCAATTGTGCAACCCTAGTTTCTCTCACCTCAAAATTGCTGCTAGGGTGAAAGTGATTGCTGGGATGAGATCGGTCATTGCACTTGCGATAGTGGAATTAGACAGATTGATCCCTTCGAAATATGCATTCTGATTCAACGTCACCCTACATAACTCATTCGCCGAACCACATAAATTTCAAGAAAAAACGTAACTCACACGTGAGGAAAAAAAAAATAGTAAACACCCTTTAAACGTAGACACGCTTGTCGAACGAAAAAAGTAACATGTACCCGAAGAGAGCAGCGGCAAATATCCAAGAGAAGCTCCCCATAGTCAATGAAACCACCCCACTACTCCTGTTTCATTAATGTCCAAAGACGACATTGGCATTGATTACAAGAAATTAAATCACACTACCAAAACAGGAAAATGATTCAATCAATTTTAATTACCTTCTTCTTCTTGAGAAGCAAGCCACAGGGACCATGATCAAGGTGGCCACGGCTTGTCTGTAAACAACAAGTACTCTGGGGCTCATTCCACCGGTGAAAGCTGCTTTCGTGAAGAGAACAAGCCCTGAATAAGCACACTGCAAAGTGATCATCACCATTAATGGCTTGTAACTTGAAGAAGAAGAAGAAGAAGATGAAGAGGAACTCATCTTTCTCCTCCTCTCTTAGCTAGCTATTGTAGTTTCGATGTTCTTATCTGAATTTACTTCACGCAGCCACCATTTTTGTAGCATTTCAAGTACTCTCTTTCCTACTCAGCACTCGCTTTCAGCCAACTCACTCAAGTACAATAATTGTCTCGTCAATTTGGAAATTTGCACAATCGATTACTCACCCGGTACCATATGTCGGTTCAAATTTGGGCGGACTATTTGGTCTCGGTTTTTCGGCTTAACCGGAAATCAGATCGTAAAACCAAGTCTGGTTGCAACCCGATACCGGATGCAAGCTGTTCCTACTCGGATTACGATTGTGAGAAATGATGAAAAAACGGAAAAAAAATTAAATAGGAAACACAGTCGGGCCACTCCCCCTTACCCTAGCCCACTCCAAAAATTCCATAGGGCCTATGACCCAAGTCGACCCATTTGGCCATTTTTGTAGACGAGATTCAAATAATCGAATCCCCAATCTTAAACCCTAAATCCCTAATTCTTCCTTCACTCCGCCTCTCCCGCCGCGCCACTCTCGTTTACCATGCTCTACCTCTCATGAAATAATTGATTTGGGTGAGGATAATCTTGACATGCAAGAAAAATTAATGATATAACAGCAATGCATCATTTCCTCTAAATCACCTTTCATCCTTAGCTTGCCTTAGCTTGATTTACAATGGCTTACAATCTACAAGCTTGAATTCTAGGGTTGATTTCAATTTGTACACATAAACTATAATTTCTTACAATAGAGTTGGTTTATTAGTAAGAAAGGGTTCTTCCAAATCACCTATGGATGTCTTCTCCTTCTCACTCTTTGTCTTCTCCAAATCCTTGGCTTTTCCCCACAGCACCAAGTACAAACCCATGATCACTGCCACAGCTCCCATCAACCTATTCAAAGCATTGCAATATAACAAATTAAAAAGAAAACCAAAATTTAGTGTTCTGGTCGAAAAGGGTTTGGCAAGACATTATTAAAGTGCAATCCTAATTGGATCAGGATTCATTACTCTCCAATGTAGGCTTTCTCGTGGAGGAAAATGGCAGCAAAGATGGCTGTGATGACTGTGCAAAGAGGGTTGAAAATGGCTGTGAAGATTGGGCCTCTCTCTGAGACACACCAGGCTTGACCCACGAATGACATTGTCAAGACTGCTCCCTGGAAGAAAACAACCCTTTTGAGAAAGGTGTTACATACTTACTGCAAAAAATACATGTTAATGATGATTGTATTTTACATATTAAAATCTGCAATCACCTTATTTTAAGGAGTTGTAAGAATTCCCTACTTACCGGTATATCGTCATATTGACAAAATAAAAAAGTAGTCACGTTAATCTAATAATTGAAAACGTGATATGACCTCCATCTCGAACAAATGACACGTATACATAGTATATAGTATATATACGTTTTTATTGAAAAACATGAGGAGTTGTATATGCGAATTAAACTATGAAAAATTGTTTTTGAGCTTACACTATAAAGGCAGCAACTCAATTCGAATGTGGAATCCAGTTTCCAGGCCGACACATCCTTCTCCAGAAATAAAGCTACTATTGTTGATTGCAACGTAGCTAGGAAACACAACCAGGTCGACGAATACATGAGGTCAGGACATGTTGTTGCAATTGGAACCTGTCACATGAAAAACAAGTTGCTTCATGCTTGTGAAGATGATACAAAATTTTCAAATATGATATCCTACTCACATTTCAAACGATATTTTTTCATATTATTTATAATCATTTTTAAGATGATGGAGGACAAAAAATCTCTTTTAGAAATCAATATACTTATCATATTATAGCAATTGTTTTGGTGTGGTTGAACACAGATATTTCCTAACAGTGATATTACCTGAAAAATTAACCACAAAGACCAAAAGAAGCTGGCTGCAAATAGAAGAAGGCATCCCATCAACCAATCCTTATCATCCGAAGAAGCCATGAATGGAGAATCATTCAAGAGCTTAGGTCCCTTGAGGAAAGCCATGGCCATGGCTCCACAAACACATATGAAAGTCCCCAAAATCTTGGCACCACTCCTCAAGCTTCTCATGTTAATAATCTCCATCCTTAATCCATAATCAACATTCATAATTATAAAATTGTTCACAATAGTAATCCAAAATGAAGTTTAATTAAACCAACTAGCTAGTTTCTCCCACCTCAAAATTGCTGCTAGTAGAAAAGTGATTGCTGGGATGAGATCCGTCATCGCACTTGCAACGGTGGAATTGGACAAGTTGATCCCTTCGAAATATGCGTTCTGGTTCAACGTCACTCTGCATACTCATCGGCCAAACCACGTAAATTTTAAAAAAAATCTACACAATAAAATAAAACTTTTACAATAAGACAAACTGATCAAAATAACGTATATGTACCCGAAAAATGCGGCAGCAAATATCCAAGAGAAGCTTTCCAATGTCAATGAAACCACCCCACCACTACCTGGATTAATGCTCCTGTTAATTTTCCACCACAAACAACACTTGCAATGATTGATACAAGTAACCACACAATCAAAATAGGACAGTACTTGATTCCCTATGTGGATTTTGGATATTAATTACCTTCTTCCTCCTCTTCTTGAGAAGCAAGCAATAGGGACCATGATCAGAGTGGCCACAGCTTGTCTGTAAACAACAAGTACCCTGGGGCTCAATCCACCTGTAAAAGCTGTTTTTGTGAAGAGAACAAGCCCAGAATAAGCACACTGCAAGGTGATCATCACCATTAATGGCCTGTAACTAGATGAAGAACCCATCTTCTCTCTATATCTAGCTATAGCTTTTGATATCTGCAGCTCTTAAGAGGCACCATTTTGTAGCATTTTCTTCAACTACTGATCTCTTTCCCCTAAGCCACTTGCTCTCAGCCAACTCATATCCAGTAATGTCAATCAATTTGCTGAGTCAGTAGTTAACTGATCGAGGTCCATATCACATGTGTTGTTATGGGTCCAAATCAATAAAAGTACTTTCACCAAACCCAAATCAAACAATGGCTGGCGTGGCTGTCTTCTTGACTTCTTGGCCAATAAAACAAGCTTCATCAATGTGGTGCTTAGAAGAAGATGGAAACACGCACCTTTCTTCAATGCTGAAACCAATCACACCAGTTAAGGTCCAAAGAAGAATAGTGTTCAGGGTGGAAAAAGTCTTGATGAATTGAATGATTACGGTCCCTTACTTCTTGGGCCACGATTATATGAAAACCGGAAACACTTTTCGAACGATGGTGTTTGGTATTTACGAAACTTACCTGAATATAAGAGTCGTTTGGTTCCTCTAGTTGTTTTATCGAGATTGTTACCGTGTTTGCATTCTGTAGAATGAATTGTTTTTATTTTTATTTTTATGCACACAATACAAGTATTATTTGCGCGGGGTGATAGAAACAAACAGTCAAAATTCAACGGTAAAAGGAAAGAAATAACTTCAAAATTAATTATTGTACAATTTCAGCTTTTAGGTGAGACAGTTGTGATCCTTAGTTTTTCCTCCAGTTTTATCCTTCAAAAAGTACATTGTGCATTGCAAAAGGGGATACTAATGACATTTTCATTAAAGAATTACCTTTCTTTTCGATTATTAAAAACAAAATCTCAGATTTTGCAATCACTACACCAAATTTATCAATACATTTTGTAAAGATATATTGATCACAATCCATCAATTTAACAACACAAAATTCAAACAATCTCCTAATCTACTTTATATGCAGATTCTTTAAGAGCTCCTGAACTACCACTACAAAACCGTTTATGAAATAAGAGCTACATGATTATTGCTTACATTTCAAGGAGCTAGTCCATTTTTATCTCTATTTACATTTATCAACTAATTTTCCTTTGTTTTATCATTAAAAATAAATATTTTCTTCAAATAATATATATTAGCGTGGGTCGACCTACCCTGACTCGTATGCATGAAAATATTACCCGATCTGATCCGTGCTTGATATGGGTCGAACAGACAGACAGACCCAGCTTGTCGGGAAAACATTTAAGAAAAACCAGAACTTGTCCTGGACACATGGGGCATGGGGAAGATCCACAGTCGAAGGTTTGGTCTTCATCCTACTAGACTATTAGCTGGTTCGTCGTGGCCAATCACTTGTCCAACGATCCAAGTACGTACTCTCATCTTTCACTTGTTATTTCCAGGACCAAACACGATACGATACGAGATTCAGAAATCAAATCCAGGCAGAATATGAATATTAATATTAATATCGGTGCATGCATGCCCTCAATCATATATTAATTTCGAAGGTTCTTCTCTTACTTGTATATATGTATACTTCGATCAAGAAAATCACAGAAGATCTTGTTAATTACAACCTCTTCTTAGATAAATGCTATTGAATGGTCTCTCTTTCTTAAGTTGTTTCGTCAATGTAATTTCATCAGTTTTGTGTTCGAGTGTTTATTTATCGTAGTTATAATAGGGTGACCAGAAAAACTCTTTTTCTTTTACCCTAGTTTGATGCTCGTTTTTTGTTGTTGTTGGTCATGTGATTCTTTTGTATCCCTTTGTTTTCTTGACAATACGAGTGAATCGTCAGTAAATTGTCTCATATGTGAATGCACGGGAGGATCAAACTCTCTACCCTAGCTTAAAAGTTTTGGACTCCAATGTTGGCTTCCTAGCAACTTTCTGCCGGCAGGCAAAGGCCACTGCATTCCTACTGAGCTATATCATCAGTTCATTCATCAAACACCTCCACTGCATAATCTCTGTTACTACGACTTGAAGACATATTATAACACCTTCACAGCTGCATACACGTTCGTTTTACTGTTTTGGATATGGTGTCTGTAACCTTTCATTTTTCATATTAGATTAGGGTTAGTTCGTATAGTGACTCTTAACAATGTCTAGGTCATCATCGTTAACATCCCCGCTAGTAGCCATTTCCCCTAAATGGCTAAAATCACCTTTCATTCTTAGCTAGCATGGTTTAATTAAGTTACGATCTACAAGCTTGAGAGGGTTCTTTTTCCAAAGACTATATAAGTTGTTACAACTTACAATTCAGTTGGTTTATCAGTAAGAAATGGTTCTTCCAAATCACCTATGGATTCCTTCTCCTTTTTCTCACTTTCTGTCTTCCTCAAATCCTTGGATTTTCCCCATAGCACCATGTACAACCCCATCATCACTGCCACAGCTCCCATCAACCTATATATTCACAAAATTTCAATATCACAGAAAACAAAAATCATTCTTGTGTGGCTGAGAAGTTCCAACGGTTTTTGACGCTACTCGAGACATTATGGGAAAAAATGTAATCCTAATTGGATTCGGATTCATTACGTACTCTCCCACGTAGGTCTTCTCGTGGAGGAAAATGGCCGCAAAGATGGCTGTGATGACTGTGCTTAGAGGATTGAAAATGGCTGGGAAGGTTGGGCCCCTCTCTGCAACACACCAGGCTTGGCCCACAAATGACATTGTCAAGACCCCTCCCTGCGAAATTTTTTTTTTAAATAAAACAATCGTCAAATACTCGATAGTTTTAAAAGAGCGAGAGCTTGATAAGAGAGAATAATTATGTCTCTGAATCAAGGCATAAATTTTATTTTATAGAAATGTCGCCATGTTAATTATCTAATATCTAAAAATACATGGTAACCTCGAGTTCGAACAAATGTTGACATACACGCGGTACATATATAGGACTTTTTTGGTATCACAAAGTAAACTATGAAGAGAGAGTTTTGAGCTTTACACTATAGAGGCAGCAACCCAATTCAAAAATTGAATTGATTTTCCAGGCCGAGACATCCTTCTCCAGGAACAAGGCTACTATTGTTGATTGCAAAGTAGAAAGGAAACACAGCCAAGTTGATGAATACATGAGGTCAGGACAAGTTGTTGCAATTGGAACCTGTCACATGGGGAAAAAAAAGAGATTTTTGCTTATATATCCATCGAGATAGTATGAACTTCCCAATATGATTTCAGGGTTACATTTCAAATATCCACATTTTTTTTGGTAATATTGGTAGAGGCATACTGGGATGGGATTAGGTGCTAACCCTTATAGGGGTTAGCACCGTGATGACTAGCAAAAATCACTACGGATTATTATAAAATCAATACAACATCTAAGCTAAATCACTACTAATTCAAACTAGTAGTAGTTTTTCCCTTGATTAGATTACCTGAAAAATTATCCACAAAGATCACAAGAAGCTGGCAGCAAACAGAAGAAGGCACCCCATCAACCAATCATAATCTTCTGACGAAGCCATGAACGGAGAGTTATTTAAGAGCTTAGGTCCCTTGAGGAAAGCCATGGCCATGGCTCCAAATACACATATGGCAGTCCCCAAGATCTTGGCACCACTCCTCAAGCTTCTTATGTTAATCATCTCCATCCTTAATCCATTAACCAACATTCAAAATCATTCACCGAATTTTTTAACAGTGATATAGAAATTGATAGAGCGAGCAAGTTTTTTTTACTGTTCCATACGATAAGCTAAAGATTAGCTAGTTCCTCTCACCTCAGAAATGCTGCTAATGTAAAAGTGATTGCTGGGATGAGATCACTCATCGCACTCGCAACGGTAGAATTAGACAGGTTGATCCCTTCGAAATATGCATTCTGATTCAGCGTCACCCTATATATACAACACTCAAAGAACCACAATAAATTTTCAACAGAAGCCAACACAGTAAAAAAAAACGCGTAAACTTAGACCCACACAGTAATAAAACAAATGTGTACGTACCCAACGAGAGCAGCAGCAAATATCCAAGAGAAGCTCTCCCAAGTCAACGAAACCACCTCAGCACTGCTACTTGAATTCCTCTTGCTGATCATCACTCCATCAAAATCCACACAACATTTTGAAATGAGCATTACAAGAAACTAAACTACCCAAAACCAAAGTAGCTAGGGCAAGTTTGCTCGAACTTTGGAGGATCGATTTGGTGGTTAGTGGTTAATTACCTTCTTCTTCTGGATAAGCAAGCCATAGGGACCATGATCATAGTGGCCACAGCTTGTCTGTAGACAACAAACACTCTTGGGCTCATTCCACCAGTGAAAGCTGCTTTCGTGAAGAGAGCAAGCCCAGAATAAGCAAATTGCAAGGTGACCATAACCATCAATGGCTTGTAACCAGAAGAAGAAGAAGAACCCATCTTCTCCATCTCTAGATCGAGCTAGCTTTGATCTATGCACGTATATCTGTGATCCTTGATTAATTTCAGTGCTGGCAAAAGCTTGAATATATATAAGAATCGGGTACTTGCTGAAAAGATATTGGAAAAATAAGAACGTGTTCCTGACACATGGGAACTCAGAAATCAATTCTACCAATGTGGGGATGCATGGCCTCAATAATCATTGATTAATTGTATTTTAGAAGTTTTCTTCTCTTAAAAATGTATATAATTGGGTCAAGATGACATCTAATCTAATGTGTATCCGATTGTAGCATAATTTAATGATCATGTTGAAGTGACAAAAAGATCTTTGTTAGAAAAATGAGATGGCAAGACATGGGTGTTATGCATGTTACAGCCTGTTCTTAGTATATTGTCATGCTTATCTATTTGTGTAAACTTGATAGCTTTGGTGGATTTCAGATGCTACGAAATTTCCAATCACATTTCATTCGACATTTATTTATTTATTTCTACCATCCAAAAATTTAAGGGATTGCAAATTGAGGACCATATTGCTGAATGAGTTACAAATAATTGCATATTAAGGATTATTAGCTTTCATTTTATTTGGATGACATACATTGTTTTAATTCATTTAACTATACCGTTAAGTGTTTTTAACCATAAAAATTGGAATAAAAGGAAAAAGGTGCTCTCGGCACGTTCTCCCGGGCATTCACATTATCGGTACATATGCCGCTCGTTTTTCAAGCTACATAGCATATATCGCCTTCCCATGTGGCGACACTTGCCTTCCCCTTGTCATATAAGCAAAAACACCGCTACATTGAAAAATAACTGTGAAGTATCACTATTTTGCAAAATTTTCTTAGCTTTGCGACTGCCCAAATCAACCATTTATTCTAGTTACCATAAAATTGTACTCCTTCCTAATAAATATGAAATATCTTGAACTCATCCTACCAATGGTAGTTCGAACATTTTTGTAGTCTAAGTTGTTGGTTGGGATAACTAGGCTTCACATCTTATAACAAATTTGTCCAATTTCATTTATTGATACAAAAGAAGAAGAAAAGACTTTGTTAAACTTGACGGGAAGAACTTATTTGTAAGAGATCATAAAATTTGAGGGCTCATTTCGATAAAAAAAAAACCCCAGCTTAAAGGCTCATTTGAGAAAACTATCAACATTCACAATAAAAAAATTGTCAGTAATCCTCCCATGAGTGAACTTCAAAGTTAAAAACAAAACATTAACAACTTTTAGGACACTCAAATTAAATAACTCTTAGTTTTATAAATGCTCAAAATATTAGATACTGAAATTTGTATGATATGACAATTGTAACTGCAACTTACAAACCCTAAAATATATTTTTCTATCCAAAATTAAGTTCCATTACACATCCACTTGGTTTAGCTTATCAGTAAGAAATGGTTCTTCCAAATCAAGTTTGGACCTCTTCTTCTCCTCCTTCTTATCACTTTCAACTTCTTTGAAGTCCTTGGCTTTCCCCCATAGCACCACATATAATCCCATTACCGCAGCCGCAGCTCCAATCAACCTATTCATGATCGCAAATATCAATATCACAGAAGAAGATAACCAAAATTGTGGGTTTCAATACTAATGGTAAATTTCAAAATGTAATCCTAATTGGGCCAGGATTCATTACCCTCCCAGGTAGGTCTGTTCATGGAGAAAGATAGCAGCAAAAATGGCTGTGATGACTGTGGCAAGTGGGTTGAATATGGCTGGGAAGACTGGGCCTCTCTCAGAAACACACCAGGCCTGGCCCAAGAATGACATTGCCAAGGCAACTCCCTGGTTAAAAGAGGTACAACAGTTGAAATATTGTAGAGTATGAGAAATTTGTGTTAAAACAAAAGAGAACAAAGAGTGATTGAGAGCTTTACACTATACAAGCAACAACCCAATTCGAAACTCGAATTGAGCTTCCAAACTGAGAGATCCCTCTCCATGAACAAAGCCACTCCTGTTGATTGCAGAGTGGCCAGGAGGCACAGCCAGGCTTGTGAGTATACGAGGTCGGGGCACGTCGCCCCGATTGGAACCTATCACGTAAGATTTTCGACATGATATCAGTACGTCTAGAACGACCAATCTCCCAAATTTTTCGTATTGTGGCCACTATTAAATTTACCTGAAGGATTACCCACGTGGACCAGAAGAAGCTGGCTGCCAAGAGAAGAAGGCATCCCATCACCCAACTGTTGTCTTCTTCTGAACCAAGAAGAAAATGAGAGTTTAGGAGCTTAGGGCCCTTGAGGAAGGCCATGACCATGGCTCCACAGACACACATCACAGTCCCAAAAATCTTGGCCCAACTTCTCAGGCTCCTAATGTCAATCTTCTCCATCCTGAAAGTCAATTGAAGTTAGTTCAAAGATTGAATCTTTAGCTTCATACTTCAATTCAAGGGTGGAACATTTTCCAATCAGCACCTCAGAATTGTTGCTAGTACAAAAGTGACTGCTGGGATGAGATTAATCATTGCATTTGCAGCAGTTGAAGAAGCCAATTTGATTCCTTGGAAAAATGCATTCTGATTCACCGTCACACTACACCGATAAAACATCCATCACATCCTGAATTCGATTGTAACTGAGCCGCGGGACATCACTAGATCAAAATAAAAGGGTGAAAGGAGACTAGTTTACCCAAAGAGTGAGGCAGCAAATATCCAAGAGAAGCTCTCCAATGTCAAGGAAACCCCACTTGGATTCCTCCTATTAAAAGAAAAAAACCAAATCAACAAGAATAGTAATACTAGTTGATAATTACCATGGTTATAATTTTGCTTTCTTACCTTCTTGAGAAGCAAGCCAGGGTACCCATGATCAAAGTGGCTATGGCTTGTCTATAGACAATGAAGATTCTGGGGCTCAATCCACCATTGAAGGCTGCCTTTGTGAAGAGAGCTAGTCCAGCATAGGCAAATTCCAAGGCCACCATAATAATTTCTGGCTTGTGAGAAGAAAAACCCATCTCTCGATCTCTAGTCTCTATGTTCTAACTTTTTGGGTAGGAGGGAATTGATCTTGTTTTTCCCTCTTTTGTAAGGAGTTTGAGAAAAGTGTATATGGGGCCAAATCTCTGTTTTTGCTTTAAGAGATTGGTAGCTATCCTCTTATGAATGATTCATTTCTATAGAATTGTGTTTTGTACCTTAGTGTAATAACAAGTTGGATGGCATGTGAGTGAACATGAGTTTAGAATTCAAGCACGACAATAAAACAACCACATTCGTTGAATTATACAAATTTCAAACTTGATAATCGTGAAATGGGACACTCGATTATGAATGTTTACTATTTCTTTCGAAACTCTCTGACTAGATACTTATGTGTAATTTGTAACTGCTTTTATGTAAATACCAATACACAGATGAAGAATTTGGCATCTTAGTTAATTGGTTCACTATGATGTTCTTTCCTTTTTATTCTATTTAGCACATCTAATTCTCCATTGTTCAATAACTTACCCAACATGAAATGAACGTAGAATTCGATTTATAGATTTGGTTCATGAATACAAGTACAATAAATATTCAAATCTATACTCCTTAAACATCTTTTGATGGGTCAAATTATTGAAACTAACTAGTTCATACATACGACACTTCAATTATGATATCAAACTTAGAACCACATGAGTATGGCATCACCACCTGATACCAAATTTCAAACTTGATAATCATGAAAAATGATGGATTATTAATTTACCGCCTTCATTTTGAAACTTTATAATAAGATATTTATTTGTCATTTGTGACTGCTTTTATGTAGATACCAATATACATATGATACATTTGGCATCTTCATTAACCGGTTCATTTAAATTTTCACTATTCAATAACTTGCCCAACATGACTACGAACATAGAGTTCAATTTATCGATTCAGTTAACGAATACACGAATACAATAAAATTTCAAATCCAAACTTATTAAACATCTTCTGATGTATGAAATTATTGAAACCAACTATTTTCTATACTTTCAATTATTCATATCAAACTTAGAACCACATGAGTCAGGCATATCACCGCTATAATTTTCTTCTTCTGAATCTTTAGTGGTAGGATAATATATAAATTGAATGTGGTGACGCGACGAGATGGGTATGAAGATTGAGATGAAACTAAAAGATTCTATTATGAAGAAAGGTAGACAAGATGCACATGTACATGGTTTATTATATGCTTTTGTCTCTTTTGAAATATAGTATATGCTTCTAAAAGCAACCAAATTGAACTGATATTTTGTATTTGTCATTCTCAAAAGAATTCTTACATTTGTCATTTATCAGAAGAGAGCAACAAGAGTCAGTGGTAGTGGGATTTAATAATGTTGAGTTTATTGGTGATCTAGATCAGGACTGACATGCTTTTGAGTTGGAAAGGAAGCCTTTTTTGGAGCTGTTGGGGGGATTTTAAAATCCAGTTCATCTTTGGATTTTACTCCTTCCGTGTATTCATATGGAGTTGAAAGTGGGGCAAAGAGACGGGGTGGGGTTTTCAGGTTCAGTTCTTCGTGAATGTGTTTCGAATTGGTTGCATACTGTGATTGTGATTGGCAAGTTGAAAGACTTGTTTAATGAAAATTAAATTCAGAAATAGGGGAGATCAAGAAAAAGACGATCTTTAGGAGATGCAAAGTAAACCAATTTGATAAAAATAAATTGAAGTTCATCGACGAGACTAATTTGCTTCGTTGATTAACAGTATTACAATTTCTCCAAAATTTGTGATAATGATATTACAAATTAGCAGAATTATGTCATTTTTTATCATTAAAAACTAGGATATCATGTTACTAACCAATAGGGGTGTGTAATGAGTTGGTCAGTATCGGACCAAACCGACATTTGGACTGCAGCACACCGAACCAAAAATAATATGGTCCGGTTCTTGATTCCATTACTATTATAAATACCGGAGAAAAATTAATCGAAGTAACATTTGATCGGCTCAAACCGAATCAAAGCAAACCAAATTCACTATTGATATGATCATTATAAGTCCTATAATCTCTTGCAGTATTGGACCAGGCCGATTGCACGCCCCCTACCAACCAATTACTCATAGCAACCCAAATTATTGGCTATATTTTGTTGAAGGCTTTAGTTTGTCATCATGCAAAGCCCCAAGAACACTTAATTGGGCCCAACATATTTGAGACCTCACTTAGTTATCCTGAAACCAAGCACACCAGTAACGCAAAAACTGGCCCATTTCCCATTTCCCATGTCTCGTCAAAATACTTAATTAATGAGGAGAAAACACGACGACGTACGATGTTGGATTGAGTTATCATTTTATGTGATCACTTTCAATGAGAAGAGAGGTTAGTCATGGTTGACGGTAAACACAGTAAAATTTGATGAGAAAACACAATTTTAAAGAGAGCATTGGAACGTAGATGAACTCAAAATGAATCCAAAATGAAAAACAATTGAAGTGGGAAATGTACAAATTAAAGCCAATACCCCATTTATGGGTGTATTAAGTAAGGAAATCAAGTCTGTCATTGTCCGTGGCTAAATGTTTTGTTGTTGTTGATAGATAGATAGTGGTTACAATATCATTTTCATTATTAGTTACGAAAGCACAGCGCATCAAACCTTTTATGAAGGAAAAAAATTGATGCTATTTTTCTAGAAATATATCGGATTTTAAAGGCATTTTTTATGTTGGAGATTTAATGGGGCTTTTTTGGATTATACACATAATTATCGTTGGCTTTGATTGGTGAAAGTGGGCCCTTGGATTTAAAACTGATAATAATACCAATAAACATTAAACTACAAGATATTATTCATATTTATTACTATAATAATTTTTCGAGAGAGGAAATTTGAATACCTCTATGTTCCTTTTACATATCTCTAAATCATTGAGGGATGTGTGGAGTTCCGAAGATGTTATGAAGAGGATTTAATGGTCTTTTGTGGATTCCGATATCGATATTATTTCAGTAAAGTTCGAGAATTTTCGCTAACTACTAATAAATGTTGCTAACGAAATTGCTTACATCAACCGACAACAAGCTAAGTTCGAACCAATTCTATAGCATAACAAAGGTCAGAAATCAAAATAGTGTAATAGAGATCTGGAGACCCTAACCAACCATCAAATGGAGATTTGGGGTTGGGGAACCTAGCTAGCTATAGTTTAGGGGTAATAATAGTATGATTAAACTACAAGTTATATCATTCATGTTTATAACTATAATTAATAATCTCTCCATGTTTCCTTCATATATCTTTAAATCATGAATGGATCTTGTAGTTTTTGAAGATATTATAAAGAGAGTTGCAATCAAAGGTTATTTCTATGTGATTTACCAGTATTACATATCGAATTTTCCCTAACTACTAACAAACGGTGCTAGAAACTTAGTTTACGTAAACTGACAAAGATTATGATTGCTATAATCTAACGAAAATGGTCGAAACGGCATAAACGAGCGAGCGAGATATGAGGATCACCCAAACATGTCACCAAATGGGGCTTTTGGATTGGGGACCCGATAGCTTAGTCATGGGAAGTAACACTCCCTCAGTGAACACACAGCCACATACTACAACATACATAAATATTTGATGTATGCATTTAGGTTGACGGGAAACGGTTGTGGGAATTGGAATTTACATATATATATATGGATCGAGTGTGTGCTGGATCTCGTTGGGAGACTTCACCATCATGTCGAAGGGTCACTGTCCGATCCCTTTGGGTTTTATGGCCCATTAATATTGGGCCTCCTAGTCCTATAGCTCCATGAATCGTGGCCATGGAAATCGCCATTTCTGTATATTGAGTTGGTTTGGGGTTGGGGACAGTTCATGGTTATTAGGCATCTTTTGAACAATTTGTTTCTACATTCAAGGGTTTTGGACGAGAGAGAGAGAGAGAGAGAGAGAGACAGGGCAACAATTTGGTGAGGGGTAACGGTTGAATAAGGGCCCTCCCAATTGTTTCAAAGAGCCCTCCTCCTGTAGGGTACTGTAGCCCTCCAATGGCCCCTGAAGCTAGAGCCACGATCGAGTTCTATACATTGTGATTTAACTCCAATTATGAAGGGACTTTAATGGTTAACATATAAGTACCGATTTTTCGATTTAATTTATTCTCTAAATTACTGTTCGATATGTTCACTAGTGATATGGGATGTGTCTTACCGATATAGTGAACCGAGTTCTTGCTCTTTAGTTAGTTTTAGCTTTACTTGACTATTTTTCTTTGGCGGGTTGTACTCCGACTTTCCGTTTCTCCCTTTTATGTGTTAATTCTCTCCATTGTTTCAAGTAATAATACTATATCACCATTAGCTATAAAAAAAAATTGCATTGTAACATTGGGACCAATCAACTTGCTAACCATATCGAGTTAACACTATGTTAACGTAATACAATTATAGTTATAATCATTATTTTTTACAGTTGTAGTCGTATTTTCTCTCGATCGTAAAACTACAACTCCGACATGGACTACTACAACTCATGGTTATGTGGGTGCTAACTCTCTACGAGGTTAGCATAGTATTCTGTCCGTGTACTGATATTTGTACAAGTTGGCACGTGGCATTGGTAGCTGCTGGTGCTGGACATTGGAATTTGTGCTATCATCACTTCATCATCATCATATATATAAGTGGGTGATCATTATGTCATTTGGTAGTTCTTGTCATGAATCATTTTTGGCCACACCACGCAGCTGTAATTTGTATATGGCAAATAGGATCAGTCGTTTGGTAATCGTCATTAAGTTTGGGCTAATTATTCATTAAATACCAATCTTGTCAGATGTCAATGTATAGGGCATAATGGTTAAAGGATCGAGACGATAGGTCAATAGACTAAAAGAATTCATGCATGTTAGTTGGTCGTCTTGATCCTGCCTTAATTATGCGATTTGATGTTTTATCCACCCACGGAAACAAGATTATATCGTACTTAGTTCTTTATTATTCACGTCAAATAAAAATTCAGTCTTAGATAATATACAAAACGAAGAAAGAAGAATAAACGATGACTTGAAACCATCTAACAAAATATCAAATAAGTACACAGATGACGAAGATCTTCCTTTTATTTAATTCAATAATTCAAATACAAGACATGTTGTAGAAGTATCTATTGTTTTCAAAATGTACGTACTATCATTATACTTTATTCTACTCGAATCGAATTGAACTCATACACGTGGAATGTCAAAAGAAACGAACACAGAGCTAGGGGGAAAACTAGTGGCCTCAATCGAATTTGGACCCTCCTATCGATCGGGCCATATTACACAACCCTACACTGGCATATAATTAAATGGATTTGCCTCAACTGCTTTCTGGAGTGTACGTTACATTAAAAATGGATGATTTTATAGGAACAATTTATATAAAAATTGAATATTGAGGCATATTTGGTGTGGTGAGGGCAGCGCCACCGTACGTCGACGACACGGTGGGGGCGGCGGTGGTTGGCGGTTGCCGACGCGGACACTTCTCCGGGCATGAATGCCGACCGGTACGCGTCCCATCACATTTCCCACCCACGACGATAATCATTGAAACGACACCGCGTGATGTGCCACGCCAAGAAGGCAAGAATTCATCCTTCAGGTGGTGTTGTTTTATATGAATCGATCGATGAATTTGCCGTGTGCCAGACGGTAGGTTTACAAGTTCTGAGTGGTAGGTTTTGTCAAAAAACTGGATGAACGATTAGTCGATGTTGTTGGTATACATTAACTCGAAAAACTCAAACTCTAGGCGTTGTTTAAGATTATTCTAGAAGTTGAGTTTTTTTCATCTATTTGTTACTTTATAATAGTAAAAATATGATGTAATAAAAGTAAAATCCTAAGGAATTTGAGTAAAGTTACATATAATTTAGTCAAAACGAGTCGAGAATGGGTGGGTCATGTCCAAGAGAGCAGTCATGGCCGCCCCGCCCCTTCTACGAGACGGGTATTGTCCACTAAAAACAGGTCAAACAAATCAGCTAGTAAATACAGGTCACGTCCAAATTATCATCCCTAAATGAGAAGTAAGCATTAGAGAGAGGTAACTCTGGACATGGTGCTACTAAATTCTGAGCTGACATTGTCCAAACTCTCACAAACTATAAAACTATAACCAACTAGACGTGTGCAGTGTCACATGCACATATTAATTAAGCACTAGTTGGTGATGTTAGTTGATACCAAAAACAGGGATATTTTCTTCATTTTCATTACTAAAACGATCGAAGAACTTTTCAATTCCCCCGTGACATATATATATATGTGTGTATTATAATGTTAGATTGAGGTACTGGATTTTGCTTTTGTGCTCTGTTTTTTTGGGTAGACAGACCCGTGGAATGTTGGAGTGGACTTTTTCGTTGCTTAGATCTTTGCTGACATATAGTGACGAGAACAGAGGCGGTGGTTTCCTTTTCTTTGCCCATACCTCATCATCGATCTCCACCGGTTACCCAACTCCCATTTATTAATCTTACGAGAAGGAACAGAAATCATACAAATCTATATATTTTGAAAATCCGGTATATTTTTCAATAATTTGAGTTAATGAGATTATCGGTTCATTTGTGATGTGGTCCCACAAATTGTTTGTCATTGAAGTTATGTTTTTAAGTCTTCACGACTACAGTATTAACTGTTGTCTTAAAGCATCTGGTATAACGAACCTATATATATGCAAACTTCAAAAGCCCATAATTGACTTTCGTATTTGAGAGGACGTGTAAGAAAGTGATTAACATTTATAAATGAACATCTCTCATGCTGGAACCAATATATATATAAGTACACAACTTCCGGTTTAGTAAACAGTTGAATATTAGGGTTTTACGTGCGTACTAAATATTGCCATGCATGCATCACGCAACCGTATTGTACGTAGATAGACGACAGGTTTATAATTACATTTTAATGTGGTCTGTATTTTATGAAGGATAATTTGGATATAGACAGTGATCAAAATTCGTCAAAATATGTTTGTCAAGAAAAAAGAATGATAGGTATATATAACGGCCCTTCGATCGGCACCACTTGGAAAGGTGTATATATTGGGGGAGCAAAAGGTAATAACTAATTAATAATCAATGCAGTTAGGCACCCACGAAAAGCCTTGTTTGATATTATATATTTTTTTCTCCAAAAATAGTAAAACCCTACTTGATGTTATATAAAAAAAAGTCGGTAATAGAATATTTTGTATTGAAATTTTAATTTAACCGTGATTTAACTATTCATACAGCTAAAATCATATACCGACTTGAGATTCGATAAGCGATTTTTTGGTTGAAATATCGGTACGTTACGATTTTGAAATCACTGTTTTTTTTATGGATTCTATTTTCATATCGTGGATGAGTTCTCAAAGTAAATTCACGTGGTAATACACCTAAGTTCATGTAATTTGTGTGAGTTGGTGATTTCTCACGTTAATCTTCTCAATGTCAATGTTATATTGCAATGTTCTTACAACCAGATCATGTCCGTACATGATCTGGATCAGTAACAAACTAACGTTCTAATCGTCTGATTATTTATGTGTCCAAGAGGTGGTACTGTTCGAATCTTCATTCACATGCACAAAATAGGAAAGGGAAACATGAGTAGTAGAAAGGCATATATATATGTAATATGATTGATCGATGTACATCATTTGCTATCTTTGTCTTCTTACACCACATGATGAATTAGGTATGTTTTATAATCACATCATGGTGCTCTTTATAAGTTGAACGATTACGTACGTACATATTAGAACTCTGATAAATCTACATCATTATTCCTATCTTTGTCTTCTTATAATACCACATGGTCATGAACTAGCAAGGTAGGTTTTCCTTTTGCGGTACAAGACATGTTAGACGGTGCATATGCAAAGGAGATTACGTATACCACTTTCTCATGTGTTGTTATAAACGCGCTGCTACGGATCGGGAAATCGCCGGAATCGATAAAGCAAGAATACGAAAGCGAGAATCGAAAAAACACAGACACACGATTTACGTGGTTCACTAACACGATGCGTGTTAGCTACGTCCACGAGCGAGAGAGAGCCAGTTTCACTATATAGAGGAGATTACATATTACAGAGGAGTATGAGAAGTATTTATAGTACTTCTACCAATCGTAGCGGCTGATAGTCCGATTCAAGTCACATCAACATGTGTGTTACTTGGCAATGGAGAGAGTGACTTGGCAATAGTTAGGTTTTTAATTCGATGACTGATAGACCTCTTCGAATCTCGATGATCACATTTGTTTTGTTTATCGCATGGTGTTCGGATTTATGTAAATTTTAAACTCATTTATGGTGACTTTCGTTTAATGGGATGTATTATTAAGTGGTATATGATATATATTATTAAACCCCTCCAACAACTCAGAATTATTGAAATCGAGAACCAAAGCAAAGCAAAAACAAAAGTTAGGTTTTCATTTCGATGATTTGATGGTACTCTCTTGTAGACCGAAACCGCAATGGCAATATTCTTGTTAAATAGATCGAAGATCTATTGCTAGATACTTCTTAGTAGAATATTACATTTTTTTTTGGCCGTTGACTACTCAATTCGGTGAGCAAGGAATTAGGTCAACCCTTCAAGCTATTGGAACCCATGACTGACCATTATAGAATGCAATATCGTAGTAGTGTCCATGATTTGGTCAAAAGACCAAACACGTAAACAAAACAAAATGAAAAAAACCGTTGTATCTAAAATACACTCCCAACTATAAATGCAAGACATGACATCTTGCACCGTATGTATGTTTGTATAACTACGACGGGCGGCGATAGGGCTAGTGGGATCATAACATATATACGCGTAAATAGTATTTGACTTAACTTGCTTCCCACGGTAGATATATGTATATGTGTGCAAAAGCGTGATCGTCTTCATTATTGTTGATTTTAGAGTAACTTGCTAATATTGTATGACCTAATATTAGGGATACTACTTGTCATAAATTAACCGGTTCTAATAACTCGACCTTCTGAGAATACTTATTAGGAGTTTAAACTTTAAAGTTAATTTGTACTTGTCCGTTCATGTGTTTTAATCGTTTCTTAGTATTGGGAGTCATGGGAACTTGAATAAGATACCTCGCGGTTAAGTAAGTTATGATAGCCTGTTATAACTTACACTGAAATTGTTGGAAGTAATTAAATAGATTCATGCCTATGGCATTTGCGTGGAAGAGTACCAAGAAAATCTCTATATTCCTTTTTTTTTTTTTGGGTATGAGAAACTTACAACATATATTTGACATGCTGCTGAAAACGATCTATAAAACGTATCAAATCGACATTACGATTAATCATCTTATTATTTACCTTCATAGTAGCTATATTTTCACAATTACAACGATATGATTTGAACTATTGATGAGTCGAGTTGCCTCAAATTCATCTTTATCTTTTCCCTATCATGTAGTATTTTGCCCTATATATTAATGCAGCCGACAATAGAGGGGACTTGATTTGCAATAAATTTCCATTTTGGGGGGGCAAGGAACCCATATCCCCCAACGGTGTGAGAATAGGTCCATAGTTCATTTTCCATACGACTACCTCCCCAACCATATTCTGCTCAATAAATGTCTAGTGGAGTTTTACAATCACTTACAGCTGTGACCAAAGAGAGGGCGATGAAGAAGAAGAAGTTAACTTGAGAATGGTAAATTAGCTACATTTACGACTTATAACTTGTCGCAATTTGAGTCCAATCGAAAAAATTAATTACAAATATCTCAAAACAACGATACAGAACGAGATGAAACACACACCGAGAAAAAATCTTCTCAACTTTCGAATGAATGTAAGTAAAATTATATGTAGATTTATATAATAAACTTAAGAAATGGAATAGTCGGTAAGGACTTAACCTCTGGATAGTCGGTTAGAATTTTTTTTACCTATCTCATTCAGATTTCGGGTTCCACCATGACCTCCCCATCTATCAGAAACATCTATCTATCTAGTTGTCTCATGGATTTACCAACCATAGTTTTGTTTTGTGTTTTCTTTCTCCTCCAATATTAACTCTCAATGAGGCTGTATAATCTTCAGCAAAGAGCTATATAAAGAGGGCAATTGAGTAGCATGCAATCCTCACAATTCAAGTCACAAAGCTTTAACCTTTCTTTCTCCTCATCTCTCCGTTACTTCTTCTTCGCGTCTTTGTGTCTCTCTCTTCCACCCAATTTGCTCGCATTTTGGGACTTTGCAGAAACAAGCTAGAATCTTTTTCTCCCTTTGTTGTCTTGTCGGCCAAATTTGGAAACTTGCTGATCCACAGTCCGCCACGTTTTCAAGTTTGTGTACCTTGGGCAACGCTGACGGCAAGTGTTGAAGGCACAGAGAAAGCAGAGTTAAAAACAAAAAAAAAAAGGGTGTAAAGCCTCTGTTTTCGAGTTCTTTTGATATGGCTGCTGGCTTGTTGTCCACTTGGCCATGGGAGAGACTTGGGTTGTACAAGGTACTGAACAAAGTTTCGAACTTTTTGTTCATTTGATCCAATTGGGGTTTAGCTGATGTGGGTTTTGTTCCAATTGTTTAATTTTTGTGTTTGTACTCCGAATGTCCTCCAACTGTTTGCTGTTTTGTCTGTGTGAAGTATATACTGTACGGGCCAATAGTGGGAAATGTCCTGTATTCCACATACCAAGAGGGCAGCTTGAAGCTGGATTGGTGCTTTTGCTTGCTAGTACTTTGGTACATCAGGCATCTTGTGAATCTGTATTGGAGCACTTTTGTCAACATGATGTTCCTCTCCAAGAGCATCAGGATCGACAAGCAAGGCTATGGATTCAAGCAGGTCGACAGTGAGTGGGATTGGTAAGTAGCTGTGTTCTCCTAAATTGCTAGCAGTGGGGATTCGAACGAAGGATCATCTCATGATTGTGAATACCTATTTCTTTTTGTTTCTCAGGGATAATTTTCTGGTCTTCCAATCCCTGATTGGGTTCTTGGCATGTTCTATGTCGTCAATGGGATCACTTCCTATCTGGAACACAAAAGGGTTGTTGTGGATTCTGGTTCTTCATGTTGGAATCTCAGAGCCGGTTTACTACTGTGTTCATAGACTCTTCCACACAGGCTCCTGGTTCACCAATTACCACTCAATCAACCACTCGTCTCCAGTGCTGCATCCATACACAGGTAAAAAAAATACAGCTTGACAAGAAGAAAACCAAGCAAGACCAATGAATGTGTGATCAAGTTTTGATCCCTCTTCCACTCTTCTTTTGACAGGCTACCAACTTACATTTCTGGAGCATCTGGTGCTAACTTCTGTAACTGGGATCCCAATTCTTGGGTCTTTCCTCCTGGGTTATGGATCGTTGCTTACAATTGCTGGATATCTTTTGGCGTTTGATTTCCTGAGATGTATGGGATATTCCAACACTGAGATAGTGCCTCACCAACTTTTCCAGACCCTGCCTTTCCTCAAATACCTCATTTACACAGGAACGTAAGTATTGTACAAATCTCTCTCTTATCTTGTTTTGGCTTGAATTTAAGCATTCTTCTGGTTTGCAAGTAAAAAATCCCTCATTACTATCACCCTTTGTGAGGAAAAATCCCCCAAATTGAATTCCACATGGTCCCTTTTGGCTAAATATAGATACATCATATATACTTCTTTTAGTTTGACGTCCTTTTTGCCTAAATTTTGTGTTCTTTTTGTGACATTGTTTGTTTTCTTCTTTGATTTCAGGTACCATAGCCTGCATCATGCTGAGATGGAGACCAATTTCTGCCTATTCATGCCAATCTTCGATGCAATTGGGAAGACCCTCAACAGCAAGTCATGGGAGCTGCACGAGAAGATGCGTTCAAAAGCAGGTAACTTTGTTTTAGTTTTCCTTCCCTTTTCTACAGATTGCTTGTCAATTTGGGGCTTCCAAGTAGTGGGTACAAATAAATGCACCTTTCAGATTTCTGGGTACAGCTATTCTCAGGCCACTTGGTTCTGCAAAAAACCTTTCCCTCTGCCCTTTTGGGGGACCATAGTTTTCAACTGTGTAGCTTAAGCAGGCCCTAGATTTTTACTTGGTGTAGGTTCATGAATGAGTGTTCTCTAACTATGTGATTTTTGGTTTACAGGGACGTATGGGAGAGTTCCTGATTTCGTGTTCTTGGCACATGTTGTGGATGTGTGTTCTGCAATGCATGCCCCCTTTGTTTTCCGGACGTTTGCATCGCTGCCATACCGATTTCAAGCCTTCTTGATCCCTTTCTGGCCTATAACATTCGGGGTGATGATTGCGATGTGGGCTAAAGCAAAGACATTTGGCTTTTCTTTCTACAATCTAAGGGGCAAGCTCCATGAGACATGGGTTGTGCCCAGGTTTGGTTTCCAGGTAAATGTTAAAAATTTTGGGCCTCACTCGAGGAATGAGAATGATATGTTGATGATACTAAATAAAAGGGGGGAAACATTGTTGCAGTATTTCTTGCCATTTGCAAAGGAAGGAATCAACAAGAGGATCGATGAGGCTATTCTCAAAGCTGATGGACTTGGAGTTAAGGTTCTGAGTCTTGCTGCATTGAACAAGGTGGGTTGAATTTTATTTATCTATCTTCATATGGTTTATGAAATCGAACCAGGCTTGTCAAACCCGGCTCGAGTTGGCTGGTTGAACTGGTCAAATCAAAGACCCAGGAGCCTAACCAGCCTGATTGTTGGCCAGGTGGCTGAGTCATTGAAATGATCAAATTTAGACTACCATAAGGTGCTGAAACCGTGTGCTACCACCTTCAATTGCTGAGTCGAAAACCCATCTTTGATCTGTGAATCTGGTGACCATGGTAGTTGAAGGAGTAAATGCCGTGCATATCAATCCATGTTCTACCATTATTACTGCACAACATTGGGATGGGGTCCCATTAACTTTTCTGGTTTCTCCTATGTGGATATTGTCCCATAGAGTGGCAGTAGTTATCTTGCAAATATAAGTTGTTTGTTTATGCTGATATAGGAAACAAAGAGACCTATCTCAGTGAAAGTAATAGAGTTACCAATTGGCTGCGTGATTCATAATAGAGTCTTCTGACATGGAAGTGGAACTAGACAAGATTAGTTGAATGCCTGAAGTGTGAAATATATAATCATGATCCAACTTAGCTAGACGTGTCAGCTACAAAGTGGATATCTTAAGACACATGACATATTCTAGCAATTTGTTAACTGTTGTCTTTCATGAAGATAAGATAAGCATTTCTCTGCAAAATAGGTGCCTTAGGGCCATTGCCAGTTTGGCACTGCAAAGCATTAATGTGCACAGCAGGGAAGGTGGCAATATGGCTTGCCATTACAGAGTTCAGATCGATTAAAGGAAGGACACAGACAATCAATTGAAGTAGAAAAGACCCGTATGGGTAGAGTGTCATGTCACCCCATACCAAGCAAGCCTATTTATTCATTCAGCCTCTTCTGCTGCTTCTTGCTTCTGGGCTCTGGCTGTCTGCCACGATCCCATATACAGACTTTTTCAATCTGCTTAGCTGGTACCTTACTTGTCATCAGGCTATCAACTTAGTAGGCGGCACAAATCTATGACTATGGTTATTGTGACTGTCGAACCTAACCTGAGATCTCTAGTTTGGCAGGAACGTTAGACCTGCCACAGTTCCTTCTGTTTCTTTGTTTGGGTCGTTTGAAAAGTTCAAAAAGATTGAAACTTTAAGCTTGTTAGTAGAATTGGAGTAAATGAAGAAAGTTGGGTATTGGTAAGTAAAGGTAAAATGAATATTGAACCTCTATCCTGAACAGGTTGGAAGTAAATGCTCATTTTCCAGAACTGTGTTCTTTCTTGTGAATGAATGAATGTTATCACAGCAGTAGATACCAAATGTGAATTTCTGATCAGGGTCATGGAAGTCTGTTTATTAACCATTAAACCAATGTCCTGAAATGTGTTACTCCTTGGTTGCAGAATGAAGCACTGAATGGAGGTGGAACATTGTTTGTGAACAAGCATCCGGACCTCAAAGTTAGAGTTGTCCATGGGAACACATTGACAGCAGCAGTTATCCTGAACGAGATTGGTGAAGAAATTGAAGAAGTGTTCCTAACAGGAGCCACTTCCAAGCTTGGAAGAGCCATTGCACTCTACCTTTGCAGAAGAAAAGTCCGAGTCCTTGTAAGTTTTCCTTTCTCCCCCCTTGGATGTTAAAACATTTATTGGCCGGTTTGATGACATGAATGTTTGTGCTGAACATGATGTTTCTTTCCCCAGATGTTGACTCTCTCAACAGAGAGGTTTCAGAAGATTCAGAAGGAAGCTCCTGTTGATTGCCAGAGTAACTTGGTGCAAGTTACCAAGTACCAGGCTGCTAGACATTGCAAGGTGAATATTTTGGTATCAGTATCACCCTGGTTATTGATTGATGCCTCCATTTGTGTGGTGGAAAGTTCTTAACTTTCTTGTTCTTTTACTGTTGCTGGTGTATATTTTAGACTTGGATAGTTGGGAAGTGGATAACATTAAGGGAGCAGAGTTGGGCGCCACCAGGAGCCCATTTCCACCAGTTTGTGGTGCCACCAATTTTGGCCTTCAGGAAGGATTGCACCTATGGAGACCTTGCTGCCATGAGATTGCCTGATGATGTTGAAGGGCTTTGGAGTTGTGAGGTACAAATCATCCACACAAAAAACCTGAACCTCAAGATGACATTTCCGAATAATTTCTTCCCTTCTATGAATCAAAGTTCATGTTGTAACAAGCTTCGATTAACGTTTTCTATTCGACTGGTTTCAGTACACGATGGATCGAGGAGTTGTCCACGCGTGCCACGCTGGAGGCGTGGTGCACTTCTTGGAGGGATGGACACACCATGAAGTGGGAGCAATAGATGTTGACAGGATTGATCTGGTGTGGAATGCTGCAATGAAGCATGGCTTGAAGCCTGTCTCCAACATCAACAAACTCAAACAAAAGTAGAAACATTGCTCTGAGATTGATGGCTTTGATGTCTGTTTACAATGCAATTGTTGTTTATTGTCCTCAATCTATCTATAGTTTGTATCCTAATGCTGTAGCTTTTGGCTGTATCCGATAAAAAAATTGTAAGGATTAGAAATAGGGCAAAAGGAAAGAAGAAGAAGTTGTTATAAGTGAAAGAAAAGCAAGAAGAACAACAGTCTTTCTCTTTTTTGTTCTTTACATTTATAGATCTTAGGGAAAAGTCAATTGTTGTGTAAGGTGTATTGTATCCCTCTTCTCAATTTCATTAATGAAAGGGTAAATTCGTTCTATCTTTGTCTTATTTTCTTTCCAAACATACAAAAATCTTGAGTGATTATTGTTCAATAATTGATTTATTAGCCAAGAGACATTCATAGTCTCATCACAAACATTTTCACTTGATACCCAGTAAAGTTTGCTTATTGAGAACTTACAAGTTGTTATGTTTGGCATATACATTGTTAGAAGTCGATACAATTCCAACGATGTTATAGTTTTACGATTGATAATCATTTGATTCAAACTAGAACTGACTTGACAAACTGACACAATATTCAGGAATAGTAAATTTTAGATGTCGGGTAGGAGCTTATGTGAATTTATTGTTTAAAATTCTCCGCTCCAATTTAGTTGAACTTACAGTTAGTAGTTATCAGTGTTCTCGTCTCCAGCTTTGATCGACCTCACGGTTTGTTCTATCATTCGCCACCATCGACCTCTAAACAACCAAAACCATTGTCACGATATCTACTACTTCAGTTCCTCTCCCATTAGTATCCAACTTCGATTGGGCCAAACATCTAATAGTAAAACAGAGCTCCCCTGTTTTTACCCTTTGCAATATGCCCTGTACTTTCAGAACGAAACACTGCCAGGAGTTTGACAGGTTCCATACATCAGTCATTGTTTGTCTGAAAGCTACACCAAAGATTATAACTTGATGTTCTCCTTTTTTACAGGGTATGTTCGGCGAAGCAAGAAGTTGACCATGGAGATGTTGATGACCAAGAAAGTGACGAGGAAGGACAGCAAAATCCTGTACTGTGGAGAAATCAAATGTAACAGTGGAGCAGGAAGAAGAGTTCTGTGATGTTGTTGTTCTTCCTCCTACCACTCCTGAAAAGGAATCGTTCTCTCGGTCAGCAGCAACAGAAATCAATCAGTGCGTCGTCGTCAGGAAGTCTTGTCGTCGTCGAGCCACGTGGCCCCCCGGAGAAGCTGTCGTTCTTCCTCTTCATCTTCTGCCGTGTCAGGTCAGGTTTCCATATATAGTCTGTCAATAGTTTAACATCTCCTATATGTTGATTGCCCTGTTTTTACCCCTGTTGTAGGATGGTTTGCTTGGTTGTGAGTTGGTCACGTCAGGAGTTTTCGGACACAAATTGGCAAAGTGTTAGTGTTGAGTGAAAGTTGTAGGAGATAGCCTAGTAGGTATTAGATCGGCCAAAGCCTTGTAGATTAGAGTCTGAAGTTATCTCGAGTGTTATCGAGTCTTCTTATCTCGAAACATAGCTGAATAAGAGCTATTTCTCTTTCGTTAAGACGGGCAATATCGTACCCCGTCGATTTGAGGCAACTTAACAAAATGTCTCTAATGACCAATCGTAAATCGGTGTCTAGATTACAATAACATGTTGCAAAGCTAGCTAATTTATCGTCTCCATTACCAATCGAACTTGATTTACCAAGGATAGATTCGTTGGCATGGCTAGTGGACCCGAGTTCTTTTTTGGTAATCCTTATAAGTTATAGTTACAGGAGAGAGTCTCCATAACATGAGATTGAAGACGGTTATTGCTGATCATTGACAACCACAATCGACCAATGTATGTATGTATGTATCAAATGTCACCATGAGATGTAGGAAATGTGTGTTCAAGTGATGAAGTTGTTATTCACATTCTTGTAACTTTTAGATCACTTCAATGTGGGTGGTGTCTTGTGGTTGCTATAGTTTTTACTTTGTATTGACACTCTCTAAGAGTTTATTCTGAAAGTTAAATGCACTAAAAGTGCACTAATCTATCACAAATTTTGCTTATGGTCAAGAAGGTTTAGGCGGTGGCATTAAGAATAAGAGATATATGATATCCAAAACCAGCGTGGCTGTGTCCAATAATATGCTCAACATGGATGCGATCGATGCAAACAATTCAAGTTAGGTGTGAAGTTGACAATCTTCGGTAGTGTCTACTTTGGCAGTTTCTTGTCAAAGTGGGTTCCTATTGCCATATTCTTTATTGGCACTGCCATTTGCATGCTCAATTATGTCAGTTCAACCATCAATTAGCTCATCATATAAATGGTATATCATACTCATGGCACCAAATGATATGTCTTTTACATTCAGCTACTCGAGTTATTGATCGGAGAGGTTATGCATGTGTTTCAAGTTATGTAACTTCTAACTTTCATAGTAATTCGAAGATTTACTTTGTAGATGAGTATGTAATTTTCAATCTTATCGTTATTTTGAACCTTGTCGCACTAAATTTTCGTTTGGATATAAAAGAGATATACAAGATCTATAAGTACCCTTCTCCCAACAATTGGTGTTATTAGGACCAACCTTGTTGCTATGCACTTCCGTTTGGATGCAAATGAGAGGTATAAGATTCGTAATTAACCCTCTTCGAACAATTGGAGTTATCGGAACCAAACGGTTTATGACATGGTGTCACACCTGGCTGGCCAAGTGATCGTGTGTTTGAATTTTCATGATCTTAAAATACTAACAGTTGATTTAAGCACGAAGAATGATGGTTCTGTGCAGATTTCGAGTTTGAGAAGCGATCTTTGTCTAATGACACGTGTGGAGTTTGTTGGGACCAAATGATTTATGCCAAAGACGGTAAAGTCGGGGGTTCTTGAAAGCTTTTCCACCATGGATATGTGTGATTGGACCGGTTGATCATGATTGACATGCATAAGCACAAGGAAGAGAGAAGATCAAAGGGCAACTGATGAAAGACCATATGGCAACATGTGCCGTACCCATGGAATGGCAAACTTTTCTGCCCATGTTACTTCGTCGATCGATGTGGACCTCATCATCGACAGAATTTCAAGCGAACATGATTGAGTTTGCACTAGTAGCTACTAGTACCGTTGGCCAACATCAACGAGCTATATATATATGTGCATATTTTAGTAGCTAGCTAGCTAAGGAGAGAGTGGGCGTCGTCTTCTCTTCTCTACCCATGTTTGTGTGTGTTGAGAGGTCCACGTACGTACCAAATTGGAGGAACAACCCACACGATTGTATCTTAATTGTTGTCCCCACTCTATTCCCTGCGGTTAAGACTCTAGAGAGAGAGAGAGAGAGAGAGAGAGAGAGAGCTAGAGATAGAGAGAGAGCACATGGCGACACCAGTATCCACTTATTCGTTGACACCCTTTTGCTTAGGGATGGATCAATGGATGCTTGAACGGTTACTCAATCCTATGTATAGTAATACCGTGATGAACTCGGTGCATACATGTTGCGGAATGGTGGTGACTAATTACCATGTGGTTCGTTGGAGAATGATGAACCTTTGGGTTTTAGGCTTATAGGTGGCGTTCATGTGGCCATAATGCAAAAACTTTCCATCGCTCGAGCTATCTATAGCTCATGTACGCTAAACTGATCGAAATCAAACTGAAAGTAGCTAGCATCGATTGTTTGGACTAGAACCAACATGGATAACGAAATCACAAAATGATATATGATAAGCTACTGGCGGGGTTCTCTCCTAAAGAGTTATGTGGTCAATTTTGTTTTTGACATAATGTCAAACCGAACATTTGATGAATGGTATATAAAATTTCCTTTTTAAATATGTCCGAACAACTTGAGTATTAAGCGAACTTGATAGATTGATAAGCTTACTTAACCATTGTGAAATCAAAACTAAAGAAGTACTTTGTCTTTGTCGTGTGGGTTGGAAAGGAAATTGACAACCTTTGTTTAGTAGATAGTAAGTTAACTGTAATATGATTACACAAGTCATTGACGGGTTGGACTTTGTTGGACGAACCAAGAAAAAGAGGGCCAAGAAAGCCGTACATTTTCATGAAGAGGGAGAGAGAGTAACATGGTAGAGAGAGAGAGAGAGACACCAACATGAAATCCATCCATGATTTAAGGAGAGGGGATGGAAATGGAATTATATGAATATCATATTCCATTTCCAGCACACATCTCATGGTGCAGTCGAAGCTGTAAAGTCTTTTGATTTGATCGAACGAACCTTCCATAACGTATACGTTTGACTAAGGTAGGGTTTAGGTTTGAAAACTTGTGTTTGATCCTTGAACTTTTTTCAAAATTGGTCATACATAAATCTCCCTAGCTCCTTCAACAGACTCTTAAAGGTTTAGGTTACTACCTACCACTACGGAATAAGAGGTATGCATGTGTTTACACTTAGTAACATCCAGAGGTCATATTGATCGAAACCCGAGATTCATATCAGGTCATATTATTAGTACATGAATGTTTCTTTACAATCATCTGATTATATGATAGATACAAAACAAGTGGCACAAAGAAAAAAATGTAACGAACAATGTAAGATGCGGTTAATTAACTCAAAAACGATGATCATTTCATGATTGATGTAGGTGGCGTCAAGAGTGATCGATGTTGTATGCGAACTTATCGCATTGAACTGAAATGATAGACCTAAGATTGATCCAAATAATTAATACGTACATACCATCACACAACATGAATCTGGCAAAATCAACGATATGACAGATGTTATCATCACCGTCACGTTACGGCTCGGTGAGAGGCTAGCTAGATTGAGGATAACGTGTAAGGGGTTGTAAGTATGCCCTTATAGTTAAGGGCAGTGAGAGAGAGAGAGTGTGTGGGGTTGCCCCCTCCATCCAATATCGTTCCCCATGTGTGCACATGCGAGTGTTTGCCTGTTGTGGGCGTGCGTGCACCATGTTAATAGTAACTTGCCCATGTGTGTGCATCAATTTCATCACATCACTCTATAGTGTATATATTGATTGGTGTATAGCAACATGCATCCTCAACTAGCCAGAAACCTCAGCTTGGAGGAAGGTCATGTGGTCTTCTGGTTTAGTAGCCACTCCTCCATTAAGAAGGTTAATGGTATATTTCCTTACCCATCGTCCTTATAAAAGAGAGAAACTAGAAACTGAACTCGTTTGTTGTTGAAGGGTTTGAGACCTAGTCCCTAAATCATGAGGATGAAAACTGGAGGGAGAGAGATTACCATGAATGGTTGGGAGGGAGTGGGGAAAAAAAATTTGCGCTAGAAGGAGGGCTTGAACCTCCGACCTTGTGGTTAACAGCCACACGCTCTAACCAACTGAGCTATTCCAGCTAATTGAACAATTGGAAGTTAACAACAACACTTCACCATTCATTAGCAGTATTAGTGCCTTGGTTGATTCAGTAAGACACTTTGTTATAGAGTAGTGATCAATGTAGTCAAAATCCCGATTTTAATCTTAAAATCTTACGATTTTACGATTTTACCTATGGGTTCCGATCCTGATTTTACTGTAAAATCTTTGAACCTTAAAATCCCATAAAATCCCGATTTAGAACTCTAAAATCCATAAAATCTACGATTTCTACGATTTTGTACGATTTCAAGGTTCATATAAATTGGATCAAAATTAGGCCGGTCAAGTTGGGTTATGCCCATGAACCGAGTCAAATTTACTTTCCCCAACCCAACATAATGAACAACACAACCCCAACCTGAAAGTTAACCCTCAATTTATTTTCATTCTCTTCCTCGTATCTTTCTCTTTCGCACGTCGGCGCCCAACTCCTTCCATCAACGATATCTTCCACCCTCCCAATTAGCTTGTAGTTTGTTCCCACCACCCTCACAATAATCCAAATATCCAATACATTGCAAGCTTTTGTTCATCTCCCAATCCTTCAGCACCACTAACCCGACCTTTTATCAATTAAGAAGGGAATGCATCAATCAATGAGTTATCTTTTCCAGATGATGGTAATCAAGAAAATATGGTTAATGGTGAAAGTACTTCAAGTGATCATAAGAGTAATGATATTAGCCCTTAAACAAATAAAAACGATGAGAGTGAGGGCGAGGTTGAGGATGATGACGATGATGTGTAAGTGATGTTAATGTTGATCCTAACGATCTTATGTGATTTTTTACTCTTAACAATTAATTAACAGTGATATCTATAATGTTTCATGTTTCTTATTTGTGTGTTTCTATTATGTACAAGAAAAATATATGGATTAGTTGTGTTTGTTTAGCAAACAAACTTATCTTGGGAAGTAATTATGCTTTATGTGGTTGATTGTTATTCAAGATATGCATTTTTATTACTATCTAGTGTTTTAAGTATTTATTTTAATATGAACCTTAAAATCTTACGATTTTACGATTTTAATCTACGATTTCGATTCTACCTCAGTTTTCGATTTTACTTAAAATCTAGATTTTGACTGCATTGGTAGTGATATAGTTTGTTTTTATAACTAGAGGCTACTTAATTAGGTAATTCGAACATGAGACCTCTAGGCTCAATATTTGTGGCAGTATCACTAGACCAAATTATTTAAGAGATTCGAATATGGAACTCCAAGTTCAATAAGGCCTTTTTTCCTGTGACTGGCTAATGTACATAGGTCGATAGATAGTCGGCCAATGGATCGATGAGTAAATGACAAATTATTGGGTTTTAATTTCCAGCATCGGTGATGAAGGGGACGTGGGCTTGGTGACTATTCTGTGAGGAAAAACTCTCGCCTCTCGATCATCTCGCATTCAGAATGATACTATTCATTTAACAATTCAACATAGCCAAGAGAAATTTCTGATTCTCAGAGAGTCACACCCTTCAAAGGTAGTGGTCTCTCTAAACTTAAGGGTGGTTTTGAGTCTTCGTTTGAATCAAAATACTAATTTATGTAAATTTTGATTTGGTTTTGATTCTCGAACTTTGTATCAATTTATCTGTTTTAATTTCATTGAATCCTCGACACTTCTAGTAAACCTACTACAATACTCATATGTTCCTCTCTTTCTTTCCCCTCCAAACATGATTAACTCTATATTCAGACTATATCAGATCATGCCCACCTCCTTAGATACTAAATTAGTAGTTAATGCATAAAATCATCACTAGTAACTTCTATGAATTGATCTAATGCTAATATAACGATGATAGCATAAACCACACTTTAAGTTCAATAAAAAAAAAAGTTCAAAGTTTAACTCAAGTGATGAAACTCCCTTTCTCACTAGGTCTTCCGATTGAAAGGTCAGCCGGGAATCGCGGGGGAGCTAGCCGGTCTTCATGTACGTTAAGTATATAGGACACAATCATGCCCTTATCGATCTTCCATATTTTAGACTTAATCTTCCCGTTAAAGGGAAACCCCTAAATTTTATTTAACCCCATTAACTAGTTGTTGGAATTGTGCCATGGATTTGAGCTTTGCCACTCAAACTTCAAATTAACATGATGAATTTGAGCAATTGCCTTATTTGTTGAGTAAAAAAAAAATCCAAATTAGTGAGACTCATGGATTTGTAAATCTCTTTTTATTTTTTATTTGGGATTTGGTTGAGGGATAAAAATAATTGGTGTGAAAAAGCTATAAATCCATGGTAAAAAAAAATTAACTATACAAACAATGTACTCTTTCAAATACATGATGCAGCCAACAAATCTATCATAAATCCAAAAACTTTCCAAACTCAACTAAATACTTATTTTCAAATCCAACAAGCAAACAATCCCTTATTCGAATATAATTAGATTATGTTGCATCCATTATGAACCAAATCGTTGCATTGCCTTGCCTGCAACTACCTATGGATTACATACATAAGGATGGATGTATATAGACATTACTAGATTGATTAATTATTTTATAAAGCCATAATCCAATCAAAGGTTGACAAGTATGCTCCCTTTTGGAATTGAATTATATGTTGGGAGAAGACACCAAGGTTGGGATGTCGAATAATCCCCGGACATGCTAATCACATCCTGATCCCCCCGTGATTAGAGAGTAAGATGGAAGTAATTAAAAGCCGAAAGAAATTTTGGTTGTAATGTGCATGTGATAAGTTGGCAATGTTTGCTGTTTATTTGTGTTCCTAATTTGTTATTAGTAAATTAATTAATTATGCCGTTATTAATTAGGCGCCGGCAGTGGCACCAAATCCGGGACAATACATATGGTCTTTTACATGGGAGTGTTCATTGATTTTATTCGAAAACAGGTGTCTTCGAGGCACCAGATACAGTATAACATTATAATCAAATTTTGAGGGGAATGTAGCCCTTCCTGAACTGCACGTACATAGCTCCACCATGACGGTCGTGTGAGGTCGTAGTCGACCTGCCATATGGTGCTATAAGCATATATCATCCAAAGTCGGTGCTCCTTTTCACATCTCAATTTCTCGTCACATTTTTCTAGTCGCATGCCTCCGAGAAATCCACTATATTGGTCGAATCACCTTCGCTTCTAGCTAGCAGCAGGTTGAAACACATACGTCTCGACTCGAAATTATCTAACCGCCTCGGAATGTGTGAGCTGGCTCGCCCGATACATAGTACATTAGAGTGTTGTTTTGCATCCGTACCTGAGCATATTGTATACCGAAAAACTCATTCTCTCTCTCCGTCTCAATTGGATTGGAATCATTGGGCCGTCCGTTTTGATTTTCATGGCCGGCCGGTGAGGGGTTTCAGAATTGGTATAGTGTGGTAAATTGGTGGTAAAAAAATGGTACTATATGACTAGCTTATTATATCGCAATGGTGGGACATGTTCTCCCATGTGCATGCATGTGCGATCTGTCTTTCTTCTTCTCCCCGTGGCTCCCCACCACCTAGCTCCTTTCCTTCCCAAATAAATCCTCTGCCTCCCTTTTCCTCATTTCCTTCCTTTCTCCCACATTCCATCCTCTCTCTCTCTCTACGTTTCTTGGATCTGCAGAAGAAGAAGCATCATAGCTCAGTTCTTCAACCATATTAGAACAAAGGACAAGAGGAGGATTCAATAGTCTCTCCTTGGTCGTGATTTCTTCCTTTCAGTCATCGATCCCACAAGTAGAGCTTCTTCCAACCTTCATCAAGAGTATCATCACCAGGTGAGAGCTCCTTATATTATACATGGGTAAATGACATACTCAATTTAGCTCCTTATATGCGTTGATGAACTAATGTCATTCCAAACCCTAGTTAGTTAGTATCATTCGTGTGTTGTGTTACTCAATTTTTCCTCACATCTCTTCCAGCTTCTTCATGTGAGAATTCCTTGTATTACCACCATAGATTAATGATGACATAAATGATATGCACAACACTCCCAAGAGAAACAACCCTTTCAATTTCTTCCCATTTACTCCGGTTCATTAATGGTTTCTCCAGCTCGAATCGATATCCTAATTTTAAAAGTTAATTATGTTCTCTTGTGCGATACAGTTCATCCAAATAACTCGATTCGCTCAAACCCCAGCTGTCGATTTAGTTGGAGGATTTGTATGATATACATAACTAATTTTTCTACGTGGTATATCCTTTAAAGTTTGAAACTGAAACCAACCCATTTTCCGATTTTGGTTCTTGGTTATTGGGTTGATGAAACTTTTTCCACCTTCATTATCATTCCCTCTATAACTAAATTTGCTAATTGCCTTATTTATATTTTTGCATAAGGTAGATAGAGAAAGCATTTGCATTCACCGTCCAAAAATTAAAGGATGCGTCCTCCTACAAACTCAACAACATTCAAGCGGGAATTCCTCAAGAAATGGCTACTCGCCCTCCAACTATGTAATAACCACCACAATAACAACAACAACAACAACGGCGTCGTAGAGAGGAAAAACACGATCAAGCTCTCCGCCGAAATCGCCATGGCCGCCGCCAGGAACGGCGCCACGTGTTGGAGCCGAGCCCTCATCGCCAAACACTCCTCCTCCTCCTCCTCCCTCCACAACCAGACGCCGCCGCCACGTCACAGCAAGAAGAGAGTACTTCGGTGCAAGAGGATCATAAGGAGGAGCCGGAGGTGCATTCATCATGGGCCGGCGGCCCATGGGCCCGCAGCCGCCGTGATGAGGAGGAAGACGGCGGTGCTGAGGAAGCTGGTCCCCGGCGGGGAGTTGATGGGCGACGAGGCGTCGTTGATAAGGGAAACCCTAGACTACGTGACGTCGCTCCGGGCTCAGGTCGACGTCATGCGGAGGCTTGCTCGAGCTAGCGATCGAGCCGCCATGTGTAATGCAATGAAGTGAACTAATTTCTAATTTGATTCATATGTGTTGTTATTATTTTTATAGATATATATTATATATGTAGTTATGTAGCTATATATATATAGTCATCGTTTTGGAGTGATGGTATATGAGAAATGGGATGGAAGCCATATATATATACCTTAATTAAGGGTATGTACAGTCTACAGATGAAGCATATATATAAATGTCAAGATTTGTATTTGGGTGTTTGGGAGGTTGGAGATGTTTTAATGTAGGTTTTGTGTTCGAATCATGTTGTGTGAAAATGTTGTATCGACTATATATGTCAGATGATTATTCGATTATATTGATTATTATTCTTTTGAAAATACTCGGCCTGAGACAAAAACATATATTTTGGTAAATTATGTGTGATTTCGTATATTGATCTTCTCTGTAGTCTTCCACATAAAGGTAATCTAAAAAAAACATTCAATTTTTCTTACTAGGTATGATATATATGATTATTCTTCTACAAGTAACACAACATGGAAATACGACCGTTCAGTATGTTCAATCGATGTTCTCATTAATAATCGAGGTGTACGTGTTGGATGTTATGTGATAGATTTTGAACCGTGACTTATCATTTAACATAATCAGGGTATATAATTATATTCAACAATTTACCGAATCCCAACTTGACTAGGATAAAACTTGTCCTTTATTGTATGCACATTATTAAGGATTAATGCGAACTCAATGACTTGCATAACAAAGATTAATTATGACTAATGATGTGGGAGCATGTTCTTATAACTCGATAAAGGATTCATACATGTGTCTAGCATGTGTATTCAAATCATTATAAGGAGGAAAAAATGTTAGGAGTATTTCAAAATCAGATTACCCATGTAGACAACATCTCTTATAGCTAAGCTAGGCATTATACATTATTGAAGCACATAATGGAGGTCGAAAATGGCATTTTTCATGGTGGTAGTCGTAGTCGTAGTCGTAGTCATGACATAAGATAGAACAATGAAATGTTACATTTACTTAATTGTGTAATTTCTAATGTTTTCTCTGTAACAGAAACTCGCAAAAAAACGAAGAAAACCATCGCACCCCACCAAAATATGTCTACATGATCAGAGAGAGAGAGAGGGCTTCCCTCTCCTATTTCCTAACATGGGTTACATGGATTTATATCATGTGATGGTGACAAGAGAGAGAGGAGGTACGTAAGAAACAAGGAAAGGGGGATAATCAATCTATCATGTTAAATTGCACGTAATGGCACGATCCCTTTTTCATGTGGCTAGGCTAGCTATTCCAATCAATATGAATGTGTCTTGTCGATTCCTATGTATGTATAGAAACGTATACATGAGCTTGATAGCATGAACCCACACCCCTCAATGGATGGTACTTCGAATTGATATTTTAATCTTTTTCTAATAGTTTCTTGCATAGAATTAGGTTGTTTGTACGATCGTCAGTCATTCGGATGATGAAATCGAGGGTGATTTCATCGTAAGAATGAGGGATCATCGTTCGAACAAAATTATTTCTCATATGAAAGTATATCGGAATATTATTGCATGTACAGACAGACCCAACACATTTATGTTTGTGAAACCCTTAACACACCATAACAATTATAACTAACCAAACCCATCAACCGAATGCTCAACAAACCGAAACTCGAGTTTTGTGTACTAACTCAAGCCGAATCGTCCACCCTAGCTAGCTCATAAGTCATACAACCGTAAAGGATTGAATGTTTCTGTTTATGTTATCTTCCGTTTATTTGGAAGTTGTCTACAATATATAGCCAAACTCCAGTCTCATGTTCCCCAATGCTAGCTAGGTTTCCAGGCCATTTTCTCTCCTCGAATAGGAAATGGGAAGTTGTCCATATATAGCGTGAAGCTAGCAAGGAATGCTGTTCGAAGAGAAATGAGGTTTCGTGTAGTTTGGATGTTATGCGGTGCATGGAAAGAATTTGAGATAAAGACAAAACATATAGAGCCACAAAATTTGGGCTATTTTGTTTCTAAAACTAGATGGATCGTAGTCATGTGTGGCTTTGTGGTATTGTTGGTGCCAATCCTAGTTTAGTTCTTGGCACAAAACAGTATACAGAGATATGGGCTTGAATGGCCCAAGATTCCAATGTGAACTCTTTTTAAGTCCTGACAAATTAACAATTGACCCCAATATATGGTCCAACCCAATATGAAGCGAAACAAAAGAGACATATTGATTAGAGATTTGTAAAATAACTAATAATAGGGATTATCCAATCCAATTCTAATTGATTTTATTGGGGGAATTTAATTGATATCATTTTTGGGTGGATTTTATGTGAACCCGACTTGGAGGATAATGGGTTTGGTGCGATTTTGCTATTTTAAGTACCTGCATTGAACCTATTTGATTATGTGTGATAATTATATTCTAGACTCACTGGTTTCAACACTTCAGTCATCATATCTCTCAAATATTTTCTTAAAGACATATCTCTCAAATATTACAATTATATCTTAGACATCAAATCTTACCTATTTCTCTCAATTTTACAAACAATTTTTCAAAGAAAATTCAATTAACATTAACATTCTAATAAAATGTGTACATTGTATCAAAACTTTATACATTTTTTTTGGTGATGGAGCCGGTGGATTTTCCCGGACTGAATAGGACAAATTGCGATTATAACTTTGTAATAACTTCATAAATCCTTTTAAAAACAAATAACAAATCTAACTAGAGCATATCAAACCTTTTTTTGGATAATAATTCTCATTTTCTCTTTAATTCGGGTTCATATTAATTTCACTAAACCTAAAATAACAATAGGGGTTCTCACCAAAAAATAATAATAATAACAAAAGGGGTTCCTTTGATGTGTCAGAAGATGGAGAAGATGGATGATCATCCAGAGCTCAAGTCTGTACCACCATGGAAGTCCAATGACATGAAGGTAAATATACTTCAAAATTGATCATATATGGTTTATGACCAAGATTAAGATTTAATTAAGTCAAAGCTTAATCCTTTCTTGTTTTTGGTTCTTAATCAAATCACAGTCATGGATATCAATGCAACAAGCAATGCACCCTGAATTGAACTACAACAGGAAGAAATGGGTAGGCAATGTTAAACCTTTATATGCAACAATAATTCATAAAGATTTGAACTTTATCAAACCTTTGTTGAATCCCAATTCATGAAAAATTGCAGGTTCCATGGGAAGTGGGACCATTATTCAAGATATCAATCAAGAAATGGCTGAAGGAGATGAAATTGAAGAGGAAGGAAGAGGACAGGCTGCAGAGAGCTGAGATTCATGCAGCCATATCAGTGGCAGGGCTGGCAGGGCAGCTGCTCTGGCTGCAATTGCTGCTGCTGGCAAATCAAAGGAGAAGATCGATCCGAGGGAGGAGGAAGCAATGGCTAATGCTGCAGCCTTGGTGGCTGAACAATGCGCGAAATTCGCGCAATCCATGGGAGCTAAGAAGGAAGATCTCAGCAGTGTTCTTGGGTCAGCCATGAGTGGTACTGATTCAAGTGACATCCTCACTCTTACAGCTGCTGCCACTACATGTACTGCAGATCTCTTTCCTTTCCTTTTGTTTTTTCTTCTTATTCCTCTTATGAGACTGTCCTAATTAGAACTTTGTTTGGTTGAAAACTGTAGCACTGAAAGGAGCAGCTACACTAAAAGCAAGAACAGAATGCAAGAACAGATTCAATGGCAATGCTCCAGTTCTTCCTATTGAAGACAGCCATGATCATCATCACCATCATCATCTTGATCTCGACTTCGACAAGAACAGATCAATGCTTGCCTCTGGCACAGAGCTTCATGTGGAAACACCAGATGGTGAACTTATTCCCCTCCTTATTCTTAGACATGTAGTCTGTGATTGATTGGTACTAATTAAATTGATTGTTTCAAACAGGAGATTTTAGGGTGAGGTGGATTTCGATCTTCCTTGACAACCAATCCAAAGTTGTCCTAAGAATGAGAAAGTTGAATCTGTTTAGAACCACAAAAGAAAGTATTTTCTTCACATTTTTCACATTTCCAACCATCATCTTTGACAAGAAAATATCTCAACCCAATTGCCTTTTGTTTCAGATATTGTGTTTGATATTCATGCCGAGGTGCACAAGAGACAGATTCAAGACATGGGCTACTGCAATTAACCAATTGCCTTTTGTTTCAGATATTGTGTTTGAGAAAGTTGGACATGGGAGATGATTATGATCGTTACAAGACATGGGCTACTGCAATTAACTATGCATATGCTACTTCTTTCTTCTAATTCCTATAACAAACTATGAGCTCCAATTCTACAAAAAAAAAAAAAAAAAAAATCTAAGAGCTACATAATCTAGTTGGATTAATGAAGATTTGCCCACTTTTTGCTCTTATTTTTCCTATGTACCCCTTTAGGTTTTATAACTATGATTCATGTACCTTTCTCCAAAGGGTTAAGAACATAATATTCTCTTAACCATAATGAAATTTTTTAATCTACTACTAGTCACAATGTGCAAACGATATTGTCAAGAACTAGTTTATCCTCGATCATTTTCTAATTATTTAAATAGGCTAGGAAGAAGAAACTTATTGAAAAGCAACATCAATTGAAGAAAAAAGGAAAAGGTCAAAATTACACAACTTTTTTCTTCAAATTACCATGAACAAGCTACCTCCTTCCTTAGAGGATCCACATGAACTACCCCCCTGCTTAGCAAATGCCGCCTTGGAAGGCATTACTTATCACATTGCTTCAACAGATCCCTGAGGAGCTGAACTCTAGACTTCAGTTTCAGAATGTGATCAATGGATTTCTCAAACAGGGTTTCGACCTCGGTCTCTTCCTCACATCCTGGAATCATCTGCTGCAAAGTTTGGATGTTTCGAGAGATCGAAATGTCCTCGATCGCCTTCTCCTTCTTCCTTTCCGCGGCCTTGTTCTTGGTCATCTTGCTTCCCTTCATGACTAAAGAGGAGTATTGCGTAAACTTGAATTTAGAGTGTGTTGGATGTTTCTCGTTTTGGCCGGGGAGAGGCTTATTTATAGTCTTTTAAGGATTGGGAATCCATCAATTGGGACAAGATTACAGAAAGTCTCTGAGCATGAGATATGGGAGAGATATGGGGAGCAAAGGTTGTACCCTGCCTTTCTTAAGGATGGAAGGGAAGTGTAAGTTTTTGTCTTGATGTGGAAACTCTGCAGAATTTTGCAGAAATTAAGTTTCAGAATAAGACAGAATTTATACATGCAGATGGAAATGGGGGGATTTTAATTTTTGACATGATATTGAGGTCGTTGAGAGATTCGTATGTTCGAATTTCAACAATCCTCAAAATTAGTTTTTGGTACGAGGATAATGTATGATGGAACTATGCAAAATTAAAATTCAATTAGTATAATTCCTTCTTGACAGCACAATATGAAAATTATATGCATCATATATTCTCAATGTGGTTTGTATCAATTGCATATTTGGATATGACGTGCTATTATGGGAAATATACAATATAAAACATTATCTGGTTCATACATGGTACATCTATATAAAAAAATTGTAACTCAAATCGTGAAAAGAAATTTGGAATCACTTCTTTAGTGTTTTAGTTCAGTTATTATACGTGTTGTGTCTGAGATTGCACAATACTACTATATTTTAGATTAGTTTTGTTATTAAATACACTCAATTACATCCAAATATCAACCTAGAAAACATATTTTTGTTAATTAAATACGATTTCAGAATTCACCCTCCAAAATACACCAAAACCAAACTACCTAAGAAAGGAGGGAGTTCTTTTGGCAGTTTATGGAGCTGATTGCTGGGTCGTCATTAAAAGCAGAGGAATGGATTGGCCATGGCATGGCTTGGGCTAGCTTGCTTTTGAGAAAAAAGGAAAGCCAGAGAAAGAATAATGGGTAGGAATTTGATCCTGCCAGGGTTCAAGGATTGGATTTTGATGGGCCTGTCAGATTTGCATGGAGCTGGAAATGCATAGACATAACTCTTAACTTCATGTCAAAGCCTTATACGATTGTCCATCCATGTAGGTCGTGGCAATACCACAAGCAGAATACTATACTCTTCTGGGGAAAAAGCTATCTATCTCATCTACTCTGAAGCGCTAACGCGAGATTAGATAAATCAGCATTTCTGTAAGTACGTTTTCACAATTTGATTTGTGAGCATTATAGTCGAATTGTGTGAGTTGGAGTCAGAGTTTCATTTTGAAGGAATGTGGAAGGAGAAAGGGCAGGGTGATGATGGACATGTTCAGAGAATGTGGCTATGGGTTCAGTGAGTGAGGTCCCCCAATTGTAGGACAACTTGGGGCCAATTGCAGGAGGCAAAGGGGATAAATGAGATCATGTTTGGAGTTCACTGCACCAATGGACTTGATATTTGGGGAACTTTCCAAACTTTTATCTTGTCAAGTGAGCTGTCACACTACTAGGGATTATATACAACTTGGCAAATATAAGGTTTGTGGGGGAAAAAGAGCTCTAAAAGGGTCAGGTGGTAGAACAAATGGTAGGGATGGGTATTGGGTGGGTTCTCCATGAAACTCACTATAATACTGGTGGGTATTGTGATTTGTGAGTGGATGTAGGTTGCTTTCTGTCTAACTCATCAAAATAGGGGGTGAGTGTGGGTTTTACCTATCAAACTCATTACCCACCCATAATCGACGCTGAATCTCTAAAACTCTCCTCCAAACTAATTTTTCCATAATCTCTTTTGTACTTCTTTCCAAAATTTGATCGTTTGATTCTAATTGTCTGCGGCCAATGATTTCTCCCAAACTTCATGCGATGCATATCCTAATTAGTCTTTGTTTTCCATTCCAATTCCAATTTCCTCTCTTTACTACTTTTCAATTAAACTTAGTCTACGATTTGTTAAAAGTTTTTCCCAAACTTCTTTTGTTTCTCAATCAAATGGATGTTTTGTTAAGGATTCATGTTTGGTTATTAATACTTGTATTCAAATTTATCAAAACCACCTTCATCCACCCTACTCATCAGTAACTCGCATCAAATCCACCCAACACTTAAATTTGGGTGAGTGTGTAGGTTAAGATTAAGTTCACCCGCTTAGTACTTGTGGGGTGAATTTTTACTAAAAACCGCGCAACTCATTCAATGCACATCCCTACTCTTTGGAATCCTTTGGACTTATGTTTTGGAACTAGGTTCCTCATCATTTCAGTTTGGTTTGGTCTGATATGATATATTTAGTGTGATTTATGATTATCGTAACCTATCATTTCAGTTTGGGAATATTTAATTATGTAAATTAATAAAATACAATATCATTCTTACATAAACTCTATCCACTAGAGAAAGTATACAAATGAATAGTCCCAAATAACATGAACCAACATTTTGATATCATCTGTGTACCAATAAGATCATTTTTTCAGATGTTGATTCGAAATCATCTAATAATTTTTGTACAAATAGAGCTTGGGGGCCAGAAACATCAATCGAAATAAGAAGAGAAAACATTTATCACAATTTACAAAGAGATACCAAATGTTTAAGAGCCAAAATCAAATTTACATGAACATATAATAGTTTCAATATTTGAACTTAAAAGAGTACCGTAGTGGCACTAATGCTTGGGCCTGATTTCCATGCCAAGAACCACCATTCCAGATTTTGGGCCAGCCACGACCTCCTTCAATCTCATCTCCACTTCTTCTTCTTCCCCTTCATCCCCCACAAAGAACTCTCCAAGCTCCGCTTCAATCCACCCATCTCTTCTCTCATTAGGCAGCTCCTCCTTTCCCTTCGGCCTCCCAAAATGCCTCCTCCGATCCCCTGTTCCTATCTCCAACCCCACCGTCCTTTTGCTCACCTCCTCGCTCCCCGTCGCCCCCACCGTCGCCGTGAAACCCTGCCGGTGGAACCCTCCGCCGGAATTCCTCTCCGGGAAGTACTTGAACACTAGGTAAGCTGCGTATTGGGTCGACTGAGATAGCATTTGGGTCTCGATCTTGCCCCTTATCTCGAACCAGCAAACATCCAGCAGCTCCGCCACTTCACCGAATCTGCATAAAGATGCGAACTTTAACTACCCAAATGATTCAATTCGAGATTTTATGTATTGGGGATGATCGAATTAGCGAAGTTGAGTGACACAATTGAGCAAACAGATTTCAGGGGAAACAGGGGAAAAGAAAAACAGAGGAGGAAGCAGAGAGAAACCTGGAATTGGGGTGATCAGAATTCCACCGCCAGTAGAGCGGAGTGTCGCCCCAAACGATTCGGAGCTCTCTCGCCGACAGCATGAAGCACTTCTTCCCCGTCCGTTTGTCCAGCGAGAAACTCTGCCATTTTCCCCCAATCGATTTTCGCGGCGTTAAATTAAAATTCCCACAGTTCGATGAAACGTCTGAATGAGGAATTTACATACCTTGCTGCCGTTGTCGATCAGGACAGGATGCTGGCAGAGGGCGAAGAAGAGCTGCTTCTTCGAAAGGGAATCACGGCCGCCGCCGGCGGCGTCAGAGGAAGAGCGGGTGAGGATATGGCGGTAATCCGGCGGAAGAAACTTGTTCCAGACGGCGGAGGATTGGGAGGCAGAGTTGAACGCCGGCGAGACGGTGGCCAGCCTGCACGACTCCACGGGCCCGGTGTGAGACAGGACTTCCGCCAGGCAATCTTCCGGCAGGTTGTTGATGTTCGGCGGCGGTTTTCTGTCCGTCTCCATTTCTTTATTGATCGGAAATGATCGGAATGGATTGGGTTACCTTCTCCTAGGTATAACGAAAGGAATATTTATTGGGAGACCTATGGCTACATCAACAGAGAAAACGAGTGCTTGCCAGAAAGAAGAGGAAAATGAAAGGTGATGATGATTGCAGGCTGTGATCATGTTGCTAAAACTTTGTCGCCATGTGAGAATTTACAAATGAACTCAGGTTTTAGAAAGTTTTGAACTTTCAGGACCTTGTATTATGCAAATTTTGACGTATGAATTGAATACCTTTCAAGTTACCGGCAGTGAAGGTAATGGTGCGGGTCAGCCGGTCAGGTCCGGCAATACCCGTCTGGGCGAGTTCAAATTGCCATCAGTAGTTACCAACACTCCATTTCCATGGTATATTGAGGCGGAGCTATTTAAGATACCTTCAATAGGTCGCCTCAAATAAAATCACGCCACTCATGATGACGATTAAAGGAGGTCAAGAAAGGAATCCAACTCAACTACAGATTATCATTGGCAAATTTGGTCTCGCACATCATGTGAAAGAGCAAAATTTTGGACAACAAATAGACTTTTAATTGATTCTTATACGAGGATTTGGATGTTGAAAAGTTTTATACGGAGCTTGTTCGCTATCCTCGAATCATAAAGGGATCAAATAGTAAACTACCACAAATACAAACACAAACGGAATTGTAATTATGAAGTTATTAGGGCAAACGAATACACAACGTTGACAACTTGACATTCATCAATTAATGATTCCATAAAACAAGGTTTGCTAAAACTTCAAAGATGTCAAGTTACGTGTTTCTTTGCTCTACGTTAACCATTTTGTAATGTGGCCTTTCTTTTTGGTCTTCGTTTCCTATTCCTTCTAGTCAAAACCCACCCAATCCAACTAGCCCAAGTACTAGAAAGAGATCGGTGCCTGATTATGGAGCTCGAGGCCCCCTCTCAAACCACGAAAAGCCCATCTATAACCAAAGAGATTGTATGAAGTCTCTACCCAAAGGGTAGGCAAAGACAATGGACAATAGCCTACTTGCATGTCTTCTTTCTCTCAAGTAGTGTTATTGGTAAGATGGGGTGTGCAACGATTGGGTCCATATAGTATCGTTCTAGATCAAATTGGTATTTGGAATGGATCATATCAAATTGAATGTAATGTTTCTCCAATTTCTTTCTTAGTTAATTGTAGGGGTCATATTAATTGGTTAGGTTTAGCTCTCACTACACTATGCTTGTACTCTGTTACTTGCTTTGGATTTGATTAATGGATTGATTTGGTTACACTATTCAATGGATCACAAGGCAAGTAGTTTTCAAACCTTTGCAATTGCGAAATTTCTCCAATTGGTGAGGGTTATCTACTAACCTTTGACACTAAAGCCACGCATGGGACCTAGAGAGGAAGTCGGTCGGTTGTTATTGTGGGATTAAACGTGATTCAAAGTTTGATTTTTTGTAGGTTAGTTGGATGAATACCAATGTTCAATATGTTCATTGACCTTAGTCTCATTTGTGTCTCTATCCCATTGTCTACATTATACATTTCTCGTCATAATTCGACTATATAAATTATTGGAATGAGCTTATTTTTAATACGGTATCAAAGTCTTTCCTCACAATGTTTTGCATTTCAATCCTCATTACCCTCAACCTGTGGCTTATTTAAGCACGAGGTGTAAGTACACTGCTATGCAAACTTCAAACTTATGCATAATATTCATTATTAGGTTTTCACCATAAGTTTAAACTATTGAGCCTCTTCCCCCAACCTTCGTCCCGCTCACAAAAATATACAATGAAAATTTCCAAATATTACTCATCACTCGTTGTGAGAATGTCCGATAACTACAAATAACTTATATATTCTTGAGATTTTGTTGCATTTCTTTTATGTCGTTTCCTTATGAAACTAATGGTTGAGAAATTGTTAGGTTTATGTTTTGTACTAATGGCTAATGCTACAAGAAGAATTCGAAGTCAACCTAACTATAGTGAAGTAGGGTTACCTTTTAATCTGAAAAGGAGACAATAAGGAAAGACATGAGATATATGGTGCCGATTGACACATTGCTTTTGTTGGTAAACTCTCTTCTTTTCTTTTCTTGCTTTTCCACTCGTTCATGATTTGGGCACCATTGACTTCCCCATGTAACTTAGGGTGTCAATTCGGTTAGGTCTTCATATTTAAATAGACATTGGAGCAATAAGAAATTAACTTTTTACTAATTGTCAATTCCAAATCACTTTATTATTTAAAGATTTTGATTTTGGATCGTGAAATCTATAAGAAATCGAAAACCTCTTCTAAGATCTATCACCATCATCGACCAACAAAACAAAACGTTTGATACTTCATTTGAGCCTTGTTTGCTTAATGAATTTCATCATGGATTTGGTTCATAAAAATCAACTATCATGGACTTTGTACACAATCCGTCGTTTGCTTGATGGATTTAGTAGGGACAACTCCGTGGGGCCCACAGTTTTTTTGGGTGCAAATCCGTGGACCCCATGGACTTGGAAATTCCATTTCAAATGGTGGGATTTGTGTGGGTGTCTCAAGTCCATGATGGTTATTTACTATTTTATCCTCATTTTGTTTTGTTTCGAACAATAAGTAAGAGATAGTAAGGATAGATAGGTAAATTCATAATATAACCACAAATATAATAATGCAGAATCCATCATGAAATTCATCAAGCAAACAATGGTTTTATCCAAAAACCAAATTGATCAATTCCATCATAAATCCTTGGTTTTATAAAAACGCAAGTTTTGACCAAAACCTTCATGTATCAAATCCATGAAGCAAATGAGCTCTTGGTCTCCGACTTTTCTCCTTTCCATAGGGAAAGGCCAAATGAGAACAAGTTGATAAACTTTTTTGCTAGTGGTGTGGTGTCACATTGACATGCTTTGGGACCTCTCCCTCTCCACATATAGAAAGTATGGGTGCGTTTGTTTTGGAACACTCTTTCTTTGAAATCGTGATAGCGATCGATGATAATTGGCAACTTATTGTTTATTTTTATCATGAAGTGGCTTACCAAATTGTTTATTTTTCCTTTTATCCTAAGGGAGAAAGGTCGTATGAGTTGTTGTTGTGTGCCATGCTTAGGGATTAAAAGAATACCAATAAGATTTGATTAATTAACCGGTTTCAATGTCTAAAACCATTATTGTTTATGATGACTTCGATCCAATCCCTATACCAGAATGCTAAGCTCGATTTTAATTAGAACCCTTTATAGAAAGAAGAGTGGAGTAATTAGTCGTACGTTGAATCAAAAAGTAATTGTGTTGTATTGCTAAAATGGTCAGGATTTTTGTTGAGATACTTTTGGTGGTAGCATCGTGGATCGAACTGAAGAAGACCAAATTCTGATATCAGAATTATTAATGAAATTAATGATTGATCATTAATGAAATTAATCATAATTATCTCAATGTGCTTCTTGTTCTTCTTTCCTTTACGCGGATTAGTGGAATTGCTGCCCTAGTTTTCTTTAGGGTTTTGGTAACAACGTTGACTCTCAGACTTTGGGTGTGGAAACATATATATTGTAGCCTCAATTACAAGACCAAAAGCCAAAGTAAGGCTTTTATTGATCATCACTACATCGAGCTCTGTGTTGTTGATTTCATACATATCAATCGCTAATCCTAGCCTAGAGGTGGATGATGGTTACAAGAGCATAGAACTTTCTATCCTTTACCATAATATTGACAAAAGTGTCAACATAGAGTAGCTAGCTTAGGGATTGCATTGTCCTAATTAACAAATTCTTTAACCTACTAGTTCAAAAGCATGCATGCTTTGGGGATCTTGATGGCCACTAATCACTATTCCTTGATTAAGTCATGAATGCACGTGTATAAATTGTAGACAATTAACCATACCTAGCTATAAATCACTCATCTATCTAGTTCATTTTTTTAAAGATAAATATGGTTGACGGTAAGGTTCAAATTTACTGTGTTAAGAATGTGATCATCTTCACATTATTCGTAGACCAACCAACCACACGCGGTTATCATGCATACAATCACAACAATCTTTTTATAGGGTGTTTATATTTTTCAACCTATAACTCTTTCGAAATGGGACTATTGAAGCTAATAAATGCTTTGCTAACCAAAGCTTGTGTTTGCTTGTCAGCCAGAATCGGATTAATGGCTGCTTATCTATCTATAGATAGGTCATTAGTAAAATTCTTGAGCTTCTTATTTTGATGTTTACCAAAATACCAAGGGACCAAACTCAAAATGCCCATTTGGACACGCCGTTTTTAACATTGGATTCACCCGATTAAGAGTGTTGTTGCATTGAGGGTTTTTTTTTACCTTTTTATCTCGTAAGTTATGATATAATATCAATAATTAAACTTTTTTCAATATTATGAATTGTTGGAATGAACAGAATGTAATTTCAAAAGCTTCAAATTTGAGGCAAGCCTAGCCATTTGGCCTATTAATGAATGACACCTACATGTCTTTACTAGTCCTACATAATCCAATCGACTTAAACAAAAGAAGCACAAATCCCCAATTAACTCAAAACAATAGAAAATTGAGGAGAAAGGGGGGAAATTAACACTATTTATCATTTTTAAACTCCAAGGGGAATTAAATGAAAACATTGGGGTTGACGCATATTGTTTCCTCCAAAGTCAATAGTTCCCCATTAGAAGGTCCCTTGGTAAACATCATTGGAAAGTCATCTCCCCATCCTAAACCCAAACCCCACATTTTCATTAACAACAATAAACATATAATAATCTAATTAGTGAGTGTACTTCTAGTCTTTGTACTTTGTAGTCTCGACCAAAAAAGTCCTTATACTATTCTATTTATTCATTTTCGTAAGAAATTTTAACAGAATAAGCTATAAATTGGATCCGTCTAACCGTAATAAACACAGCTCAAATGACTTATATGCCACATAAAATGGTAATTGCCGACTTGCCCCTCATTCTGACACCCAAAATCTCACATTTCTTTTCGTTCTTGTTATGCATAAGTCGTTCTGAGTTTTAAAAAATAATAATTCACCGATAAATTCAAATAGAGACCCACAAAATGAATTCCAATTATACAAGAAACATTATGAATAGATTATTCGATAAACATAAAGATATGACACAAGGACTATTTAGTAATAGAACTTGAAACACAATGAAAGATCCCAACTGCATTCACATCTATGATCTAGCAGTTCTTACACTTAACCCCACATGATTTTGCCAAGTTTGAGCTGCCTTCCTGCCACACTATCTGTCTCTGGCCTCCTCCCCATTTATTTTACCTCCTTTCATTCAATTCAACCTCTTCCCTCTCCCCTCCAACATTTTGACCTGCCCTTTACTCCACTTCACTTCATCACAGTAAAAAAATAGGAAAGCAGGAACCTTTTTACCTTTCTACCCTCTTCCCACTTCCCAAATTCTCATCCCCCACAAACCCACATGACACCTCCACATTAACTCCTGCCATTCTTGGCCTTCTCTTCACTCTCTAATATTAGCTTAGTAAACCTTCAACCTTTGCATCACTTCCTTCTTCTTCTACAGACTACAGCATCCCATCTACCAAAACTTCAGTCCCTTTTCCATAGCTTTACACCCAAATCCATGATTTGAGAAATGGGATTCTGATTCCCTTTCCCACATCACACTTAGATTCTCACTAAAAAGCTTCAACCTTTATGACTGACTTCCTCTGCTATTTTCAATCTCATCTTCTACCAACAAAGCTTTGATTCACTCCTTCCCCAAGGCTTTGTACCCTTAAACCATGGACTGGGTTTCCTTCCAAAACAAAGAAAGCTCCATTCTTTCCACTACCCAATTCCCGCAACCGCCGCCCCCGCCGACACTCGCCGGCGGCGGCGTGTTCAACCTGGAGAACAAGGTCAGTCCGAGCATTCTACTAATCATCATAATCCTCGCCATTATCTTGTTCATCTCCGGCCTCCTCCACCTCCTGGTCCGGTTCATGATCCGACCCGGATCCGTCGCCGGCCGAGGCGGCGACCGGGACTACGAGCTGGACAGCGTCACGGCGCTGCAGGGCCAATTGCAGCAGCTGTTCCACCTCCACGACGCCGGCGTCGACCAGTCCTTCATCGACACGCTCCCGATCTTCCTCTACGACTCCATCGTCGGCGGACCCCCCGACGACGAAAAGTCGGCACCTTTCGATTGCGCCGTCTGCTTGTGTGAGTTCGCCGCCGCCGACAAGCTCCGGCTACTCCCGAAGTGCAGCCACGCATTCCACATGGAGTGCATCGACACGTGGCTGCTGTCCCACTCCACCTGCCCTCTCTGCCGATCCTCCCTCGTCGCCGACTTCTCCGCCGCTAACCACGGCGGCGGGAACGCAAGCAACAACCCCCTCATCCCATGTTCACCGATCGTTCTGGTCCTCGAATCTGGCAGCGAGAGAAGCTCGCGAGAAATCGAAAACAGTAACACCCTCGGAAGGACTAATTCCATCGGCAGCGCTTGTTCGTTAGTGGGTTACCAAGGGGACAAAGAATCGGGCTCCTGGCGGGTCGAAATTCCACCGCCGGAGGCGGAAACCGGATCTGGGTCGGGTGACGACCGGGTCGTCAGGGTCAAACTGGGGAAATTCAGAAACGTGGAAGTCAGCGGAAGCGGTAGTGGCGATGATACTGTGAGGAGATGCTATTCGATGGGATCGTTTCAGTACGTGATGGACGAGAGCTCTTCACTGCAAGCTCCGATAAGGTTTTCGCCGGCGGCCGCGGGCAAGAAGCGGAACCCTGCAACAGGTCGGCCTGCAATGTCGGTCTGCGGGTGCGAATCGGCGAGGGAGTTCGGCCAATTCGGTGAAGGGAACGCGAGCATTATACCGGCGGGGAAAGGGGGTAGAGAAAGCTTCTCGATTTCGAAGATTTGGACGAGAGGAGGCAAGAAGGGTGAAGGAAAACAGGGGATTTCGGAAACAGGGGAATTGAGTTCGAGGAGGACAGCAGTTTCTTTCAGGTTTCCGGTCAGCAGCGAATTGGGATTTTCCGGTGAACCGAGCTGCAGCAGTAGTGGACGCGAATTGGGAGATGGAAAGACGCCATCTTTTGCTAGGAGGACTTTGCTCTGGCTTGCCGGGAAGCAGAACAAGGTGGTTCATTCAAATTTCACTCCAGATGTTTAGGCATATGGGTTATCATCACTTTCAGAAGTCCTTTTCTGGTTTGGATTTGGACTTTTCCTTTTAGCTCCCTTCGTGTAATTCCTTGGATTCTTTCTCGTTTTTTGTCATTGAAAAGATTGTGGAGTAGTGTATCCCTAGATTTGAGTAGTAATAGGGAAAAAGAATTTTAGAAGAGACATTCAGATTAGTACAACCAAAGCATAGTGGAAGATTATAGCTTATCTCTCTAGGATCTACCTTATCGAATTTTATGCTAGGTTCAGTCAACCCTAAATCGGCCTTAGAAGGAAGGGTGTTTCAGGTCTCAAATATCATACGATTAAGATATAATATTTTTTCTACAACATTTTGTTAGATATATTTACTCATTTTAAGAAAATGTCACATAAACGGTTATCATTCGAAGTATGTACATTTTTGTTTTCAAAGAGTGAGTTGGTTCAATTCCAAATTAGTGTTTATGCATGTATTAGTAGTGTTTTTTTTTTATAAATATAGCACACTCAAGAATGCTATAACTTTCAAAAATAACACGTATTCTTCTGAATAATAATAGGACCGGTCATCACAAATCGAAAATAGAGTGATGTAATAGATTATTTGAGAGTTGAACTAATTGTGTGATTATAACTGTGTTGGAATGATTTAAAATAGGAGATATACGAGTATTGTTTAATAGAACTTGGATAAAAAGAAGAGTGACAAGAGATGTTGTTGTACGAGAGAGACTAATGTTTCGCTTTGTTCGTCGAATAATATATGCTCGAAACTGATCAAGTCAAATTGTCATAATCACTTATTTTAGAAATACGCCACATAGATTCATAATTAGTTAGATGAGATTATATTGATCAGGGTTTAAGATAGCTAAGACTGAGTTAGAACTTAGATGGAGAGAAGAGAGGTACTTTGTGAATTCATTTGCTGATATCCTGTTGTGATCTATATACCAAAGCTGGATGCTTTCCCTCATTCAATTCATCTTAACCTCTCTTTTTTCTAACTCTAGTGGTTGGGTGGGTTGTAGAAGAGAGGGAAGTGTTTATTACTACTTTATTTACAATAAAAAGTTAGCCGTACTGCGTATAAATGAAGGTCAGGAGAAGACGATTCAGACTTCAGATTTCAAATCAATTCGTCTTCCCTTAACTACTTCAGGGAAGCTAATTACCTTTTTATCATTATTTAAGATGAAGATTATATGGAGGGGAAGAGGGCATCCAAGGGAGACTGGGCTAGGAGTTTACGAGACTCGAACTTAACCTAATCTCACATTTATTCCTGGTCTAAATTAATTGGGTTCATTTCGAGTTAGATTTATTAACATAGAGAGTATGTTAGATGAGGTGAACAATGAAACCAAGAAGCAAAGTCGTGACAGTGGATGTCCACATTATCCGCTCATGATTTTACTGGATGTTTGGTCCCTATTTCGAACTACTCCGACAAATAATTTAGATTCGGAGTTTGAGCATGCATTTATATTCGGTTTCAAGATTTTTTTTAAATTTGTTTGCTATGTTATCATTTTACATGTCTCAAACCGAGTAGAGATAAGATATTGGTCCAGTGGTATGGTAAGCCTCTCACTTGAGTTAAGTGGAACTTGAACATTTTGATCACCATGTACGGTAATGACAAATAAGTGTGCGTGTTGGGATGGGTATCTCAATATGCATACTCGCTCTGAATCAAATGCTGGTCAGACATGATAATATCGGACAAAATAGGTTCAAATTGTCATCCCTTGGCCTTTGCCATGTAGTTTCTTTTCCTATATTTTAGGGTTTTGATAGGAAGACAATGTATCTCATATTCTCATTTATTATGATCGTAGAGAAATTGTTGATTGCTAGAGAGCTCCAACCACGAATGGGAGAGTGTTTGAAAAAGATGGATCGCACATCCCAGGTTTCGAGTTGTTCACGCAAGATTTGAAACTTGAAAGGAAAGAAGAAGAAAATCTAAGCCAAACTTTTGCGACGATGTGCCTTTCAAGTTAATAATGGCTCGCATCTAACTATAATAAATGAAGAAGAAGTGTTAGTCTAATAGTCTGTCAGAAGAAGAACCACCATGGTTAAAGGAGGTAGACCTCGAAAGAGAAATAAGAAACTATATAATATTACCCAAAAATAACATGCCGTACTTAGATCCAATATATAGTGAAAATTCACACACACTTATATAATATCAATGTTCAAATGTTCAACTTAAAATTCCAAAGTTTGAGTTATGCGAAAAGAAAAATCGAAAAATAGGCGCATTTCGCAAACAAAAAAAATAAATGACACAATTTGACCTCCAACCCGATACCTTATAGTAGTCAACCCGGCGGATGCGTGCAAGCCGTTTTTCTCACCGGATCAGGATCAAAGTACGTCGACCCACGGGTCCACCCGCGGGTTGACAACCCACTGTCATGCTTTAAATCTTGTTATCGTGACAACTAACCATCAATCCATCTAATTAACCATCGATTCAAGTTAGTACGTTAGCCATTCTTAATGGCTCATGTGGGTTCATCGTCCCTACTGATGTTTAGCAACCATACGGTCCCCTTTGATATCACGTCAGTTGGCTCTCTCTCTCTCTCTCTCTCTCTCTCTCTCTCTCTGGTCTCTGTTGGTGTAGGACTCCATAGCTACGTACCTTGGAAGAACATTGTCCACGTTTGATGTCTCCATTTGGGCCATGCATGATGATGATGAGCTCTTCGAGCCTTTGGTGTATGGCTTTGTCTTTGTATTGTTTGCCATTTAGTGGGTAGGGTTACAACCTAGGAGATGGAGGTTGGCAGGTTGAGGAAGATGCACATTTTAGCTCTTTGCCTTAAGAGTCTTGTGATAGTCAAAAGTGATTCTTGGGTTGGAGTGCGAGGGTTTGTGCGTCCTCATCTGATGATATTACATATTAGTATATTTTTAGTTTGGAAGAAAGTTTGGATAGACTTTTAACTAATTATATCGTTTATCAATCTATGTATAAATAATATACTAACGAGTTCGCAAACTCAGTTTTGATCTTGATGAGTTGGGAGGGCTAAACCCACATATTAAACCAAAGTCACATATATAACGATAAAAACTCTTCTTCTACCAAATTCTCCCATGTAATATCTCTCGAAACTTTGGTTAAACTATAATGTAATGTTATAACGCTTGTGTTCCTTTGAGCCTTGAGGCCATTATAAATTTATACTTCTCTCTAATCTGCTTTTGACTTTGAAAGAGACGTAATTACCGACTATGTAGGGAAGTGGCCCAAGAGGCCCAATTCTGCATATTTGCTAAAAATGGACGTTTTGCTCGATTGTAGGGTTGCGGGCCATCGAAATGTAGGTGTTGGGCCTCAACGACAACCTAAAACCCTAATCTCGAAGAAAAAGGGCAAACCAGTCAGTACCGGTCCATTCAAGGTTAGATATTGATGATTTTTTTTGGTTCATCCTTTTGAGTTAATAGTTTTGGTTAATTAATGGTTATAAACTCAAATGAAATCAAGATTCTTGTCTTTTTAAGAGTGGTTAATTTCTCATAAAAAAAATTATCATATCTTGTACGAGATCTATAGATCATCATGTAAAAGAATAATTTCGATTATATCAACGTCTTTGTAAACTGAAGAACGTTCTAACAAACTTCAAATGCATATGTTATTGGGTCCAGGATACATACCCATTCTTTGAGAGAGCTAACTTGTTAGGGTAAGCTTGAAATATGGACAAATAGATCATTGCATCAATAAAAGAAGCAACCTTGATCTCCACTTCAAGTGATTACCTTTGGCCTTCTAGCTTTCATTCTTTCATTCTTTCTTTCTTAAATTGCAAGTTGGAAGTGTGTTTCACTATGCAAAGTAGCTCAACTTCCTTTCTTGTGGGTAGGTGCCATGCATGCTTTGCACATAAATGTATGGCAACATTCCTATCCTTTAGTTTTATAAGTATGGCAAGAAACATGAATGGGTGAATGATGTACATATACCTATATCTTAGTTAAGCTAGATTTTGCTTAAGCTAGATCTATACTTGTTATGTGTAACAAGTTTTGTGTATGATAATGATTTTGACACCCTACCAAGAACATCACGATTGCAATAAGTAGGCAGGCCCAAACTTGACAAAGCCACAGAAAAGAAAAGGAAGGATATTGATTGTACTTATTTTGTAGCTAGGAAGAAAGTTATAGGGTGGTTGCCCATGGCCTCATTATTTATTGCTCTCAAGTATCAGCATCAAATGGTATGTATAGTGTGTAGGGATGGATAATTGAGTCAATTTCATTTGAGTGGTTTTCTTGATTTGATTTGATTAGAGACCGTTCAAAATGTATTTTCGTTTTTCTTTTCATATCCGATTTGCCAATTATATGGATCAAGCATGTTATATCAAATCATATATTCGGTTTTTCAGTTTTGAAAACTTCTCATAAGATTCATTGCATGTACTCATGCATCTATAATTTGATTTCAAGTGAGTAACTACTTATTCATTGTCACATGTCTAACCTTTGTATGCAGTTTTTGAGAATTCTCGATTCATATATTGAAAAACACCATAATCTTCAATTCAAAATTTTTGCTTCATGAAAAAAATGTTGTGGATGTATAAGATGTATAATGAGTGGGTGGAATGGAAAGACCTACTGATAGCGCCATCGAAAGAGTTTTTTTCCCCATATAACGGTAAAACTCAAACACACATATCGATATTAGAATCACTTCGTTAGTAACACCATGCCCATACGAGACGCAGTGGATCATGGTCGTGGTTTGAGTCGGTATGATGGAGATAATTAAAAAGGCCATAGATTCCAAAGTGCGTTCCCTTGATGGGGTCGGACGACAACACATAGCTATTTGTAACCCCTAATGATTTTTTTTTTATAATGGTTGTAACCCCTCAATGATTAATCACTCTCTGCAATTATTTAATAAAACATATAACTTTAGAATTTGATTTTATTTGATTTGATTATTGGGGTGGATTTGGCTGTTTGGGTGTGTTAATCAATCCCTTTAATTACTTTCTTTCCATTCCCACGCCGTCATTATAAACGACACCAATTATTATTATTTTCCCTTATACTTCTCCTTTACCCATTTATGTTCTACAATTTGGCTCGAGTGTTAGATGACTTGTTACCCCCCCCCCCCCCTCCATTAATGTTTAACAGGTATTGATGTTCAATGATTCATACTCTGTGTAAAAAAAATGATGTTTTGCTCGATTATAATAATTGTATTAAAATGCTCGAATTAGTGAACCATATTACTTCATGTCATTCATCTTTTGTTTTTATAAGTTTGAATTCATAGTATAATAAGTTAGATTATAGATTTTTTCCCATTCGGTCAATGCATGTTTAAATAGTCATTCCATGTAGCAACATGATGAAAGCAAGTTTTGGGCGTCTAAACAGTCATCCCGACACATGTATGATATAAGCAAATCGAGGCATGCATGAGCCAACCTCACAAGGATATACTACAAATGGTACGCCCTATCAATCAGACAAAGAGGTAGACACAAGCCAACTTCTAGATCTGATGATCATTCTTGTCAACTGCTCTATAATGACTAAAATACGTTCATTCTATCGGTTATGGATTACATTAGCTAATCCTTTTTGGTTATAGCCAAGGAGAACATATCCATTGCCCCACACACAAGCATGCATTTGACTCCCACACCCACTTATTTGGATTACATATAAGATATCACCCGGTGGAGTGGTGAATTGGTGATGAATGATGCATGAAAATGTATTGGTGAAGTAAAGAGGAGAAGTGAGGGCTTGGACTTCCCATGTATTGAAGCAAATTAATAGTCCCTTTACTACCAAGAATTGGTTCCATCATAAGCATCATTTACTACCAAGTACTAGTTAGAAGAAGGATAGCAATAAACAAATATGCTTCAGGCTAGCTTACTATTAGAGAATTCATAACTTTGATTATCGTGAGTTTAAATTGGACACTCGTTGTATATTCTCTCTTTCCACATTGCATAAATTCTATTTGTGATAAGAGAAAAATAAAACAAACATATAGAGAGAAATACAACTCCATAACTTTGTCCTAAAACTACACACACAGTAGGAATTAGTTATATCGAAGAGCCCAAACTATATGCCAAAGCATCAATATTAAGAATACAACCCAATTTAGACAAAATAGACTAAATGACCAAAGTGTGAGACTGTGATTTTGATTCTTCCAAACTTTTTAGTGATGAATTTGCTTAAAAATCATTTGTCAGTGACTTACAAGTTCAGTGACCAATCCTGTAATTAACCCCACAAAGTAGCAGGCCTTCCACTGAGGGAGAAATCCGAAAACAGCTGCCCAAATTTGGTGCCAGATGCCAAATAAACCCCCGAATTACTGACTTTGTCTCTCTGTTATACAACAAAACAACCAATTAAGCCAACAGAAGAATCGAAAGGTTGACTGCAATGAAAGAATATTTGCCTGCCTTCCATGGCGCCAACGTTCGCCTTAGTTCTCTGCCTCGATCTCTTACAGCACAAAGAACGCGCCTTTTTCTGACACACACACAAAACCATAAAACAAACATCCCTTCTCCTAAAAAAAAGAAGTTCATTCCTTTCGATCTACAAGAAAGCTTTCTTTTATAGACAGTTTTTTTTTTACTGAAATCTTTTATAGACAGTTTCTAGACCATAAATATAATTTCTTCTCTTTTTTTCCTTTTCCTCCTTCCCCATCATTTTAATCCCTTCCCTCCATCTCCTTCCAAGTTCCAACCATTTTCAGGGTGTAAATTTGGAAGGAGAAAACCAAATATTGTTAGGCCTTAATTACTCTGTTAATTTTTTTTTCGTTCTTCCTGGGATTTTCTTCCATCCCCCCTGCTCTAGGAGACACTTCTTGAACTGGGTTTTGTTCCTTTTCTTTTCCCCTCAATTACACAGGTTCTTGATGATAATCAGTCTGGGGAAGAAATTCTGAAGGCTACGGTGAGAAATTGGATAATGGGGATGACACAATGAGCTGAAATTCTCAAATGGGTGTGCTGTGATTTCTGCAAAATTTCTCGTTTGGAGGAGGGCAAAAGCTAAGAGTTCTTTGGGCGTGGAGAGATTTCCCCGATCCTTTCCTTGCGGATTATTGCAGAAGTTTTGATTCTTAGGTATAAAAAAAAATTTCTGGGCTTTTTGGTGCCGGCTGTTTGTCTGATTCTCTGGGGTGAAAAGAAAGTTCGGTTCTTTATGCAAAAGGATGTCATTTCTTGATTTGTAGTATCGTTTTGTTGTTTGTTATGGTGGATTTCTCGGAGTTCACGAGAGAGAGGGAGTGGGATTGCTCCTTTTTAACTGACGTATATGAAATCGGGTCAGGTCACAATCCAAGATTCCATTGTTCATCGCTTTCCTCCTTCCATTCGGCCATTTTGAGCAGTTAGAGCTCCAGAGTAAATAAGAGATAAAAGAAAGAGTGGCTTGTAGTTTTGTTTGGACTCTCTTTTTCTCTCCAATTCACTTGTGGGGGAATTTGGAGAATCTATCAGAAAAAAAGGGCAGTGAGATTCCGGTTGCAGGTGGGAAAAAGCCCCCAATTGTCTGTAGATTTCACTGAATTGGGGGCTTTTGATTTTGGTATATGGGAGAAAAGAACAGTCTTTCTTTCTTTATTCTTTCTGGGTTTTCTTTTGCTGTTCGTCTGATGTCTTTTCATGGATGGATGTTTGAACAGTTGAATTGTGTGTGTATGTTGAAGCCCAGCAAGAAGAAAGGGGGAATTTCTGTTGCTTTTGTGTTACAATGAAGTTTCTGAGCCTGGTGGGGAATTCATTTGGCTGTTCGGCATCTGGGGAAAGATTAGTTTCAGCTGCTAGAGATGGTGATCTTCAGGAAGCTAAAGCCTTGCTTGATTGGAATCCAAGGCTAGCCAGATACTCTACTTTTGGAGTCAGGAATTCTCCTCTTCATTACTCTGCAGCACAGGGCCACCATGAGGTAGATAGGAAGAAACAGATTTATTCTCCGATCATTGATCAAGTTAGGGAAAGAAAAAGTTCATAGCTTTGCTTCCTTTTTCTCACAGATAGTTTCACTATTGCTCGAGTCTGGTGTGGATATCAACCTGAGAAACTACCGTGGCCAGGTAAATATATTACAAAATGAGTAGTTTATGTAAGTGTTCAATTGAATTTGTTGAGATCTTCAGTTATGGTAAGTTTCATTGTTTGGTATTGAATGAACAGACTGCATTGATGCAAGCTTGTCAGCATGGCCATTGGGAAGTTGTGCTGACTCTGATCCTCTTTCGAGCTAATGTGAGCGGTTCTTTCTGTTTTACTTTATGTTACTGTGTTGATTATTGGATATGAACATTTGTAAAATTGAGTTCTCGAACTCCAGATTCACAGAGCTGATTATCTGAATGGTGGTACGGCTCTACATTTGGCTAGCTTGAATGGTCACACGAGATGCATACGCCTGCTTCTCTCCGATTACATCCCCAGCATTCCCTATTGCTGGGAGCTGTTGAGGAGCAGCAACGAATCGTCGCAGAAGGAGTTGATCTCTGAATTCGATGAAGGGTAGAGATAGTTTCTCTTCGCTTAAGCTCTTTTGTATAGCTGTTCTTTTGCTTCTTTGTGACCTGTGATTTTTTGATCATGCTGACTATTGGTGAACTATACATCAGTGCTCTCCATGAGGTAATCAACAAACCTGCTGATGGGGGAATTACAGCTCTGCACATGGCTGCACTGAATGGACACGTAGAAACTGTTCAATTGCTTCTCGATTTGGGAGCTTCGGTCTCTGAAGTCACTGTGGAAGATGGGACGACCATTGATCTGATAGGTAATTACTATGAAAAAGCTTGTCTGGATACGGTGGTTTCATAACCAAATCATCTAGCTAGGTGCTCTTATGGTTCTTGGTGTATGAGATTCTGTAGAATAAGAGTTCAATCTTAGCTGCATGTTCAGGGCAATTTATGATTGGTAGCTTACTTCATGCTCAAGTTAAACGCTTGTTGATTGTGTAGGAGCTGGAAGCACACCTCTGCATTATGCTGCTTGTGGTGGAAACTTACAATGCTGCCAAGTATGTGTTAATAGGTCACCCTCAGCTTATCACAATTCGATAAATGCTGGAGTAGATACTAACATGTTTTGCTTCAATTTACATTCAGATGTTGATTGCCAAGGGTGCCTGTCTTGATGCTGAAAATGCAAATGGGTAAAGATCTCTATAACTCGATCAATGTATGTTCTAAGTAGTATGAAAGGCAGTCGAGTTAACCTGATTTCTCTTTTCCTCTGCTTTCAAGATGGACTGCTTTGATGGTTGCTCGATCATGGCATAGAAATGAGATAGAGGAAATTCTCAGCAGCCAACCTGCAGAGCAACAACATCAACAGCAGATGTGTCCTTCGTCATATCTCTCGCTTCCTCTGATGAGCATCGTTAAAATTGCTCGGTGAGTGGATTAAGCTTGAGCTAATATAATTATGGTACTGCAATTTTGATTAGCGTTTTGAGAGCTCAAGATCCCTTTTCTCCCCTTGTTTATCAGGGAATGTGGATGGAGGAACAACGATCTCATTCCTTCGTGCCAGGATCCATGTGTTGTATGCCTTGAAGCAAGGTGCACTGTTGCTGCGGAAGGTACAAAGTTCTCCAACCGAATAAAAATGCTGAACCTTGCTCGACAATGCACAATGATCGATCAGACTTCAGAGCATTTCAATGTGCTCAGAATCCTATATTTATCTCGTTTTGCAGGCTGCAACCACGAGTTCTGCACTCGATGTGCATTATACCTATGCTCAACAATCTGCACCTCTATGGCTTCCCAAGGCCCCCCGGGCTCAATTCCATGCCCATTATGCCGCCATGGGATAGTCTCCTTCGCCAAACTCCCCGGAACAAGGGCAGCCCGAAAGTCCATGGGACACAGAACAACCTTATCACTCCCATTCTGTGCTTGTTCATCGGAGGAGCTAGAACCGAGCTTGCTGAACGCACCAGCATACAAGCCGGACTTCCACTGCACGAAGTCGTCCTCATTTAGGTCATTAAGCTACCAAAAGTTCCCCTCAATGAAGTTCAATACCAGCCGATGCATTGGAGCACAGGACACTGATTCGTCGCTGGTACCTTCCTCTGTTGATCCAAGCATCAGGGAACAGCTAGTGAGGTGCTCAAGGTCGAGGATCAGGGGATCGGGTTCTAACCACGAACGAAGGAGGTCCTGGATGTCGACTCTGAATCAGTATGTCACCATAGGAAGTGGTTGCTGACCCAACAGATCTTTCATGAATTAATTTCTTGTGCCAATTTTTGTCTATGGTGCTGAATTAATGTTTTTTTTTCTTCTTGTTAGAATGTGATACGCTTTGAGGGATCATTGTAAATATCAGAAAGAGAGAGAGAAGTGAAAGAAAGAAGCTACAGACAATGGAATATTTGTGGTACTTCTAGCTTGATTCCTCTTTGTACATAAGAAAGAAACACAACACATCCATACTACTCATATTACATGTACTTTATTGAAGGTCTGAAGTTTAAGACTTCAATCTGCTACTTGTGTGGCTAATTTATTGATCTCCGAGGCTGATTTCTCCCCATTTCTCCAGTTCTGCTACATGGATTTCCCAGAAAGTTACGAGAGTTAGTACAATACCAATAGAACAGAAGTACTAGGAAAGAAACAATATATCCGATTCTCGTAATTGCACTAGGTAAACAATACCAATTCTTCTTTATTAAAGATGAAGATAGTTACATAACCAATTAGCCAATGAAGGCCTAAGCTCAAGAGGAATAGCTAATATGAAAAAACGCAATCTATCTACCAAAAAATAAACAAAAAGACTATCTACAAAGTCTTGCAAGGTCAAGAAAACAAAATGAAAATGCAACAAAGGAAACTAACAAGGACAAAAGGTAGAGAGAAAGATAAGCTCGATCAGGATAGCGTCGTGTTAAAACTATGATGCCCATTTCATCCTCCGGTACTTGTAGTTTGATGGAGGGAGACAGGCGTCATGGGACGAGGTGCATGAATGAACAGTTGAAAGAGCCATTTGCAGGTCTTTGGAGTTAAATCTGTACCAGGAAGATGGGACTGCAAATGAGAGGAAGGAAGTTATGGAGGATGAAGATGAATAAGGAGACGAGACACAGGTGAAAGAAATGGGAAGGTGAGGGGAATGGAGTGAAGTGATATAAGAAGGAAAGAGCAGATGGGTTGTGAAGGGATGAATGGAGTTTATATAGAGGAAAAGGGCAGAGACTAGAGAGAAGAGCTGTTTGGGTTTTTTGGAAGAAGTAAATGTGGAAACCAGGGAAAAGGTACTGACAATTCCCAAAATGTGTTTTTGGTTCTCATAGAAAAAGAGTCATATGTACATAAAAACACTATTATTTCATCTTCCTACTAATTGTTCATTCACTTGATAGAGAAGATTACTCTTATTATAATCTCAACAACATTAGAATTGAATCCACATTGGAGGGTTTGAGGCTTCATGAGAGAAGACTAGATGTGGTGTACTAAGTGATCTTAAAGAATTCAAACCTGGTTCTCCCTCTCTCTCTCTCTCTCTCTGGTCTCTCTTCCTTCTCCTTCTCTCTCTCTACAGTCTCTGACTTAATGAGAAGTCTAGGATTGTTACTCAGAGGACAGAAGGAGAGGAACCCAAAAAGCTAAGAGGGGAAAGGCTCCGAGTCTGAAGTAAGAGAGAAGAAGGAAGAGAAGATTATAGCATAAGAAAGGTGTAATGTGACATAACAGCATCTCACCACCATTTCATCCCTCTCCCAAAGTACTCTTCTGTCTCTCGATGATCAAGCAGTATCTTTTGCCCTCTCATTTACGCAAAGATTGGTGATCATAAGTGAAAGCTGTAGTATATACTATACTACTATATATGCATCGTCTTTGACCATTCCTTGTATATGTTTTCACAACCCTGTAATAAAATCTTATGAACGTTTAACTTGGATTCGATGTTTTTATTTATCGGTAATTGTGGAATTATCGGTCCACATAACTCAAGTTCTAAGGAGATGTTCGTACAAATGCATCATATTGTGGTCCTTAATGATGAGGATTGACTGGATTGTTGGTGTTAGTAAACGTCTATTAGCAAAAAAGGTTATGATACCAATGTTGGGAATCATTTATGTTACAATATAACTCAGTTGTTAGGAGAGATTGAAGAACGAATTATAGGTCAAAAGGTGTAGACAGACTAACTGGATTTCATTTAATCTATTACGATTAGGAGAGCAAAGTGGTGCTCGATGACTCTAACAATCGTCATCGTCAATAATTGCAAACTTTAAAGTTATTAGATGAGTTTGTAATTAGCACCATCCATACACATTTTTTTTCACAAGCATAGTATCTTGGATTCTCTTGGGACAACTCAAAGGCTAGCAGCAGCTTAACACCACCAACCAAACAATCAATGATATCTTCTTCCATGGATATGACATATACAGATATACTCTTGCTTCTTTTGTCACACACCATGGCCATATCACCTTGGAGCTTGTCTTTGCCAAGTTTTACCTAAAATGTAAAACGACAGTTCCATGCAAAAGGGCATTTTGGAGCAAAGGTCAGCCATCATTGCAAGCCACAGTTGAGTTAATGATGGCACTTGGCCAGTGGACGTCGACTCCCTTTGACATTTTCTGGGACATCATCAGTACACATAAATGTCTGGTGTTGACATCTCCTGGTGGAAACTCCAAAGTCCAAACCAAACCATCTTCCATACAAGTTATGATGAATGCTTCTAACAATCCCAAAATAGTGATAGTTATTAATTATTGTTGTTGTCAATACATGTGAATCAGAAGGTCACTAAACTTTGAGATTGTAAACAACTCGGTCACTAGAATTTGATTTTATCATGCATAATAACACTTCATGTTTAAAATAGGTTACACTAAATCGCTCATTTTTCGTTCATATAAGATTTTTCCATCCGAAATGGTGTGTGCCAACTCGACCAAGTGAGTAATCAAGATGCCCGTAGAAAAACTCATTAATTGACATGAACTAATGACTCATTCAAACCATAGTACTTGATCCAAATTCCAAATTTCATTTCTTGACTCATTCCAACCCAAGTATGTCACTAAATTTTAATGAATTTGTCTGTTAAGTTTATGACAAGTCATATAAAAATGGTTATTTGGAGCAGTTTTCATTTTTTCGTCGTTTGAATTGCTCGAGTTGGTATGGCAGACAACTCACCAGATCAGCAATTGGGAATGGCCACATAGACCCATCATTAGTTGATACAAACAACACATTATAGCCATACTCAACTCAAAACCATATACTCGTGACTGCCCAATTCCAGTCGATGATACCGAAAACCACGCAAATTCCATTTTCCCGTCTTAGTAGTTCATTAGAGCATCTGAATGTCATTATTAACTTATTTGTGTTAATACATTTCGTATTAACAATTTAGACGAAAAAACTTGACAAAGATGAATCAAGTAACTTGACTATTATGTTACCACAAGATTCACTTACAAGTTCCTTCTAATATGCTTGCTTGCTAAGTTGGCAACCCATGAAACCTGCCTTTGGGGGCATTGATTAATTAGTATACTCTCTTCTTTTCTTCCTTAAGTAGGAACCCCATCAGAATTCCTTTTTCTTCAAGCTGAAGCTAATAAGCCATGGGCATAGCTAGTTCATATAGCTCATTAGCTAGCTAGGTTTTGTAAGATGACAAGTCTTGAGAATATAATGGATAAAAAGTTCTGTGTGCTTTATTATCTGCATGCTGCTAGGGTTCTGAAATCTGTAGGAATTGGAATGACTTATGAGGAGCAGAGCCAAGAACACAGTGTCCAATGTTGGATCTCCACTGCCATAACCATATCTTTGCTTTTGATGCAGTGGTTTTCTTACAAAGATCTGGCTAGGGCCTAGTTACTTGAAAGAAAACATAAACCAGATTTTAATGAAGTTTAATCCACCAATTACCAACCAAGAACAAAGAAAGAAAGGAAAAAGAACTTATTCATAAAGAAAAGCTGCAGCTTGGCCAAGTGGTACTATAACTATACTCTGTCTGTCCTCTCTCTTTAGACTTTTTCTTTCCCAATAAATCACTACCCTTTCTCTCCATGTTTTTTTTACTTTTACTGTAAAAAATTTTGAAGTCCAATTAGAACTGGTTTCCAATCTGCATTACTGTGATCATCAGAGTTGCTTGCCATTGTTGCTATGCTTATTAGGGCTGTAGAGATCAGTGAACTGTTGCTTGCATGCATTGGACTGTTTGCATATACAGATCTATGGAGGAGAAAGGTGCAGAAGCCACCTATAGGGTTTAGGGTTTAATATTAGGAGAGGGAAACTTGTGCCAAAACCACACGCCAACTCTCCTCCAATGCCTGCAAGCCTTCTTCATTTGAAGACTGGTCTTCTCTTCTTTTTACCATAAGCTCATTAAGGGTTCTTTCATTACTTGTGATTTGTTTTTGGTTGCTGCTGGCTTGGAGTCTTGGACAGTTGGACTACATAGAGAGAGATCTAAGGAGAGAGATAGGGAGAGGCAGGGTTGAAAATAATGACTCCGAATACTCGCAAGCGGCTCTGCTCGAAAAAAATTCGTTTGACACTCGATTTGCTTACTGATGAGCCAAGTTTGAGCTAAACCTTGTTTATCTCGCAAGGCTCATGAGTCAGCTTGACTCAATAGCTTGTTGAGCTCAACTCGTGAGCTAGCTCGTTTTGAACTATGAGTTGGTTCGGCAGTGTGGCTAGTGAACCACCTCAACTAGAAATTTATGAGCGAACCCGTTAATAGCTTATCATTGGCTTGTTGGTAACTTATTGATTTGTTAGATTATATATATCACCACATGTGATGTTTAAGAATTTGAGCAAGTGATCAAATATGTTTCTTTTATATTTTAAAAGAGAAATTATGTAGACCAATTAAAAATTAGGAACTAAATGAACCTATACCTTAACTCGAGACGATCTCGCGGCAAAATTATATTAATGAGCCGAACTCGAGCAAAACTCGCAAGCTCATTAATGAGCCTTACTCAAGTTGAGCTCAATTCAAACACAATTCAAAGTTCTAGTAAAAATGTAGGAGCAAATCAAAATCAGGCTTTTGATCGATTAACCAAAAAAAATTCAAAATTAGCCAAAAACTCGATTTGGCTCATTTACATCCTAGAAGAGTTGTGGTCTGTGAATCAAACCTGGAAAATGTGATGTTAGGATCTGTTCCACAGTTTCAAAGCTTTCTCAGTCTCAGGCTTTGAATTTATTACTGCTGCTTCCTCTCCTCTGTTCTTTCAATATAATCATCACAAACCCTTTGGGATGTGACTACTCATGGTCAATCTGTGTCAGTCCACAGCCAAGATTCATTAATTTTAAAAATACTTTTACTGCCTTTTCACAGAGGGAGGAAGAAGATAATAATAATAAGCAAAAAGAACAAACTAAATTGATTATATACAGTACAGAAGACAAAACAAGAGCCATTTTGTCCTTTTCCACTGTTGTATTTGCTTCTCTGTTCTTCATCCCAAAAGGAAACTAACCCACAGGAAGAAGCTACTGATTAGCTTTTGTTATTCCTCTTATAAGTGTGGAAATGTGCAGTACTTTGAATTGGAGTTCGTATGGAAAATGTGTATTCAGTTGAGAAGAAATGACCTTTCCTTCAAGTAGAGGTGGTCAAGTTGGTTTCATGTTATTAAAGATTTGAAACTCATTGGAAGTCCACAAATCCCTATTTTGGGACAAAATTATTAAGGGAAAGACTTTGAAACTTCTGAAAGGTCGAAAACTTTCACATGCATACGTGAGAACTCTAGTGTTCAATGTTCTCTTCCACAATCTTTGCTTAAATCAGTGTTCCAATGAAAATCATTTCTACAACGTTGTAATAGCATCGAACTTGTACCTCATAAATTTCCGATAACAAAAACTATTCTTCCTTGTGAAAATCGGTCTTTTGTGTTCAATGTACCTCATAAATGTCTTAGGCCAATTCCAATGCAAAACCCCAAATTTGGGGCATTCATCTCCAAATTTGGAGATTGATATCCATTTTCCCTTCTTTTGCTCCAATGTTTCAATCTCCATATTTGGTGATTTTCATTTTTCTAGTTTTTTTATTTACTTAAAAATGTACTTATCGTAGTCTTAATATAATTTATTCATGTTAATTTTTGTATAGTTCGTCATCATTTTTAACTACAAATTTTTCGATAGAATTTTGTTAAATTCCGAGTCCGAATTTTTTTGGCAAAAAATTATGTACCTAATTTGGGTTTATACACAACACTTGAAAATGATTGATTTAATTAAATTCCTAACTAATCCCCTAATTAAACTCTCAATTAACCCCTAAAATCTTAAAAAGAAAAAGAAAAGCCACGTGGCGGGCTTTGGTGAGCCTCCATATTTGGGGGATCCCCATTTCCACCCCCAAATTTGGAGTTCCATTTGCAGGATCCTCCATTTTTGGAGACCCAAACCTCCCCATTGGACCATCTCCTCCTCCATTTTTGCAGATTCCCCCATAAATGGGGTGCCCATTGGACTCAGCCTTAGGCTAACTCCAATGGAGCCTCTATATTTGGAGGAGCCTATATATTTGGGGGAAAGTTGGCTCCAATGGAGCCTCTATAAATGGAGGAGTCTCTATATTTGGGGGAGATCTCCAAAATGATCCCCAAATTTGGGGGTGGAAATGGGGGTTCCTCCAAATATAGAGACTCCCCAAAGCCCGCCACGTGGCATTTCTTTTTCTTTTTAAGATTTTAAGGGCTAATTGGGGTTTAATTAGGGGATTAGTTAGGGGTGTAATTAGATCAATAATTTTCAAGTGTTGTGTGTAAACCCAAATTAGGTCAATCATTTTTTGTCAACAAAAATTTGGTCTCAAAATAAAAAAAAATTCTACCAGAAAATATGTATTTAAAAATGATGACGAACTATACTAAAATCAACATGAACAAATTATATTAAGACTTCGATAAGTACATTTTTAAGTAAATTGAAAACTTAAAAAATGGAGATCTCCAAATATAGAGGATGTAGCATTGGAGCAAAAGAAGGGAAAATGGAGATGAACCCCAAATTTGGGGATGAAGATCCCCAAATTTGGGAGCTTGCATTGGAGTTGGTCTTACTAGTCCAAGTCTTTGACTCCTTTTGTGACATCAATTTCCATAGCAAATGGAAGTGAGAATGAAACTAACCCCAAAATTTCCAGCAAAAAGAGGTTGGAGGTCCATTGGGGAAAGAATCTTAAAATTAGGGTGAATTATTGAAATAAGTAGAACTCAGATGCTCGAAATTGGGATAATGCGTATGCTGATGGTTGTCATGCCAACTGGCGTGCCACCGGTTGTACCGGGTTCAACCGGTACTGGTCATAAAATCGGCGTGACACCATCGGTATGACCGGCATGATGGATATGCGAATCTCTAAGTAAAATGACCTTATTTTAGAGAATTTAATTGATAAAAATTATTTTATTATTTATTTTATGAGTATAAAAGTTAAATATTGATGTTATTTGTTGGATTTAAATATAAATGTTTAGGTATTGACGTTAAATGTCATGTTTAAATATGAGTATTTATAATTTTATTTGTAATATCGACCGGCATGAACCGGCACAAACCGGTATGTGCCACCGGTTGAACCATTCCATTTGCTAAACCGGCACACTGGCATAAACCGGTTTGACAACCTTCTGGTGGAGACATTTTTTTCAAAAACAGTACGCTGATCGAGTACAAACATTTTACGATAATGATTGTCTATTATATTGCACACTTAATTCACACATAGTACAAAGATGATATCTTTTATAGTCGAGCATCGTTCACTTATTCCGATGTCAATAGATTCTTCAAAATAGCATACATCGATCGATAGTTATATTGACAAAAAACTCAAACTCATCATTGGTTGAATTTATCATCCAACATCACTTATTTATTAATTCCTCCCCCAGTCATCATCAGCTATCCAATTTTCACTAGATCCTGCAAATTTCGGAAATATAGAGGATCATATCGTAAGTAAATCGTATAAAGATGAATAACTAAATTTCTAAATTAATGATACTAAATAGTTGAGGATATTGATATCAGAGTTTTGGAGGACCGAATGTCCGTGTTTATTGCCTTTTACTACGTATAGAGATTAGTGACACGATTTACGTACGCGTCGTATTGGACGCGGACTATGCCGGCATCGACATCGGCAATCCTGTTGAAAGCAGCCCGGGACAAGTTGATGTCACCGTCGCAGTTCCGGCATAAATCGACGACGGTGACGATGACGGCGCCGGATGTTGTCCGGCAGCTTCTCGGCGCTAGGTTGGCCGCGCCGATGCACCTCACCCTGTACCTCTTCCCGCAGGCGTTGCCGTTGTCCCACAGCTTGTCGCTCACTCCGGTGATCATGTCTCCCCTGTTTTGGTACTGGTAGCAAGCCGATGCTGTCCACGAGAGAATTAAGGATGAAGATGAACAACAAACAATACAATCGACCATGAAGAAAGAAAGAAAAACAGAGGATGCTCTACTACTCACGAGTGAGGGCGTTGTGGAAAACGGCCTTTCCTTGTGCTGCATCTGCGACGTTGGTGAAGCATAGCAAGGCAAGACCCGCAATGATTGTTGCAATGGTGATCAAGAGCTTTGAAACTTGGTGACTGGGATCCATTTTCGATGGAGGAAGTAGCGAGGAGTGTAGAATGTTTTTGAAGGGTTTATGGGGTTTGTTTTGGTAGTGAGGACGGAGCGATTTGCTCGATTTATAGAAGAAGACTGGTAATGGTTGAAGTAGGGGCAGATGAGGCTAATAATGGCTTTGCTAGCTAGAGTGGAGCAAGTGTCCATGGAAAAAATTGGGCGACGTCAATGGTGTTCTTTTGAATAGTCAAGTCTTTGTGCTTTGGAAGATTGATTTTTCCATGGAAAAATGGTGGTGGAGGGAGCAAATTGAAGTGGTGGGGGATGGAGAATTGAAGCTAATCATTAACCCCAAGTTTCCAAGTTTTCCAACACTCAAGAACACAAGGGTTGGTATTGATTGTGGAGGAATTTGGAATCCGACCAGATCGCTGTGGAATTCGATTTTAGTATTGCTATATCATCTTTTTATGAGTATTGTATTTAGTTTTTCGGGTTTTATTTCGGATGTAATATATTTGTTGAGTATCAATTTACGTGGACGATTTTAAAAATAATGAAAAAGAGTGCACAAATTGGATAAATACATTGTATCTTTCGTTTTCTCTTTATTTTCTATTCAACCTTGTACTTGATTCGATTTTGTTTGATATCAGGGAAAACCATATATCTACTCCTATTGTTATTTAACTCTAAAAGTAGTACTCAAATCGTAACAATCTCAATCTCAAATTTTAATCCCTTAAGTAGCACACTATAATGAAAACAAATTTATATCCACCTTATCTAAAAAGAAACAATCTCGATAAGTGGTCATTTGTCAATTCTCTATAGAATTTGTAGATGATAATTCTTTTGGTTCAATCATACGTGGTCATCGTTGCGTCCAAATATTTTTGGGTCTTAATTATGTTCTCCAAAGTTATATTAATTATATAATTCTTGTATTTACAAATTAAACTACACTTATAATGGCGAACAAGATCGTATCTTTTGACTTTGGTAACGGCCTAACGGATTTATATTTTACTTAGGGCCTGTAAATCGTAGTTGGGCTTCAGGTTTTTATGGACCCACTCGGCAGCCCAATTCAGAATTCTCCGCCAAAATTGAAGCGAGGGAAAACTGAGAGCAGTTCACTATTCAGTGCAGGAGAAAGCGAGGGAAAAAAGAATAGAAGTGGAGAAGAAGAAGGAGCTGCGAAAATGTACGGCGGAAGCGAATTCGATGGAGGCGCGGCGGCGTTCATGGGCGGCGGATTCATGCCTTCGCAGGCCACTCAGCCTCACGATTCCTTCGCATCCTCTTCTTCCTCCAAGGTACCCTGCAACTACTTTCCTTCAGCAACCCACCACTTACCCTTGTCTTTCAAAATAACCGATTTCTCAATATGATTCTCCCTCATCTCCCCGGTGGAAAATGACGGATAGTAGCTTTAGGGTCTTGCAAGTTTGTTGATTTGGACGGTTCCATTTTGGGGATTTTGCTTAATCTGACAGCGAAATGTTTTGTTCACTTGATTAAGAATGCCATGCCTGCTTAGCTGGTTAGGGTTTTGCGATTGTTGCCCTTCTTTGGCTGACCAACATGGGTTTGATAGATTGGTTTATGCTCTTAAGGGGTGGAAGTCGGTCTTGCAAAATTTGGGTTGGGTGACTTGAAGTTGGAGACTTCTGAAGACCGAGCATTATAGAATGGGGTGTGACTTGATTATTTGTTCGTGATTCTGGAAGTTGTTTTTTTTTCCCCGGCAGAATCGAGATTCCAAGGTCCTTTTGCCGCTTACTGTGAAGCAGATGAGCGAGCTAGCAACTACTGATGAGTCCAATTTCACCATTGATGGTGTTGTTGTGAACACTGTGAGTTTTCTTCTGCAGACTGGAGTTTTTCTATTGTTTGTATATCTTTGTTAGTGCTCCTTTTCTGTGTGACATGAATTGATGATATCTGTAGGTTGTTGTGGTGGGGAGGGTGTGTCGGAAGGAAGACAAAGTGAGCGACTACACTCTTCTGGTCGATGATGGCACAGGAGTGATGGAATGCTGCAAATGGTAAGCTTCTTAGAAATTGTTCACATTGTGTAATGGTTTTATATGCATCAGCAAAGTGATGCTGTTTAATTGCTTTTATGTAGGATTCAGGAACCTCTTGACACTGAAGAAGCCGAAGGAATCTCGTACGTATCTAGATTTCTATGGCTAATAATTGCTGTTGAAGCAGTGGGAAAAATTTATTTGTACGCCTTTAATTTCTTCCACCTACAGAATCGGAACTTATGTCCGTGTACACGGACACTTGAGAGGCTTGCAGGGCAGAAGATTCATCAATGTCTTCTCTATTAGGTTGATAGTTGACTTCTTTTTTCATTTAATATATTTACACATAGATTGCCTTGTTTTCTAAGTTGATTTCGATTTTGGATGTGGTTCTCAGGCCAGTTACCGATTTCAATGAGGTGGTGAGTCACTTGATCGAGTGCATATACGTCCACTTCTACAATACCAAGATGAAGGTGTTGCTCTCTGGTTGCTGAAATAAGATCACAGTAGATCTTCAATTTGAATTGCTTGTGTTAATGCATACTATGGTGATGTGAACTGCAGGGAGTCGCTGCTCAGCCACCACCATTGACAAATTCCATTCCACCAAGCAGCAGCAACTTCTCAAGGGGACTTCAGTCCGCCTCTCTAAATCAGGTCAGCTTATTATCAACTCAATTGTTGGATTGGCGCCTATCATAAATCAATCCTCTTGTGCTTACTTAGCTTCATTCCTATTGCAGCCTACTGCCGCATTTCAGGGTAGTGACAGGATCAATAACCTCCGGCAAAAGATACTTGACGTCATTCATCAGCCTCAACATCTGTGAGTTACTATATCAGAAACTCTCCCCTAATGGATCCTCCATGAGCTATCTACCTCAACAGCCCTTCGACTTTTCTTCTTTGCAGAAATAATGAAGAGGGAGTGCACCGTGAGATCATTGCTCGTCAGCTTAACCTTCCAATGGATATTATCAAGTGCATCTCTCGCTCTGACATTTCATGCCTCTTCTCTTTTCTCACATGCATACCTTGGACGAACCTCCCTAACGTCGTCGACCTTCTTGCTTTTGGTCTTTGGACAGGGAAGCAATTGAGGCTCTTGTTGTGGAAGGCGACATGTACTCCACGATCGATGATGACCACTTCAAATCAGCCATCAACGGTTAGACCTATAATTTGCTTTGCTCTCTTCTAGACGATCGATGAACATATATGTTCTAGGGTTTATGTGCTTTTACTAGGTTTTGATAATCAACAATGTACATATTGCCAAGTCGGTCTATATTTATGTAAATCTAGCACTCTCTTAAGTCGAATACTTGGTACGAATCAACTCTCGTGTGGATTGGTGGATGAGTTGATACGAAGTTCTTGTTATGCTAAGCAAGAAGAATTTCATCTTATTTCGAATCAAATTGAATCGGTCACAAAAACTCAATATGCATCTAATCAAAAGCGTGATTGATTGATTAAAATTTGTCCTTTGCATTACATTTATTCGGTAATATGGTGCATTGAACACTATGTTGGTGTGCTCGTTGCATTTCTTCAGCCTCACATTGTAACATATGATTGAGCCTCAAATCTTGCCCTCACTTCTTAACTATGATCTCTAGACCATGTACATAAATAAAATTCGAAATCAACGTGTCGATCAATCCATGGTCGTAAAGCAAGCATGGAGGATCTAGCTTTCAAATTCGGGTCTCGAGCTTGCATGGTCTAGTTCGGTTTAGAATCATATTGCATTAGCACATTGACCGAATCGAGGATCGGGTTGTATTGGACCTAGCCTGCTACGAGCATCAGTGCATGAAACATATATTGCTTGAAGTTATTGTAATCGTTTGTGAAATACAGAAATAGTATCGTACCAATTGATTGGTTATGCTGGAAGAACCGTGCATGGAAGATAAAGATGTAAAGTTTATCCTATTCATTGCTCTTTGGTATATAACATTATTTTGTGATGTAATAAGTTGATATAAGGCTTTGTTCGTTCACTACATCTATGATCTAACATACAATGGTTTATCTCGTCCCAACTAGCACTTCACAAGTTAAGCCCTGCATATCACCCAAAACCAAAAAAATGATTAGGAAATACAACAAATATTACAATTGAAGAAAACCCATTCAAAGTTATGAAAAAGAATTTGGTGGGAAAAAAGAGAGAAATCCTTACGGGTAATACTCAATGTTGATGATCCCAGCAACTGGGTTCGCGATGGTGGCAAAAGCCTCCTTCGACAGATCGAGTGTTGAAGGACATCCATCGCCACAACGATCCGTAATTGTGACCACCACATCTTTGCCAGTGCAAGGATGCGGGACACCATTTCGTGAGGGCTCCACGCATTTGACTCGAAATCTCTTCCCGCACACGGCTCCACCGTTCCAAAGTTGATTGCTCGCCGCAGCGATCCACACTCCCTTGTCTTGGCCACCATAGCATGCAGAGGCTGCATATGTTGACCACATAATGTTCACCGTATATTAGTTAGTTATTACCCATTAATCAATCGAATTAAACACAAATCTAAAAAATGTCAATTTGGTTATAACAACTTACGAGTGTATTTTTCGTAGAAAGTGGCGATGCCATTGTCAGCTGTGGATAGTGAAGCAAGAGTGGCAGCCATGGCTACCATGAACACCATGAAAAGGGTATTCTCCATGGTTTTTGAGTAATTGGTTCCTTTTCAACTGGTTGGAAGAAGAATGTATTATATGAAATTTGTGTGTAATTGTGAATTTTTGGCTTCCTCCACTTCATATTATATAGTGGAGATGAGTAAATGGTAAATGGTAAGATATATTCTAGCCATTAATGAAAATTGTATAGAAAGCTTTTTATTTTCATTAGGATAATTGTCATTTTTGCATGATTGGCAAGTAATTAAACTACAAGTACTAGCCTAGATAATGCCTAGTTTTTATATAGCACCTGTTCATTTGCTGTAACAAGGTGAAATTGCTTATCTGTCTTCGATAAATGGAATATTAGCTTTAAATTGAAAATAGATCTAAAGATGAATTTGATAGTTTACGAGTGAGAGAGGGATGCTCATACTTTGGTATCCATTAGACTATAGACAGACGTGTGATAGAATATGCTAATGAAAGTTTCATTATTCTTTCACATTTATGGAGCTAGCTACTAATATATAACTTCAAGTTGTTAATACTTTATCAATACTACGCCATTAATAAGATTTACTAATTCTAGATCCCACACATACTCATATCAATTGGCCATGAAAATTGTACATACGATCATTTTGATTTGATCCGCAAGTGCATGATCGAACCTATTTTGATTTTTGACGCATTCTACTTGCATACGTATTACATGTTCGAGGAGTAGTGTGTCGTGGCAAGACATAATTATTAACCTCTATTCTTGCACTATTCTTGATTCGTTGTTATATCTCAATTATTTACACAAATTAATATTCTTTTGAATATATTCATACTATTTTGACTCTTCCTTCATAAACTATTGATAGTGATGACAATTTCTGATTTGACTTGCGCGACCCGATTGACCATAACCTGTTTCTGGCGGGTTTTACCACTTCTGATTTGTCTCTTGCTCGTTCACCCCCATTCTCGACCCATTCTATCATTAGTTGCATCAATATCTATATGTATTTATCCTCTTTAGTCTTTCTATAATCATATTTTCATCTCAAAGAAATTTTAAAACTAACTTTCAACTATTTAGACTCAATTATTTATTGTACAACATTTCTCATTCATTTACGAATTGTTTTATCTATGTTCTTGTACAAGAGTTAAATATCAATGTTATTTTTTCAAATAACATATAAGAATTGTTAGACCCGTCCCGCTCTGATAGAACTCGTATTCCGAGCTCTACCTAGGGATTAGGAAAAGGAGATCAACTAGGGATTGATCCGGTGATTTGGAAATAGGAAGAGGAGTGGATTTGGGGGTTTGATCAAGAAGAGAGAAGAGAAGGGAGGAGCTGTCGCGCGGCAGCCAAGGAAGAGGAGGAAGAAGAAGGCTCGGCGGCCAGAGGGAAGAGTGAGAGGGGAAGTACTCAAAAGTAGGTTTAGGTTTAATCTTGCTTACCCATTTCTACGTAACATCACAGTTTAAGTACTAAAACATAATTTCCTATCACTACCCCAACTTATTAATCTTAACCCATTCCCAAATCAAACCCACATAAACAATTCTTAACAATCAAATTCGAATCACAATAAACAAATAACTTAAATGTCTATCACGCTCCGGACGAGTATTTCTCCACCTGTTCCGCACTTAATGCAAGGTGGCATAACACTAAACACGCCTCACCTCATTGTCATCACTAGCTATTGTAATTACGATTTAGATCGAGCTTTCGATTTTCTTATTACAATATTTATTTATTACAATTTAAAAGGGCGAGATTAATTTCTACCAAAAAAAAAGGGCGAGATTAATTAGCGGCATTTCTTTATGAAATAATTAAATTATAATAATTGGGATATAAAACTAATAAACTCACCGCCCCTGCCTGATGCAACTCAATCTCTTTCTATCGCGGAGGCGTCAATAATGAATAAACCGGGCGAAAACTCAAACCATTGTTGCTTCCTGTTCTCTTTTTGATTTGCGAGCCACTGGAAATTTCTATCTCTGCCTTCTTCCTATTACCCCTTAGTTTCCAACAAACCCAATTCGTAAAGATCCCTAATTTACGAGAAATCATGCCTTCCAATCCAGATCACCTGCCGCCGCCGCCGCCGGCGGCCGGGGCAGGCACCACCGTACACCCACCACCGCCGAAGCCGAACCCAAAGCTCCTCTCTTTACTCCTCAAGGCCTTGATAATGATCTTCATAACGACCCTCTTCTTCCTCTTCCTCGGCGTCGCGGCAATCCTCCTCCTCCTCGCCACCGCCGCCCTCCACCGCCATTCCAATCCGGCCAACAACAACAACAATCCCTCCTCAGCCGCCACTGTCGACGGGATCTCGTTTCGCGACCTGAAGCAGAGGCTTCCCCAATTCAGGTTCTCCAGGAGGATGCAGAAAGGCGGCGAGGTGGATGAATGCGTGGTGTGTTTGGATTCGATCAAGCAGGGGGAATGGTGCAGGAAGCTTCCCGTGTGTGGGCACGTGTTCCATCGGCGGTGCGTGGATCCGTGGCTGGTAAAGGTGCCGGCTTGCCCGATTTGCCGGGCTAGGGTTCAGCTGGGGAATTCGGTGGAGAAGGACGGAAGGAATGGTGGTTGGGGTTTCGATTGGAGGAATGAATTCAGTGTATGGTAGAAAGAAACGTGTTTTCCCCTCGTAAGTGTCAACAATTTTGGTTAAAGTTATGTTTTTTTTCCCCTTCAAGTTCCTGGAGTTCCCCTGTATATTGTAACTATGGTGGCCTTTTGATCTTATGGTAATGGGATGATAATTTTCTGCTTCTACTCGAGGTCACTGTTCGGATTATGTTTAGAGATTGGTGGGATTCTTGAATTTCTTGTAGCATGGATTGCAGGTTATGATTAAGGTTTCAGATTTGCAGGACATGGTCATCTTGGTTTATGATTCAGATTTCAGGTGCCAAAGGAGGCGCCATATCCAGCTGAGAGTGCTCTGCAGGAAGGGTATGGAGATTCTTCGTGAAATTCGAGTTATTGGTATGAACTGGTTCTCAATGTATTTCTTGCTCTTGCCTGGAAATGGTTCGAGGAGTCTGATATTACGGGTTTCCTTGCTTAATTTCACCCTTCCACGAAGGAGGAGTGAGAATCGGTGTAGATAGATCATAGGTTAGTCTGTTTGTTGATGCCTAATTTTCTCAGTTGGTGCAGTAGAGGAATGTGGTTGATGAAGCTTTTGATAGCCATGGAGTTCACCACAAGAAGCAATAGAGTTTAGATTGGAGATAGGTATCGAAAGGTTGTGCCTTTAAACACTTTGAAAAGACAAGTGGATCATATACTTGTGACAATGTTGTTGTTTTGGCCAGACTTTTCTGGGTAAGTTTATGCTTTGATAGTGTGTTACTGAGCCTCAACAAACGGTAAAGCAGCAGACTTTCAACTGTGTTTGAATCCGGATTGCTACGATTCAGGATTGGGCACGTAGTAGTGTCTCTGTTTCTTCGTTCTGAATGGATATGGTTGGAACTTGGAAGACTAGTGGCTGAAATCTGGTTGCTTTCATCAACCTAAGAAGGAAGAGTAGATTGGGCTCTTTGGTCGAAATGTTGTATTAGGGGAGATGCGGTCTTGACTCTTGATTATGACCTTTAAGCTAATACAACTCTTGATGACTCCAAAAATATAAGAGCACAACAACACTGAAATTACTCCAAAATAATGAAATACCAACCAAATACGGGATTAGCTATTGTCCTTATTGAAGAAATGAAATCCTATTGTGTGGAAGTTTGTGAGTAGATTAAATTATGTGCATCCAAGTTTGCAACAACTATTTGTGAGTACATTAAATTATGCGAATGCGACAACTATCACCTTTTTCTTTTGCACGCTCCTACTAATTCGCATGTCCAATAATCCCCTCGTATCGTTGTTCTGAATCTCGGAACTCGGTTTGATTTTTTCGTGTTTATCATTGGAAAATCATGTCGCACACAGTTCATGTTTCTAAGACTTAATCCAAAGTAATGAGTGTTGTCATGCATTCTTTCCTCTTCACTACAACGTTGTGCATGTAACAACCATGGTCTTTTTTCTTCTTGCTCCTATTTATTGACATGTCCCTTAACCCCCTCGTATTGAGGTTCTTCATCGTGGAGCTAGATTTGGTTTTCTCTTTGTTTATATAGTCTCTTGTTCTAAGTCTTTATCCAAACTTATGAGTGTTGTTCACGCATTTGTTGTTCTTCACCACGATGTATAAATCATTAATTTGAGTTGGATGTGGTTGTCTATAAAAATGGAGTAGATATATATATTTTTGTAAGGCCACATTTTTCTTTCTATTTTTTGAGTAAAGATATTACATATCTTTTGGATTGCCACCAATATATAAGTAAGATTATACTTCATTTCCATTTTCCCCTCCCTCGATGATTCTATTGCAGAACGAATCAAACATAATTTAAATTTCATTCGCTCTTAAGCTAAATCTATCTCTCTTAATTACACACTGATTATCATTTATCAAGCAACAAACTGAATTAAATAAATTCACTTCACTTAATCCATTTCCTAATTGCTCTATAATAACCCATACAATTGACCTGCCAAAAACCAATTTTCCTCTTGCTCCTATCAAATTGATTACCTAAAAAACTAGGAACAAGAACACACTTAGAACGACACAAGATCATATCAAATATAAAAATTGTCCAATGAAACTCCAGTAGGAGACTTCAATGGTGACACCACACCACTAGTGCTCAATAGATTCCACTCAGTCGTCGATGAAGCACTTCCCGTGGACCTGTGCCACCACTGGCCTAACTCTCGTTCTCCATCACCATCATCAATATTCTCCTCACCAAAATCCTTGTGGAATCCCTTGTGATTTTCTTGAGAAACAAACAACTTTTCATCAAGATCACTCTCTTTGCCCTCCCACGCATGTTCTTATTATTTTCATTTTCTTTGTTTACCTTCCCTTGAATATTTCGCTTTGCCCTCTCTTTTTGTTAGACCTTAGCCTCCTCTAGTAAAACTCCATTTCTCCTTTTCCATTGTTCGCTGCTCATTCGCATATGTTGGTAGAAGCCTAACAAGAAAGGGAAAGAGAAGGCAACCCTAATATAATCAAGCCCAATAGAAAAGAAAAGAGTTGGGTATTCGATCTGCCCTGTCACTACTCTCATCCCCCTACTCGAGTACCTAACCACTATTACTCCAGCTTCTCAACCCCGTCACGTCGAATTTGATAATGTGATGATAATATTTATCATGTCCTAAATTTAAATTATCAGATTAATAATCACCCTTGTCAAAGAAATGAAATCTTCTACGAAGATTATCTCAAATTCGAGTAGACACTAATGTGCATGCATCAACCAACGCCTTTTTCTTTTGCTTGCCCTTACTAATTGATATGTCCTATAATCTCCTATTATTTTGGTTCTTGATCATGGAACCAGATTTGGTTTTCTCTCTGTTTATCATCTAAAAACATGCAGATATACCGCCATTGCTTTGTAAAGTTTATCCATAATTAAGATTATTGTTCACATTGTATGTCACAATAATAATTCATTAATTTAGATATCGTTCTCTATAAAAATTGAGTACATATTTGTAATTTCTTGAGTTGGATTTGCCTACTTTCAGAATTACATGTTTTAACTAACGTTAGTTATTTATGCATAATGATTGTGATTTGTCAATCAACTTTACTGATTATCAATTATTAAGCAGAAGATTGAATTAAATGAACCCCACTTCATTAAATCACATTCCCACTCCATAATAACCCAACCAATTAATCCACCGAAAACAAATTTTCTCGCCTGATCCATCCAACAATCTTAAAAACTACAAACAAGAAAACACTAAAAATAGCACAAGATCGGATCAAACAAAAAATAATGCAACACAAAATGCCTGAAGAAGCTCCACTGGGATCCTCTAATGGCGCCCAATTGCACCTCCTCCCCCTTCCTCCTCATTCCTCCGCCAAGATGGTCACTTCCACCTCCGCAGATGGCACACTCTCCGTCGATCTCCACCACCACCGCCACCCTAGCTCCCATTCTCCATCATCGCCATCGTCATCAACAGCCTCCTCCCTCTGCAGAATCATCGTCGAATCCCTAGAAATTTTATTGAGAAACAGAGCACTCTTCATCTCGATCACTCTGTTTTTCGCCTTCCCTCTCTGTTTCCTATTATCTTCCCTTTCTGTCTCATCAATCCCACTCAGATCCAAGATCCTCCGCCTCGAGTATCTCGCCACCGTCGCCCCGACCCACTACGAGTCCCGCCAGGTGTGGAAGGAATCCCGCGAGGTCTTCCTCTCTCTGCTTCAGCTCAAGCTCCTCCACCTCGTCCCTGCGAATTCGATCGCTTTAATCGCCGCGATCTCCGCCGTCACCGCCGCCGATTCGGGCAGGAAGCGCCCCGTCGGTTTCAGATCCGCGATCGCCGCGGTGCGACCGGCGTGGGCGCGGGTCGCGGCGACGGCGATCTGTGTGTACGCGATCTCGTGGGCGTACGCCGGGCTGCCCGCCGCGGCGGCGGCGGTGCTGGCGCCGGGGATTGGGAGGTCGGGGGTTCGAGTGGGGATTTGGGTTGTTGGGTTGGCCGTGGAAGTGTATATGATGGCAGTGATGGGGATGGCGTTGGTGGTTTCGATCGTGGAGCGGCGGTCGGGTTGGGAGGCGATTCGGGTCGGGTCGGATCTTCTGGAGGGGAGGCGGGTTTGCGGGTGGGTTCTTTCCGGTGGGATGGCGGCGGCGACGGGAGTGATTGGGTGGAGGATGGAGGAGGCGGCGGTTGAGGACGTGATGACGGCGACGTGGGTGGAAAGGTGGTGGGAGAGGGCGGTGGTGGTCGGGGTTTATGCGGCGGTGGTGGTTTGGGGGTTCGTCGTTAGCACCGTTTTTTACCGGGAGGCTAGAAAGCGGCATGGGATTAGGGATCATGAAATGGAGATTTTGGAGGCTTGACATTTTTTTTGGGTTAGAAGATAGGAAAAATACAAGGGTTTTTTTTTTGTTTGTTTAGGGATTTGTTGGATTTGCATTTGATTTGTTTGTTGTTGTTTATTTGCTTGTTTGTTGTTGTAATATAAAGCTTGAATCGCTAATTTAGATATGGTGTGCTCAAGTTTTGGTGAAGTTCTTGTTACGAAGTACATTGGATGATTGAAATAGGATATTTTGGTAGTTTGAGAGTATTGAATAATGTTGAGGTATCTAATACTTAATGATGTTCGATTTTGTTATTGATGGAAGATTATAGATAATGCGGATTTAAGCGTTTATGGAGTAGATATTTTAAGTATGAGATGGAACAATACTAATCAATTTATGATGTTTCTAGCTCGTTTGTAGTTCTTGAATTAGATAAAATTCTTTGTATAGTTAAGATGTTGTTTAACTTGAAAAACAGGTTTAACTTTTTGAATATTTTTATTGTTTCATCAAAGATATTTAGCGGTTGAAAAATTGAGTGGATGGGAAGTAATGAGAGAAACCCTACTCAAAGCATTTATTACTATCAACTTAAAGCAATTAGTTATTGAGTCGAGTTCTTTGGTGATGAAATTATATAGGGAATTGAAGGAAGTTTCATTTGTTTGATTTGTCAACAATGGAAAATTGGTTATGATCATGACTAGTAACTAATTAGCCCATCAACTCTCAAGTTTATGTCAATTGTACTAACAAAATTTTGTCATGTGACAAAACACCCATCATGCACGAGGCTTGTGAATATGCGTTGATTAAGTGAAAGAATTTCGTATTGATAAACAAATTTGAACGTCACTGAAAAACTTATATACAATACTAGATAAGATCTACCATATTATATCATGTGTAAATGAATAGACATTTTGATCTTTACATTTGATCACCTTTCTCGTCTCACATGTTAATTATCAACTAAATCATTCTAATAACAATATCATCTCATAGTGATTAATAACGATACCCATAATAATAACTAATAAAGATTTATAATTCAATACTTGGGATGTGTTTGCTCCAAATAAAACTCCATGGTTGTAAAATTACCACAACTTAGAAGTGAAGGACGACTCATCTGACCTTCCTTCAGCTATACAAATTCCAATCTCGAGTGAACTTTCGTCATTCAAACATTAGACAAATTAGCAAATATCACCATTTGAGACTTTTCAAAGCTAGATGTCAAGTCTCTGCCAAGTTGCAGCTACAAAGAAGGCCCCATTCTCTTCTCCATCAAACTCAATAATATCAGAAGAGCCTCTTATTGAACGATAAGCATAAGAAGCTTGTGTGGTTCAAACCATTTTGCAAAGCTTCAACACATTTTCCCACTCATCACTCACCAATTCTAAGCTCAACCCATTTCAATGGAGTCCTCCTGGCTTAAAGGGTTGCTCACCATTTCCACAGAAACCATCAAAATCATCCCCAAAATTCCAACCTTGATCACCAGGGTCACCATTCTCATCCTCGTCTTCAACTCCTCGATCTACTTCGTATCCCTCGGCTTCCTCAGGCTACTGATCAACTCCTTCCAAAGCCTGGCCATCGACCCGACAAACATCGACCGAATCGGAAAGTCCTTGGCCTCCATCATCGTATACGAGCTAATCGTGGCGGTCATCGTTTCACTATCATCCCTCTTCGTAGCAGCATCTGCAATTTTGGTTTCAGCCATGGCACTCGGAGGAAAGCAGCCCACCACAACGGTTAAAGGCTTGTTTTTTAGGGTAATAAGGGCTTGGAAAGGGCCTTTGGTCACTTGGGCTTACACGACCCTTTTCCTCTTGGGATTCATGTGTGTTCTGTTCCTGATTGCTTACCCTTTCACCCTCGTGTTCTTGTCTAGTCCGCGAATTTTGTCGATCACAATGAACATGTTTGCGGTTTTGGGATTGGTGCTGTACTCGTACTTGCTAGTGGGTTTGAGTTTGGGCATGGTTGGATCGGTTGTGGAGGGAGAGATTTGTTGTGGGCTTGAAGTTATAGGGAAGGCGGCCAGGATTGGCAAAGGGATGGAGCTACATGGGTTTGTTGTGAATCTGTTGTTTGGATTGGTGGGTTGGGGTTTGTTGAAGAGCTTGGTTTGGGTTGGGTTCCGGTTGCCCGGGGTCGGGCAAATGGCTTCTCCAGTCGGTTTGGCCGGTCTCGAGTGGCCGACCTCTGGCCAGATCTTCCTTGGATTGGTTGTGGTCAATTTGTTTTGTTTGCTCAAGATTCTGTGGTGGATGACTTATTGTGTTATGTTCTATGAGGGCATGAAGAGGCATGGTGAAGAGGTTGTTGAGTTGGTGGAGGATTTGGATTATACTAAAGTGCCAAGTGTAAATATGGTTTAATGCTAGTTATTTCTTTGTTTGTGTGGTTAATACAAGTTCAAGTGTTTTGAAGATGTAAATCTTGAGTTATAGGTTTATTGTTTACAATCTCATAATTTTTTTTTTTTTTACTTTTTGAAGTAAGAGTTGCATTCACTAAATCTTATTCTGATACAACTTAAAGAACACTAAAAAGTGACAATGAATGAAGAGCATGTGAAAATTGAGTCACCTTCGCACGAAATAGAGCATCCAACAAACTCATAAGTTATTTTACGACAAAAAATAGCAAACATGTATTGCTTTTTGTTGACACTAAGATGCTTACGATTTGGTAAGTAAATGAGTTCTTACAAGTGATCACACAAAACAATAAATAAGTATACACGATGTGACCTCAATGGTTGAGGATTAAATATGTGCCTTATGACAAGAAATAACAGGCATGCATTGTTCGTTGTTGATACTACTACGATGCTCACTGCTAATAAATAAGTTATTGCAAGTGATAACACATAACAACAAATAGTGTACACAATGTTACTTTTATATCGAGAATCAAAGTTCGTGTAGTCTTATGACGTCAAATATGAGACAACTCAAATACAAGCAACTAATAACGTAGTGTTATGACGTAAAATATGACACGACTTAAATACGAGACAACTAACCAAGACACAAACTAGATGGTTTGGTGGATATTGATTTGGGTACTTCCATAAATGGACCATAATCCATAGTCCTATTTTTTGGGCAAATGGGCGAGTTTGGGTTAAAGAAGTTCATAGCCAAGGTCCAATCCAACATCAACAATCGGCCTAGCCCTTCAGGCCCCAATTTTGGCAAGTCAACTTCCCCCCCTCTTCTCCCGCAACCTCTTCTTTTTACCAATTTTGTGGATATAACTGAAAGTTGCAGAGAAACTGACACGGAAGCGCGAAAGAAACCGCCCCCGCCGGAGTAGATAGATGGTGGCCTCATTTTCACCGTCGCCCATCACCGGAAAACTGCCCTGTTTCCCTTCTTCAGCTTCCCCAGTCAGCTACCGTCTTCATCTCCCGGCTCATAATCTCAAGTTAAGTCCACTGCGTGCTCAAGAAAGCTCGCAACTTTTTGCTTCCGAACGCAGCCTTTAGTGTTCGATTGATAGAATAGTCGAGCTAGCCAAACTGCAATTGCTTGACTGATACCTGCTGTGATAGCTTCTATCTGTGCTTGAACGTCACCTGTTGTCATTTTGGGAAATTTTGGATTTGTGTGGTGGAATTCCGTCGACTGTAGACTTTTTTCTCAGCGAGATTGTGAAAGAACCTGCCTTTATGCTGTTTCTTGATTACCCTTTTGGTTGCATTGGCCACTCTTTATCATGGTTTGGAATACGGTTTATTTGGAAGTGCAGAAGGTGGCCTTGGCATCCCCAATTTTTCATGATGTTTCAGTTTCTGAAGTCTGTATTGAATTCGTTGGTATTCCCTACTTGGAAGATCTCATGTTCCAAGCTATGGTTATAGCTGCTTGATGCAGCATATGAGTTGAATTTCGAACTTGGATTTGCATAATTTGAATGGAGGATTGCTTATACTTTGTTGTGCCTGTGCTGTTTGTATCCATATTTTGATTTGGGTTACCATCATTTTTCAGGTGGGGGTTTGGAGTTGAGTCTGATGGCAACTCTGGAGCTGGTAGAACAAAAAGTCGAGCTTTTCGAATCTCTGCAACTTCCAATGTATGGATCCATATAAGTTCGACTCAGATCCTAAGAGATTTCGAAACATAATAGCAGTTTCAATGGTTCATGTCAAATGGTGCAATGTAATTAGAAAACCCTTCTCCTCTAATCTATGCAATCAAACAGACGTTTGTGGATTAGGGAATGTTAGTCACGTAACCAGCCGTTAGAATTACAGATTTGGCTCTTAATCGCCATTACTAGGTATGTTGGTGGTACTTCCTCCATGAACAGGTTGAACTGAATGTATATAGGAAAGTAGATCAGCTGCTTTCCATTCCCCAGTTCAGCAAACATTTTCTGTCGAATGCTCCATAGGCGTGTACTCTGGCTCTTGGAGCTTAAGTCTTGCAATGAACTTCACAAACTACATTGTCAACTTCTGTACAAAATTTTGACTATATGCAGGCATCAGGAAGTTCGAAAAGAGAGGTGATCATGGTCGATCCAGCCGAAGCCAAGCGATTAGCTGCGAAGCAGATGGTAGAAATTCGAAGGAAAGAGAGACTCAAGGTGATCATTGAAAATTGATTATAACTGGCTTGCCCTGTTGCAGCTGGTTTACCCTTTACTGATCTAGCTTGGGATTCTCTAATTTTGGTAGAGACGGCGTGAGATCGAGGCGATCAATGGAGCATGGGCAATGATAGGTCTCACAGCAGGTTTGGTCATTGAAGGTTACTCTGGGAAGACCATAATAGAACAGGTCAGTGATGAGGTCTCTATATAAGTATATATATCATATTAATCTTATGCTTAATCCTTACACAATCTGGATTAGATTCTTTTGAAGTCTTGTTGCTAACTTGACTGAGTTGTTTCTCCCTTCAGTTGGCTGGGTACCTGTCTGCCATCGTCCATATTTTCGTACGATAGCTTCGAATTTTGGGACCAACATCACCTGAAGTTATCTAGGTAACTTGTTCGATCCGCCTCCGAAATTCTGTCTCTTCATTACACAACACATGGAAACTGTATAATCTTTCCCCTACAGTTTTTTTACTAGCATTGTACCATTCATTACTGGCAATCAACATTTTATCAGAGCTGGTCACCATCATGTTTGCTTTTCTGATACCTTGCTTGTGGTGAGTTCTGAATGGTCCCAGAAGTGAACTTTAATGTCTAGCTGTCCAATGCCAGAGAGGGAAAAACAACAGAAAAAAAAGGGAAGGTAAAAGAGGTCGGCAACTTGCTGTTTTGAGAATCATGATGAAACCAGTGTAGAAGATTTTGTATGGTTTAAAAGCCTAAGTGGTCACCAGATTATGGTCTTTGCAACAAAATGCTAACTAATAAGCTACTTGATATGTAATCAAATGGTCGTATCGTCTAAGTTCGTCGAAGAACTCTGTTGTTAGTGATGTGAGTCAGCCTGCCAACTTTACTTGTCGCGTGTTCTCGACTTGGCCCAGTCATCATCCACAAGACCCCCCTCCAAACAATCTCGACGACAGTTTTCCAGAACGAATCGGAGTAACCAACCGAAGATGAACTTGAGGACGTGCCTGCAAGTCTGCAGCAGCAACATCAAGTGAAAGGGAAAGGCCGTGACTGCTGCAGAAAAGGTGTAACACGGTTTGCATACAACTTGGCCGGCAAATGTTTGCTGGCTCTGGCTGGCTGGCTGGCTGTCCTGATTGGTTATAGGGTTTGGTTTTAGTTTGTGGATAATAATTAGTCTCGTGACAAGTTTTTTGTTAGGTTGACAGGTTGGATAGGACACGGTTATTAAGATTCGAACTTTATTAATTTATTTTGCCGGTACACAACTTTCATTGGATACGCAATCTAGCTTCGATTGGATAACAATGGAATCCTCATTGAACCCTTTAAAGGTTAAAGTAGGCGGATGAAGTTTGGAAATTGACATAGGTTCGAAAAAACGGATCCTTAGTTCGAACAAGATATCATATTTATACATGGTTGGTAAAAATCAAAGTTTAATCGTTTTGGTTAACTGATTAATCCAGTTAACTGATATAGCATAACATCGCATAAAGAAAATCATGATGTTAATGCACCAATTGACAATATCACGAGGAATTAACACTCTCTTTAGAGAGAGAAAAAAATGATTTTATTCTTTTGAACAACCTTGATCTAACCTCGAAATGAATTAACACTCTCTTTAGAGAAAGAAAAAAAATGATTTTATTCGTTTGAACAACCTTGATCTAACCTCGAAATGTATAGGTGGTTTTCTTGAGAATCAATGAGATGTGTTATAATAGAAAGAAAACATTTGATTATGTTGTTAGGCTACGTAGTGACGTATCACCATGCTTCACACTCGTGATTGGTTTCTTTCATCGAATTTAAGCATTTATTCATTCGATTTGGCCGTGTAATAAAATTGGGTTTAATAACCCTTTTATTTCTTTTTCTTTCATGTTTTTACCCAATTCTATATAGAAAGTTGCTATAAACTATCAACACATATGAAAGTTACTTTAATCCCATGCATACCATTTACCCAATCTTACAAACTTGATGTTCCGACCACAACACAATTCATCGAAATAACTCGAATATTAAAGCCTAAATTAAAATATGGAATCTTAGCATTATCCACTTAGGAGGTTTGGGGATAATTCCTTGGCACCTTTTCCTTCATTCCCCACTTTCTCCCAACAACAACAACAACAACAACAAGAGAAGTCAAACAAGAGAGGGTTTGTTGCTGTTAACAGGCCTAATGTTGGCTTATATCAGCAACATTTGACCATCTAGTAGGCCATAGCAGCAACCAATTATCGTTATTGTTGGCTTGTTATGTGGGGAAGAGAATATAAATGGTACAGAAAGGAAACCCTAGTTTTTGGGAAACCATAATAAAGCCATTTTCATGGGTTTGGTGCCAACTTTGGCAGCAGCAGCCGACACTGCCTGGCCTGCCAATTGCTTCTCCACAGACAGGCCACAAAAGGTAACCCACCTCCAGAATTCAATGGGGATGGAGGGAAAAGTATTTCAACGAATTGGTCTAAAGTTGACAACTCTCTTCAAAGTTCAAACCTAATCCATATCAAGGAGGAGGAGATGACTATGGCTACTAGTTTGGAGAAAAGATATGTACGTGTCGACCAAATTGAAACCAATTCGGTTTGCCAGTAAGTCTTTTCCTAGGAAACTTTGGTGAAGTGGGGTTTGGTGTCATTTTTTTCTTCCATTAAGATATGGTATAAATTGGTTTAATGTATCACGTTGGTTATGATACATGTATATATATATGGTGGTAGGTGATCCAATGCATACAAATATGGTCGATTTGTCGATGACATAGTACGAGTCTTGATGAGAATTTATCTCTAATCACTAATTTTACTATTATTATGAAATATGTGTAGACAGATCCTTCGAAGTAGAAACATTGATAGTAACTACGATAATTTAACTATTTGTATACACATCGATTATTGGAATTTTCCGTCAATATAAATTTATGACTAATCACTGATTTGTTCTCTCTCTATCCACGTGCAATCTCCATTATTTGGAGAGCTTTCACGGCGTTACGCATGTAATAGGAGGTTATGCGTCTTAAACGCAAGAAGCATTTCGCTCCCAAAAGACTAAATAAGTATGGTGAATCCTATAATTATTGATACAATTTTCACAAATATCACGCAACGATATATATACACCATACTAATTGTCATTTGAACAACATACACACTTTTATATAACACTTTTCCCTATCATATCGAGTCAACTGATTTCAATACCAAGCATTACACCATAGTTATATAAATCAGCACCGCGCGGTGATACTTTATATGTTACCTCATTTCACAAACAAAAATCCCATTATCAATCAATATCATATGATGATGTCCATCCCAAACTCTTCCATTGTTGTCGATGACTCTCATCTCATCATCATGTCCTAGAATCAAACATGAACCTTATGAAATAGATAACGATAGGAAGCCATGTATAAAATAACAAAAAAGGGATATGAAGATTTCAAGATTTGGAACGATATTGATGTTTGCCCCCAAGATATGTACATAGCCATTCACGTTTTTTGCCTTAATTAACATTCATTGGCTCTTCTCTCTCTACTCTCTCTCTCTCTCTCTCTCTCTCTCTCTCTACAGTACTAGCTAGGGCAAACGTGGCCAAACCAAACTCCATGAAAGTTCCAAACTTGTGAAACTGGTCCTCTCTATCAGGCTACTACTTTTCCTTTGGCTCGATATCCAGCTGTGTGTCATGCGTTATCCTGTAAGAAAATCTTTGGTGGGGTTCATGCAACCTTTTTCTTCAAGATATTGGATTTGGGACAACGCCCCAGAAATCATCAATAATCATCCCCACCTTTTGTTTTTTTTAGGGATATTGAAAGAATATGTGTATTGTTATTTTATGGTGTAATAAGAATAGAAAAAAGACCGTTGTGTTGGGAGTGGGAAGGGCAAGTCAAGAAAGGGGGATTGTTGTTGTGGTGGGAAAAGCTGTGGATTCTCGAATGTGCCCAAAAAGAGGATTAGGGTTGTTGACCACGTAACTTCATTCTCATCTCCCCTAAATGGTCTATTAGGGTTTGATTTATTGATACATGAAGGGTAGGGGAAGAATACAAGGTATATATTTATATATATATATATCATAATCGAAATGAATCAGTGTGTCAATCGAATTTCTTGAATCGATGATTAAATCAATGTTACGAGCTTTATAGTAGTGTCATATTTGAAACATCAATCTGAAATAGTTAGGTTGAATCAAGTGTAGAAATTATTTGATTTCGGCACGTGCATGAGCCCCGGATGGACCCTAAAAATAATCAAGAGCTCACCAAGCCACATGCATGGTGCCACTACTGTTTTTGCGGTGAAAAATGATGATCAGTTCATCCGATTATCATAAAACATAAAAATGTAAAATAAGCGTCGTGACACACATTCTCAAGCCTGACACCGAGTGACTATACTTAAAACTTGACTGTTGCTTAGAATTTGACACAATAGTTTGGCTTCGAACAAGTCGTGTTAGGATCACTATTAAACATAAGGAGACCAAAACCAAGACTCTAAGTTACCATTGGAAGAGATCAAACTTTTTTTTTTATAATCTAACTCATTAAGTCAATCACGAAACTTCCCTTAAATGATGACAAATACAAGTCATTGTACAAAGAACCGTCACAATCCTCGAAAAGTAGTAGTAATTAAGTAGTCTTGTTGGAAACGTTAGCTTGTAGAATTTGCAGTACTCTTCATAATAACTTTGCTGCAAAATTTTGGTATATATTTATTATGTGGGGTTTGGTCTACAAAGGATAGGTATAAAAATACGGTATATATATACAAGTTGGGTATGGCTCCCTCTTGGCGGGCAACATATTGAGGATAATAATCCATTATCCAAACCGGCCATATCGAATGTCTATATCAACAAATACCCAACGGTATATATTGAGGATAAAATTCCATTATCAACCAACAAATAATACACGAATATAATTAAGGTGGTGGCCATCAGCTTCGTCATAGCATGCATGGTGGTTGATTCGTTAGTTAGGCTGCCTCATTCGTCGCGAGTGTTGTCAATTGGCCTTCTCTCTTTCTAGTCGTGCAGAGATTTCACAGGGAGTTCAGCGAGCCGAAAATTGAACTAACCAAAGAGTGATGTGTACGAAAAATTAAGTTGATATCTCTTCTTTAGAGTTAGCTTTCTTTGATGTGTTTAGCGTGTCTTCACTAATCTGTTGTCGGTTGTATCCAACTTTTCTCTCTTGTTATATCTTGAGAAAGGGGTGGGGGAAAAAACGTATATACGTGATCATTTTGAATTTCTCATTTCAATGTTGGTACCACTAAATCAGTTACCGTCTGTTCTTATCGTACAATCCTGATAAGTAAGTGGTGTATAAGTACAAGGGAATATTGTGGTATCATATTCTTAATGGATTGTTGTTTATTCAAACAAGGAAGAGGATTAGGAGAGTTAGAACCAATTACAATTGAGATTATATATATATATATGTACCTACCAGGGGTTTTGTTTTGTGGGGTACAGCCCATGGCACAGGTTTGACCTATTAGACCACTATAATCAGATGGACATGGAAACCTAATACCCAATTATATTAATTAAGCATAGTTAAGTCTTTTGGGTGGATAAGCTTAGTTTAATTTCGTCCTTTTATAGGCTAGCTAGCTAGTTGACAAATGGGGCATAGCACGCCCTCGTTTGCCAACAAGACTATAGAGTTAAGAAACTATGTATCACAGCCAAGTTGATCAATGCCACATGTTTAATGGTGTATTAAAAATCTCAAAAGAAAAACAAGCTAGAGTGAGCATATACTTAAGCATAAAAAGGGTACTATTGAGTTTATTAATTGGATTGAGTTCTTCTACATTGAACTATTATAGTTGATTAGTTGTTGGAAGTATGACACTTATGCATTGTTTAGGTATGGATTTGTAATTTGGGCCGAAATCTCTGAACTAAGTCACTATATGGTTTGTGAGTATGGAGTATGGACCCATATATTGAATGTAACCGGTATACAAAATTAGGTTGAATAAAATTGATTGTATCACGTGGACCAGTATTGTCCTCATATAGTTGCATTGGCGATTCGCATTAAAATGCCCAAACCACCAAGTAAGCTTAGCGGCCACACTGGTTTGGAGCTCAACTCTAACCGTCGAGTATAATTCCTGGGTTTCGGGTAGTCTTTGAACGATCCCCCAATTATTAAAAGAAATTTAACCTGTTACGGGAATGTATGAAGAGTGAGTCTGTGAGTGATCTTCTATATATATCATTCTCTTGCAGGATTTTTTCAATTACAACTCACGATTCCAATTCGAGTTATGGTTTCAATAAGCTACTTATGTCATATATATTCAAATTCGAAGACTTTAGATTACCTAACTCTATATTCTCTAATAACGTCTCAAAATTCCACAAGGAGGTTCGCGAGAGGAGAGAGGTCTTGCAACGAGACATTTTTTTTATGATGGTGACATCAATTTGATTTTATTATTAGGTACTACTTTAGAGATTAAAACCTAAAACCTTTGGATTGGAAATTACTGATTAACCTGTTAGATGAGATTCTTTTTCGCAATGGTGCTAACAAGTCATGAAATCAAAACACATATTTTTAGTATTCTTGGCGTGGGTAGTAAAGTGGAATTTGTTGGAGAAGAAAGAGAGACGATGAGACGTCCACTCTTTTGCTTCTTTTTCCCACCTCAAAATAATAATAAATAATTATTATGTAATATAAAAAGCCACGTAGTTATTATTATGCGCATAAAATATCAAACTGTGACCTGTCATTGTCTGGTGTCCAGCTCAGCTGCCTTTCGGCCTCTACCACGTGGCTTCGTGAATCGTTCCCCTAAACTAAAACCTTCCTTTTTTTTACTTTGTGGATAATGTGGGGCCCGGATCATGGGGAAAGCCACGTCAGACATATGGATGGGGCTCACGCGCGTTCTGGATAATCAAAATGGATAGGGTTTCATTTATTATTATGATGTCTGCTGCACAAACTAATTGTTTATTACCATCTTGGTCCCCAAAAAAATAAATTACTTTGATGAATCGGTCTTTTTAAGACTTTTTTGATATCTTACACATTAATCAACCAGGTGACTGCAAGTCTCTTCGGGAACATCCGAAAAATTGGAATGATATTGAAAATATTAGCAGGGATTTGCACAAGGATGACACGCATAAATCGGATGACTGCAAAGTGTTGGTTGAGGTTTTGAAGAGCAATACAAATTTTGGGTAATGGTAGTTCTACCCAGTTCTTTCTTCTAGATTAATAGTTTTGTTATTCTTGGAGGGTATCAAATAGTGGATTTAATTTAAGTTTTTTTTATCCAATATAAAAAAACAAATCTGGTCACACTCGTAACACTCGCTCTAACTCAATCCTCCATTGATCAATGATGATCGTGATTGCACAAGGTATCTTACTTCTAAGAACCTACCCTCCTTTGGCAAGCGAGAATGATGAACCAAGCGATCCTACAATCGATCAAACGTTCCAAAATTCATATGGAGAATCACCCTAGCTAGGCCGGTGTGGAGGAACTGAGTTGTCGTGTGGTTCAATAGTAAGCCCATATCTAGGTGTAAAACTCTCGCTTCTGTCTAGTTGTCTTTCTCTTTATATGTGTTTTTTATATGACACGCGTACAAATGCCAACTATTAAGAAAATGATCAGATCGACTGGAACTAGTTCAACTTGCTAGTATTTGTGTCATATCAAATGCGAGCATTAACACTCGAATATATGATATGTAAGTATTATATATCATCACAAACTTGGGTTCAACTTGATCAAACAACTCAAATTGTTTCAAATGTGTTTATGACGATCCTAGCTAGGGGGTATTCATTATGTATATATGAATATGACTACATATATTTATGTAGCTAACGGTTGATGAACGTAAACTAAGAAACAATTTTTTTTTTTGGGTATAGAGATCAGAAGATCGATGGATAGAGTGGATTTGAAGATAAGGCTTTGAGGGGTTGGTTCTCTCTATCTTATGATATCATGCACGCGTGAAGAAGTAAAATTAGTTCAAATTGTTCATCGTAGAATTAGTTGGTCGGCCATGGTATGGATATACTTTTCTATATGAAGTATTTTAACAGCTACGTATACACATGCATATCCATTGTGTTTGTTTCCCCCTCTTTCGTAACAATGTAAAGGGTAGGTTGCAACTTACAAATTAAGTTAGTATCTTGTAGCAATTAGCTAGGGAAAATAGTTGTAACATAGACATCACGTTGTCAATCTCATTATTAGTACTCATGCGAATCGATATCGTTGAGAAGGAGGTTAGGAATGGAAGACTCACATGTTTCATACGAAACGGCACCGATCAATCGGGAGGAAGCTTTCCTGTCTCGGCGAGTCCAATTTAAGCATATTTGTGGATGGAAGAAACAGGGTGTAAGGAGGGAAAGAAAAACGAGGAAAAATAAGCCAACTTGATAGTCGTCAATCAAATTTTCGGAGCAAGGAGAAGGGGAGCGTACATATCGTGTATCTACGTACAAGATTTATTAGTAAAGTTAATCTTATCTTGGTATTAGTGTTACATAGTCGATACTAATACCTTACAGCATCAGTTTGATAAATGGTTTTGACCCATTATAATGAGTCCTTGATATGAGATTACTCATTTGTAATGAATTTGCGATGTGATTTGTTGCTAAATGTTATCCGCTTAGTCTTATGTGAAGAAATATTATATTAGTTTCAACTCCCAATCGAATGAATTGAAATCCTATCAATCTAGTCTAACCAGACTACGAATGTGTTCGATTCCGATTCTCGCATTCCTTTGAATTCCATCTGTGTATCATATCGGTTTCGATTCAAACCCGGTCAAGGGTTTCGTGAGGGACAGTTTGGTCAATCTATGGCTAAAGGATGCATACATGGTGACCCACCCACTAGGAAGAGATGAGACACCATGCATGGATTTTGTCAGCCAAGTCAGAAGTCAAAGCCATATATGCCCCTCCACTCTCCCTCAAGATCAAAACAAACACGCCACGTTTCTCTTCTTCTCATATTATATATTTTTCAACTCTAAACAAAAAATAAATCGCATATATATGTGTTTCATGGCTTAAAAATAAACAAATATCTCACGTGGATGTTTTAATCCATCACTTCACTTTCAATCAGTCACCATTTGCTCGATACCCACTCCTAGATTTCATTCAAAGCACGATCATGAATTATATTTTGAGAGGGGGCCCAAAAATATATTTGTGGGGAAAAGGAAAAGGAAGAGGAAAGCCACAACCAACCAATGAACAAATAGAGTGTAGCAACCATTTCATTCCAATATGTATAATGATATGATGATCCATCACCTAGATATATACAAATATATGTACATGAAAAAAAAAATGAGAAAATCATTATACTAGTGTAGCAACTATATATGTATATAATATAATAGTATGTCTTTATGTTGTATATAATAGTAGATATAGATGTTACCATGATGTGTGTACATAGTAACCATACATACTACAAATGTCATTGTGTGTTGTTCTTTAACGTGTATACTATATACCAGTTGCGCTGAGGTGTAATACTCGCGTCTCATACACGTGAAGTGTGAATCCGAATGTTTAATTTGAGTTGGATCATGAGTTAGATAGATGTAAATTGGTTTGAACTTAGGGTTAGATAAATAAGGAGCGGCAAATCAACTCCTCGCCAAAAGTTGGTAAATAAACATTTTGGGAATGAAAAGATAAAGAGAGGATGGTATGGCTAATGAACTTAGCCTTGGGGGAGAGATGATTGTTATCGCTTTGAGCCAGTTACAAAAGAATAACAAGAAGTTTTCACATAGTTTTAAAATTATGATCGATTTAAGTGAGTTTTAGAGAAAATGTAGACACGATGTGTTGAGAATGACGCGAGATCGAGTGTGTTGAATGAAGAATCTTAGTACTCTCCTTCATGGCACACGCATGGCATATAATACCTGGCACCCCAAATAGGTTAAGACCTAATCGAGCAAAGTCGTCATCCTGGATAGGACCGTTAAGACTTAAGCTTGCAAACTATTTAAAAGGTAAGGAATTCAGAGATACAAACTCATTCAGGTGGCGTACGACGTCTCTTTGATGGTAAGGATGACAACTAAGGAACCTTATAGCTAAAAGCTCCAACAATGAATGCAAAAAAATAGAACGTTCAATCTTGTACCTCAAATGATTCTCGTTGGTCTCATTATTCTATGGTAATTTCGAACTCTAACATGATAACTCTTAGGAAGGAGAAGAAGACGATAAATCTTCATAAACATCTAGTTAATAAATAAAAAATATGTTTCGATATTCCGTTAAGATTTGTTAAGATATAATGTACCCATATGTTGGTTATTTGGTCCTCTAATGGTTAGTAAGTAGTACCACAAGGAAATGGACACATTAATTGATATAGTGATCGAAGTTTCCTCCTTTGACCAACCGCCAACGTTTTCACTGTACCCTTAATAAATTTCCAACTATGGTAAGTTTATTATTATTTTGCATTTAAGGACACATTTAGGATAATATTCTAACTGTCAAATAGAATAATATGTTTCTCCCCTTTGTATAATAAATAACAGTAAAAAACCCATTTTTTCCTTTTAATTTTTATTACATTATTTTACCGTATGTGACATTGAACCTATAACGGAAAGGCAATTAAGTGGTGTAGTGTTCATATCGTGGAAAGGACATAATAATTAATTAATTGATTGATTTAAATAAAAAAATGAATGAATAAAGAAATGGGGTGCAAGTCCCATGTTGGTCGACCTTATCCTATTAGTGAAAGACAGAGATAAGCTTATAAGAGAAAAAGACCGACTTTCCCTTTTATTATTTGTTTTTTTTTATAAATTAAACATGGTGGTGGTGGTAGGGCAAATCAAGTTTGACTCAAAGAAATTCACTTTTTGGATAATATAGTTTAGAATCCTAGTTGTATTTTTCTTTCATCTAGTGATACTATTATAAGATAGATTAAAAATATGAATCTAATCAATTTCTGAATTAGGGAAAAGTTTTTTTTTAAATCTAGTTCGGTGTTCAAATTTTGCTACTTAGAAAAGAAAAATCCATGCTGTTTGATATTATATTATCTCATTTGACTTAACCAGTCAGATAAATTTTCTCTAAGTTAAATATGTGTTCTTTCAATCATTTAAATTTTTTATCAGGCGAGCCAACTATTTATGATCGACTCTTTTTTATTTTTCAACTCAATGAATATTTAATGCATTTACCAGCAACATACTGCGGAATGTACATTCACCAACAAAGGGAAGATATATTTTTGCTGCTGAGATCAGTGAAGGTTCACCGATTTAAACCTTGTAGTTTGTATTTTGCAAAACTCGTTATTCTTTTCTTTGTACATAGATAGATAATATTATTAGAAGTTTCTATAAAAAAACATAAGTAGAAGTTTAGTTAGGTCACTTAACCTCCAATACAACTATACATATTATTCCTTTTGTTCATATTTTGTACTAATCTCTTCACCACTCCAAAATCACTTATCCATATGGATTAGGATTGAGTTTTAATGTTTTTGTCCTTGAGTTAACACAAGGAAAGTTCATCAACAACATTTTCTCAACAACATATATATGGAAACAAGCATCAACCCCTAATTTAAATTATTAACACTAAACCTATATTTTTTGTTTATTCTCATTACCAACTTATCCTCATCATCATCATAATCACTTCATTGCCATAATACAAAATCTTAAATTAATTATAAAGACCGTTTTCTGTTCTTCCCATAAAACCCCTCTCTCTCTTTCATTTATATTTCACATTTTTTATAAAACCGCAAACCCACACAAAATTTTTCTCCCATTCTTCATTTCCTTCAGTTCTTCTCCCTCCTTTTCCTCTGTTCTTCATCTCTGATGCGATTTTTCAGCTAAAAGGAACCAGATTTGGGTGGAAAACCAAAAAAAATGTCACAGTCCTGCATAGAGTGTCTCAGTTTAATCTCAACCGACGATTTCCGGGTCATCAATCGCCGGCCGCCCGCCGCCATCAAGCTCCCTTCGATCCCCATCCAACAGCAGCAGCAACAACAACTCAGATGCCCGCCTTCCCCGGCCGCCGCGCCTCCGCCGCCGGAGCGCCGGGTCGTGGTGGCTAACCACCTCCCCATCCGGGCCACGCCCGACCCGGACAGGCTGTCGACGGCGCCGTGGAGGTTCGAGCTCGACGAGGACTCCCTCTACCTCCAGCTCCGCGACGGGTTCTCGCCGGAAACAGAGGTCTGGTACGTCGGCTGCCTGAAGCCGGAAATCGACCCGAGGTACCACGAGGAGATTTCACAGACGCTGGCGGAGAAGTTCCGGTGCGTGCCCGTTTTCCTGCCGCCGGAGGTGCTCAACAATTTCTACCACGGTTTCTGTAAGCACTACCTCTGGCCCCTCTTTCACTATTTGTTGCCCATCTCGCCGGCGCACGGCGGCGCCGCCCGATTCGACCGGAAGAATTGGCAGGCCTACGTCTCGGCGAACAAAATCTTCGCGCAGAGAGTGGTCGAGGTGCTGAACCCAGAAGAGGATTCGATTTGGATCCACGATTACCATCTCTTACTCCTCCCCACTTTTCTCAGGAAGAAGTATCACAGAGTGAAATTAGGGTTCTTTCTCCACAGCCCGTTTCCCTCTTCCGAAATCTACAGGACGATTCCCGTGAGGGAGGAGATCCTTCGGGCTTTGCTCAATTGCGATTTGGTAGGGTTTCATACTTTCGATTACGCTCGCCATTTCTTGTCCTGCTGTAGCAGAATGTTGGGTCTGGATTACGAATCGAAGAGAGGGTATATTGGATTGGAGTATTTTGGGCGAACTGTGAGTATCAAGATCTTGCCGGTGGGGATTCACATGGGCCAGCTGGAATCGATTCTCAAAGGCGGGGAAATCGTGGAGAAGGTGAAGGAGCTGAAGGAGAGGTTCAAAGGGAAGACTTTGATTGTCGGGGTTGACGATTTGGATATCTTCAAAGGGATCAGCCTCAAGTTTCTCGCAATGGGGAGGTTGCTGGAGCAGAATCCTGATTTGAGAGGCAAAGTGGTTCTGGTCCAGATTTGCAATCCGGCGAGGAGCAAAGGGAAGGATGTGCGAGAAGTGGAGGACGAGATCCAGTCGGTGGCAAATTCGGTGAATCGGAGGTTCGGTAGAGGACAAGATGGGTACAGTCCGATCGTGTTCATCAATGGCGGAGCTCTGACAACTCTGGAGAAAGCTGCTTACTATGCCGTGGCAGAATGCTGCGCGGTGAATTGCATCAGGGATGGTATGAATTTGGTTTCTTACAAGTACACTGTTTGTAGGCAGGGGAGCCCTGTTCTGGACCAGATGGGTAATGATGACGATGTAGGCAAGGTTGAGAAGAAAAAGAGCGTCTTGATCGTCTCCGAGTTCATCGGGTGCTCGCCTTCGCTGAGCGGGGCGATCAGGGTGAACCCGTGGAACATCGAGGCAGTGGCGAGTGCAATGTCTGATGCGATCACGATGAAGGACGAGGAGAAGAGGATGCGCCACGAGAAGCATTACAAGTACATCAGCTCCCACGATGTGGCCTACTGGGCGAGGAGCTTCGATCAGGACCTGGAACGGTCCTGTCGAGACCACTACAACAAGAGGTACTGGGGTGTTGGATTCGGTCTCGGGTTCAGGATCGTCGCATTGGGTCCCAGCTTCAGGAAGCTCTCCATCGAGCCGATCGTGGCTGCCTACAAGAAGACTTCCACCTCCAGCAGGCTCATCTTGCTCGACTACGACGGTACAATGACCCCACAAGCATCCGTCGACAAGTCCCCCAGCGACGAGGTGATCACCGTCCTGAACCGCCTGTGCGATGACCCCAGGAACGTAGTGTTCATCGTCAGTGGGAGAGGCAAGGAGCCATTGAGCAAGTGGTTCTCCCGGTGCCCCAAATTGGGGATCTCTGCTGAGCATGGTTACTTCACTAGGTAAGTTGTTACAAGTGTAGTCACTTTTTCTTAGTGTCAGCATACCTGATTACTTGATATCAGGTCTGTTGATCCACTTCGTGTTAAGCTAGACTAGTTTCTCACTGACAATGTGTTGCAGCTGGACGAGGGAATCATCGTGGGAGGCGTGCCCGGTGGTGATGGACAGCGATTGGAAGAAGATAGCCGAGCCGGTGATGGAGCTATACACCGAGACGACGGATGGATCCTTCATAGAGCACAAGGAGAGCGCACTGGTGTGGCATTATCAGGAGGCAGATGCTCATTTCGGGCAGAGCCAGGCCAAAGAACTGCTCGATCACCTCGAGAATGTGCTTGCCAATGAGCCTGTAGTTGTCAAGAGAGGCCAGCACATCGTTGAGGTCAAGCCCCAGGTAACATAACATAGTAGCAACTTAAAGCTTTCATCTTTTCAAGTTCCAACCGCACTTCACTTCAGCAGAAAGCAAGACATTCATAGTTGTTTTCATCTTTGTTTGTTCATAGGGAGTGAGCAAAGGCATAGTGGTATCGAACTTGGTCTCTACGATGCAAAGCGAGGGCAAGTCCCCCGACTTCCTGCTCTGCATTGGGGACGATCGATCCGACGAGGACATGTTCGAGTCGATTGTCAGACAAGTCGAGAACCCACAGTCTCCATCCATAGCCGAGGTGTTTGCCTGCACGGTGGGGCAGAAGCCAAGCATGGCCAAGTACTACCTCGACGACACTAGTGATGTGATCATGCTGCTTCAAGGGCTTGCTAATGCTTCAGCAGTAGAAAGACCACCACGAAATCAAGTTTAATTACAAAAGTAAAGGAAGCAAAAGGTAACACCTTCTTGAAGTGCAAGTATAGAAGAGAAGAAAAAGGTTAGTGAGAGTTCAAATTAGGAGACAGAAACAAGACCCTGAAATGGTAGTAAAAAAGAAAGAATGAAAGAAAAGGTGGAGACTTTGTACAGTTGTTGTCGATGATGATGATGATGATAGATTTACTGCAGAAGCTTACAGCATGTTGATTTCTTTTCCCCCACTGCTTTGTTGTTGCTTTTTTTTTGGTGAAGGGTTTATAGTCAACAGTTCTCATATTTGACTGATTCATATACACTGATTCATTCATTGCAAGAACAGTTCCATTTCTTTTGAGAGGTGATTCTGCAGTTTGGTTAGGTTTTAAAACCAGATAGGATAAACACCTGCATTACTGCCACTGCTACAAGACCATAGGTGTTGCCTTGCATCGTCGTTGCGTTCTGGATACCTAACTTATGACGAAACTTCCTTCTTTCCTCTTGGCGATTGATCCAATAGTTAATGATGAGGAATGATGCTTGGAGTTGGATATTGGATGTGTTTCTTTGTGTCCTTGTGAGCCTGGTCGAGGCATTGTAGAAATGTTCATTTTCTTCATAGATTGAGCAGGATGGCCCAACAGCCTATTGCTCTATGAGTGATTTTGGGTTGAACATGATGAACACGGGCTCCATCGATCTCCAACTGTCACTTGGTTGGGCGCCTGCAGGTTCTGAAGCTGCAGGCGGCACGTGGAGAAAAAAAGTCAGTGGGCAGCCTGAAGTCCAAATGGTGTATGAACGATGGGACAATCGATTCCGCACCACTTTGTACTCTTGTTTTGTCTCTCTTTCCCCACCACAAAAGGGATACTTACAAAAGGTTCAGATTTCCGGCAAAAAGTACCAAAATATATAATCTAAGGACTAAGAAAGACGGAGTTGCTTACACAATATATTCGAGAATATACTCAACCGAGCAGAAATTTTGGGAGTCATCACTTATCTTGAGCTTATTAGGGACTAGTAACAGAGCTACATCGTTGTTGTCGGACAAACATATAACTAAACGAAGATTGAAAAGTGATTGCATATATGATGAGTTATTATCAGTAGACTGATTCTTACTTGTTCTAAGATTCTAATTCAACGATGTGAAGCTAGTGTGCTCTTTTCTATGTCTCTCCAACCATTCCTCTAGCAATAAATCTTGGTTGCATTTCACCATTACTTATTCGAAAGGCAAAATACGAAAGAGTCACGTTCCAATTGGCTCGACTCAAGAATTACATCAATGGCTCTTCTTTCAGCAACAAGGGGCATGAATCACCACAACAAACTCAATACTTTCAGATTATCCTGTTGTCTATATGATAGATATTAATGAATTTTGTAGTGTATTTGCCTATTTGGTGTTCTAAATTATCAATAATCAATTAAATTTTAATATTTGGGACCAGTTTTGAGTGGCCTGCTGAAAGGAGGGAGCTGGAACAATATTTTGCCTTGGACGACGAAGTTGACTAGCTGCAGTAGAAAAAGGAAGGAGAAAGATATTTCTTTTTAATTTTATTTTCCAATTTCCTTGGACTTCTTCTTTGTTCCTTCTTCGTCCAAATCAGAATTTGGACATTCATTCCTTCCTCGAATCCCTTTTCCCTTCAGCACAGGGCAGCAGCCAGGAAGGGGCAAATAAGAAGGGGGAGAAAACCCCCTTTCCAGGCAAGTTGGCTGCTTCACCAGCTAGCCCACTGCTGGAAACTGCGGGAAAAACCGAAAAAGTGGTGAATTTTCATGGCGGGGGTTTAGTTCAGACGGAAGATCGGGAGAGACTGGTTCATGGATTGATTTAGTCTGCAATGGAGTACAAGAAGGAAAAGCTCGTGAGGTTTGTTTACAGTTCTCTCTAATGGTGGTTCTACGTTTCTTGTGTTTTTCCCTCTAGAATCCTTTGATGTTTAGCATTGTTCGAGTTTTCATGACTGTGGGAGTAATGGGTTAGGCCGTTTGGGTGAAAGTTTGGGAAAGTCGTCGGCTTTGGTCTTCAATTTTGGTGGGGTTGTGTAGATGAAGAAGAAGCACAGTTAGTGTACAAGTAAACAAATTGCTTTGTGAATCACGAAAGTCGGGAAGCTGTACTTGAACCGCTGAAATTTGGCAATCTGTCCATTGAAAATTTTCGATTGCTTCAGTTACTTTAAGCTACTTTAGCGTTATGTTGTGAAAGCTACTAGTTGAGTTTCAGAGTACTAACGTATCACCATTTAGAAGTACGAAGGAAAGAGTGGTTTGTTAATCCCTGAGGGTTTCGATTTGCTAGGTTTTATCCGGAGGGCAAGCAACATATTGGGATTTTTCCATGGGGCAAAGGTGATGCAATATACCCGGAAAACCCGGAGAAAGTCTCATCATCTTCATTGCTCATGCCGGGGAGCAAAGGAGGGGGAAAGCTGCCAGAGACCTCGAAGATGGGAGGGGGAAGGGGGGCCAATGTCTTCTCGGAGGACTATCAACCGTGGCACCAGAAAATGCTGGATCCTGGCAGTGATATTGTGTTGAGATGGAATAGGATCTTCCTTGTATCATGCTTAGTTGCTCTCTTCATCGATCCGCTCTACTTTTATCTGCCTACCATAGGAGGGGACGGGAAGAGTTCTTCGTGTGTTAGCACGGATTACAACTTGAGAATCGTCATCACATTCTTCAGAAGTGTGGCAGATCTGTTCTATCTTCTGCATGTGGTGTTGAAATTCAGGACTGCTTATGTTGCCCCGAGCTCTCGTGTGTTTGGCAGGGGCGAGCTTGTCATGGATCCCAAGTTGATTGCCCGGAGGTACATTCGATCCGACTTTTTGATTGACCTCATTGCCACTCTGCCTCTCCCTCAGGTAAACTTGGATGATCCTCTTGCGATGAAGAACATCATCTGCTATTGGCTCTAGTATGCTATTTTTAGCTTCTTCTACTGTACATCACTTCTCCAATGAAAAGCTCACAATGAACCGAAATGTAATGCAGATAGTTGTCTGGTTCATCATCCCCGCAACTAGAAAGCCTCGAACTGATCATAACAACAATGCGCTTGCCCTGATCGTGTTGCTTCAGTATATCCCTAGATTATATCTCATCTTCCCACTCAGCTCCCAAATTATCAAGGCTACTGGTTTGGTCACTAGGACAGCTTGGGCAGGAGCTGCTTACAATCTTCTATTGTACATGCTGGCAAGCCATGTATGTCCTCTTGTCTTTTTTTATAACCCAATTCTACACTTGATTTTTCGATTCTTGTTGATTGGATGGACCTCTTTTTTCAGGTTCTAGGAGCATCATGGTACTTGCTATCCATTGAGAGGCACACAACCTGCTGGAAAAGGATTTGTAGGAATGAAACTGCTCCTATCAAGTGTGAGCTTAATTACCTCGATTGCGATGCTTTCAACCACAACGATAGGATAACATGGGCAAAAAACACCACTGTGTTTCGAGATTGTGATCCGAGTAATGATATTCAGTTCCAATATGGGTTGTTTGGAAATGCTGTGACCAAAAAAGTTGTATCTACCAGTTTTGTTGATAAGTACTTCTATTGCTTGTGGTGGGGGTTACAGCAATTAAGGTACGTCTGGTTAACTCAGCACACTAAAAGAGACTTTTCCAGCCATTTTAGTGATTTTTAGAGATTGCTATGCCATATCTGAATGAACTATATTTAGATTGTGCTTAATCTTGTTTAGAGTTTCTTAGTTTGCATCTTTCGACAGTTATATATTTGGAATGTTATTTTTCACAGTTCATATGGCCAGAACTTGACAACAAGCACATTCATTGGGGAGACATCATTTGCTATACTGATATCAATCATGGGTCTCGTTCTTTTTGCTCATTTGATTGGCAATATGCAGGTATAGGAAAGGCACCATCTTTGCAATTTTTATGACACTATTCAAGTCTTTTCTTTTCAATTGTTGAATGCTTAAATGGCCACTAGGCTATGGGATTTGTTACAAAATGGCCACTAAATTAAAAATCACAACAAAAGACTAACTAAAGTAAGTGACATTGTTATAGAACAATCATTCTGTTTCATTCCAACTCATCTGTTATCTCGGCCGAGTCATCGCCCCAGGAACCCACTTATCCAACCATTTGCAATTCAATGATGGGTTGCATCTTGACTTTGAGCTTTTGCTTGTGGTTTAGGATTGTAATGGAAATGGTTGAGTCGAGTGGCTACTGGCTAGTTTGTTATACATCATTTACTTTAGGCACCGCTCGTTAACATTTTTAGTTTACTGACCATACAGACCCCATAATATAGAGACCATTTAACCATTAACCCTTTCTTTTTCTCGGTTCAATTATTGTCATCTGTTGACTGTTGCTACTGCTGCTTTGCATTCCCTTGATGACTTCTAATGGAATATGTGTTTGTGTGTCACTTGCTAGACGTACCTTCAATCTCTTACAGTGAGACTCGAGGAATGGCGGCTCAAACGGAGGGACACAGAAGAGTGGATGAGACATCGCCAGCTGCCTGAAGACCTGAGGCACCGCGTTCGACGCTTTGTCCAATACAAGTGGGTTGCAACTCGAGGCGTCCTTGAGGAAGATATTCTACGCGGCTTGCCTACTGATCTCCGGCGTGACATCCAGCGACACCTCTGCCTCGATCTTGTCCGACGTGTAAGATTGCTAAACGTTTTACAGTTCGCATAGAAAATGCCTCGATTCAGTCCAGTTTCTGTGCCAGATAAAGCAATGCACACCTCTAAATTTGTGGCATGATGATTATACAACTTTCTATATCTGCTTGCAGGTTCCGTTCTTCTCGCAGATGGATGATCAGCTGCTTGATGCAATCTGCGAGCGCCTGGTTTCTTCCCTTAGCACGCAAGGCACCTACATTGTTCGGGAAGGTGATCCTGTGACAGAAATGCTGTTCATAATTCGGGGAAGTCTAGAGAGCTCCACGACTAATGGTGGAAGAACCGGGTTCTTCAACTCGATCATGCTCAAGCCTGGTGACTTCTGTGGTGAGGAACTCCTCGCATGGGCCCTGCATCCAAAATCATCTCTCAACCTTCCTTCATCGACTCGAACGGTGAGATCACTCAACGAGGTTGAAGCATTTGCCTTACGAGCTGAAGATCTCAAGTTTGTGGCGAACCAGTTCAGGCGGCTGCATAGCAAGAAGCTGCAACACACATTTCGGTATCACTCGCATCACTGGAGGACATGGGCGGCATGCTTCATCCAGGCAGCTTGGCGTCGTCACAAGAAGAGGATGGTAGAATACAGTCTCACGATGTCGGAATCTTTCCAGCGAAGGGAACTCGAGATGATGATGGCACAGGAAGAAGAGGAACGAAGCTCAAGTGCCTTGAGAGGGAAGCTCAACCTCGGAGCAACGATATTGGCTTCGAGATTCGCGGCGAATACTAGGAGAGGAGTGCAGCAGAAGATGAAGGATGTGGATATGGTGAAGCTACAGAAGCCAGAGGAGCCCGACTTCTCCGCAGAAGCTGACTAAGTAGGATCTATAACTCTCAATCAATATGTCGATGTGGATAGCTATACGAATATGTTTTTGCAGGATCTTACAGCGTATGAAAACAGATCAGATGGTGCTCCATTACACCCTGCAGGGCTGAAAATGCTTCCCTAGATTGCAGAAGATAAAAGATAGGAGCTCTTTGAAATACTATGTTGTAATTGAAGCTGTAACTATTGATATGCCATTGACAACTTCTGTATGGCAGGCGACACTTACTAGAACAAGATTAGATTGATTTTTTTAGCTGTATAAGTTGAATGAATTCATTTTTTAAGGTTGTTTCTTTTTACCTTGGACGTTGGAACCTAGAAATACTGTAAAGTGTACTAAAGGAAAATCAAATTTGGGATTAGTATCTGCGCACTGCAGTCTACACCCCTGTTATACAGCAAAACGACGACGTTCAGGGGGGAGCAAAGAGAACTGGAAGCTGGAAGTGAAATAGTACAGAGAACTTCTTTCTTGTTTTGAGGAAGAAGATAATGTTGATAACGGTCGGACAAGCAACGCCTTGTCTCAATTTCAGACTTTCTCGTCTCAATCCGTCGCCAACACTTCGAACTTCCCTCCGGCGACACAACTTCTCCTTCCGGCGAAATCCCATCAGAACTCCCGCCATCGTCGCCGCCGCTGCCACTACTCCCAAGCGATGGAGCACTGCTCTCAGCTCCAAAAGGTAAGAAGATGCTCTCTTTTCCCACACTTCTATTGAATGAGCCAAATGGACAGTGCCCACCAAGAGAGTCCAAGCTCGATTAGTAGTGATTTTCAGCTGAACAATGGACAAGTTAACTGCTTTTGACTGAGAATTGTTTCAACTTTGAATTTTTCGTTTCTCAGCTACGGGGTTCCAATTTTCGATCCATTAGGCATTGACTCAAATGAAGATTCTGGTCTAGCTGCTGCATGGGAAAGCTTTGTCTCCTTGCTGTCCCCAGTATTTGAGGTGGGTTCCTCAAGTAATTCAAGAAAGGACAAGCCTTTATCTCGAGGAGTTGCAGGTTTGGTCAGGTTACCATTTGGGTTGAAATTCTCCTTTTTGAATGTGCTTCACTGTGAAATCATGAATCTTTTTTTCATTTTTCCCCCCTGCAGCTGCAATTGAGGACAGTTCAATAGATTTTGGGGATTTCTTCAAGGGCCCATTGCCAGGGAAGTTCCTCAAGCTATTAGGTTTCTTAGCTCTATCCCGCCTTGGAATCTATATCCCACTTGGTGGTGTTAACAGGGAAGCTTTTGTCGGGAATTTAGATCAGAATAGCTTGTTGAGCACTTTGGATTCATTTTCTGGTGGAGGAATTGGTAGGCTTGGGATTTGCTCTCTTGGCATAGTTCCATTTATCAATGCACAGATTGTGTTTCAACTTCTTGCTCAAGTGTATCCCAAGTTGCAAGATCTTCAGAAAAGAGAAGGGGAAGCTGGACGGAAGAAGATTCTTCAGTATACTCGATATGTTTCAGTTGGATTTGCTATACTACAGGTAACCCAAAGCAAAAGAGAAAACCCATGTGAATCTGAATGATAGGGAGGTGGTTTAGTACTATGGTAGTCAGTTGTAGTTATGGAAATGCTAATCTTTCTTGCCCGATTTTGATACAAAAGAAATGTATTTCGGGTACTATGTATTAGTAGAATACATGCTATTTTCTAACAGTTTATCTTTTTTGTTGTCTTGATTTGATACAAAAATAATGTATTTCAAGTATTATGATTCTCTGATTGCAGGCAATTGGTCAAGTTTTCTTCCTTCGTCCCTATGTAAACGACTTTAGTTCAGAATGGGCTATATCATCCGTCACCTTACTAACGCTTGGCTCGGTTCTCACAACATACCTCGGAGAACGAATCTCAGATTTGAAGCTTGGCAATGGGACATCTCTCTTGATATTCACAAGCATCATCTCCTACTTGCCAGCTTCTTTCGGTAGGACTACTGCTGAGGCATTGCAGGATGGGAACTACATTGGTCTTGGCACCATTGTAGCCTCATTCTTACTGCTAGTCTTTGGCATTGTGTATGTTCAGGTAACCTGCTTTTGATCAAATCCTGATGTGCCTGGAATATGGATTGGAAAGTAATGATGATTGGTTTTCCAGGAAGCAGAGAGGAAGATCCCACTCAACTATGCCTCGAGGTATAGCAGCAGCAGTGGTGGTAGCCTTCAAAAGTCTGCTTATCTTCCATTCAAGGTTTGTGTGCGTTCTGCATGATTGGTTTCACCTGACTCATCTTCTCGTATAATTTTTTTTTAGTGTTCTTATGTATTGGTTTGATCAAACACAGGTTAATAGTTCAGGAGTGATGCCAATCATATTCTCTACATCATCATTGGCTCTTCCAGGCACTCTAGCCCGGTTCACAGGAATATCTGTGCTAAAAAATGCCGCCTTGGCTTTGAACCCTGGAGGTAAGATCTTTATCTGGTAGCTATAGCCAGCAAGATCTTGTCCGACCCGATCTATTGGTTAGTAACTCAAGTCATTGATCGCAGCCCACACAAACTGCAGTTTGATTAGTCCACTACCGGAACAATCTGTAATTTGATTGACCTATAATTTTGGTTGACCAGCACTCGATTGCCCAGTGACCCAATTTTCCCATCTAGTCCATGATCAATCTCATCTTTCTTTTCGTCCATTTGCAACATCAAAACCAAGTAAAATGAGAAACAAAGTAACAAACTCTTTTGCAGGTTCATTCTATCTCCCTACTAACATTATGCTAATAGCCTTCTTCAACTACTACTACACATTCCTGCAATTGGACCCTGATGATGTGAGTGAACAATTGAAGCGCCAAGGTGCATCTATCCCATTGGTCCGCCCTGGTAAAAGCACTGCCGCCTTTCTGAAAACAGTAAGTTTCATCTTTAACAACTAGAAGGGTTAATTGATCCTTTTCTTCCTGCCATTCCTCCATTCTGTACATGTACATGACTGGAACTTTGGAGGTCTAAGACTCAGAACTATTGCATTGCTTTGCATCCATCTAGGTTCTGAGCAGAATTTCAGTTCTGGGTTCAGCTTTTCTGGCCGTCCTGGCAGCTGGGCCAGCCGTGGTTGAACAGATCACACACTTGACTGCATTCAGAGGATTCGCAGGGACCTCTGTGCTGATTCTCGTTGGTTGTGCCACCGACACTGCAAGGAAAGTTGAAGCTGAGATCATATCTCAGAAGTACAAGAACATCGGGTTTTACGATCTTGACAAGTATGGCAAATGAGATTTTGGAAGGAGAGGATGGAAGATCTATAGAGTTGTAATGCTATTCCAAGAGTACTACATTACACTTGAAAGTAGCTGTAGATATTGAATTGCACTTGTATGGAAATAGTGTATTATATGTTGTGTAATAGCATAGTTCAAGGACTATTTTGGCAATTTTACATGTAATTTTACCAATATTTCGAATTTGAGAAAGACTATAACCCCTACTTGCTTCAACCTAACTCCTCCACTAGTAAACTACCAACTACCAAAATTGAACTATAAATCACGATGATGTTAAGTTACAGTCCGACCACCTCATTCTTTAACCATACAATTACAATTGTTGTTTGATCGAAATGATATTCACCCTGACTAATCAATCATTTGTCACCACATGTGACCACTCCCAACTGGCGGAATTGGTCACTTCATAGACTATCCTAGAGAAGAAGTAAACCCTAGAGAAAGAAGCAAATGAGACTCCATGAATGAATGGGGTTGTTGATGAAGTAAATGCATGTGGATAAATGTCTATTCATCAAGGGACAAAGGGGGATGGAGGGAAGTCAATTCACATTGTTTTGTTCATACCATGGATGACTCGTCAACCGATCTCTATTTATACATGGCGAGTTGGATGGAAGTCAATTCACAATAATTACAATTACAAGTAAGAAATCGAACGACCCTACAAAATGCTCACAATTTACAAACTAACCCTAAGGAGCAACTCATATTCTTTTCACACATTCCGCGTATTTGCTAAGAGAGACATGCATGCATTCTTTGACTGATTTTAATAGTTTTTGTCATCTTCCCCCTGTTTCTTTGTAGGACTATTTTGTGGCAGTTAGCCACATCTTTGGACGGTCCTAAATACTCTTTATATTAGCCACTTGCACATGGAAAGTCTTCAAATCGTATCCATTCAATTTCTTACTTGTAAATTACGATTCTATACATCAGGATGGATCGTTAATAAACAACAGGTAACATAATTGATTTATAGAGTTAGCTTATGATTGAGCAAATGATTCTCTTTGTAAAGAAGAGTTTTGTTTAATGTTTGTTTTATGTATTTTGTATGTGTCTTAGTCCTAAGCTTCTTTTTTTTTTCTAATTTGCTTAGGTCACTTCTCACGTTTTTGAATGAGACCACTAACCTAACCACTCGTCTCTTCCAATTATTAATAATTAAGTATATCACTTATTTCTTTCTTTTTTCCCCTCTTCCTCTAATTTTCTGTTGAAAAAGGGGAATGTTTAATTTCGATTTGATTAAACACACATGATAATGGAGGGGGATTAGAGAGAATGTGATTAATACAATTTCACTTATTTATCTTTTATATATTGAACTAATTATAATGTTTTTGTGTCCCATTGAAGAGGACTAATGGACTATAAAGTATTTCAGTTGAACAACTTTCACCAACTCTTAGAAGTTGTGGCAGTAAATGGGCCACTAGCTAATAGTAATTGTTCCCTAATAATTCCTATTGGAGAAAAAAAAATCTTGTTTAATTAATATCGTGTAAGAAAATATTATAGGCGGCTCTGCTGATAAGTTATAAAGGTCACCGTTTTATATTCTCAAGTTCTAGGTCACAGGCGAATAGGCAATCATCTTTAGGATGGTTCTTTTATTGAACCATCAACAGACATATATACTTCAATGATTCACTCATATGTTCTCTTGAATTTAATAAGTATTCACATAGTTAACGGCAGTATCATTAGTTCTAAAAATCGAAATTCATTTATGAGTAAAAGATCATTATTCGACAATGCCTAAAAAATGTGAAAAGCATGGAGTTAACTTTAAGCAAAGGTTAAGACATGGACATGGGTCCTCAAGTTTGGGTTATTGTTTAACTAATTGCATGTGGAGGAGAATTATGGAAGAGGAGTAGGATTTTTTTTTTTTTAATTTTCATAAAGAGGTAGCCCCCAAATTAAATAAGGACACATGAACTTATGGGGTCAAGACACATAATAATGCACTTCTCCATTCAATTGGGGGTGTGGATTTTTTGTATAGCCAGCCATTAGTGCAACAATTTTGTCTATCTATATATCCTTTTTACAATTTTGTTTTGTCCACACAACAAACCACAATATTGATAGAAACACTTGTCCTTTCACACTCTGTATATATCTACTAACAAATAATGCCAAAGTCTTGTAGCTCTTCTCTCCCAATTTTGTGCATTAATGTTGGTCCTGCCCCTCATGTTTGAGACATGGACAAATTTATGTATAAATGTGGCCTTGGATCTTATCTTTAAAAAGGGCATATAATTGTATTGTTGGAAATCTATGTGGTAGATGCTATCGATGAAATTTCGCTTCAAACATTTTGTAATTATGATCTTCAATACCAAATGAAACTTACAAAATTATATTATTGGCTGGCTTTCTATCTATATATCCAAATACTTTAGTCTGTTTTCAACTACTATAGTTCAAATCCATAGAGTTTAAACGTTTTACTTTCTTTCACTAATATTTTTAACTCTACCACTAATCACGAGTGTGATCAATAACTACTTTACTTTGAACATCTTCAACATCCATATCTCAACTGAAAAGAATCCAATGGGGAGAGAATAGATAGAGAGAGATTTGATTTGGGGAGTTGGAACAAATTAACAAGAGAAGAAAGGAATTGGGGCCATTGGGTCACCAATTTGTCAGCATCTATCACCAAGCTATGTGCTAAGATCTTTTGTCACCATTTATTGATTAGATCGCCGGCCGGCGGCTGCCCTTTTGGAAGGGCCGCCGTTGGATCGATCTTCTTCCGACGGTGACAATTACATGCTAACTTCACATGAACACACATTGGTCGTAATTGATTTCATTCTCTCCTTTATCTCAGGACTCGGCAGGTTCAACTTTTCTTCCTTACAACTCCTCAAAGTTTGTGTCCCTAATAGCAATTAGCCACTTGTGGGTTCTCCCCTCAGCAAGATGATGGAGTGCTTACTCATGGTTCCCAAGTTATTGTCTCCATTCCATGAACCCAAGTTTGGCAAGTTCCCAAGGCTTCTCTCCATGTTTGATATCTATGATGTATTGGATCTCTTTTGAATACTTGATGATGTACTATTACATCTTTTCAATCATTTATCGGAGCAGCGTGTGATTGTTGATAGGATAGACGTTATGGTTTCGAAGTTATATATATTACGTATTAACTTACTATGTGTAGAGCTAGTAGCTTTTAAGCGGAAAAAAAGTATACGAGAGTTTTCGTTGTTTTTAACTTCTCACCAGCTGTCTGTTTGATTAGGGTGATCAACCGATCAGTTAGATAAGTTCGAGTTTGGGACAATCAGTAGTTTTATGAGGTGATGTTGTAAAACATATAGACGATAGTGCGAGGACCTCAATTCCAAGATAGATTCTTGTGTTTACTAACTTTTCAATGGGGGTTGAAGGAGATGAACAAATACACTTTGACATGAATTCATGTGATAAATTGGAAATAAAGAAAGAATCAGAAATAAAATCGATTCAAAAAGGGCAAATCAAATTATATACTATGCACATAGTGAAGTGAAGTAATCAAAGAGGCATGTAGGACAATCTACTCTACATATTATCCACATGTAATTGCACATAGCCGTCATGGCTTATTGTCAGTATTGTTCACATAGAAGATAAAACACACTTTGGTGCCAATTGGTCTTGCCGTCTTGGACCCTTTACCTCTGTACTCGGCGCTGACTTTTTTGCTTAACTCCTCAAAGTTTGTGTACCTAATAGCAAATAGCCACTTGGTTGATCTCCGACTTATTGATTCTGTTTGGGTATGTGGGTATTGGAATATCACATGACACTTGGAGTGGGGTAACTTCGATTTGATGTATGCATATATATTTGTGTGTCTTAACTTAAAGTAGTGATACTATTGATATATTTGGAGTTATTTAGCATGTGCGTTGGTAATCGTTAGAATGAACGTCATGATTTTGAGATATATCACATGTTTAACACTCCCATCGAAATTTTTTCAAATAAAAGCTAACTCGTTAACTTTCTATTTACATACACCCATCATCCCACCGCACCCCTCATGTAAATCACTTGTTTAGGTTAACGGACGTTAAGATTTGGTAGCTAATGCTAACATACGACGGGATTATAACATTCTATCACTCAATACAAGATAGAGAGGTCAAGGATCTCAACAAAGAGAGCTAGGGGCAAAGAAATTGTGGTAATGAATATTTGTATGATGATGATGTACATTACAACAACTGAAGAAACAGAGAAGCTAAAATGCCTCTAAATCTTTCAGCAGGGCAGTTTTCTCTGTCTAGTGTAGTAGTAGTTGTAGTAATAATCAATAGCAACATCTATGGAGCAAATACAATTTACTTGAACAACTTTTCCTATAAACAGATATCAAAATTTCTTTGGGAGAAAAATTACAAGGGCAATATGGTGGTAGGGGAACAATAGTGTGATGGAATGAAAGATCAAAAGCAAAGGCCCTATTCCCAGCTCTAGAAATTGTGTTCCAACCCCTTGGCCAAAAGATTTTCTGATCCTATTTACATTCTCTATGCCACAGAATCATAAAGATTGTACCTTTATCATTCATCGCCCGTCGACCATGACTCTCACACTACCCGGCAGCCAATCTCCAGGCCCCCGGCTGTCTGAATCCATATCCGGTTCAAGCCGAACAACCATTGATTGATCTGCTCCAAACCTCATCCTCAGTTGGCGCAAGCTCGGGACCAGGGCTTTCTCTGTCCATTCCTCCAAACCATCAAAACCTAAACACAACCCACCAGAGATTTTCTCGAGTGCGTCCACTTGAATCTCCAAGCTATTCCCTTCGCCAATGATTGACGAAGCTCGATCAGTGATCGAATTCGAGACATCCCTCCTGATCCCACTGAAATCCACCGGCTTGAACACTATACAACCATCAAACGAATCGAGTAGCTCTGAGGGTAGTTCTGATGCAGTTGGTGATGTTAGTACCTTGCTGCCCAAGTAATGATCATCCTCATGGTCAACTGTCACATCACTCAAGTCACAGTTGATGTCTGCAGCTTCATTCAAGTCGAACGACAGATCTTTTCTCACACACCGACGTTTAGCTGTCTTCCCACAGACTGAGAGCCTCAGCTGCCAGCCTCCATTTACAAGATTTGCAAGCTTCTTTTCATCCAATGTAAACCCATTGGACAAGAACTTGAGATTCTCTGGCAGCCAGCTGGCAGTGAGTATGAAGATCACATTCCCCAAGCTGATTTCCCTGCCATGGGAGTCAGCAAGTCGACCCCTTTCCATCGCCCGTTTGACACTCCCCCTTACCAACATATCTGCCTCATCTATATCCTCAAGCACCACAACTGAAAACGGGTTCCTTCTTACTGCCTCTACTATTCGATCCATCACGGTCTTACCACGAACATTTACCTCATCATTATCACGACGTGAGCCCAAACGAACTGTCACTGGGTTGGATTGACGAAGGACGTCCGAGAGAGCAACTGCCATCTTCTTCTTCCCGATTCGGTCTGGCCCTGTGAACAATAGCCAGATGTCTCCTTTTGAAGCATTGCCCCTTCGTTTTCCATTCCCTAATTTGCACTGTGTCATCACTGTGGCCACAGCTGATGCTGCATCTTGCTGCCACCATACTTTCTCCATGAGTCCCTTGAGAAGTTTCTTGAATGAATCAGCATCCAATTTGTTGAGCAGCTTACTAATCTGAAAATCATGCAAGTTCTTTGGTTCTGTCTCGGGAGCAGCAGTAGCAGCAGCAACAGCAGTGCTCAAAAGGTCCTTGGTAATGGTTTCAGCAGGCACCTTAGGACGCCCAAGAACAAGTTCTGTTCTAACAGGACTTGTAGGTGGACTAAGTAGTTGTCTTGTGGAGTTTTGTTTAGGCAAGAGGTTGGTATTTAATTGCAAGGTAGTATTTCCTCCAACCAAGCCGATCTTAGGAATACAAGGCACGAGGGTTCGATTAAGCAAGCTCGGCATTGGGACAGCAGCAGCAGCAGCACCACCAGGCTGAAGATTCCTCTGTTGATGATGCTGATGGAAGCCAGGGTGAATGCTTAAGCACGTATCCAGCCATTTTTTCTGCAGCACCTCTTGATCCTTGGTCTACATAGTAAGAAAATTATCCAACAAAAAAAAACAAATCAGTTCAATCTGCATAATTTACATTCTGATTATCATCAAAACACCTCATAAAGAATTGAAACAGAAGTAATACATACCGCTGAAGCATCTTTATTATTTGCCGCGTTCTTCAACCATGGTGGCAAAGACTGCTGCTGCTGAGTTGCTTCCAACTTAGCTTCTTCAGTTGAAGGTCTCTCAACGAGCTCCTTCGGTGCAACTTTCGCCAGCTCCTGCTCGTAGCTATGCTTGCACTGTGGGCAGAAATTCGCAGGCTTTTTCACAGTATCAAGTATATTATCAGACAGACGTTTCGGTGGAGCAATAGACACCGTGGGAAACCCCTTCAATGGTGATGATGATGACAATGACTCCAACGAGTTGCCAAAGAATCCAGTATTCCCAATCCTGAATGCCCATTATACCAAAACAGAGAAAGTTCATCACTACAGGATATTCTCTTACAAAAATCCCGAAAGGAACAAACTTTTTTATGCCTCCCACTAATCTAAACCATGAAAATGACACAGATTCTCAACTTTCCAACAGAACAGTTCGAGTTCGACAGTAAAGTGATGAACTTTTTACCTGGGGAACATTCCATGGGGTGGAGCTCTGTTAGCAATTGGTACAGCTTGAAGATCCCAATCGTTCTCCATTGATGGATGGTAAACCTGGCATCTCAAGTAAGTCTCACAAGTAGCTGTGCCAATCAACCAAATCTTTTCCCCACTCTGTCTAAACTTCGCCACCAGCTTCCCCATCTCGGCGACGGCGGTCTTGCCGGAATCCGACCCAATTTGCTGTTCGACCAGCCATTTCAAGTCACCCAAGTCGACAATCGCCCCGCCGGAACCCGAACTTGTGATCCGATTCGCCACCAACCCGGCCAGCTCACCAATCCTCGAGCTAATCAGGGATTTCTCGAGGAACTCCTTCTCCAAGTGAATCACTTGAAGATTCCTCAACAAACCCTCGTCTCCAATATCTTTACCTTCGAGTATTCGCTTAAGAACTTCTTTTACCACCAATTCGGGCTCCGATTCCCCGACCAAAACCGGATTCCGCTTTCTGCTTCGGAGCAGGATGTCCACGACCCGACCCGCCTCCTCGTTCCGACCCGACTGCCCTGCTCCCGCCGCCGTCCCCTGCAGCCTGGGATTCGCGTACAAATTCCGATTCCCCGTCACCGTGGGAACAGGGACGCGGAATCCCTGCCCGAATTGGCTGGTAGGTGGTTGTGGAGGCGGAGGGGAATTGAGGGACTGTTCAATTGTGGCTTTCACAGCCGGGCTCGAGAAGCTGGCTTCCCTCATGACCCGACTCACGCTCGGGTCGTCGAGAATCGAGATAATCAGCTGCTCCAGCTCGACCTTCACGGCGAGCAGCGGCTGCTGCTGCTGCTCGGGACACCCTCTTCGCTGATGCGCCTGGGCGCGCTTCAGCGCCGCCATTAGCGCGTTGGAAATCGGCGGGTCGGGCTGCGACCCGGGACCCGAATTGGCTCCCGCCGCCGTCGGCAGCCGCTCGAGGGCGACGCTGAAGCAGAGCTCCAGAGCTCGGCACTGGAGCGGGTGGGAGGAATTGGGGTGGGACTTGATGCAAGCTTGCCGGAGGTAGCCCGACGGGGAAGAAAGGAGAGTGGCGGCGACATGGAGCGGCGTCGTCTGTCCGTGGTTCCGCCGGCCGGCCTCAGCAATCGAGTGGTTCAAGACGGTGGCCGCCTCCGGCGTCAGGGTTTGCTGGATCGTGCTGAGCCCAGCTCTCATAGCTGACCAATTTTACCCCGGGAATTTGACGCCTTTTTTGTGATTCCCCTGTTCGTCGGCGGCGGCGAGCAATGATTTAATAAAATGGGTTGTACTGTTTTCTTCGATTTCTTGTTCCGGCGAGCTCAGAGAGACAGAAAGGAGTGGCCTTTGGCCAGAATGAATCGAGTGAGAGAGAGGAAATTTTGGAGCAGAGAAATGGAGGAAATGGCCTTTTTGAGTTTGGCTGCTTACAGGGGATCTATCTATCTTTTTTCTTTATATATATTTACTTATCTATTATTATAATTATTTATCTACCTCAGTTTTACAATATTTACTCTGTTTTTTTAATAGGTATTTTTTAAAAAAGAAAATTATAGGTAGGAAAGATCAAAGAAGTGAAGAATTCAACGGGAAAAGGACCCTCCTTTGCTTCACAAGAACCATCTCATAATTACCTTTTTTTCCTCTTCTTCTTTTTATTTTTCCTTTTCATTTCTGTTATATTTTTGTGTTTGTCTTTGTCCAAGTTTGGATTAATAGCACACCCACCACCTTTCTTATTTTATGCTTGCTAGGTGGGCAAAATGAAATTTTTTTTTTTGCCATGTCATCAATTAGGTAATCCGATTTGATTCAAATATGTAAAACCATCAACAGAGATTTAATCCGATGATATTATGATAGTCACGTTGTAATTTCAAGTAGTTAGTATGAGTGTCTTGAACATCTTTTGTTTGATGGTTCGATATATTATTTCTTCCTTCTTCTTCCAAGTAATGATATAGGAGAAACAGTTAGAAACCTCTACCCAAAATCCTCCCAAAGGCACACATAGTGAAGCCACCCAACAAAATCAAGAAAAGCTATATATACAATCATCATTGTCACATATTACAATTTTCACTAACATCATGTTCACTTTATCATAATAAGTTCATAGCATTCATTCATCTCTCACATAATTTGACTTGGCTATTGAAACATTTTGCTCCCCCCTCTCTAATATACAAAAGTCGTTATGCTCTAGTATTTTTATATCAAAACTGAACCATTACATCTCTTGTACACTACACAAATACATATGTAATAAGCCATATTGAATTGTACTTCACCTAAACATGCTCAACTGTAAGTCTGTCGTAAAACTATTATTGTCATTGCTCGAAGTATCGAAGCACCACCACTTTGTTCGGTTGCAATTCCTAATGAAAGAAAACAAAATAAAAAATAAAACATGAACCAAAGAATGTTAAACACACTAGATAATCAGTCCTTTTGGGTCTATCTACCATTGGTATCAAAGTATTCAAAAAAGTTACCCACATAGCTCCTTTTTTTACTGTGGTTATAATTCAACAAACAACAATGAAAGGAGACAGACAGAGAGGAAGGGTGAAGAGAAAGGTGAAAGAGTAAAGACATAATTTCTGGAAATTTGGTGTGGAGGGAATTATTTTACTTATTCTTTTTTTTTTTACAAATCATATCGACTTTTATTCTTTTATTCCACCGTAAACAACTTCCACGCACTAGTTATTACATTTTTTAGAGGAGAACAGAAATTAGATCAAGAATATTAATCCAGTCTTCTGGTAGAGAAGATTTAGCTTTTGATCGTGCAACCCAATCAGCTCTGACATTCATTGCCCTCGGAATCTCTTCCACCGCAATTGCTGGGTTAGTCCTGAGAATATTAACCATCAATGAAGATGATGAGATGGGAAGAGATAGATTCCCACTGCAAAGATTTCTGTAAAAAAATATGCTTTGTTGGGCAGAGAGTGAGCAATCTGCCTGCATGCCTTCTTCCTCCATTCCCTTTTTACCTTTTTGTGTGTTTTTTTATGACTTGTAGTTTGTCATCATCCTCTCCCTTATTTTCCCTTCATTTATTCTTCTTACATTATTATTAGTTTATACACTTGTTAGTTATTATTAACTACTCATTCCCCAAAAAGGTTATTATTTCTCATTAATACATGTGGTAGTAGTGAGTGAGCTCAAGGTCTCAAATACATGTAGAGTGTTTGTATAGTTAGAGTTGTATGGTATTTTGCATGATCTCGAAATTGATTGAGAGTTAGAGATTATGAAAGCTTTTTCTGTAGTTTGGCTCACTTATAATCGAAAGCTTGATTACGGTTTCGAAAAATCTAGTAATCCATGCTATTTGATGATTGCAGAGATTAAACGACTTATGGCCCAATCCTGCTAGCCGCTAGGACAGGTTAGAACATGCTTATCGAGAGGTCGACTTTGTTACCGACTGCTTACTACATTAGGCCACTCTCTACTTATGGAAGAACACACTTTTGTACACCTTGTCACTCTCTTGGTTATTGATTGTTCCTTGATCAAATTAGAGTTGAGTAGTTCCATTTTATCAGTAAATAAAGATTGAGATGCTCTTTAATAAAAATATTTTATTACTAAATCATTTGATTGCTCAACTTACCGAGATGAACATAACCTCTAAAATTAACGATTAATGAAACCTCTCTTCTTAATACCAATGCATCCATCCTCTTGAAGTAATTCACATAAGTGAGTAATCGATTCCAGCTTTAATCTTGTGTCCTCATTAATTAGCACTCAATTATACTTTTTAGCATTAATTATGTGATCAAGAGCACATTGTGGATCCTTTACACACATCTTATATATATTCATTAATTTTGTCACATTTCGATTATATTTTTGAACTGCTCTCTTGTCTTTATGTGCAGGAATGGGAGATAATGGGGTGAGGGCCGAAAAGGTGACACCTTTTTTCCCCTTATTATTATTTTGTGAGATATTATTATTATTATTATTATTATTATTATTTTAGGTCTTTAGTGTGATTGTAAAGCAAACCAATTTCCAGATTATATTCCCACGAATCTGTGACGACAGAAAATAATAAAATAAAACACGAGATTCATTCATTAGCAGGTAGAGTTCTTTTGTTTTCTTTGGTCCCTTAAAGTTAAGATTTGATTTGTTTAGATTATGGGGTTAATTAGTGACTTTACATTGTCATCTCCCCCGTGGCAAAAACACATCCATAGCTTAGTATGCTCATGCATTACTACTAACTTACATTTCACATATGTTTAAAATTTGTATTTGGCCTATCATTAGTCCAACTCTACTCATTCGAGAATCTCGATCAGCTTACTTAGTCTTAGACTTTCGAAAATGACGAACACATCGAAAATAAGACTAGAAGATCTGTGTATTTAGTAGTGGCAAAGTCACGTTGATGGAAGGAAAGACTGTATATAGGCCACCAGCTCTCAAAACCATGTATTACTTGTAAATTTGTAATAAATTTGAGAGTGTAATTTTTTGGCCCCCTCATGCAGATTTCTTGCTTCGCCACTCATGCTTAAGTAGTTTGGGAGTCAAATTGAAGGGCAAGAAATAGACTCTCAACACAAACACATGGACGTGCTTACAAAGAACAAACTTGATCCCACTTGTTGAGACGGACTACTTCACATAAACACAATCCGTATGGAGTATTTAGTCTCATGTCATTTTCTACCTCACTTAAAAATCAAGTGTTAATTACGTTATTTTTAATATCATGAGTTGACTTGACCGGTAACAAATTAAGAAGAGTTATAGTCTTATAGAGGGCTAGATCATTTCACTATGTCCCTTGTAGATTTTACTCATGGGCTGAGATATCACACAAACGAAGTCTAAATCACCTCATTGTTTAGTCCTTTTAATCTCATGGAGAAAAACAAAACTCACAACATATTGAATATTTGGATGAAAACTCATTATTACGAGGATGTGGTTGTTATCATGGCATATTACAGTGACCAGAATTACTAATTATCCCTATCATTATTTAATGACCCTCTTCTTAATTAACTCCAATTAATGATTGACTGCCGTTTGCCATCTCGACGAGGCTCCTCCACCACAGGCGGAGGCGCGTATCATCACGTGCCGCCGTGTGAAAGTTAGGGCCCTCCTACGACTAGGTGAAGCCGAAAGAGAATGGAAAGCCGGCAGAGTTGGAGGAAAGTGGGAGGTCGATCGAATATTATATATTTGTTTACTAACATATAATATTAACAAACTGCTGGCCAAATAATTATTATATAATAACAATAGTTAATTAATAAGCACTAAGCATTTCCTACCTTTTTGCTCTTGTCGTCATTTTATGTTGTTTCTAGTCTTTTTACACCAACGTTAGTTAATTATTTTCATGATGTACTTATTTGACTTTTAATTTTTACTATTAAGATAAATGATGAAGATTAATTACTAATCAAAGGCAAGTGATGTGTATATGAGCTGTGGGGAAAATGATGGGATTTTGTTAATTATTTGAGTAGTTGTTGAAGATTACTAATTCTTTCCCCCCCTATCTATCTTCCTCGATCTATAGGGCACACGTAATGGAAAAGGCAAAATGTGTCCTTGTCTTAAGCAATCATTTTGGGCAAAAGAATAGTTTATGCTAGGCTAGGCTATAGCTCATACAAGGAACCATTTGGGTGTGCAGTCGGTTCATCTAGGTAGGTGTTAGAGTGTGTTGACTTCGTCGTATAACATGAAACGATGAGTTCATATTAACATTGGTTGTGTGCGTCTCTATTACCATAATGCATGATGAAAAACTCTCCTCTGCGTGGATCGAGTCACCGGGATGAACTGAGTGCTGAAAATTACCATATGAAATGCAACAACGAAGCTTTCAATGTGACACAAGCAAGAATTGGTCAATCTTGTTCACTATCAAAGCCTTACAACTAGTCTTGCGCATTAAACAACTACATGTGTATACATTGCATATGTTGAGAAGTCTAGAGTCAAGTAACCATAATTTCGTCAGCAAGAGAGCTAGGAAAGGGCTCCATTAAATTAACAAAGGAGAGGAAGGTCGGCAAAGCATAAATAAACAAAACAAAATTTTATATTGTGCAAAACAATGGGTGGAAACTGCCCACCAAAACATATGTATATGTATAATTTTTTTAGGGTTCCATTTGTCTTATTTGATCCAAGGGGAAAAAGTGCTTTATTGATCCATTTTAGAAATGATTTGGCATTCAACAAATACTCATTCTTGCAGTCCAATATCAAGTTGACTATGAAGAAAATCGACTCAATAATCTATGCATAATTGGGTGGCTTGACAGAATATGTATCCAGCTGCCTAAAAAACAATGCAAGTTTGGTTCAGCCGGCTAGGCTATTATAGTTAATTATAGTTATAGCCAAGTGTTTAAAGCACAACAAATCAAATTAAACTAATGGAAATGTGATTGAATACTCATTAATTAGGTCGTTAATCACAAGAGAAGAGACAAAAAAAACACTCAAGAGAAAGTGGATTTTGTATATAACTTATGGCTTTGTATTGTATAAGATGTTAAAAATGGCACCATATAAAGAAGACTTCATTGTAAGTCAACCCTAACCATGGGACAAAATAATTTAATTGAATACTAACATGCAGGCCATTTCTTGAATGTTTTTGAGATTATCAATCAAGATAGGAACTCTTCGTGATATTTTTTTTTAATATTTGGAACTCAATGATAAATTATCGTCTAGTAACCAGAAAAATCGAGAGTAAATTAATCACATTATATTTCATATGAGAGATTAGTATCTCATTATTAAATTTAGTATTTCAACTGTTACCATTATATCACAAGCCATATGTTGATATGTTGTTACAATGATTAAATCCTTGTATCGTTCCTCAATGTTTAAAAATCTCTGAAACCTTCTAACTCTTGATTTCAACTTAGGTTATTTGGATTGAGAGTCACACTACCCTCGTGCTTGATTGAGTTTATCCCCATGAAAATTAGATGAATAATGATTCATTAAACATGTTTTTACATTGAATGAAATTCAAACTCTGTATGTCTCTCTTCATACAACATAATAATTCGACTTGCTCCAACAATAAAAAAATATGCATAACCGTCATGATGTACCACTATATCAAGAAACATGTGATCTACAGAATTGCTCTTGGTGTCAATCCACGATACCGCAATTAAGATATATACTTAAACAAAACCAAACCGGCTCCACTAATCCTTCCTTTCCCCTTTGAATCTCCTTCACTTCACCACAATCAAAAAGTTCTTACACCTATCGAAACCAAAGCATTAGTACACATAGTTTAATTTGCATGGAATGAACAAGAAAAGGGCTAACATGAAAAAACCCTTTTTACCTTTGGAGCATGCCATGCTTGCTATGTATTGTCCTTTTGCTCCCACTTTACATTTGCTCAGCTTTTTGTCTCCTAACCCTAGCTGGTGAGTGGTGAATGAATGCGAATGATGATGATGAAAAAAGGGTGAAATTTCTTGCAGTGAAAAGGAAGTGATGGAAAGGTAAAGAAAACTCACTTTTTCGGATTCCTGACTTTGCAAAAACAAAATCCACTTTTACGCATTAATTTACCTTTTTGGAGGGGTTTAGGGTTTCAACAAAGTGGGATGGGGGAGGCATCATTATGGTGTATGTTTTTTTTGGAGTCTTCGCTCTTCAGACTTCAGAAATCACCCAAAAAGGGGGAAAGGAAAATACGCCCCATCATCACATTTCTCTTCCTTTCTTTGTAACGCACGCCCTCTTCTCTTCATTCTTCTCTTCTTGCCCTTTACGCGTTTTTCAAGGGTCACCACCACCTTCTCATTTGTGTGGCCAATATGGTCTAAAAGGTATTGATGTGATTTGAATCGGATTATCAGTCACTACGACTGGAAGTTACTTAATAGACTAGATTTAGACTCACATTGTGAAAATTTGTTATCTCCTGCCCGTGGACTAGCTAACACACATTGTGTTAGTGAACCACGTAAATCGTGTGTCTGTTTCCGATTCTCGATTTCGTATTCTTGTTTTCTCGATTCCGGCAATTTCCCAATCCGTAGCAGCGCAGTTATAACATAGGGTTCTTGCTCACTAGCAAAAATTCGGTTACATCGATGATACTATTTATTACTAGATGATTCAAGGGAGTCTATAATCCCTAATTGCTTTCAGCTCGTAATGAATAATTTTGAAGGAGGGCTTGATCGAGGTAGCTCATCAATCGCTCTTTCAGTAGTTGATGTGAATTTACATGTTATCAGAGCATTGAACGTAAAGTTCTACCGACCATTCAAGATATGTGCAGTTTCTCTCGCACTTCCTAGCTAGGGCCGGGCGAGGCTGATGAAATGACTTAAAAGTGGCATGGGAGAGTTCCTAAGAACATTGTGTTGTGTTTATCGTCCGTTTCTGCCTCTTGTTTTCGTTTCGAATTGACAAGCAATTTTTTTTAAGCTATTGATTAATGTGGATCACCCAATAATCTTTCTTCTTTATATATCGAACGTGAAGTAATTATTTGTGTCGATTGTGGTATATGCTCTACTACTATATAAGAACATCGTATGAGATATATTTTGTAATTCTATATGAACCATTATTGAGTGAGACAAATTGATGGTTGATTGTGTATCTTTTAATAACTATAGCCCTTCTTATTATATATATCTGCTGCCACATAGCCCCTCGATCGAGAATCCTCCAAACCGGTCATTATGGCTCCTTTTTGGGTACTTTGATGAGTAATTATCACTTGTGATTATTGAGGAAATAGTAAATGTAGTGCTCGGAATGATCATCGAATTTATTCAAGTAGAAACATTTAATTTGTAATCTATGCATCTATAGACACATATAAGAGTCTAGAAATCATAATTGGAAATAGTGATGGGCAATTTTTGAACTAATTCGTACATTTTGATTTGTCTTAATTAACTTATTTGGCGAGGACATTACCCGATTCACAATAGTGTGGGCCAGGGCATTGGTACTATTTTGACTTAATATCTACTTGTACTTCTCATATTTTGACCTTTCTCAAATTATATCTTCCTAAGAAAATTTGAAGGCTCCATTTATCAACTAGTTAGACACAATTATTACTCCTTCAATATCTCTAACTCATTAATAATTAAATAACAATATTTTTATTTAAATAACATATAAGAACTGGTTGGCATATCTCACCCCCTACCCGTATGAGTATTTCCCAATCTACTCACAAATAATATGAAAAAGATATGTCTGTTGAAATACCCGCCCGTCCCATCCATTCTCCTCACTAATTGGAAGCATGTTAAGCTTGTTTCTTCATGGGGGATAATAATTAGTAACTTGTTGTGGATGTTTTATTATAATGAGGAGGTTTTTACCTCAGATC